CTTAGCTGCTTGCGTGGAGTCAGAAAACATCCAAAGACAATCAACAGAATTCTGCCTCCACCACTTAATGAGACAATTCAGATGAGCATTGTTTCACTTAATGTGCCTGACTTCAGCTGGACAATAGGATGGCATAGTTCAAGAAAAGCAGCTTCCTCAGAGATATGAGGAGAAAGGAGCAAAGCCTCATTGTCATTGGGAGCTGAAGGGTTTTGACAAGGGAGACAAGCGCTGAAACTTGCATGGGCAGGAATATTTTTGTCACTGTCACATAAACAGCTGATCCAAATAGGTACATTTCTCTTGCTCACTGAGCAGCATAGCATTATAAGTATGTCCCCAAATTGAACTTTGAAAGAGGCTATTGTATTCATGTGTAAACTTGGACATGTTGACCTTACTTTATATAAGTAATATATGACGCAGCCAGAAGCTTACATAGTACAGCCTGCGGGCTCAATAGATTCTTCTATTCAAGTGACAGTGCAGCTGTTGAGATGATATATTATTTTTCTATCATGGCATCAGATCACTCCATTCTTCTTCAGCTTGCATAGCATTCATTCATGCAGGAAACTGCTAGTTCTGCTATCATTGTCATGACTACATGAAGGCTCAGAGCCATGGTAAATTATAACATGGTGAACTCTTTTGAGATGTTTCTTGCATTCAGAGCAGCTGTGTAAGCATCAGTTGAGGCCTATTTAAGGGCTCTTGTATTTCTCTGCATCATACATCAATCTCGAACACTATCTCCTCTCTTGAAGCCACTATAAGCCCTCTTGTTTTCAATCATGCGAAGATTTGCCCAGAACTTCTATCCAAACTGGAAAGCTGACCTTGGTGTCAAGAAACTGCATCTTGCCATTGTGGATCACATTAGTTGCAGCTGTAGGCACAACCCATGGAATCTGGAGAGCATGACATATGCTCACAGTCTTAGACTTCTAGTTGATCTGACTATGAAGCACAACAGACTGAATGTTATTCCCCAATTTGAATTGTGGGTTTATAATAAGGACATTGAGGATGATGAAGATAGATGGAGACAATCTTGCGACTCACAGTCTGCGCGAGGCAATCAGTCAAAGCTCCACCCACATGACAGCACTGCCTCTAATCTACTCCATGGACTTGGGAAACCCACTTGCAAAGCTATTCCTGATTTTGCAGTATACTTCTCTCCATTCCAGTTGCAACAGTGTCAGTCAGAAAATGGGTTTCCTGCAGAGAAGGTTCCGGGTAAGACATTATACCAGGGCTTCCCTGTTGTTCATTTAGGATGGGAGTTTGGATTTACCTTGTAGTCTGACTAGCAAGTTAACCTAACTAGTTTATACTGCAAGAATGTGCAAGGTCAAAGTTCAGTGAATTCTAAGCTAAGTTGCTTAAGAATTCACAAGGGTAAGGTGGGGTAAAAGGATTTGATTGGGGCTGGATATGATAGTAACACTTGATACAAGACTTTAAACACTAGATTGTAGTGCAAAGTCTGGGAGTACACTAGATTGTAGTGCAAGGATGGAAGACAAAGGATGGTAACAACTTGGTTGGGGTAAAACTTGGTGTTTGATTGCTAGGAACTGTAACTTGGTACTTGAAACTGTTTGACTTGGTAAATTGAAAAACTCCCTGCTCTACATGCCCTCGAGGGGGTATATTTATACACAAAGCACAAGAAGGCTGTGCACTACTTGAAACAAACTGAGAATATTGTGAAATGTACTGAGATAGAAGTAAAACAAATAAACTGAAGTTGAAATATAGAAGCTTACCTGATGAAACATGAATTTGACACTAGAACTCTTGCTAAAACTTTTATTCTCTGTTCTAGAACAACCTGTTCACTTCTAGGCCTTTTCTAGAAGTTTCTATAAAGTTCTATGCTTATTAACTATGCTCGGCACTTATTAATCCAGTGTAAACTGAACTCGGCGCTTACTGACCAAGTGTTTTGAGATCATATAATCAATCTTGGTTGTATATCACATGTTCTTCAATGTATTTAGGACTTGTCAGTGTCTAGATCAGCTAGTAGGCTCATATGTGCTTGCACTATCTTGTTTGAGCCTTCTATCTTATCTAGATGCACAGTTAAGGAGATTGCCGATGACTAAGTAGTCTTGATCATTGTTAGATCTCGATATGACACTCTTAAACCTTGTACCTGTCTTATAGAAGCTGCACAGGGTTGGTCTTAAAGGATAAATACTGATACGTGCAAGTACTATTCAGTGGGTCTTTTAATTTGTCTTTGACTGGTCTGATGTACTAAACTGCTTTAGATTCTTAAAGCAATCTGTGTACTTGCCTACCACTTGTACTGTCCTTCATTCTCCAAGGGGTGAAGAAATGATGTGGAAAAACCTTCAATTTCACCATGAAACAGATTCAGTATGTACGAGGACACCAATTTGTTTCATTTGCACTTATCATTGCTTCTGTTGTTAGGATACCTCGATGGAGGATCTGCCAGCCACTTTCTTCGATAAGGAGTTTATAGTGCCAGTTATTTGCATCTTTGGATTCATAGCGGTAGTCACCATTGTGTCTCTTGGACTAAAGTTCAAATGGCGCCATGAAGGTCAATCCAGTAGTGGTATAACAGGGACTGTCTGAGTCTCAGCGATGTTTTCCTCTGTGTATACTGTAGAATCCATACATTTGCTTGTCTTGTCACTCATTCATACCCTTGTTTGTTATTGCAACTAAACCACTCTTTTTTTGGAATATGAATACTTAGAATGTGAAAGATTCATCTATATACTAGGTACATCTGGTACATATGAAGTGAATACAATCTAATCTAAGCACCGATGGAGATTGCTGAAGTCAAAATCCAATCAAATGTTCACTTTCAATGTGGCACTGTTAAAAATGACATTTGACTCTTGAAACCACATATCTTCAGTGGGAAGTGTATTAGTTTCAGAACTGCCTTAATATTGGGTAAGTGTCTCTGTGTTTTGATTGGTTAATAACTCTTATCCTTGTGCTTGTAGGCATCTGAAACAGCCTCATGCCTCCTGCTGAACTTGCCACTTTACTGCCTTCAATTGCTGCTTCGCTGCCTTCAATTGCCACTTCGCTGCCTTCACTTGCAATGGAGTCTTCATCGGCAGTTCCCACTTCCTTGAAAGCTCAAAGACCTTCAAGAGCTACAGTAATAGGCACCTCCTGCTTTGTCGGAGTCATGGTGTTGATCATGGCTGTTGGTCTCCTACGGTTCACATTCTTTCCCTTACAATGCTATTCTAGAGATGCGAATAGAACTCCTGCTGTTCATGTCAACCATTTGACACCTTCATCCCTTCATTTTGAACAAGCTTCTTCTCCATCTGCTCATTCATCACCTTCACTCATTTATCATCATCTTCTATTCAGTTGTCACTTTCACAGGTCCAATCTTCATCAGCCTTGGATCATTCTACACCTTCATTACTTACTGTCATTTATCCTCCTCAATTTTCTTCTTCTTCTATCGCTTCTCAATGTGTGATGTCAGTTTGACTTGGATCATAGTAGATTATTGTATACTGTCATATGCTGCATATCTTTTATCCTTGCTTGTTTAGTTATTCAGTTGTCTATATCTCTGTCACTTCCCTCACTCATATATTCATTCAGTTTAATGATCATTACTCGAGTGTATGTCCATGTGCCAAACACTTTTGGTGCATGACAATGGATGGGAACTGCCAGTAGTCTGAAAGGCTTGGAATTTCCTTATGATGACATTCATTTCTACAAGTGCTTTGGTATACCTGTCATTGTCGAGTTCAAGCATCACCATCCTAGGCCTGAACCCCTTAAAACCATCTTGAAAATAGAAAAGGATGTTTGTGGAGTCAACTTGAAACTGACTGAGGCATGAGCGCAGCTTGAACAGTATGCTGCATTTGTCTTCTCACATGTATGGGAGGACCAAGACATCATTCTCCTCATGGCTGTTTCAGGTGAACATTGGCAGTATAGGTTGCACACCAAAGGGGATGCTATGAAGCTGTGTGATGCTGTAGAGTTTGTCAAAAGTTGGTTGAACCCACAGAAGGTAAAGGTGGAGGAGAATGAGGAGGATGAGGAGGATGAAGAGTATGGGAATGATAATGATGAGGATGAGTCTGACGAATATATCCCTGAAGGCTTAAATAATGGAGAGTCAGAATATGCACCTGATCCAGAATATGCACCTAATCCAGAAGAACTTGAGAAAGAAGTCATGAACCTCAGGTCCAATTTCAATGAGGACTCAAGCATTGATGGAACTCAGTGAGTCAGACTGCCTTTATTAACGGACAACACCTATGGTTTATCTCAAGCCAATATCACTGAGGGCGCCTCTCACAGTTCAATGCCTGATGAGGGTGTGTATGAATTAGATGAAGGTATTTTGCTGAGTGAGGTTGATATCAATGAGGAGTTCATAGGGACCCTGAATGCATGGTCTGGAATCCTTCAGTTCAGTACTGGAAGCTCAAACCAACATTTGTGGCAAATTACTGAATATCTGCATCATATAGCGGTATCGCCCAGCGATAAGATGATGAAGCTTCACATTGGAAGTAATCAAACAATCAAGGATGATGAGATGTATGTTACTGTTCTAGTTCTATCAACTCACAGTTTATAACTCACGCTGTTGATTCTATGCTTAGCTTCAAGCTTGACATTACAAAGATCAAAGACTTGGCCAAGCGTGACATGCAGGATCCCGCATCCCCATCTATCAAGAGGGGACTGAAGAGGCCTCACGTTGAGTGATCGCTAACATGACTGTACCTAAATATGGCCGTAGATGAACCTGTTACATAACGATGTGCCTCAAATAAACTAAGTTAAAATTCACACCGCAGAAGAGGCGATGATTTTTCCATGTGGACACTTGCCAATTCACGCACAATCATTTTAGAGGAGAGTCTCCAGATAGTCTCCATCACAAGACCACTGCACTGATTTTTATTGAAAGAAGCGCCTGTAAGTAGTTACTAGATAACGACCTTGCCTCTTCTAGCCATTCTCTCCCAAGCAATGGTATCACTTGACCCTATTACTGTAGATGTCTATATTCTACCGGCGCCGTAAGGAGTCAAGCCGCTTCACAAACGCAGTGAAGGGATTTCCCCCATTTCTGAAGAATGGACGTCGAACAAAGCCTTGTTCTCATCTCGCCTGCCGCAACATGTTTAGTCGGAGGTGCGATTAAGAGCTGATCCTCCTCAGTACAGTTCTTGGCCTCTTGTGGTATGGTAGGGCTCATGGCTAGGGAGGCAGCAGAGCATTACGGCACGACTGATCACAGGTATGATACTCGGACCATGTTTAAAGACGACCATCGGTGACCTATATATTAGCAGAGTAACGCAAGCCGCCTAGTCGTGGGGTCAAGGTTAAACCTCTCTCTATCTTGTGCAGATATGGGCGGATTGCACCTTGCTGCATGTTCTGTGCTCTGCGCTTGCGCTTTCATATTCCTCTCCCGCAAGCTTCGCGGTTCCAAGCGTGACAATCTACCTCCAGGCCCAGGTGGCAATCGACTATCTATAGGGCCATAGTAAGTGTACTGAAATTTCAATGGAATGAATACGACTATACCGTACATAGCGCATATCGTCGATTCCATGAGTGGTCGAAAGAATATGGACCTGTGTTCTCTTTGAAACATGGTTCCAAGTTGATTGTAGTAATTGCTTCATACCAGGTAGGTAACTGACTGCCTTCCGTTCTTCTTTACCCACAAGGGACGATTCACAGGCTGCCATTGACATAATGCAAAAGCATGGATCCGAACTCGCTGATAGGCCGAGATCAGTTGCTGCCGGGGAGATATTTTCGGGTGACATGCGAACGTTACTCGTAGGGGCCGGCGAGCGGCTGAAGAAGCTGCGTAGGTCGGTTCCATCCTCTCTGATACATTTTTTCAAACCTAATGAACGCATGATGCAGGGCTCTGCACTCACAGCTGCAGTCAACGACTGCTCAGCAATATGGATCACTCCAATATCGCAATGCGAAGAATTACGTGCGGAACATGCTGTCTGATCCCGAACATCATCTCGATCATGGTAGGACGTAAGTCGTCCATACATTTGCCTTTCATCATCTTCAATTCATCCAACGACCATGACAGATATGCGGCCAGCGTCATCTTAGAGTTGACATACAGCAAAACGACGCCAACAAAATATGCAGACAAGGAAGTCCAAGACGTGATGAAGAATGTTAACAGGATGTTCGCTGCCCTTAAGATTGGCGCATACATAGTTGATACCTTCCCTTTTCTGAAATACATACCTCTTGGTGGCGTCTCGGAGCTGCGCCGGTTCCACAAGGAAGAATTGGGATTATTCAAGAGTCAACTCAACTCGGCACGGGAAAAGCTGGTTTGTGACAGACACGTCGAAAGTGTTAAATGATCTGACAGTTGTCTTACAGTCTCAGAGCATCGCACAACCCAGTTTCGCAACATACTTACTTGAGAATCAGGGACAGTATGACCTTTCAAACGACGAGCTTGCCTATCTTGCGGGGTCAATGTTTGGAGCAGGATCAGATACTGTTGGTTTCCTCGAACTGTTCTTGGCTTTGGGTTTGTTCATCATGGTCTATATCCAGACTGCCTCCGGACTTGGTATTATCACGATGGCTGCTGCGACGCATCCAGAAGAACTGAAGAAAGTTCAATCACAAATAGATGCTGTTGTCGGACGCGATAGACGTAAGCAAGTTCGTTATATATCTCAGGTCGGACGTGCTGACTAACTTCTGATCTACATTCCAGTCCCTAACTATGATGATGAACCTTTGTTGAGTCGAGTGACAGCATTTGTATTGGAGGCTCATCGTTGGAGGCCCATCGCGCCTCAAGGTCCGTTCTCATTATCAATTTCTAATCTCGAAGTGCACTGCTTATTCCTCACCACCTTGATTCCTAGGGTTTGCCCATCGCGCAATGAAGGATGTCATTTGGGTGCGTCGCGTATCCTGCCTACCACTGATATTCATGACGTATATGAGACGCCAGAAAGATGTTGTGATTCCTAAAGGCGCTATTGTCTACGGAAATCACTGGTGAGAGACTATTCTCAGCTCCTGAGAGAGTGAAGCAAGGGAGGTGTCTCACATTGAATCTCACAGGTCGATCATGCATGATCCTGAAGTATTCCCAGAACCAGATTCATTCCGGCCTGATCATTGGCTCAATGAGGAAGGCGAAGTTCGTGATGATCTGAAGCACTTTGACTTCGGGTTTGGCCGCAGGTGAGTCCCTACGGAGTTAAGGCCGATTTCGCGATGATTCACCATGTGCAACTGTCAGAGTGTGTCCCGGGCAATATGTTGCCGAACGGTACGTCTTAAGTTATCAGAATATTACGCTTCGTTAGAGGTACCGACTTTCTATCGTGCTCCCAGATCGTTGTTCATCAACACTGCTTTAATCTTTTGGGCGTTCAACATTCATGAGGACCCAAACTCTCCGATCGACACTACGGCTTTCACGGACGCGTCTGTCGTACATCCGCTGCCTTTCGCAGTCAAGATTGTGCCCAGAATAAAGAACCTCCGTGAACTGCTCGATGCAGATACGGATTGATAATGACATTTCCGAGTCATATGCTTAGTGTCTCGTTGCATCGCGACCATCGCAAAGCATGTATGTACTCTTAGGTGAGATATCTGTCTGAGGAATCCAGACCCCAATTCTCACATGATAATACATCACAGCTCTACAAAGTCTTCGTTTGGTCTTTCTTCATGCTTACTTGATGTATAACTATAAATGCAGACATGGTTCTTTGATTAACATGTCAGCTCCATTGAGGCACTACATAGCCGCTCTGCTGTTGGGTACACACGAGGTCCGTAGATGGGAACGTGGGCTGACCAAATCGAGACCCGTAATTGCGTCTCAAGATATGCATGCCATATGCCGGATCGGTGGTTCGGTGGTTTGCTGGTGCGTGATCTCAATGTCTGTGAGAGCGTCCACGGCATTGATGGGAATGTAACCATCCTTATCCAATACGCACTTGCCGCTGCATCAAGATCTGCCATGATGGAATCAGATGGGACGTCAGATTGTCAATTCGCAAGGCCTACTGCGTCCCGAGACCATCAGGAAAGCGCCACAATGGCCTTATGATAGACTGGGGGGAGCGCATAAGCTTGTTGAGCAAGATTTCGCTTGATGCTTCTAACCCCTCGTTACCCGGCGAAGTCCAGCTATCGTAGTGCGATATAAAGGACTTTGAGACATTGACGAGTCCTTCTACTGACTTCAAGGGTTCAGACGTCTCCATATCCTTTTCATTCGGTTCTTTCTTTCGCTTGGGTTAGGATGCCGGCAGCTCCGACACCCGCTAGTCTTTTGGGAGGATTCGTGGTAGAAGTCTGCCTTGCATTACTGTGAGTCGTTCTTACAACTTCTTGCGTGATTCGACTAATGCCAGATAGATTGTATGGCATCGCAACGGCGCAGTCTTACGTTTACATGCTCAACTCAAAGGATGACCCTCCGTTGCTCAAATCGGTAGTGGGCTCAATATGGTGCGTCTAGCGCCGCGCGTCCGAATCTTTCACGAAGGAGTGCTGATGTTTTGTTTTGTCGATTGAAGGATACTCGAGACCTTCCATAGCGCTATGATTATACATATGTTGTACGAATACACCATCACCGACTTTGGGAAGCTGGCCGATGTTGGAATTATCGTATGGTAAGCACTGGGTTTTCATCTCTCATAATGAGGAGTCCTCATATGTTTTCGCCTACAGGAGTGTTGGGGTAAGCTCTATCGGAGATTGTAAGGTGTACGATGAAGCTGATCCTCGATTTGAAGCTTTGTGTTTTAGTTGAGGTGAGCAAATCGTCCTTGCCAAAGTAAAACAATGCTAAGTTTCCTGTAGATGTTGATCGTGGCCCTCGCACAAGGTTTCTATATCCGTCGAATTTGGATCCGTAAGTTCTATTTTTTCCGCAGACACTATGTCACGACCACAAACCTGACCTTCAACCTTTTCAGTAAGCAATCATAGTGTACTCCTCACAGTCGTTACGGTGCGTGTATTACCTTTTCGATGCATCGCAATGAATAATAAGACCCCTTCTCTCGCTTAGTCCATCCTGCTCCTTGCTCGTGTTTGTGAGTTCTGTCTTGCCACCCTTGTTGTCTTTGCGCCAATCTCATCACTTATCGCTTCCAGCCTTCGGCTTTGGTACGTTTTCAGAATCACTATCTTTAGAAGATTTACACTCAACGTCCATTTGTATCCAGCCACGGCTGCATTGACGTAAGTCCACTAGGCCGTCTTCCTCGAGCGTTTCCAACCGATATCCCTCAGATACAAACTGGGCGCCTGGACCACCTTCCGCGAGGAGACAGGACCATTGGTGAGTTGACATAGTTATGCGCGTTCTGGAGGGATTTATTTATTCCCTTTAGTTTACGCTAAGTTGTGGTCTTGGCCTCTCAGCCCTTGTGGATGCACTGATCGCTGGGATCATCATTTACTATCTTCGACGCGGTCAAACGGGATTCAAGTCGTATGTCCATTCTCAATGCATCTTATGGTGCACTATCTAAGTCGGAGTTCGGGGTAGGACGGATAATGTCGTTCGCTCTCTCATGGCGTACGCCGTTAACTCTGGCGCTATTACTATGTCCGTATGCACCCTCAACCATCGTATTTCCTCGATGAACTCACGCCCTGTTGCAGGATTGTATCCATAGTCATTGTACTCACGGTATGTCACCAAGCATCTGTGTTGCGAAAGGCATTGATCATCAGAAATGCTCTATAGTTCGTCTTCTTGAAGAACAGTCTATTGTTCGCCGGGTTGGTGACAGTCGCTGGTAAACGTATGTACATCAGTATCATGTAACATGGACACGTCGAGCTCATACCTTCCAATAGTCTATTCGAATTCGTTGCTTGGCACGTACGTATCAGCGATTCCTTGCGGCGTTCACAAGGGATCCTGACCTATCAATTTTCTCGTAGATTGAACGCAAGATCGTACTTGCGTTCGAAGTCCAAGGGAAGTGCTGGATACAACTCAGCCGAGTTGTCCAACATAGGGCCTAACTCCGCTCGCCGATCGCACACAGCACAGCTGGTAAGACCTAGACCTCCGCTTCAGCTTTTACACATGCATTAACTAACTTATGAACGTAGCAACTCCCGCGGGCAAATCAAATTGAAATATATCAAGAGACGACGAAAGTCTCGGACGGTGTAGGTCACTCTTTTTTCATCATCCCGGTGATGTACTGAAATAGCTTCTATGTTTCAGTCCTTTATTCCCGGGGACGAACCTGAGGGACGTTCGGCTAAAACAGTAGACGAGGTCTATGCGGCATGAACTGCCTGACGTGTTCCTTGTATCAGTGATTGTATGATTTACGTGTAGTTATCCTGTGTAACAGATATAGCTTTGTTTGACATACTTAATGGTGATTGTCGGACTTTCGAGACTTGGTCTATCTAGAGCGAATACGAAGCATGTTCTATACGATAATTTCAAGGTGCGAATCAAGATGTGATCATTCGTTCTCACTGATAGTCACTATCTCTACTGGATACATAACAGTGTCCCAGTGCCAGTCTAAGACGCGACCTTTTTGGTTGGAACAGATGCCCAGAATCGAATTGCGTGAATCCGAGTTGCCTCACTGAGCTTCAGACGGTGAGATGCGTGCAAGAAGATGATGATTATCTTCCTTTTCTAACCACCAAAGTACACAGAATGGGATAGGTACCATTGTGTGTGCATTAAACTAGGCCAGTCCGGCACCGACAACATAGGGAGAAATTGGTTTGCCGATGGATCGTCGATCGATTACTTATGTTTTGTGGCGGCCGCTAAATATGTGAATACGGGTATGATTAGATACCCTTGTCGCCGACCAGGATGCAAATCTGACAAGTTCTGCCGTGTAGACGGGGGTGCTGAGATGGAGTATGCAGGAAATGTGACAAAGGGCGTGTCACGTAGAGTCACAGCAGTATGGCTCAACCCTTATTCGGGTTCAGATATGCAGTATACCTGAGCATTACGCCTACGTTAACTCCTTTTTCTCCATACCTATCACACCATGTGAATGCTGATCAGTAACATTAGCTATTTTAGCCGCTAGACCGACCACTAAGGAGGGTCTCACGGATGTCCAAATTCACTGGCACCTGATTGAACCGTACATATAGCGGCGATCATAATTGTCTGCAGCAGACGCGTTACATTCTCAAACCATTACTGTCATGTCAGGCTCCCTATTCACGCAAACCCACGTCCTCCCGGCTCAAACAGTCGACGGTCATGATATCAAGGTAGTTGTGGCAAGGTATTCCAAGCTCGCAGAGCCACCTGCACATGGTCGGATCCTTATCCTCATCCACGCTGTCAGTGCTCGTCAGTGTATTTTCAATACTTCCCTCTCTCTATGCTTGCTTCTGAGAGATAGGAAATGAAGAGTGTACTGACGTCGGCTGATACATCTATAGACAAGGAGCACTGGCTACCCATATTGAATCGACTCTTCGCACAAGATGATCTCAATATTTCCGAAGCATGGTCATTTGACGCACCGAATCATGGTGGTTCATTGGCGTATAACAAATACCTGATAGATAAACCGGATGTCTTGAGTAACCATCCAATACCTGTCTTTTCTAGTAGACTTGTCACTTACGTTTAGCTTGGTCTGACAGACGATCTGTCGGCCTACGGGCAATGCCTCTTGGCGCTCCTGCGGTCTGGGTTAATCAACCTTAATGGACGGGAGCTCATCCCTATTGGTCATTCTGCGGGAACGAATGCCCTGTACGTATGACAAAATCCCGACTCTTTGGGTCTAGTCTTAGTCTATGTGCCTGAACAATGCTGATCATTTTAGAGTTCGTTGTGCAATGGCTTATATCCGCGCTGGTGAACCAATTCCGTACAAGACCGCCATCTTGATCGAATCGGTCTTCCTGTCTGAGGAACTTGGGGCCAAAATTGTCGGTCGATATAAACCAGCCGTGAAAGCGCGCAAATGGCGATGGGGCTCACGTCAAGAAGCTGAACAGTTCATAAATAATACCCAACCTTGGAAGAAATGGCACAAGGAGATCCGGGATATTTACGTCGTGAGTTTTCTCTTGTCAAGTGGTCATCAGCCTTCGTTTCCAGAATTAATCAAGGACGGGGATGCGAATTTGGGGTCTCATTGGTATCATAGGAATATGGCATGAATCATACAGTCGCTGGTTCTGAACTCAAATGCCCTTCTCGTGTCGAAGCGGCTTGTTACCCAAACGCTTCCGTTCAAGCAGAAGCTCTGAAGAACATGCCTACCTTCTGTGAGAACATCAAAGCACATCTCATCTTAGGCACGAAGAATGATTTCGTGTAAGTGGTCTTCGTCATTATCATCCCTCCAACTTCTCTGATGAAATGCATTCTTCTTTATCCCCCGTTCTATCGCTTGAAACTGATGCATCATTTCCTCCACTGATATGCAGTCCGAAAGAAATCCGAGATCCTTTTGTAACCTTCGCAGAAAGTCACATGCGATCTATACGATATGTCGAAGGCGCAGGGCACATGGTAAGCAGGCGTTTTCATTTCGAACTAAGCCTTTCACGCCGATTGTCTCACTTCGTCGTCTTTTTTCAATTCCCGTTGGTTTGATAGGTGGTTCAAGAAGACCCTGTCGGATGTGCCAAGGCAATTTCCGACGTTTTACGTTCGTTGTCTACAAGTTCATATCCGCCCGTTCAAGTTGCTGAAGCCAAGTTATGATCGTGATGGGGCGCATCTTGCTTTCCGAATACTTTGGAAGACGTTGTGTAGAATATTGATATTTACTTGTGAAGGTTATCTTTGTGTCTTTTCTGTTAGGTTAGTACAGATTATATGACGGGACGATTTGTCATAGAGCAATTCACAGAATAGAATGAGTTTAGCTGATCGTACTAGTCCTGTTTACGTTCCCCTTGGTGGAATCTTCATGAATTGATCCTCGAAAAAAAAAATGCATACAGAAACAGTGTGAAATATGAGATACGATGGTCCAGACAAATAACTTAATAGTGCTCCAAGTGTGATCACATTCAATCCAGCATAACCATGAATAAAGTCGTAACGTCCCCCTCCACATCATCTCTCATTTACTCAACCTAATCCCCGCCACACTACTTCAAACGTATTGCGTCCCTTTCCTCTTCGCAATCATACTCCTACAAGCCAAATTGACAGCCGTTCCAGCGAGCATGACCACCCCACTAAAGATGATGGCTTTGAACCATTTGTACTCGTCTCCGAGGAGGGCACCACTGATAGGAGTACCTGTGAGGTTGGCAAAGGAGGTGAGGAAGAAGCCGACGCCCATGTAGATCCTATAATTCGGGTTCGGAGGGTGAGTTGAGTAATTCGGGATAACTGAGAGGGAAAGAGAACGGACCCGATTTGTGTGATATCTGGGGCTAGGGTTGCCATTGTTGGTGGTACGAGACTGACGACTACAGAACATTGGATGGTTATCATCTCCCAAATTGCCTTAAAGAGTGGAGGGGAAATGCTTACAAGCACCTGAAGCGAATCCATAGAGAATACTGAAGACGATCACACCGGCCGTGTTCGTGATTCCGAACATCGCGAATACCAAGACACCGCTCATGCCACAGATCGGTACGAAGACATTGAACTTGCCGATTTTGTCTGCTAGCAAGTTTGGGATAGTACGGCCGAAGACCGAAGCAGCATTCAGGATGGCCAGCGTGTAGAATGCAAGGTTCTCGGAAAGCCCGTGAAGGTCGACGAAGAGCTGGAGATAGAAGTCTAACCAATTGTAAGTTATACTATCCGAGTAAGAGAAGAGTAATAATCTCACAAGGGAAGTATAGTCCCCAAAGGACGAAGAACGTCCCGACGGAAGCGGTCATATAAGGAATATCCCTGAATATAGCAGAGAACTTGGGTTTCGGACCATTTCTCTTGGGCGGGAGTCTTATGGTCATCAAACAATTCCCAATGACAAGAAGACCCAAAATCAAGAACGCAGAAGCACGGACGCCCCATGCGAAGCCGGTTTTGCCATGAAAGAGCTGATTATGCATGATCGGGTGTACGATGCCTCCGAATGAGGACCCTGTTAGAACGATACCCATTGCCAGTGCCCGACGGTTCTTCCAATGATGTGCTTGGACTGAGAGGGCGGGCAGGAACATCATGCCACAACCAATTCCAACGCCCACTCCTTGCGAAAGAAATATTTGGTAGAACTTGGAGATATCGACGAGCGAAAGCATGAAAAGCCTGAGGTGACAAGAGGGGTCAGGACTAGAACAGCTAGAAATTGCAGTCATTGCGAGAAACGTACGAGAAAACGAATAAGAGTGCTCCGGCTATTTGCAGATGGTGGAAATAACCAGCGTCGAAGAGTTTTCCAGCAGGAAGACCCATAGCAAAGATCATGAATAGTTGGAAGGAGCCGATCCATGCGACGTTCGACGGTGTTGATGCGCCAGCAAGGACATATAGATCCTCATATACACCGAATGACTGAACATATCCGAAGGTGCAAAACGATATTAGCCACCTGAAAGAGCCTGAGTTAACACTTCTACGCAACGTCGCGGCAGAAGCGCCTACCCTCCGAGGACACATAACCATGCTTGCAGGCCGCCATCAGGAATATCAGCCTCAAGGTCAACTGCTGTTACTTGAGTGATTTCCTTGTCGTTGGACTCCAAAGACGCATTCGAGCGGTCTACTACCTGCTCCCTGGAAGGACTGAGTTGAGACATGGGTTAGTGGATGACTGCCGCTGAAGGGGGAACGGAGAGATGGCGGCGCAGCAAATAACTTGAATCCTGGAACGTACACAGCCGATGATACCGGAGGCGAAGGTGTCAAAGTTATTCAAGGTTTGACCAGCATGCACCGAACACGCCGGTACAAATCACAGACACCGGACAAGACCAATCCATCCACGGCGTCCACGACAGAGAATGACCATTCTGATAGTTCCATGCGTCTCAATACAGGTCAGACATGGTTAGTATGGATGCCGCAACTCCTTCCTGATTGATAAGTATAATTGTTGCATTTGTACCAGCAGATTGGGGTCCGTTGGATGTCGCAATGTGACTGAGCTTCTATGATATGGAAGGCCCAGGAGAGGCACGTTTGTTCCGACTCTTCGCCTCTCCCACAATGTAATTCGGCATGCCTTGTCCGAGAGCCATTATGGACAGCGCGACCTAAATATAGCCGTCAATCGTATATGGGAATGGAGGAGGTTGAGAGCATTGAGCAAGCCTGAAAGCAACTAAGTAGTCTCGTCGGCGAGCGCTGAAATATTAGCGAGGACTTTGTGGCGTAGCCGGTTTCTATCTCAAACGCCCTGTGGTGTAGAACACACTTTTGTACACCGGAAACAGAGCGCTCGATAGAGGCGCCAGATGTCTTATCCTTTTTGCAGAAATGTCAATCCTTAAATTTCACAATATGAATGGATTTCACCCCCATGCGAATTTGACCATTTCCCTTATTTGGTATATTTAGCGCCCATAAGGTCCCGAAAACATAATTCAGTAGAATCCAATTTGCTTTTCGGCATTCCCCCGGATTAGCGTAAGCTCCGCAGATAGGAAGGCAATGGAGCATCTGATACTTATACTGACCATAACATTCACAGCAATGCAGCTTCAACAGTCAGCGCGGAACCTCAGTGAGTCTCACAAACTGCACTGCGAAAACACCACGTCGAGAAAATACGTTGAATAAATCAAGGCTGTCAAAGGCATCTATCATGTCTATAGATACATACCAAAGCACGGACATGCGGAGTGGGTTGAGGGTCTAAGCTCAAGGTTGAAAGGTATATTTTTAGAGCTTCGCCGAGGTATCAGCCTTGGCTGAGGAAGGTGCCCTATAAAGTGCGGCCGGACGTCTAACGGCCTTTCCCTCCTTGTCACGATAGAACAACACAGTTCCTTCAAGATCAGCGCTCAGAATCAGTTTCCGAATTCCACATCTAACAAACAGAGAAAACGCCGCGCACCTTCATCCTCGACGAACTGACATCTGTTGTAGCTGTCCCAGAGTGCCTTGAATATAGGTTTGTCGGAGTACGCATAATGATCTCCAATGAAAGCTTTCAAGTGTTGGGTAGCTTCCGGTGCATGATCTAAGAGTCGGAACAAGAGAATCAACCTCTTGCGATGTCACCGGGAAAGGGAGAAGAAGAACAAGAAGGAATGTAGATCATCACGTACAGAAAGGCATCTTTGGGAAGAAGTGGTGGATTACGTGGTAATGGGCGACATCGTGCAAGAAGAAACGGCCCTGCCAGCCCAAGAAGTTCCGGTCGACGGTCGCAGCGGCACCGCGCTGGTAGTTCCATTCAGTTCCTCGGTAGTGTGGAAGGAGTGGGTCTGTGTGATGTAGGTACGTGATCATGATGAACCAATGGGTGACTTCGAGCCATGGAATCCCGTAGTACTTGATGACTTCTGCCGCGGAGTACTTGGAGCAAGCGTACTTTACTCCCCATGCCATTGTGAGAAGTCCGAGATTAGATAGGATCACTTGGGTTCGTTGGCTTTTGGTGAATAGAATTGAATTTGCTGGAAGAGGGGTTATCAGATAAGGTACACGGGAAGAAAGGTAAGAAATTCCGTACGATCAAAGTGATTTGTCCACTTGGGATAGTTCTTCTGGCCTGAGACGTTAAAGACTGAATAGGACAAAAGTTAGACACGAGTCTAGACTTGACTCAAACGCTGCGTACGTAGATAGGCGGGGAACGCCAGTAGCTGTTGGCGCATAAGCATATACAACGTGTACACTGGCGTATCGCCAAAGTACTCTTCCCAGTCAATCTCTTCATTAGGCTTCAATGGAATCCCAAGGTCGCTGCGCGTCTTCGGCACGTAAACTTCATCACGTTCCATTGAAGCATGGCTCTTATGGTGTCGGTGATGGGAAATCTTCCAGCTAAAGTATGGAGTCCAAAGGAAAGAGTGGGTGATCTTCGCACCCAATGAGCTTGAGTTTCATAAGTGTTCTTTGAACGCTGCAAGTTACTCACGAAGCCAATCACATCGTTCACTATGCGTGTCGAAGAGAATGCACTGTGGCCGCACTATTGCCTCTATAAGTCGCAAGACCTTCATATGTCACGCTAGGTAAGCTTACCTCGTGTCCAATTACCCAAATTCCTGTGAATATTAGACCTTGGAACCACCAGCTGCATTGCCAAGTAGTGTCAAGAGCTTCCCTCGTGTATGAAGAACTGCAAATTACTCACTAGACACCCCAGGCGAGCCACCGAGAAGCTTCCGCGCCAAGCGGACTCAACTGAGAGCGAATCGCAGCGCTTTGGAAGAATGGGTCGATCAAAGTAGCGAGTTTCCAGGCTATTGCTGCCATTAACAGGTCCCGAGTGAGGTACAAAAACCCCCGTGGTGTGTCTCTCACGAAGAGGTGCGAGGGAATCGCAGCCCGAATCTCTTTCAAAGTCCTGATTCATCGAATGGTGTTATTGTACTGAAGAAATAGGAGTGAAGAGAGCCATACCATGGCATAGGCGTGAACTCGGGCAGATCATCTTCGGTATATTTGCTCATGGTGGGCTCGGGGATGGAGGAGGATCGCGCGGAAGCAAGATGTGAACCCTGCATTAGAGTTCGTCTATAAATGCCGCCGTATTGTGCAATTTATGGTTTGTTGAGTGAGACCGAGCTAGGGGAACAAGAACGCGCGGAGACGGACAGCGATCCCAACTGCTTTTAAACCTCTGTTGTGCCCCCCCCCCCCCCGGTAAAAGATATCTGTCAGAATTTCCACATGCGATATGGTACCGGACACCCAATCTCGATTATGCTGTTCCTAAGTGATACGATGTCATACACACGCTGGAGAATCCAATACGAGACTGATGCATCATGTTCGCAGGGCGGTGAAAACTGCATCCGCGAACAAAAAGGTTGCCGAAACCTGCTATGCCAGATCAAAATCCAATTTGAGAAGAGATGAGACCGCAGAGGTATGATCTCAAATTGCAGCACGACATGAAAGATGGACTCGGACTCCGCATGGAGGAATTGCACAGGATTAGCCGCCAATTGTCCTTCAATCTTGGAATTAGCTATGAAAGCAACACATCAAACGCCTTCGGACCTGGAATCTTGATTACATAGTAGCCGATCCTGCAATCTATCGGACCCGACTCTTGACGAACGGTATCCTGATGAATTCCGTGACAGAGAAGGTAACAAATCAATGCTGTATGACCTGTACGGCATTGGCAGAAATGCCAACATGGTATAGACAAGCATGAGAGTGATATCCTTGGAAGGGTTGTACACTGTTAGCCGCGCTCGTCAGAATGGCCGGATGCTTGTGTTTGAATTGGGTATCAGAAAAGAGAGATGATGATATTTCTTGTAGGGTTCAACGAAGCACAACCGTTTCTGTTGGGAAGATGGCCTCATGGTGATCCTGAGTGAGCGGAGACTAATTAGTGTTGCCGCACAGAGAATTAGGTATACCTCGCAAAAGCGTGGGCTCAATAACCGCATAGCAGAAGTTACTCGACTTGACAGCGACGTTTGAATGAATGGTTGAACATCGACAGATCTACCCTGAGACAAGGAGCGAGAGCAAGAGATGTTGATGAGTCCCAGTGAAGACGCCGAAAGCGGGCCGGTGAGAATAACATTCCTGATCTGGCTCATTGCTGACTCAGCTCTTTTCCCCACCTAGCCCCACTTGTTCGTCGACCTGGACAGCGACGACGACGAAAGCTCCTCGACGATCTCATCTTGAACTCTCACCATGTCGAGCAGAGCTGGCGGCTTGTACAGCGGCATTCAATTCTCTTCTTCAAAAGCTTTTGCTTCATCGCCAGAGACTTCTACTCCATTTCCACCTTCTCCTGCTCAAGTTGTTATAGCCAAAGAACCTATACCTTCCAATGTACAACCCGTGGAATCAACTTCAAGTGCTAATATACCCTCAACAAGCAATGCTGATGCTGCAAGTGCTTCAGTGAAAACCTCAGCCGGTATCTTTTCCTATTCTGCAGCCTTGCCACTGTAGAGCTTGTTATTCACAAACTATCGTCCATGCTATTCCTGCCATGCCAAATTAATTGGCTTCAATGCACCAGGATGGTCCGCTGCGCTCGCGTTTGCGCCTATTCGTAGAAACCCCCCACCAAGGGCAAAACCCGCCGTTGCACGTCTTCCTGTTGGTGCTTCTGTCACCGGTCTTGCGACAACTGCGCAAGGTTCAAGTTCAAACGCTGCTCGGCCTTCAGTACCCAGCGCCGCGACAATGTCAAGTACTGCGGTCATTTTTGCGCCACCTTCACTAGTCAACGTTGACAAGCCGGCTACGAGCGCTCCTGAACAGCAGTCACAGACTCAGGCATGGGGGAAGAAAGTCAAACCGCCTTCCATGATTCTGGACGACGACATAAACGGATTCAAGGCCAAACGGGGAGGTAAGAAGGGCGGGAAAGGCAAAGGACGTAAGGTCAGCGGATGATTGTCTGTCATGTTATTCCGTGCAGAATACTAACGGGTTGATGATCAGAATAAGTTTGCACAGGCCCTCCCTTCATGGGACCCGAATGAGCAATACGATCCGATGCGGCCTAACGACTACAATGAGTACAAGATCTGGAAGCGTAAAGATCGAGAGGAGCGCCGTGAGCGTTTCATTGCTGAAAGGCGACGGGCTGAAGAGCGTAAAAGGTACAGAAGCAGCAGTTATTCCGACAGCGAAAATACAGGCTCCGAAGATGAGCGACCTCGCAAGGCCGGTAAGTCCTCCCTCTACCCTGTGCTATCCACCTTTTGCCTACGCTTTCCCCGCAGGTCGATATGACGAAGACCGGGAAGAAGACTGGGATCGTCCTGTCGGTTCGGGTGCGGCGTCCATCCCTCCGCCAGCTCCAGTCAGTGTCAGCATGACTGGAGATGAAGCCTATGAGCGTCGTCTCGCTCTGTCCAAGGGTTTTCAATCCGCAGCACCAGCGCCGCCTTCGTCTCAAGTCGTACCAATCGCCTGGCGCGAGCCATTGGCATCTGTCCAACACGATGAAGACAGTATTCCAGGGCTGTCAGTTACGCCTCCTGTCCAGCCAACACCGCCTCCGTTGGCTCCTCCCGTTACGGAGACCGGAGAGGAAGCTTACCTGCGACGACTCGCTTTGTCCCAAGCTCGACAACAACCCCCCGTCGCGTCCGTTTCTCCTCTTCCAGTGGTGCCACCATTTGAAGCTCCTGCATTGTCGTACAACCCCTTTGCGCCTCCCTCTGTACCCCCACCACCGTCCACTATCCCTCCAGGTTTAAATGAAGACAAGATTCGCAGCAGTAGAGAAGCTGCTGCTGCAATCGCTGCGAAGTTGAAGGCTCTTGCGCCTCCGGCTGGCTCTGATGCATCAGGTTCAGGTTCTGCCACTCCGCCTGTTCAAGAAGAGTCTGCACCTTCTAAAAAGTGAGTCTTTATGCATCGTTAATGTAATAATAGTTGTTGACGCCTATCCTCCACTAGACCTGACCCTCATGGATTCGCTGCGCGGCTCATGGCGAAGTGGGGTCATAAGGAAGGCCAAGGGCTTGGCGCAGACGGAAGTGGTATCGTTCATGCCCTCACGATGGAGCAAGTCGCTGGAGGCAAGAGTAAAAATGAGGGCAAGAAGGATAAGGGTGTCGCCAAGATGGGTAGGATCGTGAATAAGAACGAAGACGCTAAGGCTAGAGAGGACCGGGAGCGTTTCGGAGAGCCGAGCAGGGTTGTTGTCCTTACCAATATGGTTGGTCCTGAGGATGCCGATGATGACGATCTGAGAGGAGATGTTGGTATGTATATCCTCCTTTCGCTCATTCTGCTAAGTCCTGACTGGACATGGAATAGGCGACGAATGCTCCAAGAACGGGACTGTTGAGCGGGTGATTATACACCTTGTCAACCCACCTCCTGCGGACGACGTGGACGCTGTACGTATTTTCGTGCAGTTCGCTGGGCCTGTGGGGGCCTGGAAGACTGTCAGAGAGCTGGATGGTCGATTCTTTGGTGGGAGGAGTGTGCGAGCACGATATTATCCTGAGGCCATGTTTGCTGCGGCTGACCTTGACGCTCCGTTGTAATCTCTCTTGTATACTTTCCTTGTTTTGATCTTGTCTATTGTATTTCGCTCTGCTTGAAATGACTATCGCCATCCGTATTTCTGAAAAACTGTGTGATTTCCTTCTACTCTGTACAGGAGTTGTGGACGACAAAAGATGGGTGCAACGGTAAGGGAGTGTGACGATGAAGTAGTGTATCGTGTGTATGTACTTGCAGCCAACTAGGCATACTCAACCTATCTCCTGGTTTGAAAGGATAGGAAAAATGCCATAGTTATTACCATTAATATTGGTACCAGGAAGAAAAGGAGGGGAAAATGTGGAGGTCTAGGGTATCAAAGGATGACCGAGACCTGGAGGATAGGGAACGTCGGATGATCCCTCTCAGAGTAGAATCACATCTAGCAGTTGAGACTCCCAGGCTTCGAACGTTCCTCAAATGCGGGGCCCTGTAAAGAGATCAGAAGAGACCGGAAACGTATTTACTATGAAACATACAGCGTCGGTGACTTCTGTTCTTTCACGGAAGATCTCAATACGGCGCTGAAATCGAAGTCACGTTAGGAGTGAAGATTTGAAGTGGGAAAGATTTCAGTAGAAGTGGGACGTACCATCTGTGACGCAACCTGGAACTTTGAAAGCTCGTAATTGTTCGACTTGACAGCGACGGGCGCCGAAGTTGCCTGTCGACGAAGCAGCTGTCTTGCGTTCAGCCTAGACAATCGAAGATCAGAAGGAGCGAGGATAAAGTGAGTGTTTTACTCACGTTCCCAACAGGGAGTTGGCATAGACTGATGCAAGAAATGATATTAGCAAGATGCATGTGAGAGCCATCCATGCGTTGAGTACTCACGCTTGCTGACAATCATGACAAGACCCAAGAATAGCAAACTCTCCTTGAGGCAGACATACTGTCATCGGAAGATGAAAAAGTCGTGAAAGGCATGATCGACATATTAAACTCACGGTAATTGCAATAGCGAGTGAGACAACCCTGTAAAAGTCACTTGTCAATATTCCATCCGTGCAGATGTCATCGAAGAGTACGCACATCATGATTGCACCAGAGTTGACAGAGTAGGACATCAGCCAACGAACGACGCCATCAGTTCTGTGGATTGGTCGTTCGAATCAGATGTTGAGGTGGTGGAGAGAAGTCGAAGTACCTTGCGAAGCCAGACTGACCGCGGTGCAGATACCAGATCATAGTACCGGCAATCATGGCATCGACAGCAGCTGAGACAGCATTGGAAATCTCGACGTTGATCTGCAGGTGATAAAATCATTAGCTCAAGGTCTTCCCGGCATTCGAGGGGACATACGTTGGGTCCAGGATTTTGCTGGAACGCCACCCAAGTTGGGGAAGTAAGCCTGTATGAGATACATGTCAGCGATGAACCAAAGTCAAATCAAGCAGCAAAAAAAAGACATACGCGAACACAGCTGCAGTTGTGTGGCAGACTGAAAGAGAAAACCCGGTCTACATTCATGCTCTTCAGTGTCATCTGACAATGGAACATACCGATACGCGCAACGAGCAGGAGAAGCTGTAAGAGGAGTTAGACGGGCTCGTTTGACCTTCACGTATTCATCACCGACCGGAACAAATGTCAAGATATATGAGTGGTTGCTAACTACAACCGCATTCAGGCTGTTGAACTGTGCCAGATAAATGAAACGACGTACGAATCCAGATCCGACGGATGAAGAATCTTTGTTACAAATGTCAGCATGGGTTTTCTTGCAATTGTACAGAGAGAGATACACACCCTTCAACAATCGCGACGACCGCATTCTACCCAACAACAATTGAGCGAGATGAATGATAATATGATGTGAACTGTCGTACCTCCAGTAGAATGACAGGCTAGGCACGAACACGAAGAAGATCAGTTATTGCTGTTGCTGAAGAAGCCTTCCTACTTACACCGACACTCCTGTTGTTTTGCAATTATGATGAGACTTATATCAGGAGAAGCCACAGTGAGAATGCGCACCAATCGATACTTCCTGCGATCTCAAAGCTCCCGAATCCAATCACGGTGAAGTAATATAACAGTCGTATGCAGAACGCGCTGTGACATGTTTCCATAAAGCTATAAAAGGAACGGTTCAAATCTCAAGTTCCTGTGTCAAACATTGAATATAATATACCATAAGGCGCCAACCATGACCTTCATCCACAAACGATCCTCTGAGCAGTTAAGGAAATAGATATAGGATTGGGTAACAGTCACCCCATACAGCCTGCCAGGAAGAAAGAGAATCATCGACTCAGAATAATTTTGAGCGACATAGTGGGCTTCACTGACATAAACATGAAGCAGAAGCAAATAACCAAGCCTCCCAGTAGACCCGCTGCAGTGGGCTCATCGCCAGCCATCCTAGAATTGATGTACCAGATCGAAATATGAATTCGTACTAGTACAGAGCTGAAGGGGGAATGGACAAAGAGCGTTGCTCAGTCATGCGCACGAGATCTTTATGGACCCCCCTTGCAAACCAACAGAAAACATGTCGAGACTCTGGAGCATCGGTCACCGCCATCGTTCGATTAAACAAATATTCCTTTAGCAAGCCCACCCCAATACAAAGCAGCAGCTTACAGGTCGGGACCAACTGACCGAATGCGGACAATTTTGGTCGCAAAAAGGGTTCACGACATCCTTTTTCGGGTCGCTTCTCGTCAAATTCTAGCCCCGTAAGCGGGTGCCACGACGGTGTCACGATGGTGCATATTTCCTGAAGACATGAAAATGTTGGTTCCTGTTCCCCTCCCACCCCGGATGAGCCACGAGGAGCCTAGCCGATTCGGGAGTCGTTACTGAAATTTGGGCCTTGCATCTACCATGTGAAGTTGTTTAAAGCAACGCCAAAGACTACGAAGAATGCTAAGAAGTTTGTGTACTTGCGTACTGCATCGGGTCAGGAAGAGTTTCCGACGGTCAGGAAGGAAGAAAACTGTTTTCCTGAAAAAAGTGACTTTGACAAATCCGCTGACCTCGGGTGAAGCGCCAAGCGCCTGAAAGCTGCAGCGAGACGCATTACATTACGATTAGACGGCCCCGTTTCATCGATTTCTTCCTGAATGTTCATCCTTTCCACCGTCGCAACGTATTCTTGTAGATCACAGCAGTGCTTCCACGATCATCCGCTTGGCTGCTTGGTTACGATGCTGCATCGTGTCCCCATTGTCTGGAACTGCAAGTCTGCGATGAACGGCACTGCAAATTATAATTAGCTTTGAATACGTCAGCTGGATAACTCTTGAGTTTATTTCCTCAGGTAGCCCCGTTGGCAACAAACATATATCGGGTACAGTCCGCTTCGTATCTTTATTTATACACGCAAGAGGAAGAGAATGACCAGCAATGTGATACGACCAAGTTCTCCAAAAAGTCTATTTCTAGACAGTGACAGTTGCCCCATTCAGAGGAGATGAAGCTTAGAATCAAGCGACATAGACGTCGTGTTTCGTTGGGCCACTTTCCTCGATGTCGCTGTGCTGTGTCTATTGACATCAAGTATGAAAACGCTAACGAAAACTTCAACGGCGAATGTACTCACGGCAGACTCCACCATGGTCCTCGACCCAGACTTGTTCTGGACACGAATGGGTTGCTTGAAAACCTAAAAATTGCCAATAGGGGTAACGGGGATTTTCCGAAACCATGAGAACATACCATGTCGCTGGCTCGGGATCCATTGGAGAAGTAGTTCGTCGTAACACTCGGAATATCATGACGCTCCCGCAAGATTTGTCTGGCGTTCAGAGTCCCGAGAAGGGAATTGGCGTATACTGGCACATTTATGATGTTGGCAATTCGTGAGTAGTCTCGAAAATAATGGTTGCGAAGTATATGAACCTACATTTGCCAGAGGCGATGTTGAGGCCGGCGAACAGGAGACTGCTTTTCAGGAACACAAACTGCAAGGATAATTTTGAGCATGCGTGAAGGAAAACGGAGAAACTGTTCACGAACCGTGAACACAATTGCAGCCGAAACAACCCTATAGTCTCGTTATTGAGTATAGACGTCCTAAGCAGGAGAAACTAATGAACGCGCACATTGTGATAGCACCAGTATTCACGGCATATGCAATGAGGAATGTGACAATGTGATCCGTCCTGATAATTCAAGTAGAACTGCCTATGAATAATTGAGGAATACTGGACGCTGAAGTGCCTACCTCCGAAGTCCAGAACGATTGCGCAAGAGATAGAAGATAAGTACAGAGGCAATCAAGAAGTCCATAAACAAGGCCAGTGCAATCCCGAAGGCGACCGTGAACTGCAAAAAGGTCAGAAATTGGCTTTACATTGTTGCACAAGTACAAGGACCTACCAATGGGCCAATCTCTTGTCGGAAAGAGAGCCAATTATCCAAAGTCAACCTGTATCAATCGTATTAGAGCGTGCGTAATCCGTACAGAGTGAGGATGATGCGATGTACATTAGAGTGAAAGTCGCGATTCCAAAAGCTACAGTGGGGTTGATTTAATGTCAGAAGGGAGTTCTGGCGAGATCGTGAGAGCATACAAATCCGTGTAAACAGGATGGTCGACTGTCAAACGATCGCAGTCACCGTATCAGTATAAGGATCTTAAGAAAACTACAAGGTCCTACCAGGATGACGACCAACCAAATAGAACGATTGCTGACTAGATATACCATGTCAAAGTGAGCGACCAAGTTCAGTGAAGATCAAGGTCCACTTACGAATCCAGATACGACGAATGTAGAAACTACATTTCAAGCAGATGAGGTTCCCTTAGTATTTTGTCTCAAGTAACAGCGACGTACCCTTGGACGGTCGCTATTATGCAAAGCTGTTCACGGTATCAATGTAGGATCGACGTCCAAATGAAGAAGTAGACACATACATCAATCAACAGGGAAACCTTGGCAACAAGAAGGCGGCTCTCAGTCAGTCTTCAATAGAAGGTGGAGACACATTCTTACCGCAACACTCCTGGCACAATCCATCAACAAGGCTCAGAAAACGGAGAGAGTAACGCTTACCAAGTAATACTCTGAACGAACTCCAAATGTCCAAAATCAGTAACACCGAACGTGTAAAGAATGTGGATGATCAAGACGCTATGCAAGGTTTCCAAAAAACTGCAGGCGTAAGGTGGATCAGAAATCGAGACATGAGAGGTATAAGCATAGAACCAACGTCACTGCGCCGACCAAACCTTTCAACCATCTTGGGTCTTCCTTGTAGTGAAGGAAATATACGTAGGCTTGAACGACCACTATGCCATAAAGGCTGGAAATATGTTCGTAAACGATCGGGTAGGAGGATAGGGTCCGATGGCGCATCGTGTGACGTACACTATAGCAACACAGCTCGCAATTTCGCTGGAACCCAGTACTTCGCCTGGAGTCGGTAAGGCAGACATGACTGTGGTGAAGCTCTCGAGTGAGATAGACAGCTGTTATTCCGGAATAGAACATCTTATAGAGGCTGTATGCAGTTTGCGCTTCTATCAAGACTTGAACAGCTTCCGAAGTCAAGTGTGTGAGACAGTGGATAGTGTGCGGTCTGAGGTACCAGTCGATGGATCATCAGTACGAAGACTGTGGAAAGTTGATACGACTGAATGGGTGTATTCATGACGGGCAGATGATAGTGACCATGTGGCCTCTAAGATCTGTCAATGCTAGAGCTAGTTGTTATTTTTGTAGTAACATGGATAGCCCCATGATGTGGTATGTGATATTTAAGGCCATCTTTCAATGTGACTCCGCTGGAGACGGAGGACAGTTCGTGGGTATGAGGAATAACTCGACCTTGTCTATACAAGCCGCGTTAGACGTCAATCAATTGACTGGATGCAAAGTTCGTGCAGAATAAGCTTACGGTAGTTGAACATGAATCTGCCATCCGAGAACTGGTCACAGGCGGTCAGTATGCCCATCAAGTAACACCGATTCTCCGTTGGCTCATTAAAAAAGGGTAATACGCTGAATCAAGGCATTATTCACTTTCCAGTGAGTCATGTCGTAGTGCTGGACCACCGAGAGAGAAGGCAGCCCTTTCATGAGGTTCAGAAACCGCCACTCGGCGGGTCACTCGATAAGGTCGACGCTGGTTAAGCGCCCGGCGATCTTTTCAGGATGACACGGCTATTTTTGGAAGTGGTATTCCCACTGAACAACTCTTGAGACCTTTTCTTGTTCTTCGTCTTAGTAGCTTGAATCCTCAAACATGCATTTACGGACTTTCAGGTCAACCCATGTCCTCTGACCCGATGGATTGAGTTCTCCGCGGATGTCGCAGGATTGGGTCTTATGCCACCTGCATTACGCAGCTTCATTACTATCTCGGACAGAAGCTTGATCTTCGCACTGATATCACACAGAACCACCTGTTGAACGCTTTGACCCCCGACGGCATGACTGCAAGACCCGGCGACGAGTCTTACACATAGCCGGAGCACTACCTTCACTCGTAGAAGCGAGGTAGTTAAATACTCACTAGACATCCGTGCATTCTAACGATCTTCAAAACGTAGATCATTATGTCTAACGATCATCAACTTCCACCTTTGGATGGCTCTATTACCGTCCTGCCGGGATTCGTTGATTTTCATGCAGAACATAACCCTTCTCGCCCTTGGGTCAAGTTTCCGTCTGCTGAGCACCCCGGAGAGTCAACCTCTGTGTCTTTCTTGGAGTTCGCCAAGGCGACTCATAGCATTGCCCATACATTGAGACCAGGCAGAACTGGAGATGATGGCGAGATCGTCGCTGTTCTCATTCACTGTGACAACATTCTCTATCTTGCACTCTTGGCGGGCATGGTTCGAGCTGGTCTGATTGTATGTATCCCCTTGAAGTCATCCTAGATCTGATTAAATTCGGATTATATCTGCAGCCATTCCCTATGTCACCCAGAAACTCTCCAGAGGCAGTGGTCAATATGCTAGAGAAGACCAACTGTCACCGTATCATTACTTCTCCACTTGTTGCGCCAGTAACTTCTGCCGTTCAAACGCTACTCGCTGCGAAGAATTACGATCTCAAAGTCATCGAACTCCCGTCCCTTCGATCCACATTCCCTTCCCTTTTCTCTAAGGATGGTGAAGTGTTGCTTGAAGTTGCTCTCTATCCGCCCACAAAGAAGACGCCGAACCCAGATGACGTCGTGCTCATCCTACATTCTTCTGGTTCTACCGGTTTTCCAAAGCCTATTCCACAAACCCAGAAGACCGTCTTGCAGTGGTGTGCTACTCGTATGTGTAACGTTGTCCTGCGTCTTTGTATCTTAACGTATTACACCAGCCGTCATCTCTGATCTTCGTGGCATGGGCGTTGGCACCGGCGGAGCCATGTTGCCGACATTCCATACGATGGGTATCTATGTACAATTCTACCAACCGTTGACTACGGGCGGCTTCGTTGGATTGTACACGCCCCAAGAGCCGGCGCCACCCGTTGTCCCGACTCCTCAGAACTTGTTGAACGTCATGAAAGTTACTGGCTGTTCTGAAGCCGGCGTCGTTCCTGCGTTCATAGAGGTGCGTCTATGTAGCCTAGGCGCTACGTCCGGTATTGACAGTGTTTACTGCGCTATGATTAGGCTTGGGCTCAATCTCCCGAGACGATTGAGTACCTCGCGTCTTTGAAAGTTTTGGTGCGTATCCTTTTTGTGGTGAACCCACTGTGTTTGTATCTGAGAGCGCCTCCTTTCACAGACGTATGCTGGCGGGCCACTCTCCGAAGTGAATGGCAAGAAGCTTGCTGCTGCCGGCGTTCGCTTGGTTTCCATCTATGGTGGGACCGAATTTGGCGCTCCGACCGGTCTGTTCGATATGGATGACTCGCAAGGACTTGATGCCGACGTAAAAACAACTGCGGATTGGGCATGGTTTTCTTTCGGTGATATAGTCAATTGTCGTTGGATAGATCAGGGTGACGGGACATATGAACTCCATTTTCTGGTGAGTTCTACTTATAATTCTTGAGCCAGCGTCGGACTGACCGTCCTTGGTACTAGACTTGTGAAACTCATCAACCGGCCATTGAGAACCTGCCTGATGTCAAAGGGTACGCTACTTCCGACCTCTTTGAACCACACCCGAAGAAGAAGGGACTCTGGAGAATGTAAGTGAAGGGATCTTTGTTGGCGATAAACGATGCTGACACAATTCGTATTTCAGTGTAGGCCGTAAGGACGATGTTATAGTCCTTGGAACAGGTACTAAGCCACTAGATTCGTCTCAAAACTTCTACTGATCTCGATGTTCGAAGGCGAGAAAGTCGTTCCTATACCACAAGAAGGACATATCGGTTCTGTGCCTTTCGTTGCTGGCGCCGTCATGTTCGGACGAGGAAAGAATGAAGTCGGCATTCTCATCGAAACGAAACCTGAACATGCTATCGATCCTAATGATGAGAGTGCCCTTGTAGAATTTCGCAATAAGATCTGGTGGGTTGTATGTAGATGCTCAACATATAGCTAGCTAACATTCTTCTCTCAGGCCTTATGTTGCAGAAGCGAACAAGATTGGACCGACGTTCGCGAGGATTTTCAAGGAAATGGTCATCGTGACCGATCCTGCGAAACCTATGGCTCGTGCTTCGAAGGGTACCGTGCAACGCAAGGCAGTTCTTGCGGCCTATTCAGACGAGATTGATAAACTGTAGGTTGTCTATCTGCTTTCGCTGGAACTCTCTCTGACATCCTCACTAGGTATGAAACAATAGAGAAGAGCCGAGATGCCCAAGGTATCTCCCCTCCCGACGCTTGGACTGTATCTAGTGTCGAAGAGTGGTTGACTCAGCACGCCGCCTCTATCAACGATCAATCGTCGCCTAAACTCGACGGCGACCTCTTTGAGCAAGGATTCGACAGGTTCGTCACCACATGGCGTGCTCCTCGTATATTTGTTTATCTTGCTTTTCTCTCTTAGTCTAAGCGCTACTTTCTTGCGGAACCGCATCATCGGGGCCCTTAATTCTTCGTCGGAGCCGTCTGCCCAGAAGGCAGCTGCTAGTATTCCACAAGAATTCATCTTCACCCATCCAACTATCCAACGTCTTGCTGCTGCAATCGTTTCCCTCGTTGACCCCTCTTTCGGGACCACCGCCCATGGAAGGGCTAGTATCGAGGACCTGATAGCCAAGTACTCAGCAAACCTACCTGCTGCGAGGTCCGTACCTCACGGGACGCCGCCGTCTGAGATTGTCGTCGTACTCACGGGGTCAACTGGTGGTCTCGGGGCTCATCTTCTGGCATCCCTGCTGGAGGAACCCAATGTCGCGAAAGTATACACTTTGAATCGTGGAAATGATCTTGTGGAGCGACAGAAAGCTTCGTTCGTGGATAGAGGGTTACCAGTAGAGCTCTTAAGCAGCGGCAAGTTAGTCCAGTTAACGGCTGATCTGAGTCTGGATGATATTGGGTTGGATTCGGACGTCCTCAAGGAGGTGCGTGCTTCATGGTCACCTTGCCCGCCGCCGATAGACTAATTCATATTGCCGAGATAGATCAAATGCTCTGCCACTCACATCATACACAACGCCTGGAAGGTGGACTTCAATCTTTCGCTCTCTTCGTTCGAGAGTTACATTGCAAACACTCGCAAGTTCGTCGACTTGTCAACTCAGTTCACCAAGAATGTTCGATTCTTGTTTACTTCGTCCATCGCTGTCGCGACTGGTTGGGATGTATCGAAAGGTGCAGTTCCGGAAGACGTCCTCGACCACCAGGAAGTTCTGTCGAAGATCGGTAGAGGATATGAATCCAGCAAATATGTCGTGGAACACGTGAGTAGTTGTTCCTATCACGTTCTGCTGCCAGAAAGTTACAGAATAATTTGTCATAGATCCTGGCGAAAGTAAAACGCAGTGGCGTACTCGACGCAACTACTCTCCGTGTAGGTCAAATATCCGGTTCTACGAAGACAGGTGCTTGGAACACTACGGAATGGGTCCCCAGCATTATCAAATCAAGTGTCACTCTAGGCTGTTTGCCTGCACTCGAAGGCGTAAGTAGTAATCTTGCTTGAATGAAATTGACGTTCCTAGAGCTGATATTGCTGTAGGTGGTGTCCTGGGTCCCCATGGACGTCACAGCTCGCACTATTGTGGATTTCGTCCTTGATTCTTCCTCCCTTCCGGGGGTATTGAATATTGTCCATCCTCACCCCGTCACTTGGAACAGCGTGTTCAGCACTGTGGGAAGTGTGGTATCTCGCGATGGCGAGGCTTTACCGGTGGTGCCTTTCGACATTTGGTTGGCGAAGGTCGAGGCGTCAAGCGTAAATGCAACTTCTAAGGACCTTGAACAAATTGTATGTTGCCGAACTTGTACTTGATTGTACTCTTCTGCTGACACTTGTTTAGCCCGCCATTAAACTTCTCTTCTTCCTTCGCAACTTCTCCACCGGGCGCTCGAGTGCTTCTGCAGAGGCAGGGCGCGCGCCAACTTACTCAACGTCTCGCAGTCAAGCATTCAGTGCAGCGCTGAGAGATGCAGGTCCCATTGACCATGAGCAAGTGGGACTCTGGCTGTCTTTCTGGCGAAGCCAGGGGTTCATACCATAAGAGATGTTCATTCTATACCCATGTACAACTTTAGTTAACTTCTTCTGGGTCTCTGATAACTGTAATCATTTCTGGCAACTATAAACTTAGCTGAATATAAGAGTGTGGTGTGGTGTTGAGCAATATGATAAATAGCAGATACAGTAGGAGTGCATGACCTATGAATATATGCATGGCAACAAAGTGAACTGCACTAAGGTATGTTTTGAAGTTCCATGTTATCTACACCTTGATTCAAGGCATATGAACTCTTCTTGTTAGAATCAGCCTGTTGATCATCAGATGAGCTGAAATACAGTCATTAGCTTTGAGTAATTGGAAATATCCAGTCACTCACCCAGAACCCTGATCAAAATCAAATAATCCAACAGCAAGAGGATTGCTGGAATATTCAACTCTCTCATCTATCTCTGTACTGGGTTCAGAAACACTGCTTGCTGCCCATGATGCATTTAGAGGTGCACCCATATTTCCAATGACTGAGGCAGCAAAGCGGACACTGGATACAGTAGGATCTGAGCCATCTCCATCTGCAAGATAGACAGAGCGAAGATCCAAAAGAAAGCGGGAAAGTAATACTGAGGCCAACCTGTGAAATTCCAAAGATCTCTTCAACAACAGAATGTCCACAGAACATGAAAATGAGACTCACCCTTCATTAATAAATATGAATGTAGTCACTGTATCACCAGCCTAAGAAAGTGCAAGCATAAGTATGACTTATTAATCAATTCAGATGATCTCATAAATAAGACTCACAGTGGCTGCAATTGACAAGATGTCAAGAGTCATGGTGATAGCATTTAAAATCAGAAGGACACTAGGCATTGTCAGCATAGCCATATTGCTCCCAAGAAAGTAATCTTACAAGAATTGCAAGGATCCTGACAGTGCAAAAATGAGTACCATCATATTTAAAGATATATGGCAAACTCATACCATTTCTGAACAGGATAGTAGTAACATTAGTATCTGTATGAAGCTGAAGGCTTGTCTTGAATATAGCCCTTGTTTCCAAAAGAGTGAAAGTGAGAACTGCTATGTCTGCTGCCACAGATATAGCTCTGGTAATTACTGGCACTATATGTCAAACTGGTAAGTAATAATGTAAAAACATAACAAGAAGAAAACTGACACCTGTCTGAAGTGTTAGTAGAGGTTATAAATAATTGTTGAAACATACCATAGATATGTTGGGCCAAGACTCTCGTCAACGCAACTAGCCAATGGTCCAGATGAAATCAGACTAAAGGCCTGAGGTCGAGAATATCGGTACTATAATTACAAGGTCAGTAGAGGCTCATGGAAGATTGAAATTGAGCTTACAATGTTCATGATAGGAGTGAACATACTCAGAGCAAAGACAAGAGTGATTGGGAACCATCTGTTTGGGCATATGGCCCAAACACGTAGACAATTGAATGCTATGATAGAAGACACATTCTTCTAAATCCATTCATAAACACATAAATGGAATATGCTCACCAGCAACGGCAAACATACATATAACGTCAAGGACGTATGCCACAATAGCCGTCGAGACACAGCTGCAAATACAATAAACACCAAAAGTCGCTTGGATAGAGTCAAGCCTACCTCTAAATATGGTGTAAGAAAAGTGAACCCGGAGGACATGAAATGACTTACGTGAACAGCAGAGGGCAACCAAAAAAATACGAAGACTTGAAGACCCAGATCAATGATTGTGCCGTATCTAATGAGAACGTAGAGCGCAGTGACCCCGCTGAACTTCCGCTGCCAAATACACTGCAGCTCTCTTGAGAAGCTCAACAGGGCATCATACATCGTTACCGCTAAGGTAAGTCATCAAAACCAGGTCTCAGAAGGTGCATAGAGTGAAAACGACACACCTAAGGCTGGAATAATGATACATGCGACTGTACGCCATTCTGACCTAATCGTGTATTAGACGGCACTCGTCCACGTCTGTCGAACACAGCAAATAATAGACTCACAGCGTAGCGATGATTTCATCCGGAGTTGGTCCAGAGTCCGAAGACATGAGTTACGATGATTGACAGACGAATTAACCTGGGCGAATCCAAACCGAGTCCTGCGATGAAGAGTTACGAACAAGATGGAGGGAAATGGTGAAGATTACGAGCGGAAAGCGGAAACAGTGCGTCCGTATTATATGAGGTCGGATACATATCGCAGTACTAATTTTGATACTTCTTTGGCAAAGTTTCGCTTAAAGGATCTTCTCTAGTCAAGATCATCAGTGATGGGGGCGAGGCGTCTCCAGCGTACGCTAACAGGTCGGATGTACTGAAGCTGTTTGAAGATCACGCCGTGGATCTCTTCGAAAAAATTATGGTGCTCGTCAGCAGTCGACCTCGCAAAACAACTACAAATGTTCCATAGTCCCAGCACTCAAGCAGACCGTGCAGAACTTCGAATACTGTACTTTCACGAGTCCGACTTCCAAAGGCACCGCGATTGCAATCAAATCGTGATGTCCGACCACTACGGCGTCAGCGTCTTGCGGGATGTAATAAATTGTCATGAGATTGCGGAACTGCACTATTGTGTTCATTAGCCGTTGAGCGATTCGATATCGTTCTGTCGATTGTCCTCTCGATCTCCTTCACAAACTTCGGTGGGAGGCAGGGAAGGGGGGCTCTCTTGCTATGGTCCAAGTCGCATGGTGACTAGATTCTCTGTGGTACGGTCAGAAAGGTTCCAATTGAAAGGTTAGGTATCCAACTAGTCTTAGCCTAGAGTGGTTTAGCACGTTCGTCCGCTAGTAATAATCTAAACTGGAGATGGAGGCGCAGTTGCTGGCTACAACGAACTTCAGAAGCGGAACGCCTTGCACAGACCAGACGATGAGCGAGTCGAGGCAATTTGAGATAGTCACAAAAGATATCAAGGGATACGATAGGTACGTTGACGATTCAACGTTGAAGCTTTGAAAATTGGAAGCTTGAAGAGTCAAGATTTCATGATCATTGAAAACCAAGCCGCCTAGTGGGATCGGGAGGGTCCGGGCCGTTGATAATGAACCCTTTTCATAAGAGTTCATAAATACTTCATATCTCGGACGATCGTGTTCAAATGCACTACTATAATATAACAAGGAATAATGGGCTAGTAAGATACAAATTCATGAAGCCATCTCGAAATCTGACTTCGGGAGCTTTCCCCCAGGCCAGCTCGATGAGGAACTATACTCCTATGATTTATAGCGATACATCATTCAGTTGGAAGTCGCAGCTAGAAAGGCGAGGAAAACATACCGGATCGGACACCTTTTGTGTCTCTCTGTATATCTGGATGTGTGCTTGGGGGACCTGCTGTCAAGAATGGTAAAAATGATTGCCTTTGCGCAATAAGTGACTCTCGTACCACATCGTGCGTCTGTGTTGCATTCTGTGTTGCACGGAACGTTGACAATTCTGCGGCGCTGTAGCCGACAGCCACGCTAGAACCTTTGTTGCGAAGCATTGATCTAGAATTGAGGCTGAATAAAGGGAGTTAAGTCTGGTAATTCCTCGATTTTGTTGATTCTACTGACGTCCCGAGGAACGAGTTGGCGTATACTGTTGTAGGGCATATGTGAGTCTGTGAGATAGAGAACGATACCTGAATGAAACATACGTTTGCTCGCGATTAGGACAAACCCTCCGAAAGCCAGGCTCTGCCTCAAGAACGCAAACTAGATAGAAAACCCCGGACTGTTAGTTTGTCGACAGATACATTTAGACAACAGCACGCACAGTGAAAATCGTGACGACCGAGACAATCCTAGGAATTGATCAAGCGTTATCAGCAACCCACACACATCGCCGCACATCACCAAAAACTCACATGTTTACTGCTCCAGTATTGACAACATAGGTAATTATTGTTCGGATAATGTTATCCGTTCTGAAGATTGTATCAGACACCATAAGGACCTAGAGGAGCAGAGAGCATACGCAGCGAAGCCCGACCTCCCCTTTCGAAGGCAGTATATCAAAATAATTGCTATTAGGGCATCTACAACGGCCGAGAGGCCTAGACCGGCACTTATGGTGAACTAAATGATAAATTAGGTGATGAAATCGGAGTACACCGATGTAAGTGGATACAAACCAATGGACCCGTCTTTTCGCGGAACGTCGACCATTCACCAAGCGAGTATCTAACGGTCGTTAGCTGAAGCGTCCATGAAAAAACGAGTTGGATGCATACGTGAGCGAGGCGGTGGCTACATCCGAATGAAGTAATTCGTTGGGATCTCATAAATGTCAAAGGGAGAGATGAGCTTACCAAGGCCGAATGCTGAGATGCAGATGCACTTATTCGTAAGCGAGGTGATCGGATCATTGACAATGAGGAATCCCTACCGATACGACAAAGTAGCAATATGCTCTACTTCAAATATCAGATCAAACACCTGAACATAGGAATTGCATGCTTACAGTAACGGCAGTCAATGCGATAGACCCTCTGCTCACTACGTGATTTTAACCATGAGTAGGCAAGTGATGAGTGAAGTTCACTTACAGATCCAGATACGACGGATGTAGAAACCTTGCACGAGTGCTACAATGATCATCTATCCAGATTATTAGCGAATTGCGTTGGACATAATGGAGTACGATGAACAGTACCTCAGTTACTATTGATATCTGGCCGGGGGAGCGAAGTATCAACAGTAGAAGCCAACCAAATGGAGACACACAAGAAACTCACCCCGACGCTCCTAACAATGGATGTAAGGAGAAACGGTCAACCAAGAAATATAGCGACGGAACGTACAGAACAATGACAGTAGCACTAGCGAGGTTTCCATATCCAACAACGGTATATAGGTAAAGCATGTGTATGGTCATCCCAGTGTGAGCTGTCTCCAGAAACCTGGTGGAGAACGTGAATACCAAGGACACTCATCGCAGTGCTTCACGTTGTGTTTCCTACCATACGACGAATACCCATGCCTTTAACAAAAGAGGATCCCCATCCGAGTTCAACATGTACACATATGACTGTGCAAGTGCAGTGCCATAGAGCCTGAAGCATCAGTGTTAACATGCTAGTCAAGGCTGCGATAGAAGCTACGAAAGCCCACGCACAAGACAGCAAATGTCACCTCTATCACGAAGCTGCCCAGAACTCCACTTGGAGTAGGAATACCACCTGGCGGTACCACTGGCGGTACTATAGGAGATTCTTGCGACATCTTCGCAGGAACGGGGGATGGAAGGGGATGATTGAACTTTTGTTACAGTGAGGGAAACTTCATCCTGCATTTATGACCAACTACATCATTTAGGCACATGCGGAGGGCCCTGATATGTCGCTGATAATAGAGAAAGAAAGGCAGCGACATCAGACATATCACAACCGTCAGTCACTGTTCCAGTCGGCGGCACAGGATGAAAAACGAGCGCTTATATGGATCACAAACCCTATGTGATCGGGAAAACGGACCCTCATTCTCACCTGCCTTCCATGAGTGAACTGACTACCGCCGAAACCTTGTCAGACGGAATAGCCCGGGCTGTCAGAGTCGTGCCACTGAGCACATCTTTACAGTCAAAATTCGCGTACCTGGCATACAGAAGATAGACATCAATGACTCTGTTGATGTTGCCAACCAACTGCGTCCGAGTCCAGTGAGCGCGACATCGTCGTTAAGTTGGCTTGTTCTGTCAGGTTCTCGGCCAACCGTCTGGATCTCTGTCCATTTTTTCAATGGCGTAACTTAAATGTACATTTCGTTTGTGGATTTGACCATGCCAATCCCTGAATGAGGGCAAGTGTGTGTTGCAGCGTGAGGCAAATTGAGGAAGCTTTTTATTGCATCCGAATGCCTGCCTTTTCCAGTAAATGTCGTCGAGACTCCAACCTAACAAAGCCAAACAGAGTTTTAATTTTACGTCCTTGCCAATCATTCGTAACTTCTCCTCATGAATACCTCAGGTTCTGTTTCGTCTCGCTTTCGGCTCCCAATATCCTTCTTGCAAGAAATGTTTGTTGTTATGATCTCAAATTTCAATATCGTTGCAGCTGTCGTTCAAGTCTGGGCGTGACTCTGATTGATGACAGAACTATGGCCAGTCATCCCATATCATTAGCAGATCTAGGACCCAGCGTTGTTACAAACAAGGAAGACTATCAGATACCTGATGGAGCTAGATATGACTACGAGACGTCTCCTTGCGGTCCCGGGCTGTTATTCCCTGTCTGAGACATCCGACGGATAACGCTACATATCTAACGCGGAATTATTGGTGTTCGTTCAGCTGTTTGATCAGCGAATCGCTTCTTTTGAAGCATGAAGGTGAAAATTGCAGCCGACTACATAGTACTGTTTCTGAGACTATCTTGTAGATGCGATGATGTATGACGGGCTGCGTCCCATGCGATTCCACCCGCTGGGATGTCATCATCTAAGACTTGTGAAGTAGGGGATGTACATCCATGGGACTTCACTGTCTGTCTATCGTCATGTCTGAAAGGCACCATGTCATCTGATGTAGGATGTTCGGCGAAATCGGACAACAGTTGGCGTGGATAAGGCGGATCTTTAAGGTTTCCTGAGCAAGCCGGCAAGGAACACCTCACGGGCGTAGGGTATGCTGAATGATCAGAAGTCTGACGTGAGTGCATAGTCCTTGTCCGGCTTTTCGTCTGACAGCCACACATTTCTCAGGCTCTTGTCTCGTGGGATTACCATTCTTACTGCCCATATTTGGTGAACCCTGCTTCTGCGGCATGAATTGCAGAGAGATGATGACTTCCCGAAGAGACCGATCAACAGCGGTCGCGTGATTTTGATCATCTGCCAATTATATTGATAGGTTGAGTTCACATGAATGTCTGTGGAATCCTGGTAGCTGTCTTCCATCTTCGTGTCCATCCCCCAACAGAATACGCATTTTGCCCCAAACTGGTCAAGACATTCTGTTCAAAAGATAAACTGAACTGATTCTTACCCTCCCCCTCGTACCTACAGAATGTCGGACGATAGACCATACCCACCCCTAGATGGAACTATTACCGTCCTTCCAGGCTTTGTAGATTTCCAAGCAGAGCACCACCCAACTCTACCTTGGGCTATATTCCCTTCAATCGAGAATCCACAAGAGCCGACTATCATTACGTTCGAAGAGTTCACGAGAGCGACACATAGGATTGCACATGCACTTCGCCCTCAGCGCTCAGGACAAGATGGGGAGATAGTCGCTCTAGCTATCCATTGCGATACTATACTATATGTTGCAACCATGATTGGTCTGATTAGAGCTGGATTAGTGGTGGGCGACATGACTTTCGGTCATTTGCGACTATCTCTGACGATGTTCTGGTGTAGCCATTCCCGATGTCAGTTAGGAACTCTCCTGAAGCCATCTGCAGCATGCTCGAGAATTCGTCGTGTCACAGAGTTATAACACAGCCTTTCCTGGTCCCGCTTGTTTCTGCGGTCCAAGCTCAGTTGGCAGCCAAGAATTTCACTTTGAAGATCGACGATCTTCCTGACGTACATTCTATATTCCCTACTATTCGACCAAATGCTCCTGCGGCAGTTGATGTCCCTGCTTATCCTCCGAGCGATCGCAAACCAGAGCCAAACGATGTCCTCTTATACCTCCATTCCTCCGGTTCAACTGGACACCCCAGACCTGTACCTCAAACGCAGAAGATTATGCTGCAATGGGCTGGTTCCCGTAGGTACTTGACTCATATTCACTTCGTCATGCTCAATGGTTCTCTTACAGCGGTAATCCTTGCTAATCGTGGGCGAGACCTTCGTCTAGGCTCTATGATGGCCCCAACTTTTCACACTACGGGGCTATATATGCAAGTCCTTCCGCCCATTGTGAATGGCGACCCAATTGCGACATTTACCCCGCAAGGGCCTTCACCACCGGTAATGCCAAATCCTCGAAATACGCTCGAAGCTGCAAAGCTTACTAGGTGCAACGGTGTCGCTGCTATTCCCGCCTTCTTAGAAGTACGTCTGTCGTTGATCGAAGCCCTTTTTTTTTTTTTGCTTAAGTTCACTCTTCAAGGTATGGGCACAATCTCCCGAAGACATTGAATATCTAGCCTCCTTAATACTATTGGTAATATTCTCATCTTCTGTATGGACGACGACTAACCCTCTGCATTCCCAGTCATTCGCTGGAGGTCCGCTTTCCGATGCTGGAGGTGCCAAGTTGCAAGCAGCTGGATGCAAACTGTTCTCAGTGTATGGCGCTACGGAGTTTGGGGCTCCTACTGGGATATTCGACACAGATGATTCTCAAGGTCTTGATGCACCTGTGAAGACGAGTGCTGACTATGCGTGGTTCCAATTTCCTGACTACGTGAACATGCGGTGGATTGATCAAGGCGACGGCACATACGAACTGCAGTTTTTGGTGAGGACCGAACTCTTTCCCTGGTCACCACGTGGTTGATATTGTTTCCACGTAGACTTGTGATACCCATCAGCCGGCTGTAGAGAACCTCCCTGACGTTAAAGGGTATGCTACATCCGATTTATTCGAGTCTCATCCTACAAAACCTGGATTGTGGCGTGTGTGAGTCGTATTCTATTCGGTTGTTTGTCAAACCCGAGTGACATGATCTTATCAGTGTTGGTCGTACGGATGATGTTTTAGTTCTTGCAACAGGTAAATGGTGGCCTTCATATCATGATTTTCGTCACCTGAAGGGCATTGGCTTCAGGCGAGAAGATTGTTCCTTTGCCACAAGAAGGCTATATCGGTTCGGTACCAGAAGTCGCCGGCTCTGTCATGTTCGGTCGAGGGAAAAATCAAGCTGGTATTCTCATCGAGCCCCGCCCGGAACTCCAAATAGATCCAACAGATGGAGAGGCACTAGTCGCTTTTAGGAATCGAATATGGTGACGTTCTCCATTCTGAACACAATGGAGGTTGACTGACGAATGTTCGTTAGGCCTCATATCGAAGAAGCAAACAAACTCGGGCCGGCTTTCGCAAGGATATTCAAGGAGACAATCATCGTCACGGACCCTGCAAGGCCGCTGCCTCGTGCTGCAAAGGGAACAGTCCAGCGAAAGAGGGCGCTTGCTTTGTATGCTGAGGATATCGAGGCTCTGTATGTTTGCCAATTTCTCACTCATGCGTTTAAACTAATGCTACATAGGTATGAGAAAATTGAAGCGAGTGCAAACGCCAATGGAATAGCACCACCAGCTTCATGGACTGTTGAGGATGTGGAACGATGGCTTTCAAGACACGCGGCGTCACTGAACCATGACCAGACGCCAGAATCAGACGTTGACGTTTTTGAACAAGGGTTCGATAGGTGCGTTGTCTCATTACGCTCAGTTACTCAAATCTCACCAGATATGAATATGCATTCTCAGTCTGAATGCGACGTTGTTGCGAAACCGCGTGATCGGCGCACTTCGGTCTTCTACGGATCCGTCTGCTCAGAAAGCTGCGATACATGTTCCTCAAGATTTTGTCTACCACTATCCGACAATACAGCGTTTGGCAGTTGCCATCGTCAATCTCGTCTCTCCCACTGCCCAATCCAATGCGAATGCCCATACAGCGAATATTCAAGAATTCATCGACAAGTATTCTGCCAATCTACCAACGAAACCCATTTCATCTCTAGGCAAACAGACTGATAAAGGCAGCGAGGGACTCGTCGTGTTATTGACAGGATCCACAGGTAGTCTAGGTTCTCATATCTTAGCCGCCTTGCTAGAAGAGCCGAAGGTTTCAAGAATCTATGCATTGAACCGAGGAGAGGATGTTTCGGGAAGGCAGAAACTATCCTTCGAGGATAAGAAGCTGGCGACTGAGTTACTCGATAGCACCAAACTCGTCCAGCTTTCGTCTGATCTGAGTCGGACCGACTTGGGACTGTCCGCTGAGACGCTCAAAGAGGTACGTTCGGTCTTCATACATGGTGGACTAAACTCACGCCAATCCTATCAACCGTTTCTGATTCCAGATTAAAACTTCGGTCACTCATATCATTCATAACGCCTGGCGAGTAGAATTCAACCTATCCTTGAGCTCCTTCGAGAGTTACATCGCGAGCACGCGAAACCTTCTCGACGTCTCTTCGCAATTCGCACATCATATCCGGTTCTTCTTTACCTCGTCTATCTCGGTTGCAGTTGGTTGGAACGCCAGCAAAGGAGAGGTACCCGAAGATGTGATCGACAATATCCAAGCACTTTCTCAAGGAGCAGGAGGTTATGAGTCAAGTAAATATGTTGTCGAACACGTAAGTTCTATGTCTTGGAGCTCAGAAAATAATTGCTGAACAAGAACCCTACCTTTCTACAGATTTTGGCTAAGGCGAGTCGAGCTGGCGCTGTTACAGCGACCTCTCTTCGTGTTGGGCAGGTATCCGGCTCTACGAAAACAGGTGCATGGAATACTTCGGAATGGGTCCCGAGCATAGTCAAGTCAAGTGTCGCGTTGGGCTGTTTGCCAGCTTTGGAGGGGGTCAGTTATCTACCTCTTTCACGTCCCTCATTTGTTCACGGTAAAATCACTGTGTCAATAGGTTGTGTCGTGGATACCGATGGATACAACTGCTCGCACCATCGTAGAAGTCGTCCTCTCACCTTCCCCTCTTCCCCCAGTCCTGAACGTGGTGAATCCTCGCCCCGTACCCTGGAACCAAGTGTTCAAGGATATCAGCCAGTCTATATCACAGGACGGCCCTTCAATTCCGATCGTGCCCTTCGAAGATTGGCTTACAAAGCTGGAAGCTTTAAGCTCCAATGTGACTGCAAAGGATTTAGCGGACACCGTGAGTTTGAACTATTATCACTGGGGGTCTCAAGCTGGTCATAACCTAATCGCGCGCAGCCTGCTATCAAATTGCTTCGGTTCCTCCGTTCACTTTCGCCCACCGTTCCTACAGCTTCATCTGAAGCAGGCGGTTTACCGACGTTCTCCACGAAGAAAACACAAGACATTAGCACGGCACTGAGAACGAACCTACTTATTGACAAAGAGCAGGTTGAATCGTGGATTGCGTTCTGGAAGGAAAGGTCATTCATTTAGCCTAGTGTCCTGCAATTGATTGGTTCTCCATGGTCTGAATGTAATTGTTGTAATGTAGTTTCCGAAGTAATCTCCCGGAATTCATCAGTGTTGATTCATCCTGCACAATGAGATTTTGTCTCACTGACAACACCGGTGAGAACTTACTGTATACGTCAGTCGGCGTTACCCGAATTACATATTCGACATTGCCGCAGCATTGCCGTCAGAATACCTTTCGGTTATTTCCCCTTCCCCAATAAGATCATCAAGCCTGTCCTCGTCTTATAGAATGAAATGAAACTAGCCTGTTCCATGTGCTTGCCGCGTATGTCGGCCACGGAGAATGGATGTTCGCAAGGTTCATCCGGTGTGTTCGGAAGGCCGGCTTCTTTAAATCACATCCGTCGAACTTGGCAAGGCTGGGAACGTCATCTTGTTAAGTATTGATATCAGCTTATCAGGTAGCCTTCGTGTCTGCATAAAGTCGCATAAAGTCACAGAAACTCAGCCAGACAAGTCCTCGAAACAACTCGCAAGCACGCTTTTCGAGATGCTTCTCCTCTCGAAGAAATCTGTCATTTCATTCAAAGGTGCAGAGGGCCACGATCTGAAGGCCGTCGTTGCCCGGTATACGAAGTCAGCAGAGCCATCTCCCGGTGGGGCTATTCTACTATTCACACACGCAGTCGGAGCCCGTGAGCAGCTTTCTTTATGTCGCTCTTTTGACATTAGTCCAACGGTTTTACCTGACAGACAAAGAACAATGGCTGCCAGTGATTGAACGACTTTTTGCAGATTCGGAGTTGAATATCAGTGAGGCGTGGTCTCTGGATGCAGCATGTCATGGAGATTCTCTGCCTTACAACAAGGACCTAATAGAGACAGACTTACAAGCGTTAGGTCAGTCCCTCAAACCAAATCATAATCATTCGCTTTCTCACTTTTGGCTGGCCAGCCGATCTCGCTGCTTACGGAGAGGCAGTCCTTGGTTTATTGGCCTCAGGACTCTTTCCCTATCAAAATCGTAATGTTATCGCGGTCGGACATTCAGCTGGCTGCCAAGCGATGTAAGTGTTTGCTTAATTATAAAATGACGTTCGACTCTTGACATGATATTTTCAGAGTGCGCAGCTCTATCGCGTTTGTTAACAAAGGAGAGCCTATACCCTTCAAGACCATTATCCTCGTAGAACCTGTCTTTCTCCCGGACGACATTGGAACGTCTCTTTTGTCCCGTTACATCAAACCAACATCTGCTCGCAAGTGGCAATGGAAGTCTCGTGATGAAGCTGCCGAATACCTCAGCTCAACATTGCCTTGGAAGAGGTGGCACAAGGAAATCCTCGAGGTTTACGTCGTAAGAAGACTGGATCATTTCATCATTTCATGTGCTGATTTGTGATTGTAGGAGTATGGAATAGTTCATTCCATTTCAGGATCGGAGCTCAAGACTCCTCCCAAAGTGGAAGCAGCATGTTATCCAAATGCGAAAGCTCAAGCCGAGGGATTGCAAAACTTACCTGCGCTTACTGAACAGCGGCCTGTCCATGTCATCTTCGGAACACGATATGACTTCGTGTACGTTTTGCCCTGTGCCTCTCCGTAAATACTTAACTGATCATCATGATCTAGTCCGAAGAAGCTTCGGGATGGCTTTGTGGCCTCCTCGAAGGATCGCCTTAGGTCCCTGCGCTCGGTGGAGGGAGCTGGCCATATGGTACGCAAGGGGAGGCGCAATGATGCATTTCTCCTACTGATTCCCTGGTCTTAGCTCGTTCAAGAAAATCCTATTGGTTGCGCGGAAGCTATCAAAGCGGTACTGCGCGAGAGTACGCTTCTCTCACAACCTAAGCTGTGACAGAATAGATGGGCTAGGTCTCTTGGACTGTGATGTTCTATTGCTTGCCGAGAACGCCTTCGATTGCTGTTATGTTCCCATTTATCGGTATCTTTCAGTACTGGCGTACATATCCAATGAACAGACAAGATATCATTTCTATGCGCAGGGCTGTGTGAACACTTTGGCACAATCGTCCCGTGATAAACCAGTGAGCAGTTTCCCACTGTCAGAGGGCATATGTTACCGGCATGTTACACCGTCCTATGAATGACATGCGATCGTCTGGAACTTTGGAGTCTGAGTGACTTAGTACCACCTGCCTGCCCATCCAACAAACTTTCTTGACAAATTTATCAAGGCACCTAACCTCATTGAGCTGTCCTCACCCACTGTCTCCCAGCCAATCGGCTTTCGTAGATCATTGCGGTACAAAGTCTCGGATACGCCATGATGGTGTCGCTTAACAGAACCAAACTAGATGAGCAACGACTATGTAGGTATGAAACTTTGGGCGAACAAAGCGCATGACATGTGCATAACACAGATTAGGCAAACAATTGCATAAGCAGAAAGCTCCAAGGGCACGACTTGGAAACCGTACGTGGGCTGCTACCCCGTCACGTACGTATTGATGCCTTGCGTTCAGCAGCACTTGAATCAAGAACTCTTGAGGTATCTTTCTGATATGTCACACTTATCGCTGGCATGTTTTCGGCGATACAATCTGGTCCGATGGAAGAAGCTTTGGATGGGGCGCTCTCTGGGCCTGATGCTCTCGTTCCTGCGGTCCATGCACATTCGGTATTGGTTGTCTCCGACAATCGCACCCTACTCCGGATCAGATGGCGAAGGAATTCAAGCTTTGAATCCTCCAAACCTGGCAGGAGTTCCAACAGTGCATTTTGCTCAAATGATACTGTTTCGGGGAATCTACTATAGGCCTTAATGAGAATGTCTCAACAGACAATAGACAAGTTGTAACCATCTTTGCGCAGTTTCATGATCGGATCACCGCCAACACTCCTCTTTTCATCGAATTTTTCGATGAAGATACATTCCCAAATTACGACCTTAATAGCTCAGTCATGAGACTCCCCACCCTCTACGCGTCGTTGTGATACGCAAAAGATCAGGAACTGCAGGAAGCTTGATGATCAGTCGCAAGTTTATTGCTATGCAGCGCCATCTTCCATGCCTGGCCATGGAGGAGAATGGTCACCTCGGCATATGTAGCGATCTTCCTTTGCCTGGTATGTTCCACTGCTAATTCATCAGACATTCACCATTCACAATGTGACAGCATGTCTACAATCCTGTGGCCGAAAGGGGCTGTATAGCGCAATTGCCCCTGGAGCCCGAAGTAATGACGGGCATTGCATATTAACGTCTAACACAAGCAGATAGAAGCTTCGTCCTGAGACTTTCTCCGACAACCTAGGGCGGTCATCAAGTGATGTAGGTAACATCTTCAATGGTAGCAAAATGCCATCTTCGCTCTTATTATCGCAATGGAGACTGAGAAGACCCAAGAACGACTGATTCCATTATAATGTTATCCTTTCCGATGCATACCTATCTAGACTGGGTACCGTTTTCCTTAATCTCACTGGTCCTTGTAGTGGCAGGTTGGACCTGGGTCAACACTTGGCGGCGGTCGAAGATATCCTTGCACCACGTTCCTTTAAGCTATCCTCAGACGGCTTACCCTGAAGTCAAAATCCCAGGCGTTGGGGATCATCTTGCGGCACTGGTCAATCAGAAGGTCCCGTCGTTAGCAGGTCCGGAGGCGAGACTTCATGGTGTTTGGTGGCTACCTGGGTTCGTACACCTTGAGAATTATATCACTACCGTGCGCTTACGCCGAGCCATGTGTAGCGGAAATGCGCAAACATTATACACATCCCTTTCTGATTTCAGCGATGTCGATACCGTGACATACCAACGGTATGGTTTAGCCAATGTAGTCTCTTACCACACTAAGCACTAACACGGATCTCATTGAAGAAAACTCTTACAGGTTGCGGATGGCGGTAAGCAATGTCCCTCAATTTCCGTGTGCTTCTTGATCTCATTGAAGACCACCATCCAGGCGTGATTGCGATTGACATTGCACCACCTTTACATTCGCATCCTGTCCGAGATGGAGAGACCATTATTCTGATTGCGCATGGACTAACTGGTGGCTCCCATGAGCATTATGTTCGTTCGGCAGTGAATGCATTAAGAGCACCAGCGGAACGTGGTGGTTTGGGTGCTAGAGCAGTGGTGATGAACTTCCGGGGCTGCAATGGCAGTCCGGTCATTACGCCTAAATTGTATCATGTACGTTTCTTTTCCATTCGTGGTAACATTTCAATTGACTTGATCACTCCTCCAAGGCCGGCTCATCTGATGATGTAAGACCGATTGTCTTATGGATCACTCATATGTTTCCCCAGAGTACTATCTTTGGTCTGGGTAAGTCACCTTCCAGTCACGCAAGATTAAGTACTAATTCACTGGGCAAACCTTCTAAATATTCCAGGTTTCTCTCTTGGAGCGAATGTCCTTACCAAGTATTCTGGAGAGGAGGGTGAAGACTGCCCGTTGAGTGGCGTCGTGGCGCTCGCCAATGTATGGGATTGGTGCCGCGGAAGCCAGTATGGCTTGAATGGGAACCTTGCGAACAGATTTGTTTATCGTTACGTCTTGGCAGACGCACTACGCTCGTTGCATCACCTGCATCGACACATATTTCTTTCGTCACCTTCGTCGCCGCTTCCAGTTGACCTGTTGGAGAAGCTATCTAAAATGGGAAGGATCACCCTAACGGATTTTGACAACATGATCACAAGTAAACTATATGGGTTCAAAGACGCAAATGATTACTATACCAGAATCAGTTCTGTCAAGGTCCTCGATAATCTTCGGATCCCTCTGCTCGGCATCAATAGCAAGGACGACCCTATCTTAGGAAAGGACAACCTGCCCTACACCGAGGTGAGCATGGCATTACAATGCACCATATACGTCACTTACTATTTCATCTTTCTCATTGAATGTCCAGGCTTCTCGGAATCCTTGGTTTGTTTTTGCCACTACCGAAGTGGGCGGTCACATGGGCTGGTTTGAACGTCAGCAGGACGGCAGTCTCAAGCGTTGGTACGTCAAACCTGTGAAGGAATTTTTCAGTGCTCTTCTAGAGGAGGTCCGTCTAGTACTTTTCTTGTCACTGTTATTCTTTGTGACGAACGTTTGTCTAACAGGGACTCCCACAACGACATAAGCCTGCATTTACAATCAATGATCAAGGCATGGTACAGCAACTGGGCAATTCGAGCGTTGCCTTTCGAGAGGTCGAGCCTGAATCGTTGAAACTTTTTACTAGTAGATCTGATGATACAAAGTTGTATTCCGGATGGTAGTAGTACATAAACTTCACTTACTAATACAACTACATTTTCTGCACCTCTATGGTAGAGCTTGGACGAAGATAGGATTTCATATTAATATAATGCTCGCTTGGAGTGTAAAATGAGAAATCCAATGTCCTTCCAATAAGACAGCCAGAGCCCAACGTGAGCAGCACCAAGAATTGAGACACTTCGCAATGCCGGGCTTTGAGCCTGAGCCCTGGCAGTCGAAAAGTGGATAGGATTGGTTTGTCCATTGACATTCGTTTTGTCCACATTCAAGGCACGAAGGAATTGAAGGATCTTCAGTCCAGGCTGAAGAAAGATGACCGCGATGAATGCAAAAACAGGGTAGGAGTAATGATACGTACCATTGCATCTAAATCACTTTGTGTCGGGCTCGTACTATACTGCTCAAGTTTGGCAAGCCAATCCGCATATGGTACTAACTGCACTGGTTGGCCTGACATTGAACCCAGAGTCTTAGCAATATCGGAGAACACGTTATTCCATGGGACGGGTTGTGGATGAACGATATTAAGAACATCCGAAGTGGCTGACGACGAATGCGTTATTTCAACAACAGCGGATGCAACGACATCAACCGGGATCCAAGAGACGTTCTGCGGAGATATTGCGAGATTAGGAATAGTTTCATGTCATATGCAATTGAGCGTACCTCGACTCGAGTAGGGAGGCACCCCAGGACAAGGCTTGATTTGACGAGACTAGGCACCCATTCGGTAGCATTCCATGCTCCGGTTGTCGTAGATCCTGAAAGTTGTCCAATTCGGACTGATGTTGCTCTGAGTGCACCAGTACGATCAAGTCTAGCAAGAATCTACCTGATATCAGAGACACGGAAGTAAGCGCAAAGAAAAACAAACTCACATGTTCGACTACGTATTTTGCTCCTGCATATCCGTTTCCAATCTTCTCTAACACATCTGCGCGGTTCAGAACAGATTCGGGAATTACGCCTTGATGAGAATCCCATCCAGATGTGACAGCGATAGAAGACGTAAAGACGAAATGGGTATAATGGAAGAAAGTTAAAGCAAACTTGAGGAGATTATGTGTGATGGCAATGTCACTCTCGAACGAAGTCAGTGAGAGGTTGAAATTCACCCTCCATGCATTGTGGATAACATGGGTAGCCGTTCTCTTGATCTGCCAGATCAAATATCAGCAATGGCACAAGAGCGCAAGCAACTAAGATCTCACCTCATGGAGGATATCAGGCGACAAGCCGAGACTACTCACGCTGAGGTCTGTTGGTAATTGAACAAGCCGCTTATCCTGTAGCAGGGACACCGGAAGTCCTCTGTTTTGGAATGCGTTCCGTTGTTTCTCGACAACATCATTTCCACGATTGAAGGTATAAACTTTGGCCACCTTGTCTTGCTGAAGTAAAGAAGCAAGGATATGTGAGCCGAGATGTCCTGACGATCCTGTTAGAACCACAACGGCCTCCTCTGCCCCTTCAAAAGGTTCTGTGGTCGCATCTTCTGGGAATTTCGGGGTATACTTGTCAATAAGGGTTTGAATGTCGGCTCTGCGGGACGATTGGCGTCCTTCAATGGAGCCAACGAGATGGAGGACACCTTGTGTAAGCGATTCGATAGTGGGATGTGCAAACACGAAGTCTTGTGCGACATGTACAGCAGCTCGTTGGGCGGAGGGAAAAGGGGATGTTCGTAAAGCGGCTATAATCCGATTACGTAGGAAAGTGGCACTCAAGCTAGATGGCAATCAGTGAAAGGTTCCCTCGGTAAAGACGTTCGACACGCACCTATCGAAGCCTTGCTCAAAGAAGTCGAGATTGGGGATGAGTCGCTTCTCCTCGTTGATTGATGCGCCAAGATCCGAAAGCCAGGACTGCACTTCGTCAGTAGTCCACTCCTTCGGAGGTGCGATTCCTTTAGCATCTGCGCTCTCCTCAACAGTCTGATAACTAGATCAATACCTCAGTAAGAGATGCAATGCATAACATGAAGGATTGCCTCTCTTACAGTTTCTCAATCTCGTTCGCATATTCCCTTAACACTATCTTACGCTGTACTGTACCCTTACCAGCGCGTGCCATGGGCCGAGCAGGGTCTGTGACGATGATCATCTCCTTGAATATCCTTGCAAATGTCGGCGCTAGTTTGTTGGCTTCCTCGACATGCGGCCTATGAAGGCATTCCAGCGAACGGGACACGAGCGACGTTCAAAGCAAAACCCACCATATCTTGTTCCTGAATGCCACAAGCACCTGCTCATCATTGGGGTCGAAGGCAAAGCCTTGACGAAGTTCAATGATGATCCCAGCTTGGGTTTTTTCCCGCCCAAACATGACCGCACCAGACACATATGAAAGCGAGCCGATATGTCCTTCCTGAGGTATGGGAACAATCTTCTCGCCTGAAATGATTGAGTCATATAAAAGGCAAAGTCAATTCTAGGATAGTGAGATGACAAACCAGTTCCGAGGACAATGACATCGTCTAGCCGGCCAACCCTTAGAATGCCTTGTAAGAACGTGCTTCATTGTTGATACTTCGCAAATGGAAACTCACGGACGCCACAGACCCTTCTTTGTGGGATGTGGTTCAAAAAGATCTGCTGTAGCATATCCTCGTACATCAGGAAGGTTCTCCACAGCGGGCTGATGCGTATCGCAGGTCTGACCAAAGTTAATTAGTCTGACATCTGGGCATAGAGCTATGAAAGCCTACCAAGAATTGAAGTTCATATGTTCCGTCGCCCTGGTCTATCCATCGACACTTGACTTGATCGGAGAATTGCATCCATGCCCAATCCGCGCTGGTTTTCACTGGTGCTTCTGGACCTTGGGAGTCGTCGGTATCGAACATCAATGTGAGTGCACCAAATTCGGTCCCGCCGTACACAGACGTAAGTTTAACGCCAGCGGCTACTAGTTTGTCTCCAGTAGCAGTAGAGAGCGGACCACCGGCATATCTCTACGTAGAGTCCAATCGTCACAGATAGCTCAAGAGGGAGAATGTGGACTTACAACAAGCTTCAGGGACTTCAGATATTCTATGGCTTCTGGAGAATGCGACCATTGCTTCCAGATCATATCAGCTTAGTTGTGTGAATCATGTGCCGATCAACTTACTTCCAGGAACGATGGGACGACACTCAAAGTGTTGCATTTGGTGAGTTGGGCAACCTCTAACGTGTTCTGCGCATTCGGAATAGGAGATGGCAAAGGATCTTGTGGTGTGAATACAGCTATAGCGTGACTCGACGCTAGGGGATTGTAGAGTTGGGAGTAAAGCCCCATAAGATGGAATGTGGGGGATATCATGGCCGCAGAACGCAAACCGCGGTCTCGATGTGCCATAATAGTAGCTGGACGTGCATTGTATGACTCTCCTTCTGGGACTGCGGGGGTGGAAGGAAGCTCACGAGTCATGCACCATTGTAAGGTGATCTTCTGCGTTTGAGGAATAGGCTTCGGAAATCCGGTTGATCCTGAAGAATGAATGTATAGGACAATGTCATCAGGTTGGACCTGTCGGGAGCTGGGCGGGTACGGTTCTACGGTGTCAGTAATCGTAGTGGTCCCACGTTGAAGACCTGGAAAAACTGTGCGTAATGCAAGGAGGTCGTCAACCCGGATTGTGTGACCCTTAGAGCTCATTTGATCTTTGAGGGTAATGACCAGAGATGAAACGGAAGGTTGAGTGATGATACGGCGACAGCCTGTTTTATGGAGCATGTTACAGATAGCTTCAGGCGAGTTCCTCGGTGACATTGGGAAGGGCTAGAAGGCAATTTGAGCACCAATCTGCCCTATATAGTCAAGTCATACCTACCATAATGCCTGCTCGCATCAGTCCAGCAACTAGTGCGACATACAGGACTATATCGCAGTTTACTAGGATTGCGATAATCTCTCCATCATCGCCATGTCTGCTAGGTCGGGCAGCATGAGCTATACGATGGGTTGCTTCTGCGAACTCGAGGAAAGATATCGAATCTATGTCGCCAGTGCGTTCTGCCGAAGGGAACACCGCCCAGGGTAAGTTTGGGTTGTGTTCCGCTTGGAAGTCAATGAATCCAGGGATGGGAATCAGTGAACCGTCAAGCGGAGGAGCCAGTCTGGAATTCGCCATAGTTCAAGACTTGGCCTGACTTGAATCAAATAGATTCAGATAGCTGCTTGGACGTATCTAGACCAGTGGATCTCTGAAGATTCAAGTGAGAGAACCGATACCTCGTGAAACCCTTTTAACAAGTACGACTCATGCTAAATATATCGGAATGGTTTCGATGATGGTGAACCTTACACGACGGCAAAGCCGGTGTGCCGCAAGCCGAATTAGAAAGCGAGCTATTCATGGCTCTTGCAACTTCGATGTGCAACCGCAGCTGAGAGAATTAATGTTATCACGGAGAAGAGACTCAGTTGAAGGCTTGAAGCCGGTTCCACGTCGACGTTTGAGGAAATAACGCGTGGGAAAACTCGAGAGCGCTATCCGTTCAAGTTGGATCCTTTCTCGTTGCTCCAGGTACATGGACAGAGTGACTCTATTGTCCTCACGTCTAGCCTTACATCTGTGTTTTGCTCAACGACCAGTTATAAAGTACACTCCATAATTTAACAATGTGCTCCCCGCCCGAAGAAAGACGGTCGCCGCCGCCGGCAAAGATCCCAGCGAGTTGACTGCATTCAGACTACACTTCGCCGACGTTCTGAGCATCCGGTACTATGTCGATTACCTTCGTCTCGGTCTCTTCCGAATCGACCATATTCTGGTTAAGGAGGATGTGGAGAAGGTTAAAACTATCTTCAAGGTGAAGAATAAATGCGCTGAAAACCTACACTCTTGGTCGAGTACTCTGCAGAGTGAGCGAAGGCGATATGTTGCTGGTGCAGTGTTAACGACGTAAGAACTTGATGAATTAATCAAAAAACTTACTGGTGCAGAGCCTTGAGTTACCCGTCCAGAGCTTCCTCGATAGTTAGACAACTCGAAACTGCTGGTATCGAGGACCGGCGTTGTAGTACTTTGCTGGCCTTTGGAACGCATCAGATCCCGTGCGTTCAAGCTATGCTGCTCTTAGTAAACATAGAGCGTGACCGAGTGCAAATACATACAGCCCGAGGAACGAATTGGCATAGACTCAATTGAGCGTAAAATCTTGTTAGCATGCTAATCACGATTTGAACGACAGTTTAGACCTACGTTTGCCGGAGATTGTTGTCAGGCCACTAGCGATAAGGCTCTCTCGGTCACGAGAGTACTTTATTCAGGGATTAGTACCAGGCATTCATAATGAGAGATTCTACTGACGACGATGGCTATCGAGACTGATACAATCCTGCTCAAAATGTATATATCAGTATATGGCGATTAGAGGTATTCAATGTCTTACATTGTAAGAAGCCCGGTATTGACCGAGTAAGCCATCAGCCAGCGGAGGATACTATCTGTCCTGCCATGTCGAGGGATCAGCCCCCGGACACAGGAGGACGGCAGGGGCAGGAAGGGTTACCTCTTGAACCCAGTCATGCTTTTATTCAGAATAAAGATCATGACCGCTGCAATGATACCATCCAAGGCAGCAGAAAGCGCATTGGAGACCTCGACGCAGAGCTAATAACGAGGATGAAGTATTCGCACATTATCAATTGAGAGCGGTGGATACGTACCGTGGCTCCAAAAAGCGTTTGGAAGTCGACCCATGTATCAGCAACGAAACTAGAAAGAACAATTAACAGATATTGTTTGGCATATATTCAGATGTTCATACGTAAACGCAGCGGCAGCTGATAAGTGAAGCGTTAGAGCAGTGTTCTTCGACGTATCATGCACAGCGACGCACTCATGTGGAACCCTACGCAGGCAAGAAGTAGAAGGACCTAGGGGTTACATCGAGATGGAGATTCAACTACACATGAGTATCTCCGAATGCAACTACTCACCAAGCCGATCGTCGGGAGAACGCGTTTACCGCACACTGTCCACGTATCAGTAACATATGCACAGTATATGTTGGCGCACTCACGGATCCAAATTCGACGTATATAGAACCTGAAGGGACATAAGTCGTCGCTAGAACCTCACAAAAGGTTTCAGCAGGTATCTACTGACCCTTGGACAATGGCGATGATACAATCCTGCGAAGGTATTGAGACACACGGCAAACATAATATGAAGATAATGAATACCTCTGCAACTAAGAACACCTGCAGAAAATCAGCCAAGGCGACGTCTGCCTCCGAAACAGTACACTTACGCCGATACTCCTGATAATATGATGAGCTCGGCAAAAATAATGGCAACAAAGCACTTGCCAGTCAACAGTTGTGATAATCGCGATATCTCCGAATCCAACTATTGTAAGGTAGTAGATCTGACGAAGCATGAAGACAGTATGGATGGTCTCCAAGAACCTGCGGAAGGATGAGCTGTGGATGTCGCTCTGTATTCGACGGGAGGAAAGCCTACCAAACTGTAGCGACAACCGTTTTGAGAAAAGTAGAGTCTTTCTTGGAGTTTAGCATGAAGATGTAGGCTTGCGCAGTCGTCATCCCGTATAAACTACACAATAGAATCATTCAGTCTGCTGAAACAGATGAAATTCAGACGTACGTGAACGCAATACAAAGTGACATGATGTAACCTCCCATAAAGTTAACTACGTCAAAAGGAGGGGGTGAAGCGGCAGGATCGGCCATAATGTCAGGCGATGATGAGGCAGGTTGGTACGGTTACCTTGCCGCCAGATTCTTGAATAACCGTATATATGCTTGCGTAGAGATCAGCCTCTTAGCAACAAACCTAGTCGTGCCAGCATGTATCTGCGTAAGGATGTTGTTGGCAAACCCACGGGAAGACGAGAGCTGCCGTACAGGTGGCTGTTTCCTTGCTGCTTCCTGTTGGTGCACTGAGTGTGATTCATTGCATAACGGAGGGTTGGGGAGAAAAGAACCTGGAGCAGTGCTATATTTGCAATCCGCATGGATCCGAATGTTCATCCAGGAAACAAATTCAACTGAGCCTTCTAAATCAAAAGGTATCATCAACAACCGTATGCAACAAATACGTATTGTGCCTACCCAATCATGGATCCAGAAGAGACGTTGGATAAAATCTCAGTCTGTCCCATAGTCCCAGTGCATAAAACAATGTAGAGGGACCCACGGCCATGTGAAGCGGCAGCCGTCAGCATTACCTGACAGGGGCTCCGAGTTTCCACATCATCATTCCACAAGTTGGGTTCGATGGTTGCCGCCAAAAATGTTGATACCACATGACCGAACTTTCCGAGGTTCGCTTCGGGCCCACTGAGCGGGCGTGGACTTTGAAAGCTTCAGACCCTTCGATTGGGTCATATCATCCCACGAGAACCCAAACGTGTCAGCAAGATCAAGTCGCGTTACCTTTTGGGTTTTACATTCAAACTCTACGTTATCGTCTTGTAATCGCAGGTAAGAGGATGTCCTTCTGGAATACAGTCTGAAAGCCAAACTTGCAACGCGAATTAGGACAGATACAGCGCTGAAGGCGCATCTTCGTAACGTTCAATGCATTCGGTAGCGCCGCCCTTGGCGAAGACTACTAGTGAAGGCAGCAAGGTGACAAGGGTGCCGTATCATGTCATAGCCTTGGCCGCCTGTACAAAGGATGGGAACAGTATCATGTATCCACTTCAGCTCCCTCCCCATCTGTTAGAAAAGAAGACAGAACTGATGAACCACGAACCCGTTAGTATGAATGTCACCCTTTCAAAGCGCCGGCTTTGTGGCGTTACCTCTTATCCTCATTAGGCATTCTGAGATTCCAAACCAGTTTGGGGAAGACAACCGCATGGAATATGAGAGCACTTGATATCTTTCAATACAAAGATCAGCGTTTTTGATACTGCGAGCGGTCAATGATGGAGAAGGAATTGTTGCATCGTTTGTTGCGGGTCCGTAGGCGGAGCGTCTACACAATTCCGGATGAGAAGTCCTTCATGGGATGGAAGTTTATCTGTTCGTTTCATCGATGAGAGCGGGAGAAACTGCAAGTAGTAACGAGCTGTTAGCTCAATGCCAATTGTATAATTGTTGAACCCTTCTGGTTGGGTTTAAGATCTCCTGATGAAGTGCCATCGAATACAAAGAGATGACACGTTCAAAGGGGATCACGCAGGTAAGTGTAGTCTTTTATAGCACCTCGAACAGCCCTCCTCGTCGGGGCACAACGAACGCAGGCGTCCCAGCCTCAAGTAAGGAGCAAGTGCTTGACAGTTGGAAGAAAGCCATAATCAACAAATATGTTCTATAAGTATGAGGCGAAGCACTACACGCACCTAGCGAAGCCTGGCTCGAAGTACACAATGTGTCGCGCCTGACGAGCGGGTATCCCAGACGTGCACAGAGAACAGGGTTTTTCTAAGTTAGACGGAAGAGTAATGCCTCTATATATGAAGGAACGATGGTCTTTCGAGAATACAATAGAGGCTGGAAGAGAGCCTGAGTAATGTCGTGGTATAGCAACAACAGGACTCACGAGGAAGGAAAGCCTGTGCAACCTCCTAAGATTGAATATTTGAATGCTTACGACACTTTCGTCATGATAACTGGATTCTGCTACAACCACAGGGCAGAAGAGTATCGGCTTGTGGCGCTTACCCCCCTCATGGGATTAAAAAGCTGATGAATGCAGGCCGCGCCACGAATCTCGCGGAGAATCCATCCCAAAAGCCTATTTGCTTGCGAACTAGCTTAGTGTATGAAACCTTGCAAGCTAAAGTATACCCTGACACTTAGTACGGGTATGATCAGCCAGCAAGACGGCCAAATAGACGACAGAACTATACATGGCATATTATCAGTAGCATCTGATAGACTAGAAGTGTTAGACATCAGTATCAGCAAGAAGGGAAGTCGAGGGCATGTGTAGCGGTCGTAAGAATTTGCTTTGGAGTACGGTTTGAACGCGGAAGCTTCTGAATTCGCCGCTATCGTGGGAAATTACAGCGAGCGCTCGGCTACATATGTGACTTGAGAGTCTCGTCGATATCCATCTTCTGCTCACATGCCAGCTAGGTCACGGCGACGCAGATCTAATAGCTGATGCGCGTCGTCCAGTTTTTATCATGTTTCAAATGACATGGAAACGAAGGACTGCGATGTTCTTAATCGATATCATCTAGAGCATGGACCTAGCGCGCATCCGCTGGCGTAAGAATGGAGGTCATGTGTGCCATGATAGTTGATCCCAAGTTGATCCAGCATACTTGGTTTCCATTGGCATTCGGAGGTATGGAACAAGCTTATGGTAGGCAGTCATTTCCAGTCATGGTGTCAGGACGACTCCGCAGACCGACCGCGCACTTATCATGCCGATGCTTCTTCGGTCCTCGTGGAACTTTTATACGACTTCCTCCGCGTCTTTCTACAAGGAGGCAGCGGCGCTTCGATTCACATCGGCTTTAAAGAGACCACTTCCACAACCCAGCTTGCCCGGGTTGCAGAATGGCCTCAGTCCCTACAGTGCCTGGTGTCTTGGGAGGCTTCATCGTCTCGGAATGTTTCGCAATCCTGTGAGTAAACTCTAGCCAGATAATTCGCATTGTGCTAAGTACATTGGCTAGGTTATATGGTATCATGGTCGCACAGGCTTACGTATATATGCTAAACTGCAAGGGTGACGGTCCACTCCTCAAGTCTGTCGTAGCAGCAGTAGCGTATGTGATTTCACTATGATCCTCGTACTTTCCAATAACTGGAAGCAGCCTGCTAGAAACGCTGCATACTGCATTCATTATACACATAATCTACACATATGCAATTGAAGACTTCGGGAACCTTGAAGCGACCGGTGCGATTACATGGTAGGTAGATTTTGATCCCTCACCCTATGTACTCAGCTCAACTCCATTCATGTAGGAGCACTGCTGTATGTTCACGAAGTATTATTCGAGTCTTTATGTTGCTGATTGTCCAACTGCCCGATACAGTCTTGCGTTCTGATCGAAGTACGTAACACAGACGCTCACGTTTCGCTCTCATCGCTTAAACCTATGCGAAGATGCTGGTCGTAGGTCTGGTACAAGGGTATGTCAGCATTCTCTAGGAACGTACAACTGACACAGAGAAAAACACTCAGGTTCTATATTTTTCGAATATGGATCAGTATGGCTCCATATCACCTATGCCTCACAATACTATACTGAAATCCTGTTGTGCAGTAAGCGGCGGATCGCTTGTCCTAACAATTGTTACGGTGAGCTCTGTTTGCTGTCCAGACCTCGCTCAGATCTTCATCTTCTGCGTAGTCCATTCTGCTATTTGCAAGAGTCAGTAAGTCAGAGCACCCTTACCCAGTGGAACATGGAGTAACAACCATTGTTTCAATCTTAGCGTTCGGCCTGGGTGCGTGATCAGTTGATCAGTTGGATACGTACAATCTGAAGCATGTCTCGCGTTCAGGCACTTCGGCACTTTTGTCAGTCCCTTCCATTCATGCAAGGCCACAAAACTCATGTCGTTGGCATAATAAAGGATAAAGTTCAAGTTTTACAGCACCTTCCGAGCGCAGTTCGGGCCATTGGTATGTTATCGTGTCTACACCACTTCATATCCAAAGTGAACCATCTTTTCAGGTCACATTCACGTGTGGCTTATCACTTGCAGTAGCAGTCGATGTTTTGATTGCTGCAATTCTCGTCTACTATCTCATCCGCGATAAGCCTGGATTCAAAGCGTGAGTACACATTTCATCAAGTCGCTGGGGATTGACTCTAATACGTGGGGATCAGTACCGAGAATGTTGTTCGCACCCTGGTCGTCTACTTTGTGAACACAGGTGTTATCACTATGTAAGGCTTTCCGCTTCATTCACTGATGCGACGTTGATTGAACTCCTCGTACCATCAGGTTGGTCTCAATCATAATTCTCATCTTCGTATGCATCGTAAACGCTTCCTCACTAACAACAAAGAGCTGACAAGGTGAATAGTTCTTTGTCTTCAAGGAGAGTCTTATATTTGGAGGCATGGTTCTTATCGCCAGCAAACGTAAGTGCGATCTTGAAAGTAAACGTTGGGTACACTTCTGACTTCAACGATTGTATAGTATACTCGAACTCGTTTTTGGGAACGTGAGTATTCATTTTGCAATGTGAGCTGCCTCGGCTCATTCGTCATCAGGTTGAACGCTCGGCAAATGTTGCGCCGGAAAACCCAGGCTGACGTCCATAGCTCAGAACTATCGACCTTCCGTGCAGGAACGCGCCACGATACCGTACGATATTCGTCCTGTGGATCGCTGAAACCCCACTCATACTATTGCCAGACTCACCCGCCTGACATTGAAAGCTTCGGTTTCCGACATACTCAGAAAACCTTTGACTCTGAAGTGGTGAGCGTTTTGTTTCTGTCTCGTACTATACGAACCAATTTTTTCCCTGTAGTCAATGACAAGTGCGCCGACTGTGGGCGAAGAACGACGCTTCGAGAAGAGCAGACTCACAGATGATTCCCTTTGACCTGAGGTAAACTTGCAGGCTGTTGGCTTTACCAGGACATTTCAGATGTTCCACAAGATGTGCTCGTCGCTCGCTCTGGTTATGAGGTAGCTCAGGCAATCAGCCGTAGCCCTCCATCCCATTCAAATCATTGATTTTGGACCGGCCATTTCGAACTTGATACCTTTTGCTACCTTCAATTGCTTGCTTGAAAAAATACCGCATTGTTCGAAATGGACCGGTCAGATTCACACTTGCGAATGTACAATAGATCTAACGTGAATCCAATGTCAGCTGGAGCGCTTCGCCGTACTTCATGAGCGCGAACTTTGATATCAGAATTGGTAACGTAAAGACAACTGTGTGTACTGGTTTCTCTCTTACTGTGACATGGACCCCTTCTCCATTAGTGTCAGTATTTTGACCGTTGTCGAAGTAGCTGGCAAGGTCGCTCTGCTTGTCGCGAAGTATGTCTCCTCGGTCAAGGGCGCAGAAGATTCCCGCAAGCGACTCCTTCAAGAGCTGTCTTCACTCAGCGGTACACTTTCCAGCATCAAATTCTTGGTTGAATATTTGAAAGAGGACACCTCTGAAGCTAGTCGTGGACACATAATGGCGCTGTCATCCCTAACTGACGAACATGGCCCGCTCCCTAGCTGTATGGCGACGTTGCAAGAAATGTTGGAGTGGTTCAATGGCGACACAACTGGCAAAATGAAATTAGGACAACGTCTTGTCTGGCCTATAAAACAGGAAAAGAAAGTTGAAGAGTTTCTGCTGAAGCTAGAACGCTACAAGACTCATTTCACACTTGCCCTATCGGTTGATTCGCAGTATGTCCTTGTTCCTCATTGTGTAAGGAAATGATTTTGACTATGGACTTCATTGGAGTCTGCAGCTATTGCAAGTTAGTCAAGCTACGTCAAGCATCTTGACAGAACAGGAGAGAGTGAGAAGTGAAAGACAGCTGGAAGCTCGTGGTCCGTAGTCCCTTGTTTCGGAAGGCTTATCATAATCTTCCACATTGCGTCAGATTCTGAAGTGAAGGGATTCATTAAATGGCTCGCACCATTCGATTATATGTCCAAGCACAGGTTCAAAGCTCGTGTCCGGCAGCAAGATACATGCAGCTGGTTATATTCGAATAAGGCGTTCGTGGCATGGACCTCCTCGAAAAGTGGATTCCTCTGGCTGCATGGTATACGTGAGTCAGAATGATGGTCCTGGATCGTATGCTGAACAATTTTCAGCGGGGAGTGGGAAAAGCACGTTAGCGTAAGTCATTGCACGTCGGCGTCTTGAACGTCAAAGTCACTCATCTGTCATAGGTCTGCTGTCATAGATGGTTTTCAAGACCGTCTCGCTGATCAAACCGCATTCGCATATTTCTATTGTGACTTTCGCGATCCAGAAAGCACAAGGTCATGTGTAGTCATACGAACTCTGGTAGCTCAGTTGATGAGGCAAGGGCTTACCGTCGGTGTGGAGGAGTTGACAAAGATGAAAATGCAGTCTGAAACTCCTCCAGATGACATCGAGGAATTATATCCTCTTCTCTTGAAGGCAGCATCTTCCTCCGTGGACCCTATATTAGTCATCGATGCATTGGACGAGTGCAGGGATGTCGAGGAACTCACATGTTGTCTTCTGCGCTTGAACAAGGAGGCCGGCGCTCGTGTCTTCGTGACCAGTCGCAAAGAGCAGAAGATATATGAGGTCTTCAAAGACCTCCCATCTATTTCCCTCAAGCATGAAGTGAGGCATCTGCAAGATGACATCGAAAAACTTATCGAATCGGAACTAGGAAGCAGGCCGAAGCTTGCTCGTTTGCCGCAAGATTTACGAAAGGAGATAGGCTCCACTCTTCTGACCAAGTCAGATGGCATGTGCGTCAGTTCTATTCCAGTTATCGACTCATTACTGACATATCCGAATGCTTCCCCTTCCCAGGTTTCGTTGGGTGCAATGTCAGTTAGACTTCATGAGCACCTGTCGCACTCGCAAGGGAATCCAAGAAGCGCTGCGGAATCTACCTTCCGGACTTTTCGAAACCTATGAACGAATCCTGACTGCAATAGATGCCGAGGGTCCCGAAGTTTCAAACATCGCCCGGTCGGTGTTGATGTGGGTGGTTGGTGCTATCCGGCCTTTGAAACTTACGGAGTTGAACGAGGCGATCATGGTCGTTCGCGGGCGCTATTCAGTCGATGAAGATGTTGGCGTATTTGAAGCCACTGACATTCTGGACATTTGTGGAAGTCTCCTACACCACAGCCCAAAGATCGGACGTGTGACTTTGTCGCATTTTACTGTGAAAGTGTGTTTTGCCTTTGTCCCATGTTCACATATGTTCAATCCATTCTCTTCTCCAGGAATTCCTGACCACCGGTCACCTTCAGCTTTCCCCTCTACGTCACTATCACCTCGCCCCGTCAGACGTGGCCAAGGAGCTCTCAATCCTGACACTCACCTACCTCCGCTTCGACGTTTTCGCCAATGGCATCTGCTACAACGCACCTCAGTTCCACGCCCGACTAACCGATAACCCGCTGTACAGCTATACGACAATGTATTGGTTCCATCACGTATCCCTCGCACCAGATGACGATGAAGATGTTTTCGAGAACATACGATCTTTATTCATAGATCCGTTCAATTACCCAAAGGCTCTCAGCTTCCGACAGGTTCATCAGTACGAAGGTAGCCGAGATTGGGAACGTTTCGAGCACGGCGGACCCTCACCGGTAACGATGGTCGGACCTCTGTGGTATGCAATCACCTACGGTCATCTCTGGGTTGTTCGCCGCATTCTGCGCGATGATCCACATTTGCTCAACGAAGAGATACCTGAGTACGGGACTCCCCTCATGCTTGCAGCATATCGAGGGCAAGTGGAGATCGCTCAACTTCTGCTGGATCTAGGAGCGGAAATTGACAAGTCATCCACTACGACAGGTCGCTCTCCTGGAGTGAGCATCACCTCAATGTTCCTTGCTATCGAGTTCAATCGCGAGGCTGTTGTGGAACTGCTCCTGAGTCGAGGTGCCAATCCAAATGGTCGGTGCTCACCAGCCAACCAAGCGGTCATCCATGCAGCATCTTTTCGTGGCCAAGCTTCGATGCTGCGAAAGCTACTGCAATATCCAGTAGATATCAACGCTACGCGAGACGACGGGGCGACTGCGCTTCATGCAGCTATTGAAGGCGGCAACCTGGCGGTTGTCCATCTCCTCATTGAAGCGGGTTGTGATCATTCAGCTAGGACTCATTCGGGTAAAACAGCCTTGCAGATGGCCTTCGATATTCAGTCCAAGGAGATGGTGGAATATCTACTGAGCCGAGGGGCAGATCCTGCAGATTTGCAATACCTACCAGCAGATCAGCTACAGTGGGCAAGCTCGGAACCTTGGTATCCAGGCGCTACTCAGGCGTTGCAAGAGAAGCAAGCCAAACGATTTGATAGTTTATCGATTCTCAAAATCTGGCACATTCTGGGCGAACTGATGAGGTTGCCAGAAGCTTTGGTTGGCCAAATCATGGATATGGCTGAATGCTGGATATGTGTTACTGCCGCTAAAACATTCGCTAGGGCCGTTGCAGTGAATCGAAATATCAATGAACCGCTGTTGAAGATACGTGTACAAGGACAAGAAGGGACTTCCGTACGTAGGATCGTCTTCACCACGAAGTCTCATGATCAGGGTGTGTTTGTCTTACTCGGCTTTTCATAATTTCTGTTGACTCACCTGTAATTGCAGGCTTTAGTAATGATCCTGAGCACCATGGAACTTACCGATGGTCTCATACGTGGTTTGAAGCAGGTGCATCCAGATCCGGTTCAGAGGGTTCACCAGAAGAGTTCTTAGCTCGCCAACACATACAGACTAACGTTCATGGTTCGAGAATCAGTCGCGTGCATACCAATATTTGGGATAGCAGCGCACCTGATAAGAAGGAATGGCTGAGTGCTTTACGTCCAGGGGATGAAATATTGTTGATACCTCGAGCCGAATACCCTGCCTGGGTCAATTACGTCGAATTCCTGCAGATTGATTTATTCATGTCTCTATAGAGCGGACATCAATTATACCAATGTTGGATCCAGATGATATTCTCCAGATACGGCGAGTACAAATTCGCGCTCAAGATCGATTCGTATCGTGCAAACCTGGCAGGTCGAGTTCTGGTTTGAAGCCCTTGGGAAAGACTTGTCTCACGTTGATATTGATACGTGTCGTGCGCATGTACTCTTCATACAGAGGCCAGTCTTTGTCTTCCTGGATACGAGTGCTGCCAAAGAGAGCTGGAAGTGTATCCTCAAGTATTCGTGGAACACCTGTTATCGATAACGATATTCAGTCACGAGATGACGAAGTTTGGAATATGTACACATACCATGATAGGCTCTACGACATTGAGGTCCAGACATTATGACGACATCACCTGAGCGTAGAAGGATGGGTATAGGCTCGACGTCTCGTGTGAGGCCTCCCATCAGGAACACCGCGGCACATCCTAGACTAATAGGGATTTAAGTATAAGCCAAATATTCTTTGCAACCATACAACTCACGATATTGATACCAGCGGAGATGTCGCACAGACTTCCGAGCGGTCTACGTGCGCCATAAGGGTATCCTACAGTTAACAGTCAGAAACTTTGCAGACCCGTCTGCATCTCATGTTTACCTTGGTTTGATAGAAATTGACGATGCCAGCATCGGGTTCTATCTTACTGTAAATGTCAGTGGATTCATTATTAAAAATGATCCCTACCATATGAATCATTCCAGGTAGACCAATGCTCATCGTCGCTCCATCCATCTGCGTTTTGGGTATTTCCATGGACTTCGGCCCAAGGTACCGTACTCACAGTCTTCTTGCAAACATTCGAAATAACAGGATCAACATCAATCTTTCCTCTGGAGAAATCGTATTGTTTGGTACCCCAGTGATAATACCATCCGATATTAGCCCATCGTAACTTCGGTATCAGTGCAGAGACAAGTGTCGGCTTCACAGTCAGAGACGGGGGTGCAGGAAGTTTCGGAGTTGTGATAAGAGGGATGAAGTTTGACTTAGACACGGGCACGTTTGAGATGAGCGGCCGAGGGCCTGAGTCCTGTATAAGTTGTGGAGATGAATCGAGAACCGATGCTCTTGGCTGAATCTGTTCTTCAGGAGAGCCCTCATTCCTAGACCTTAAGAAACTGTTCCAGAGGCCATCGTGAGGCAAAATGTAATGAGTATCAAGATTTGTCTCATTTGGGTGTCGTGCATGATCCTTGAGTGACCACTGCACAAGTCGTCGCTGCTCCTGAGGTGACACGAAGGATGGAAGAAGCACTAGGCCTGACATCGAGACGTAGCCCATGAATACATAGTCATTCGAAATATATAAGTGAATAAGTCCCGCACCGGGAACACTAGGGAAAATATACGCCTTCTTCGACGTCCCTTCACCCAGATCAATCTCCCGGTGGTCCACAGCGTCCGCACGACCTTTCCAACCTCCACATTTGATTTCTTCAACTCTTGTAGGGTCTGATGCAGCCAAGTCGAAGACAGCAGATAGATCAGGAGGTGGAAATCGAGCCTTGTATTTCTTTTCAGCTGCACGGAAAGGTGTCCAGTCTGCATCTACGTGTTCTGGCCTGTTTCGTATCGTCTTGAGGTGTTTTCGTTTGGCCTTCTTGTAAGCTGTACTTCCAGGATCCTGTAGCTCTACGGCAGAGGGCATTGTCACTGAAGAAAAGAAAGGTTATGAGGAGCAGTATCCGACGGTTAGTGCTTCAATTAGCCCTGACCATAATGACTTAAATAAGTATGTAACGTTTGAGAAATTCTAGGGTTAGAATAGGTTAGAATAGGTGCCAATTGTGACTCCCGTATCGTCTTTTTGTCACAGCCGGTGAGTGTCATCATCGTCCAGCAATTGGCTCTGTTCATCTGTTCAATATTTTAGTGTGTTGTGCATGTTCCACCGTTGTTCTTGACGACGACAAGCTCTTTGGCTGCATTATTTCTGTTTCACCCGAATGTCTATATGGCTGCCTCGCGCCAAGCCGTCTCTCGTTCCCCGCTTTGCTGGTTACCGACCACCAACACCATATGCGACGCGTATAATCCTCGCCTCTAGATCGCCTCACATATCTTTACAGCTTAACTTGCTCTCGTCTCGTCTGCAGAGCACACAGTCAAGCGATGGCTCTCGACTTACCTCTACTCCCACCTCTACACAGCGCGGTGTACCATCCTCTGATGGGAAGCCTACGACAGCCGCACCTCCGCCTTCACCCAAAGAGGTCTCCACCGTTCAAGCTCCATTAATGACTCGAGTATGGAAGAAGGTGAAGCATGAAGCAGCACACTATTGGCATGGTACCAAACTACTGGTTTCGGAAGTCAGAATCTCAGGTCGGCTTCAATGGAAGATCCTTCACGGAGATGCTTTGACTCGCAGAGAAAGGCGTCAGGTCGGTCATATTTTGACCTGTAGTTCGATGTAGTCTATCGGCCTTACGATGTGTCCTATAGCTCAAACGGACAACGCAAGACTTGCTACGACTCATCCCTTTCGCCGTCTTTGTGATTGTACCCTTCATGGAATTCCTTCTTCCGGTCGCTCTGAAGCTCTTCCCTAACATGCTTCCCTCTACCTTCGAAGACCAATTCGCGGCAGTAAGTGTATATTTCATTGGGTATCATTGCATGTTTTCATATATTCCTCACAGGAAGAGAAACAACGGAAAATTCTTCGGGTTCGTTTGGAAATGGCCAAGTTCTTGCAGGAAACTCTTCGTGAATCAGGTCTCAAAGCAAACGCACACATCGTCGGCAGCGAGGCATTCAAAGAATTCTTCCGCAAAGTCCGTTCAACTGGTGAAATCCCCTCGGCTCAAGACGTCATCAATGTTGCCCGTCTTTTTGATGACGACTTGACTCTGGATAACTTGTCTCGTCCGCAATTGGTCTCCATGTGTCGATACATGGGGATCAATGCATTCGGTACCGATAACTTCCTCCGTGGCACAATTCGACAACGTCTGATGCATATCCGCCGTGACGACCAACTTATTGACTTGGAACGTGTTGACACTCTCAGCACTTCTGAGCTCCAGGCTGCCTGTCAAAGTCGAGGAATCAGAACTACTGGTATAAGTCCCGCCCGTCTTCGGGAGGAGTTGACAACATGGATCGACCTTCACCTGCACAATCGTGTCAGCGGCGTTCTCTTAATCTTGGCTCGTGCATTCCAATTCGACCAAAAGCTTCACGACGGCGAGGATGGAAAGTCTTCTATCATTTCGTCTCTGGAGAGTGTCTTGAGTGGTCTGCCGGATAACTTGGTCAGTGACGTCATACATCGGTCAATGCTTCGCAGATACTGAAAATACTCTTTAGCTCAACGAAGCCACACTGGAAGTCGATTCCGAGAAAGCAAGCTATAAGCAAAAGTTGGAGGTGTTGAAGCAACAGGAAGAGCTTATCGAGGACGAGAAGGAACAGGAAGAAAAAGCCGAGGATGCTATTCGGGCGCGGAAAGAGGAAGAAGCTCGACTTGCCCAATCACTTTTGCCTGAATCAGAAGTTCGTATACTACGTTTTCCCCCTTTTGGAGTTATGTTGTTCCTGACGCACCTTTACAGCTTCGTCTTGATCAGGAGGAAAGTGATGCTCGTATGACTACTGAGCAACTCAAGGAACTCTCAGAGGCTTTATCCATTCTCTCGGCCAAGTCTAGCGTTCTTAAAGAGCGCGACGAACTGCGTGCTCTCATGGAAGAAAATCTTCAAGCTGAGGAGGTAAAGTTCCTTCTCAACTTTTATCCACAAGTCTCTGAACCTCGTCTTTGACAGGATCCAAAGTCACCCTCAGGCGCTTTGACCAAGCGTATTCGGAGCATGCTCACCAAAGTCGACGGACAACTGCAGGAATACGACACTCGGGTTGGTTCTTCCCTCCAGATGATCTCATGCGACCCTCAAGGTCGTATTTCGGTCGAAGACTTGGAGAAGGCGTTGGCCGTCATCAAACACAAGCCGGATGAAGATGTCAGTCATAGGGTCATCGAAAAATTAGATGTCGACAAGGATGGTTATGTCGAGCTGGAACATGTTCTCGGATTAGTACGGCAGGAGGGACTTGGTACGTTAATCCGTCTTCTCGCTATCAAGTGAATATTCCAACGCTAAGCGTCCTGTCCGTTTTGTAGGTATCTTACTAGATGACGAAGCACAGTCACTTATTGGGCAAGGGAAGGAGATCAAGGCTAGCAAACCACGCAAGGAAGATATAGTTCAAGAATAATTCAATTCGATATTATTATCACTCTACTGCTGTGTATCCATCTTATTCACTTTTTATCACCGACTTAAGATATTCATTTACTCACAATCCAACCTATGGGGACATGGCATCGCATTTTGACTAAACATCCCAAAGCAACGCTCAATGCTACTGCCTTCAATTTGTCGGTCATTCTCAAAGAGCCAGAAACATTTTAGACGGGCGGATAAGAAGGGGCTGTTTCTTAGAATGGCTGAGGTGTACTCAGTTCCAATTGTAATCGATGTTTCTCCTGACATTGAGGCAAGTGGTGAGCCTCTATACCGGATGCCAACGTTGACGTCAAAGGGTCTTGTGTAGACGGGTAGGTTGTTAAGGTTATTGTATAATTCCTGCTTCAGTGGATCGGATGCTAAGTTTGTGCCAGCGAAATTCGACATATACGCAGCTTCGGTGAGCTGTCATTTTATTGTATACCTGAACGTGTGCTACGAATCTTGCTACGAAGACGTACTGTTGATTAACTGACAATAGGAGTCATCGCCATCAGAGCAAGGATATCCCAAGCAATATTCGCAGTTACTATCTGCGTAATCTCGTCTTGCGTATTGAGTGCAGGTTGAGTTTGGAACTAGGAGATACCACTCTGCAGGGTGTATTTTAAGTGTGGGCGAGTCGAACCCAACCATATACTCATCGTTCATGTGGCACTTTCGATAAGCAATGCGAAGATAAGACTCTGTGACCGGCAGCAGCATGCCACGGTTCAAGTTTGAAAGCTTGAAGTATTGGCGGCCCGACTGGTGAGCGTATAGAACACAAACATAATCTAAATTACCGACGAATCTTGAATACTGAATATTTGAGCTGTTACAGTTCGTGCCACATAGGTACATCCTGTGCGAAGAGCTTATGTATACGGGAAGCTGTCCAAGAAAGAAGTGTCGTTATCTGTATTTTATATTAAGTCTAGTACACCCCAGGAACAAGCTTAAATGGCGTAGTCCTTGCCCACGCCTCCCATTGCGTTCTGAACTCCTTCCTCAAAACAGTATCTTCCTTCTCAGTCCGTCTCACCAACGACAACTCAAATATCGCCACAAGCACAAACAAAACCACATCATACACCGTCCCAAATTTCGTTCCCACAATTCCACCCTCTTTCCACCAACTTCCAGCACCCATCTGACACAACAACATCCCGGTGATGGAAAAAATACTCCCTAGGTAGCTAGGGTGGCGGACGAGAGAGTATGGACCGGTAGTGACGAGTTTGTCATCTTTACGGAGGGAGAGCTCGAATGTGAATTGTTTGCCTAGGTGACGGTAGCACCATAGGCGGAGGAATGAGCCTGTGAATACGAGTGCGGTGCCGACGAGAAAAGCTGGTGTCACTCGAACGTGTTGAGTGGTTTTATGGATATGTGGAATGGATATAACTCCCGGCAGCGGGATCGTAGGTAGTTGTAATGATGGGAACATGGAAAGGAAGATCGTATACATTTCAATGAAATGAGGGAAGTATATCATTACCTGGCCACACCAATAGAATCAATTTTCCTTCAGAAGTTCAGATGAGACTTACCAAACCCAACGGGCTATACCACCAAATAATCGCAGACATGAAGTCATTCGTCTTCTTGTCAGCCTTGTATTTTTTCTGGTCTTCTGCTTTGGCTGGAGGGTTCGGGGGCCTCGCCGCTTTCAAGCTCAAGATGACATTGACGAGTACCAAGGCAAGACGAAGTTGTGATCCGTTCATGATGGTCTGTCTCTCAATGTTAAATTCACCTAGTCTGCCTCGACAGGTCTCCTGTATTTATACATTCTGGTGGGATTGTTCGGGTTCCTGATATGCAAATTCTGCGCGAAAATCTAGTGATATCTCCGCGCCGACGTATCATTTAATCCCGGCGCCGTGCGTCCATATTCGAAGCTAGATGGGTCAAGATCGTAATGAATAGGCAGCCCTTCGACGGTCTGTGCAGAATCTAGACGTAAGTGCACAAAATATTTCCGAATGACGATAAGCGTGAAGTAAACGTATCCGGCCAATGTTGCATGTTCTTTTCATTCGTAACATTAGGGATTCAGCCCTTGGTCGGTCATTACGGTAAGTATGGGTTTATTGGAAAAACGGGAAGGTCATCTGATGGCATGGCGCCTCGCCCCAGGGACGAGGTATGACATATTCGCGATGAACACGGCATATCTTGGAAAGCGAAGGGTATTCAGATTGTTAGCAATGATAGTCAAGAGTAGCAGCATAAAAGCAGAATACTCATTGATCATATACGTTCAGGATGGATACAGTTCGAGTCCAGCGTAAGCCAAGCGATATTTTCTGTTGGTCATTACCATCATAATCAAAGGTCGCAAGACCAAGCATCAAGTCTGTGCAGTTGCGGTCCTTCTCCTCGCACTCTTTTCTTCTTCCGTTGCACTCGCTGTCGCCGCACTATCCCCCTCACCTTCTGCCTGGCTCTCCCTCTCAGCTTGTGCTTCGTCGCCGTCTCCTTCTGCCTCCTCCTCTTCATCGACGTCATACATCTCGGCCCACCACCGGCCTGCTTGCAGCGCTAATACACCTGTGAGAGCGACGCTGCAGACTAGGTGTGATGAGGCCAGCTCTAGTGTGGGCGCTCTAAGTGACGGAGGGAATGGTGGTAGTTCGGACGCAAGTGACGGGGAGCTAAGGGCGGCGGCCATGGGTTTTGCTACGGATGCGAAGGGGAGAGGAAGGGTGGTGAAATTTTGGAGAATATCTAGGCCAAGGGATCAGCCATCCATTTTTAAGTCCCGAAATATGGAAAGCGAATAACACGTACTGGGGAGAACAGAATACATGTACACGAATACGGCCGTGCCATACAATACTAACCATACTGCAGTCAGCAAAATTACATGACAAGCGTAAGAAAGCAAGACTCACGAGCGCTACCTCCATCGAACATGAGATTCCCTGCCTCACCATCCCTCAAACTCCACAGCAGTGCTGTTGCACCCACGAAGACGACCCCGCCGTATAGGTATAGTAGTGCAGGCGGCATATGCGAGAGAATTGAGTAGTACGTCGCGGACGTCCACAGTCGCAAGTCTGTCTGTGTCTCAGGCGACTTCCACAAAGTCAGGGAATCTGCCATCCAATGGGTAAATAGCAAACCTAAAGTCGAATAGAGTAAAATATAGGCGTGTCAATAAGATGCCTTGATTTAAAGGAGTTTCAAGCACATACCGAGGAGGAAAGAGACGGCGCTGATGAAGATACTCGTTCTCAGACCTGCCATTTTGTTTGGAAGAGACAGAGCCGGTCAGAAGGGTGTGAGCTGGCTCTGGCTGGTGGTCGTTGGAGGTCGTGCCAGAAAAGCTGATCACGAAGAGTACTGAAGCCTTGGCGCCCATCAATCAAGGACAGCGAAAATGAAGTCTTGGCGTCTGCGCGCAGATATCACGCTCACCGTCACCAACGACCTCCGCGACCTTTTCTTCCCCGGTTTCAGTGGTTTCACACTGAATTGAGCAAGTTGCTAACGAAATGCAAGCTTTGCGGTTATGTTCTCGTGTCTCTCGTCCCAAACGAATATTCCGACTCTCCGCACGAGCACTGTCATCCATTCCGCCGTCCGACCCACCACCCACAGTCATTCCATGGTTCATCGACCCTTCAGAACAAACTGAATCAGCCTCTCATACACCTTATGTGTCAACTTCACTAGCTCGCCCCCCTGCCTTGACACCACATCCGCCTCTACCCGTAGACCTATCGTCCTCGAGCGTTCTCGCTCAATTATACGAGCTACTTAAGACTTCGCCACATTTAGAACCAGGAACGCTTCTCGTAAGAGAGCCTATACCTTCGTCGGTCGGCCCACCGTTACCCCCTGCTATGCCAAAGGGGCGGAGACAACGAGGCAGGACGTACTTTGGTGAAGGTATTGAAGGCTTTGAAGGTGGTGGGTTATGGAGTTGGATCATGCTCGCTCAGGTGTGCTAGAAATTCACGACATGCTGTCGTGTTTCATGTTAAACCGGATTCTCCCTAGGTAAAAGAGGGAACGGAGAAACGCGGAGCTATCGAGTCCGTAGTTCGACTCGTACGGAAAACGGTATGTCCAATCGCGTTCGTGTACTACACAGTCCCTTGAATGAGTAACCTCTCCGTTAGCTTCTGTCCGCCAATCCGCCTCTTACAGTCCCACATAGTTCGAAGCGTAAATTCAGTGATGGCTGGGCCATGCTGGATGCTGGCGAATTTGCGGTGCATATCGTCAGCAGGGAAGCGAGGGAGACTTTTTTCCCCGAGAAACGAGATTGGTGACGAGAGGACAGTCCAGGGCCGTCCTTACTCAGACCAATGACTCGGACTTGAATTATGCGTTCTCATCTTGAGTATGTGAGTTCCTCGTCTTTAACGATTCAATCCCTCAAGGACAGCTTTCCATTTCGGTTTTGGATATATATTGTTCTTGGGCTTGAGACCTAACTATAAACTCGTACAACCTAGAAGGCTATTGATCTGAACACCCCCTCAATACGTCCAGAGTAGATATCACACTACGTAAGGTGAACGATACAAAGATAATTTCTTACCCTTTGACCCTTCTGCTTCCTAACCTCCCCCGTCAACTTGAGCTAGTACCAGGTGGTGTAAATCTCGATCCCGATGTATTCGACGTAATTCACCCAGCCAAGATATGCACCTCGGGGAACGACGAAGAGCTCGTCTCCCGGCCTCAGCGAACTAGCCTAACCGAGGTTCTCTCCTTCCCAAATGTTGACATGATCTCGCCACTCTGAAGATGTATGGACGTTTCTCTGGAATGTACGACGTTCAACCATTTCTTCGTTCGAGTTTAATCTGATTGCACCTGCTTCGAACCAGGTCCATGAATTGTGATATGTTCCATGATCCTCAGAGTAGTCACTCCAACCTACAGGAAGTGTCGTCTGATCATGGGACTGTTGACACCATGCATGCGCGTGCGGGGCCTACCTTGATCATGGAACCTAGTTCTAAGCACAATCCTACGCACATGGGATGCAGGTCGACCGATGATGAATGCCTTAACCCATGGATCCTTGCGGCTTCTTGCGTCGAATTGTGCCGGGGGGGCGGCACTGGAACTCAGCCACCGAATGAAGCCAAAACTCTGCGAGATCCATGATCTTATTTACGATCTCTGCGGGTAGTTTTGTTGCCTTAATAAGGATGTCCTGAGTATCCTGGAGATCATTCTGAGTACTTTGCGGCATGTCTGTTGGTACCAACCCAACCCCCCCCCTTGCGTGGGTCCTTCTTCCCTCAGTTACGGTAGTACTATGGTGAGACCGTTGTGAAGGAGGCGGTTGAACGGGCAGATATTGATTTCTCACGGTGCTTCTTTCAAGCGACGTTCCAACCTTCCGTCCCAGTGGGACGAGGATTTACGCCGAACGATGTCTCTGTCGTGGTTTCGTAATGAAGATCGCTGAAAAGCTCTCCCAATACTAACTTAGCAATATACCCAGGATTTGGAGCAACAAGCGCTTTGGAACCACGCTTGTCGCCCTATTTCCATTTCTTCCACGCCGTTGTATACATGTTGACTGTCCAAAAGTCCAACACATCATACTGCACACAAGTACGTTATTTATTCTTCACGAGTAGACGAGCCTAACCTTACCTGGTCTGACCAACATAATGTGTCTGTAAAATCAATGAATAGGTCCTGAACCGCCACTTATGTCAAACTGTTCTTCTATTCCCGCTGATTTCCTTCGCAGAAGCCTTCAAAAGCCTGCTGTACATCCGATTTTCGATTTGTTCGATACAGATGGATTTACTCCATTGACAGTCTGAATATGGCTACATCAAGGGCCTTTACTCGGACATCTTTAACTTTTACGCAAAACCTGATAAACTTCGATCCTCACCATCTCTATGAAATCATCAGGGCTCCATCTGTACAACTAGTGTACTTGAGCTGGGAGTGTTTTGCTGAGTATATCCGTGTTTCTTCCCAAAACCAGCCTTATCTGAAGCGGTCTTGTCAAGGTGTCAATGACTGTAACCCGCCTTTGCCGTACTTGCGTACTCTTGCTACAGAGGGTAAACCTCCTTCCAAACCTTCGTATGTTATCGCTCACGTTTAGCCTTGAACGCACCATGTCGAGTTGACAGCTGGAATGTCTTCTATGCATCTGACGGCGGAGCGCTCCGCTAACGGTCAGCAAAGAAGGTAATTCAATGGCCTCTCCCGTACAACGAAGAGATAAAAACGCTCGAATACACACTATGGCATCAACCCCACCCTCCGTACCATCCGCATGGCTTACCTTTTCCTTGCCGTCGCACTTGCACTTGTTCTCCTTACAGTCTTCTGGCAACGTTCTCTGGGCCGCCCAATATGTCCCCCTGGACCTCGAAAACACTGGCTCTATGGAAATCTCTTTGATATGCCATATTCGGTGAATTGGCAAAGACTGCTGGACTGGAATGAGCAGTTTGGTACGAACACCTTATGTTCAGCTATATGATTCTCACACTCGCTCAGGAGATATGGTCTATCTGACTGCCTTCGGCCACTCCGTCATAGTGTTGAACACCCCAAAAGCCATCAAGGACCTGTTGGTCAAGCGTGCTAGGAATTATTCGAACCGTCCACATACGGTGATGGCCTATGAACTCTTTGATATGAAAAAGGTATTTTACCTCCCATCGCCCATGGAGGGATGCGGCGTAACCTGAACCTTATACATCCCTTAGAGCATGGTTCTCGCAGACTATGACGATAAATATCGCGAGCTTCGAAAGCTCACTCAGCAAGCCTTTGGTCCCGAAGCGTCGAAGAAGTACGAAGGTGTACAACTTGACATCATAAGACGTTTTCTACAAGGCCTGCAGAAGGACCCACAAGGATTCAGAACCCACACAAGACTGTAGAGTCCTTTCTGATGCTCTATTGAAACATCTCCTGACTTGCCACTTTGCTTCCCTTAGTCTAGTCAGCCGGTTCATACTCGCAGTGACGTACGGATTAGATGCTGAGACTGCAGACTCAGAGGTGAGTATTAGCTAGTTTATCTTTATTCTATTACTAGTACGTGAGGGAAGACCTTAACTTTTTGCCCATTACAGTTTATTGCAGGGGCCGAATTGACACTCCAGGTACTCACAAAGGCAACTCTCCCTGGAGCGTATCTTGTCGACTTACTACCAAGCTGTATGTTAGCTTTGGAAGCTGAGCATTCCTTTACTGAATTGTTCTCTATAAGTGAGGTACCTTCCAACATGGTTCCCGTTCGCCTCATTTCACGACGTGGGCGCTCGAGGTCGCAAACTAGTTTATGATCATCGGAGCCGACCATTTGAATATGTCCGTCAACAAATGGCGAGTAAGGCATCACATCGTCTACAGCAGCATGACATGTTGATAATATCATTCAAGGCTGACGGCGTTGCATCTCCATCGTTTGTATCTGACTTGCTCTCCGATTCTTACATGTCGAAGTTCCAGTCTGTTGATGCGGCGCAATGGGCAGAGTATATCAAGTGGGCCGCGGGAGATATGTTTGGAGGTAAGAATGCAACATTGAGAAACTCTTCGAGACTGGGGGCGCTTACTTCGATGAGTTTTCCAGCCGGTGTAGAAACGGTGAGTGTGTACCATATTGACCAGACTTAGAATTGTGTTCATGACACACCCAACCCAGTCGTTTTCGACGACTTTGATTTTCTTCCTGGCGATGGCGCTCCATCCTGGTGCACAAGCTAAAGCCCAAGCAGAAATAGACCTCGTCACGGGTGGTCATAAGCTTGTAACGCTGAGCGATCGCCCAAATATGCCATATTTCAAGGCATTACTTCAAGAGGTTGCGCGCTGGCAGGTTGTTGTCCCTACAGGTGAGTGCGCTCCTCTATCGCGGAAAGCCGTCCGAAGTGCGAGGGATGCCTCAGGTGTCTTTCGTCGATCCGACAACGATGATGTCTACAACGGTATGCAGACTCGCAAATAGTCCTTCAGCGGGAAAATCTTTTAATGGATTCTCTTAATGGAATCATACGAAGGGTACCACATCCCTGCAAATACCATAGTATTACCTAGTATCTGGTACGCAGCCTCAATTTCATGCTTCTCCGTCATTCCCGCTCATAACGCAGCTAGGGCTCTGTCTCAATCAGTGGAAGATCCTGGCCGATTCAACCCCGAACGCTTCCTCGATGATAGCAATTCTCCAAACCCATACGAATACATCTACGGGTTTGGAAAGCGGTGAGTGAACACGGACGTTGGCGTATTCTTTCCACATGCTCATGCACATCCTGTCCCAGCATTTGTCCAGGTCGATATCTTGCCGACAACTTCATTTTTCTTGTAACCGCAAATATCTTGGCTTTCTTCAATGTCAGTCAACCGTCTGGACCTCTCGATGACGGCTTGAAGCTGCCTTCGAATGTTTCATTTACACCCACGATGGTTAGGTGCGGCGGACTACTTTCATTTCCGTTCAGTCAGTAAACTTAGTGTCTTAGTTGCCCGGAGCCCTTCGCGTGTAATATCCGACCAAGGACTTCCGAACACGCTGAAGAAATCGCCGCAATGATAGCCTAATTGGTTAGATTTCTGAAATAGAGCATGAGAGCATCATATTCTTGATACCGCTGGACCTGATTTCTCATCGAAGCTATTAGTAACCGAGGGACCCGGACGTTGGTCTGCTACCAGTATATTGGGAATCAACAGACAATTCCAAAGTGCTGTACTTTCTTGACGTCTGGAGAGTTCACATATCCACACCATAGTAATACGCGGCAATATCCCGCAACAGTGCCAGATTCTTGGAAGCATACGGTCAATGTGTTTGTGAAAGTGAAGTTGCCAGCGGTAGCCGATCACTGGTCCTACGTCTGCCAGGCATGTATTTTCTGAATTACAGGACCTCATTTTCAGCCCCGTATGCTATCCTTCGCCAGCAATCCTTATCTTGTGTATACCATAACATGCCATACTATTATCTCTAACCAGTCATGATGAGTTAGATGGAATTGAAATTGTTCCTCGCCTGTTTGGTTTGATTCTGTGTGAACGGATGGCATTCAGCATTGCTGGAGACGAGTGCCATAGACACGTACGCTGCGATCCTTTGCAGACACAGAGCTCATTGTTTCTTGAGAGATATCAATATGAACCTATGTCACATCGTGATCATTAGACGGTATATATATGTGCATATGCACATAATACTACCTGTTGCATTGGTGGGGGCAATGTTGAAAAGTTTGATAACTCCAGTGCATCGAATGTACCCATGATGACTGGTTGTGCCATCTTCGCGGAAAGAATTTTTCTTCCATTCAGTCTGAATGACTTCAAAGTTGAAAGCGTATTGAGTGGAAATTAGACCACTAGACATACGCACGCGGCAAGCAGAGAATTGGCATACACTGCATACTGTCGTATCAGTTCCTGTAGCGAACGTCTTTAGAGTGGCACGTACGCTTTCCCCCAACGACAAGTAAAGCGCCATAAATAAGATTGTCCGGCTTGGTCAGATACTGTATCGTTATCTGCCCTCAATGAGTCATGATGTAGACATGTTCGAGCACCCACAGTAATGAGAACGGAAAGCGAAATTGCGCTACACAATATACTCATTAGCATGGTGTTAACAACGAATGGGGGAGATCACCAACACAAGGAGCACTCCGGTATTCACCGTGAACATGATTATCCAGGTGATAACGTTCCGGGTGCTAAACAACCAATCAAGGGTCAAAAAATGGTCAAGTGAAATAATGGTGACTATGCCTCTGAAATGTTGCGGGAGAGCGAATTAGGTAGAAGACCAATGTAATCGCCGTGATGCTGTCCACACAAACTCCGAAGGACAAACAAAGTTGAGTTACGAGCTGACTGAAAGATTCAACAGCGTACACATCATGCAACATTGCATAGTTCCCACCTTGATATCGCCATCATTACGAAGGGCTACCCATGTCCTAAGTTTGAAGCTACCAAATAGTATAAGTCTTCATTTCGCACGCAGCATGACTGTTGGGGATGACAAGGATCATGGCATACACTGCAACCACTATATCTGAATGCCAGATGATGGGTCGAATTTTTTTTCAGAAGTGGGGGGACAGACGTACAGAACAACGAGACTTTGTACGGGGTGAAAATCATGTCGATCGCTACACCCATGGAATCTAGCTCACCTGATCTAGCCAACATGAGTACACTCTGTGCTAACTGTGCATTAGAAAAACTGGCCAACCCCGCTAGGTGCCATGAAGACGGACTGTTACAAGGGTTAATGTCCGATTTCGGCTGTCTGTAAGATGTAGGTTAGCGCTTTCAATAGCCATTGGTAGAAGCAGGACTTACAAAGCCACATTCTACTCAGGAAGTAGCTAATCATAAATTGCCCAAGATTAGCTAATCAACCTCAGATTTGGGGAGTATTCAACCCGAACTCATACCCTTGGCTCAGGACTTGGATCAGATGCTAGACGGCGTGAACAAATATAGGCGTGAAAACGACTCGTTACTTACTGTGACAAGTAGGCCGCCCTAGATTCTGCACATTCAGTGATAATGGCAACTATGCTGGAACAAAAGACAATACCGGGATGATCCTATGGGAAAGTATGAACATTAGTCTCTTTTACGTGGCCGGTACGTGGAAATGGTATGACGCAAACCAATCAATATTTGCAATTATAGACGGATTCTCCAACGCCTTGATAGTGTAGACATAGATAAGACGAAACACGAAGACCGTCAACACGGTTTCAAAGACCCTACACCAAAACAGGTAAGTACAATACAAGGGAGTCAAGGATGACCAACTGACACAAGCACCCCTACGAGCCACTTTATCCACTTGGTGTCCCGCTCACAGTTAAGTGTGTAACAATAACACTGAGCGATAAGAGTCCCATATAATCTCGAAATAGTGTGATAAACATAGAAACACCACGAAGGCTGAGGGATAAAGCGACTTACAGAACTGAAAAGACGAGGGTTTCGATAAACCCACCGAGAAAGGTTGACAAGGAAGATATCGGGACATTCATCTCAGTCGAAAAGGATGACTGGTTGGTTGCAGCCGTGAGCCCATTATTTAAGGGCAGTCATTGCAAATGCCACTGGCCATCACCAGCTATAGTGACCAGTGAAAGTCGCCCCTGCATGGCTTGGAGCAACGAAGCCTTTCATCACGATATCTGTACGTGGGTAAGAGAAGTATGTTTGATGCATCATTCGCTGCCTGCCAGTGCCTGCCATCGTGTCGTAAACATACATTAAAATTAGATCGTGCCTCCCCCGCTGAGGCATCCCAGAAGACTATTGAATTAGATGCCTTTGGAAACTTGAGCACATTCCAGTGAGAACGCGGAGGATACTTTCATACCCGGAGAGCTTCGGGACAAACCTCGGTTGCCGTCTCGACTACACGCCGTTATAGTCGGATCTTGACCTCAACCTGCGAGGCCGATCAAATAGCGATGCCACCATTCAGATATCCTGCGGATTCCTAAATCCTCACGCATTGGAGCAATGGAGAACATGGCCGTGATGGTATACTGGACAGTCCACATGCAACTCATTGCCAAAGTGTCGGTCGATACATCTTTCATCAAGATCGTATGCTTTGTTCAAATAGATCATGCAAAACAGGAACTTCGTTGTCCTGTTAGCACTCGAATAGTTTGCTTTCCTATTATATGGGATGGAACGACACCGTAGACCAAAACGGCCCCGCCTCGCAGTACGTTTCCTGGGATCCCCCATATGCGCCATCGGCTCGTTGTACTCTTGCAAAAAAAGGGTCTCCGGAACCGAGCTTCGAGATGAACGTCTGTTTGGTGTTCTGTGGCGAGTAGAGTGACTCCGCTGCAGAGCACAGTCATCGGAACCTACATCAGACCGTGATATAAAAAAGAAGGCAGAACATCTTCGACGTTGTAGAAGGCTTCAATGGATTGAATGTGGTACCTGTTGAAGGTACTGCCACTAGGCCTCGCAGCGACCGTGGCAAGCGCTCGAAGCTCGTCGATTATAATAGGCAGGAGACCTTCCAGTAAGTTGGGGTGTGGCCACTGGCCATCCTGTCGAGATTCACGGTCTCGAGCACTTATTATTAGGGTATCAATCAACAACAAGCACCGTGTGGTTGTCGGCTAATTACTTCCCTTTTTTTGAGCCCACTGCGCCGCTGATGAAATTTACACCGAATAGCAAGACTCACTCATCGTCCGCGACAGACTCCTCGAGCACCCTTCTCCACTTGTTATTAACCCGAGCTTGGAGTTGTGGGGCTCTCACCAGTATTCACTGACACCGCTTCATGGACCCAATTCCCATGGATGACTATACCCCACAGATTACATCACTTCCGTTTTAGTCCCCTATATGTCCCGCATTAACATGACCCAGAGACTCAATCGACTCACAACTCACATTCAACGACAACACTAAGTTAACGGTCTTAACAATCCCCCCTTTCTTGAATCATCATCATGGCTTTGAACGACAACGACAACACTCTCGTCGGCGCACGCGGCGTTGACGTTCACCCTGGTGTAGCAAACCCCACCATCTCGTCCACGCATGCCGACCCTCTTGCGGCAAACTTTGTACGTTATATAGCACCAGTCATCGACGTAGATGAGAAGACTGACGAGAATTTGCATTGTAGGTGACGGATCCTACAACGGACGTCAGAGGTGCAGGAGCGGCATCCAATTTCACCGGCCACAAAGAAGCTCAAAGGAACTTTAGTAAGACAGCCGGAGTGGTGGAAGGTCGTCCAGGGGTCATCGAGACTTCGAATATCGATCCATTGAACGAGAACTCCAACGAAGGTAGGTCTCGCCTCTTCCCCTTCTTGCATTCACCTCGCTGACATTGCACACCGTACAGATGATGGTTGGGCAAACGCACGTACCGAAACCGCAGGTTCGGGTGCAGGTTCCACCGCCTCGGGAGCTTTCAACGCCGCCACCTCTACTGCTTCGAGTGTGGCAGGTGTCGCTGCTGGTGCTGCTAAGATGGCTTATGGACATGCTGTAGGTGATGAGGCGTCGAAGCAGCAAGGTCGGGAAGCAGTGTGGGGTAAGACTAAGAAGTCGTAACTACGGAGAGAAGAATCAACGGGAAAATAGGCATATGTACCATTACCTGTATATAATGGGACTTTGGATTAATCGTCCTGTACGAAGGATCGAGACTCCACGAACAGTCAAGTAGATACAATGAGCACCGCCGCGAGGATATCGTTTGAAGAGACAGCATGGTAAGCGACGGATTTCACAATCTGCAGAAAGATAATGCTAATAGACCGATGGACATCCTGCGTTGTGTGGACTATATTAGTAGCTGTATAGTACTCCCTGCGTGCAGAAGTCGTCGACAAGGGCTCTCGATTAGACTTGATAAAGTTATAGGTTCGACGACAAAACAGCTGCACTAGCCAACTGTCTCCGAACATCATGGTAATCCACATCATGTGCTATACAGAAAACAAAGATCATCAGCCACCATATCAGAAAACGTGAAAGCCGTCGATTTCACGTACAATCTTCGACTTCGCCCCATTTCTCAATTTGGCTGTTCACCTCAACGTGTGAAGCCTGAGCTGCCTGTTCAGCTGTTATCTGTCTTTTGATGAGGGCGAGTGCGATGATGAAACTCTTGGAAGTATACACTGCACGTTCCATCGCTAAGAACTCGTGTCAGCCAACCTTCCTTGCAGTTGAGCGCACAACTGTGTTGTACGTACCTGCCATCTCCCAAGGGTCAAATTTCTGCATAACCTCATCAAACTTCTTGAACGTCTCTTCTGGATGAACTGGGCGGAAGAAGGAGTTCGACGTGCTGATCTGTACGGAAAACTCAGACTGAACCCAATCGAGAAGGGGATTCCAGTGTTGAGCCTGGAGGTCGACTATTGTCTGCGGTTCTGTTTGGTGGAAACTGCAAAGCAAATGCGCTTCAGGACGGGAAAGGAAGAGTAAAGAGTAAGCGAAACGGTGAATACCAGATCGTATCTGTCTCGAGGTACTTGAGTAGTTGCGCTCGGACTTGTTTTCGAGTCTCTTCGTCCCCAAGAGCATCAATAGCCCGGGAAGTGAGCGAAGTCTACTCAGATATACCCGGTCAGCCTTTACTGTCATGAACTCCAAGTCAATTACACACCATAGGCAACGAATGCTGCTTCAGTAATGTGTCCTGATTATCCCATTCACCGGCCACAAGTATGGCAGCAAGCCTCTTCTCCTTCGGTAATAACAAGTGTTTCCCACTAGGTGTCTTTAAAGGTCTCTTGTCAAGCGTAACGAGATGTCCATTATCACGTTTCTCAATCCCGACTGTTTTCCAGAATCGCTTAAGCGTTGCTTCAGCACCTAGCAAAAAGATGGTTGGAGGTGTCAGCGATGAGAATACAAAGAAACATACCGAATTATCTTACGGTTCGTTGCTGTCACAGCTGGGCCCGATTCAGCTACAGTTGCTTGCGTACGTTTCTGAACATGATTCCAATTTGAAGAGAATGCAAGAACTGGAGAAATTCTATGTGATTGACAGAGTAGTCTACGAGATGAAGCGGAGTGTGCCCGTGGCAAGGTTCGAACCAGCGAAGCCATCGTTGTCGCTGAGCGTGAAGTGACAAACTGAAAACCCTCCAGGCTCCAGCAACAAAAGCAGAAAGTGATCGAGCGCCCACACGTGATCTCGATCGTATGGACGCGTCGTGGACGCGTCTTACAGCTTGAAGCTTGGGGGAGGCGCAGAGAAAGCGGTCCACGACCCGGAGTGCACCAATCAACGAATGCATTCTTTGCGTCAATACGAATAATAATAAAATCCTCTGCCCATAAATTACTACTAGTCAGATACACTTCATAACCACGAGTCCAAAACTAATGACCAGGAGCGCATGTTTCCAGTCAGCCCCACGCACAGCCTCCCCATTCTATCATAAGGAAATATGATGCAAGGACGAAGAGGGAAGGAAATCGACATACGTATACATAGACATACATACGAATCTTTAGTAGCAGGACAGATAAAGACAACGCCGGGAAACGAGTACCATAGAGTTCGTAAAATATGACTGATAGTAGCACACCATTTCTGTGGACAGATACTAGAGACAGGAGAAAGAGAGAAAATGATCGAAACAGGAACGAAGACGGAAAGAAAAAGATAGGACAGTCGTGTGGGCCAGGGTCGGGATGTCTATGCCCTCTTCGCCGCCTGTGAAACGTGACCTGTTGAGATATCATCTGTGAAGTCATGGACTACTTACCCTGGCGCTCCGTGAGCTCGTAGTAGTTGCTTTGGTCGCAGCCGCCTTCTTTGCGGGTGCCTTCTTAGCAGCTGCCTTTGCCTTGGTTGTAGCGGATGTGCCTGTGATAGCCTAACAAGTATGTGTCAATATATCACACCCTCTGTTACACGAGGGTCACAAACCTTCTTAGCCGCACCCCTTCTCGAAGTTGTCTTTTTCGCAGGAGGAGCAGCCTTCTTAGCAGGTGCTTTCTTTGTCTCAGCCTTCCTTGCAGGAGCAGCTTTCGCCTTCGTAACAGCCTTAGCTGCAGGTGCCTTCTTAGTAATGGTTTTGGCAGGCTTGGCAGAAGGCTTCTCCTTTACGACTTTCTCCTTTGCTGCAACAGGCTTCTTCGCAGCCTTGACAGCCTTCGTGGGCTTTTCCTTCTCAGCCTTTGTTGTCGTGGTCTTTGCTTTAGCAGCAGGTTTAGCCGCGGGTTTTGCAGCAGGCTTCGGTTCAGGCTTATTCTGAGGTCAGATGAGTCATGTGAGCACATTCACAAATTGGCACAAACTTGCCTCCTTAGCGGAAGTATCGACGGGACGAGTCGTCTTAGGAGGCAACTTGACCTTGCCAGAAGGTCCTACGAGTCAAACTGAATCAGTTGAGGACAGACATTTGAGTTTCAAATTTTCACATACCCTTGGGAAGGACGAAGACGCCCTTCTCAGCACCACCCGTAATTGCTCGGCTGAGCTGGGTGACCTGAGCGTTACCGATTTCGAGGCTATATTTCTCCTCTACATACCTACAACATATGTTAATCATTCCGCTGTCAAGTTAGCATTCATTCAGACACTTACTTCTTGATCATCTGACGAGACACGCCTTGGCGGGCCTCCTCCTTATGGTCAATGATACATTCCTATTTGCAAGCAAAACGGTTAGCATATGCGCCTCATACAGTGTGTATAGATTCTAAGAGCCTGCTAAAGTCATTTCGAGACAGGAAGCAAAGCGGGGGACATATGACGACCGACGGTGGCGCGCGGAAATCGCACGCACCCTGCGCCCTACCCCTTTTGGCGATGTCGCGGGACATAGTCTATAATGACGATGAATGCGTAAAAGGGGCACCTTGAAGCACTACTAGAATGTTAACATGTGTATGAACCATATTTTACCTTGATCATTTCGATCCAAGTCGGGTGCGAAGCCGCAGGCCGAGCAACAGCCTTCTTGGCTGCAGAGGACTTGGTAGACTTCTTAGTAGCGGACATGGCTTATTGTGACGGATATAGAAAAAGATTTGAGGTGTTGTGAGCTTGCGGGAGGGGGGATGAAGATGAGGAAGGATGGCGCACGGACTGTGAGGGTTGTGCGGAAGGGGGATGGTAGTGGTTCAGGAGAGAGATGCGTTAAAACTCCGAGGCGCGTCGAGCATTCAACAAACTGTAATCGCGTGTCACGTGAGTCCGTTTACTGGGAGCCTTTAGTCGAGCCTTGTGCATGATGTTAAGACATCCTTTTTTGGTTGCTACGACGCGTGGAGGGTGGTGGGAGGGGGTACAACATGTTTCTATGCACGCCAACTTCTCGGAGGTCGTCGAAGACGTTCTGCTCACATATGCCCCCTTTCTAGCTACCTCTTGGCATCAAATTTGAAGCCTTAAATATAATTATCATTGCCGCATATAGCGCAAGGTCCTAGCTGCAGATTCCGTCTAGTCTCCTGTTTCTCTGGTGGATACTTCATGTAGCGTTTTCAATAGTGTGGTGGATGTAAAGCGTTCAGCGAATCACAGCAGTCGCCTTATTAGGATGCACTAAGCGCCGAATCTCGCGCAGATCTTGTCAACGATCGAGCCACGTTCCATGTGACCGTTCACCCACTTGTTTCTTTCCTCTCGTGGGCGCACAGACCACCGCCCGAAATTCGCTTTGACTTATTGGCTCTTGCTCACTGGGAATGTCTATCTCGTCGTCGTCGAGAGCGTCAGTCAGAGCTGCATATAGGGATCTCCTACGAGCTGCTTCGCATACTTTTGTGGACGATCCCGTAGTTAAAAATGGTGTGTAGAGCTTGTTACGTGGTTCAGCTTATAATAGACTCAAGCGAGTATGGACCAGCATTCAGGTTGAAAATGAGAAATGAGGTCTTGCCATGCCCTTTAACGATGGACCCAACGCAGTTTGAAGAGAAAATCGTGTTGACTAGGGACATTGCCGATGTATTGCGGAAGAATATCGTCCAAGCGAGAAAGATCGAGTTACCGAGTTCCAACGAGGATCGATATCGTACGTCGAAACCTCTGAGTATATTCGGATCCTAGTCTGAATTTCTTGCTCCTAAAGAGCTTAGGCTAACAGAACACACTGAGTTGGGTGACAACGAGAGCATCAAGAACCCACGACCAGTGTCCGCTCGCAGCGCACGGAAACGCAAAGGACAACCCTCACCGTACGTCGTGCATCCTTACTCCACTTTCCCCGTTGATGTTGAGGCTGGATCAGGTGCTCATGTTCATGATTAGTTCGGATGATACAAATACACCCAGTACCGATACACCTAGTCCTAATCCTAATATACCACGATATTTTTCCCAACTCAAGAAAGCGCATAAACAAAGGCAAGTTCCAGAATTGAGAGAAGACGATCTGGAAGAGTCTTTTGTTAGAGGTTCGTCCCCACAATGCCCGACAACGATCATACATCATACTGATGTTGACTTTGGATAACACAGGTAGCGGACCCGGCGGACAGTCCATTAACAAAACTCAGAACAATGTACAACTGCTTCATAAACCGACTGGTATCAGAGTATCTTGCCAGGAAACACGGTCGCTAGATCTCAACCGAAGGTATGCTAGGAAGCTTATACTTGAGAAGGTACGTCACTGTCACTACAAGCAATATAAAAACATGCTGAGAGTGTAACAGTTGGACCACTTATACAATCCGGGGTTGTCCAAGGAGGACTTGAGAAAGGCTAAGCAACTAGAGCGAGAACGGCGGAGGAGAAAGAAGGCAAAGAAGAAGGCAAAAGCAAAAGGGGATGATGCAGAGGAGAAAGACGAAGACGAAGAAGATTGATGACTTCTTATCCCTTTTTATCCTTCACTCTATTGCCTTGTACGCCGACGTAGTACCAGATACTGCATTTTGAACCACATCTTCCAGACCGCCTTGATCGAGACTTTTTGAGTTTCCATCCTAAGTAGCAGCTCCGGGCCGCAGTCACCCGTTGCTTGAACGTGTTGCATGCGACGCACAGTGCAGTCACTAACCTCGATCTCGTCTATAGCTTACTCGTATACTCTCTCGCGTATACCCTTAATCCATCTAGAAAGTCGTCTGCAGCAGTGAAGGAGTGGAATATGTCTTCAGGCGGGTTGCATTCACTCGCCACCATCATCAAGCGGTACATATCAACAGTTCACCTCGCGTCACCATATCCAAATATCACTGACATTTATCATCACTTGATCCTAGGCTTGAAGCAGCTACTTCTCGTCTAGAAGATCTTGCTGCTCTCGGTGCACCTAGTCAGCAGGCATCGGTCAGTTCGTATGGATCCCCTGTGAATGCGGAACCTACACCTGTTCCGCCTCCTCCGGAAACGTTTGTGCATACAGAGATTCCGAATAGCGTGAAGGCGTTCGACGACCGGATTATTGGAGGTAAATTGAAGCAATTCGTAGACATTACGAAGGCCAAGGGCTTTGCTCCCCAGTCAGTCATTGACCAGGTACGTTGACAAATGATATAGCGCACTTTATGCCTACTCATTTGAATTATTATATGCAATCAGGTTGCGTTGGTTGAGAAGGAATACGTCGACCTGCGTGCGCTGCTTCTCCAGGCAACCGTGTGCAAGAAACCTTCGGATGATGCGTCATTCGCTCAGCTGCTTCAACCTCTACAGAAAGATATCGAAGGGATCACTCGTGCCAAGGAATCGAATCGCAAGGACAGAGACTGGTTCAATCACTTGAGCACTGTAGCTGAGGGTGCGGTTGCTGTCGGTTGGGTTACTGTCGTAAGTAGCAATTGGATTGCAAAAACTGAAGAATTGCTAATTATACGTGAACTCAAGGCTCCTAAACCCGGCCCCTACGTGAAAGATATCAAGGAGTCCGCGGAATTCTATGCTAATAAGGTTCTCAAAGAGTGGAAGGATAAGTCAGTGATAATGTAGCTTTGATTGTACGCCACACTGACAACGATATTCGGTGTCCTCTAGAGCTCCTGGGCATGCAGAATGGGTCCGAAGCTTCCTCGCTCTCCTCGAGGAATTGCGTAAATACATCATGGACTTCCACACGACCGGCTTGGTTTGGAAGGCCGACGTAAGTTTGCTCTTGTCTCCAGAATGTCCACTATATTCATCTCTCTGTCCAGGGTATCTCCATAGATCAGTACAAAGCACCATCCACTGCATCTCCAGCAGCAGCAATACCTCCTGCTGCTGCTGGTGCGCCTGCGCCTCCACCTCCACCTCCACCTCCGCCGCCTGCACCCGTGGCCCCTCCTCCCCCTCCAGCAGGCTCTGCCCCTGCGGCTGGTGGAGGTGTTGCTGCGGTGTTCGCTGATCTTAACAGAGGAGAAGAAGTTACTAAAGGACTGCGCAAGGTCGACAAGAGTGAGATGACCCATAAGAACCCTGCTTTGAGGGCAGGTAGCACAGTGCCTGCTTCCACAAGCTCACATGGTGAGTTCATTTCTGGTGACTCCGGTGACACTTTTGCTTGACTGGCGGTACCGCACAGCTGTGAAACGCCCAACAAAACCTACCAAGCCACAGGCTCTGATGGGCAAGAAGCCGACGAAGTTCGCTCTGGAAGGCAACAAATGGGTCGTTGTGCGTATATCTCTATTTTAGGCGTGTCACGAGACTGAATGAAATGACATAGGAATACTTCGAGAATGATACTAGTTTGAAGGTCGAGGATGGTGATAAAACTCAGACAGTCAACATCTACGGCTGCAAGAACTCTACCATCCAGGTTACGGGCAAAGTTAACGCTGTCACACTAGGTCGGTGTCTTATTATTTCCTCCGAAGGAGTCAGCATCTCACTTCCGTATCTTGCAATTTCATAGTGAACTGTGTGAAAACCTCTGTCCTCGTTGATTCTGTCATTTCCTCGATAAGCGTCACAAACTCGCCGTCCTTCGCTCTCCAAATTACTGGTGCAGCGCCTACCATCCAACTAGACTCGACAGATTCCGGTCAGATCTACCTCTCGAAGGATAGTCTCGGTGTCGAGATCACAACGGCGAAGTGCAGTGCCATCAACGTCAGTCTGCCTGTAGAAAACGAGGAAGATGGTGTGTTCCATGAACACCCGATCCCGGAGATGTTCAGGACGACGGTGAAGGATGGCAAGCTTGTTACGACCTTTGTGGAGCACTCTGGTTAGGTGGTTTCGTGAGAGGGATGGCATTGTGGCGTGGCATTGTGGATGAAGTGGTTCATACGGATTGTACTAATGTTGGATAATGGTCGTCGCCTCAAGTGTTCTGTGTTCTAAGTTCTATCCGCGTCTACCCGATTGAGTCTGAGCGACACAAGAGCCAAAGTGAGGCGGATTCTGTCAAGCACTGTCAAGCCACTCCCGCCAAGCGCATTTTTGGCACTGCACTGACTCCGTCGGTATCCACTTGTATAAGTACATAAGACAAAATTATCAACTGGGCAAATCAACGAAAGGAGGCATCCTCTCTCCTTACCTCCATTTGTTCGCGTCGAGGCAGTCACTATTACTATTGACAAACGACAAACAGCGCTAGTGCGCAGCTCTGATTCAGACCCATCATCCTTGTCCGATTAAACTAAACTTCCGTTCTCCCTTCATACACGTATTTTGAAGTTGTGCATATATCCCTTTACTCCTCACGAATCTAAGCAAGCTGCACGATGGATGATGCTGGTTGGCATGCTAGACATAGGGCAAAGAAGGTGCGTCTATACATATTCAGCATATTATACCACACCGAGCGCTGATTATTCGTCCTGTCATTCTCAATTCGTCGTCCGGATCGCTCAGGACGCAGAGCGATGGTCACAACCTCAGAGAGGACCCGATGGGCGATACACACCCGTCGAGCCTCAAGTCCATCCCATGCAAGAACCCTTCGTAGGCGGATTCACTTTACCCGATGCCGCCTCTGCAAGTACTTCAGGATCACCACCAGTACCGCCGCCAAAGGATAACATATCTTATTATCACTCCACCGGAACCAATGGACATTCATTATCACAAACGCATTCGCGGACATCGTACGCTGATACGATCCGGACGAACACAACCTCGCAGAATTCGATGATATATGCTACCCGACATTTGGCTAACATGACTGCCGTTGAACGCTCGAGGAACTTCAAGGTTGCACGTATGAACCCATACCTGCAATTCATGGCGGGGCCATTGTTACGTTACGATACGGTCGATAACGATGGGGTGTGGCACGGCGCAGCACTCATTGTCAGTAAGTGCATACACCCAGGTCTCGTGCGCGCCCCGAGACCGATCATCACGTATTTTCTAGCTGCCGATGCCGGATCTACTTACGAACCACATCCTACGTTCACGTACTCGTGGGACCCAAATGCGCAAACGGCACCTCAAATGCACAGGAGGACCGACTCTCGATCAACGGGACATGGCAGCTCGATCGACTTAGGACCACATCCTGCTGACCCATATTCAACGGTCTTTCCTGCGGCAAATGGTGACCATACGCAGCTTAGCCCGACAGCCATGACACAGAATGTGCTTGGCGAGGAGATTTGGGTCTACTGTGGAAATGGAGGGTACGTATGGTATAAAATTGTGAAACTTCCATGTTTTTGCTGAGACACGGTGTATGAAGGACCTTCACATTCTGGAGGTTCATGATACATATACCTCTATCGACGCGTGAAATGCGAGTAACCTACACCGTCAACAACGGACAACATTTGCATTTCTTCGTTCCTGCTCGGAACCAAAACATGCGTTGGGCAGCATTTTCTGTAGGTGTTTACCATATGTCCTCATAGTCGTCTATATTGAATTTAGGCTCCTCATAGTGCAATGGCTTTAGTGCGGGAATAAACCCTGATGACTTCCGAGGACCAGGATTTGCCAGTGGATATGATCCAGTATGGTCTGACCTGTTAGCTAAGCATAAAGAAGAACCGTTCCACGCACTGGTCGGTGGAGGAGACCAAATCTACTGCGATGGTGTCATTCGCGAGCCTGAGATGCAAGAATGGGTTACCACAAAACGGCCAGAGGACAAAAAGGCGTTTCCTCTCACCGAAGAGATGCGCTTCGCTATTGATAGGTTCTACTTTAATCACTATTGTCAGATTTTCAGAAGTGGCGCATTTGCTAGGGCGAATAGTTCCATGTAAGTGCATGCGCTTCGCCTTGCCGGTCGTTCGGAAAATGCTTACATGGTATAATGCGCTTCCGGATCTGAAGTCCTATGGTGAATATGCTTGGTAAGGTTATTCATTCTTCGACTTTGTTCTAGAGGCTAAGAGCGGCATACACCACAGATGATCATGGTGAGCTAACAGTAGACCCATGCAAATGACCCTGCAACTAATAATTGCCGACAGACTTGGTGAGTTACCAGGGAGTTTTGAGCCCTGTTCAAATTTGAACTGAAGGTCTTTACAAAGATTGATGGGTTTGGAAGCTGTGAGTGAAGTTTGGATCGTTCTCAGGAGATCTTAATGTTAATTCGGATGTCATTGTTCAGATCCTGACGACCTTATGCAATCATCCGTGTTCGGAACGTGAGGCATGGTGTTCCGCTATTTCCAGGAGGTGCTCATGATACTCCGACATTTGTCCAGGATTGGCGCAAGAGGCTACTTCTTTTTCCTTCTCTTCCAATGCTTCGTGAACGGTGAGTTTCTTAATCTTGTCAATAATTTTTACTAACCCGTAAAATCAGTCGATGTTGACGGTGTCATCGATCAGAAACACCCATTTCGATCCACAATTATAGGCGGACCCGGACCCTTCATCCCATTCCCGTCTCATTCTATTCTTTCCTACCTAGGTCCAAACATATACCTCCTTGCGCTCGACTGTCGGTGCGTATCTCCTTTCCTTGTTAAACATTCCAATCACACTCACTTGTATATAGCGCCGAGAGAATGAAGGAGCAAGTGTGTAGCAAGCAAGAATACGATGCTGTCTTCAAGCGTCTGTACGAGTTACCTTCCCAAATAGAACATCTTGTTCTATTGACTGGTATGTCTTCACTAGTTTGTCATATATAAATATGTAAACAAAGTTGGGCATTAGGTGTACCGATTGCCTATCCTCGCATGGTCTTTCTGGAGACTGCACTGGAGTCAAAGATGAATCCTCTTGTTGCTCTTGGTCGGAACGGTTCGTTAGGCTTGTCAGGCTTCGTGAACAAGTTCAACGCCGACGCCGAATTGCTTGATGACCTGGTGAGGCTGCATCCATAGACACATGATTTCCTGTGCTTTCTCATTTTGTTTCATAGAATGACCACTGGACAGCAAAGTCGCACAAGGTAAAGACCGCTTTGCATACGTATCACTGTGCCCTTGGCTAATTGAGGAATGCAGCGAGAACGAAACTGGTTGATTGAACAGCTACAATACTTCGCGAAGGCAAAGCATGCACGCGTCACACTGTTGGCCGGGGATGTACACTGTGCGGCTGTCGGCGTTCTGAAAACTCTGGTCAAGGGGAAGAACAAGGCGGATATACCACCACCCATCGACTTCCGTTATATGATCAACGTTGTGTCAAGTGAGTAAACTCGCTGGATTTGTCGTGCCAACGTTGTGCTGATTGGATGTAGGTGCTATTGTGAACACACCGTGCGTTCATACTGCAAAGCATAACGAACAAATCACTCATTCTTAGCTTAGACCGCCCAACGGCGTGCTTACTATGGTAGGTACATTGGCAACGAAGACTCATCGGACTCTTCACCATATGGACACGGACGAGAGCATGGTAAGCAAGTGACGTGATCACTTGATTTGTTGGGTCTTAGTTTGTCCCTAGATCCCTGTATTTGAGAAAGACACAAATGGTAGTGCACCCAAGAGCAAATTCATCATGGGCAGAAGAAACTGGTGCAGCGTCAAATTTGACCCGGCTTCAGGGGATCTTGTTTTCGATATTCGCGTAGAGCGAGAGAAAGGATATGGAGACACTGTTGGGTACGTTTACCTGTTGTTCTCTGTCGCATGCACCTTACATGATCTGCCTGAGTAGTTATGTCGTACGCGCACCACCGCCGCGATGGTCCCCCTGAATGGCTCTTTGATTTCTATCTGGTTACGAATGCACTTCTCTCGCATTGCTAAACTCTCGAATCTTTAATTATTTGTTGATCTTCGCACTCAAGCTGTATTTATAATCGCTCTTCACTACATATACCCGTCTAATCCCCACATGTATTCACTCGTACTTCTTCAACCCATGTGTCCGCCCTGATACCCACCCTGATATTTTCAAATCAGACAGTATTCAGAATGAAATCTTCAACGGAGTTCGTCATTTCCGATGTTTCCTCCCCCGTCATCTGCAACATTGCCAAGACTGTGAATAGTCTCTTGTAAAGGAGCTTCCTCGAATCTGCTTCGTTAGACATCTGAAGGAGCTGTTGGCTTGATTTGAGGTCGAGACTTGGGAAGAGCCGGTTGATATAGCTGGCTAGTGCCAATATGTCGCTATATACTTCTTCTGGAAAGGAGACGGCGAAAGTCCTCAACTTCGTCTGAGGAATCACGTCGTCAACGTGAACTATGTCTCCGCCATCCACGGGTATACGAAGACTGGTCAGTTGCCGGCAAGACCTAGCAACTATTGAAAGACTTTTCAGGATGAGTCCCCGACGCCACGGGTCGAAAGATGGCCAGCCTTCCAGGTGCAGAACATGTAATTGCGGCCAAGCCTTACACATCTTGAGCAGATCCTCATCATCCATACTCCACATATTCTTCCTGAACAAGTAGACACGGCATTCAAGCAAGCCTCGTACTCGCAACAAGGGCTCCAGGATACGGGCGACGGGTCCCAACTGAGTTTGGATCCCACCAAGAGCGACAAACCGAAACCGTTGTAACCGTTTGAATCGGCATACAACGGTTTCGATACATGGTGTAATCTCTGGAACCATATGATAGTGGTCACTGTGAAACCTTTGCTCGAAGATTCCTACGGAATGCACTTGGGGAGCTGTCAATCGGCGAAGGACCGCCTGGATTCTTTTCAAGGACCCATGCAAAGACAGAGACGTCAAGGAAGGCAATTCAACGGGGTGACTAGCTGACGTTTCTGGATCTTGAAAATCTTCTGGCAGTAGACTCACATCGATATCGAGGCTGTCGAGCTTCGCTGTCGAAGGAATAAGAGATGGGGAATAGGTGAAATTCGAGGGCGTTACGATGGTTGACAGACGGAGGCTTCGCAGAGCGGTGAAATTCGCGCAAATATCAACCGCTGCGGGCGAGATAATGATGTTTGAGCATAAAAGTCGTCGCAGGCATGGCGCTCTTCGATGAAGAATTTCCATTAAAGCTTCGCTGTCCTGGGTGTTGGAGGATGGCATGATCCAAGCGAGACCTCCATTGGACAAAGGCGTCGCAAAGGAGAATGTATGGAGTGACGAAGACATAAACACAGAAAGTTCGGGGTGCAGACATGACGAAGTTTGCTGCCAATAAAACTCCTGCAGATTGGGAAATACGGCCCCTTCCCCGCAATATTCTTGCAGTAATTCGAAAACAGACCGGTCCAGTCCGCTTCTGTCGTAGTGAAGAGATCGCACGCGCTGTGCATACCACTTGAGTCGAGCCCATTCATGAGGGTTAATGGGTGGCTCCAATGACTGTAAGGCGAGTGTCAAGATAGTGACGAGATACTGTGAGTAAAAGCACACACGTATACAGTTGTCCAGGGATCACCAGAGCGAAGATAAAAGGAGTTTTGGAGGAAGATGTGAACGGATGATGGAAGAAGTTTCAGAAGGCAAGTCAAATCTCGCAAATCACTCCATAATATGTCTAAGGCTGGTTCGCAGAAGGCTTTGCAAACTTGAGCTGCATTTGCCAATGTTTGGCGTGACACTACGTCATCTTCGGTGAGTGTAAAGTCGGACATGGAAGGTATGATATCATCGCTGCGAGGAGGTTCCAACTCATAGTAGCCCAGAATATGTCTGAGGATTTCGTCGGTTGCAAGAGCGCGGTGCATAGGGGAGGTCATCGTGGAAGAGTGAGTGGTACAGGGATGCAGTGGTGGGAATGATGTAAACCAGATGCTGACTTGCAGAACTCGTTCTCGGATGCAAGTCCAGCCGCATCGGGCCTGTCCGACCCACAAGGGAAGATGTCATCCGAGCGTTATACCCAGACCAGTCTTCACCGATTCTGTTGATTCTCCAGCAGCCAAAGCAATTTCATCCTCGATGCTAAGTTCGGCACCTTCAGGAGGTGCGGTCTCTCGCTCGGCAGCGCCACCATCCTCCCCCTCGATCACCTCGTCATACTCCGAATTGTATTCGCTAGTATCATGGCCCGTACCTTGCCAATACCCTTGAGCATCCACGCTGGAACCAACCGTAGGAGCAGGAGAATATGCTTGATCGACCACAGAAAAGGCGCCCACGACGTATTCCTGGAAGACAGACAAAGAGGAGGGAGTAAAGGGGCGTGTTTCATCGACAGCCATGTCAGATGTGGCTAGAATACCATTCGCTTCTTCAGTTTTCCTTCGCTTGGCATCCTTCGCGATCGCGTCCGCTACGTCTTTCTCTCTTTGTTTCTTTTCTTTTCTGGCGGCGGCTTGGGCTCGCCGTTTAGCTCGACGAAGTTCCGCTCTCTCAGCCTCTTCTTCGTCGCGTTGCTCGACAGTCTAGAACACAAGGAGAATGAGTACCAACATCCCAAGGGCAGGGCAGGCTTGAAATGTCGTACCTGCTGGTTCTTCTCAGCCTCAGCCTCCTCCTTCGCATCCAATGCAAATTGCTCCTGCATATATTCCGGATACCGCTCATGAATTGGTCGCCAAGTACGAGCACTGTCAGATTGCAACGGTTTTACATCCATGGCTTTAGCATTACCCATAAGAATAGCGTCGATGTCGGGCGGTGGAGGAAAGTCGAAATCAGGACCTGGATTAATTCGGACCCTGGCTTCGTTGAATAAAGAGATGAGCGGGTAATACCCTAAGCTCCCGTCATCAAATAGATTCTCCCTGTGCTCCCGTACACCCTCCCTGCTACGTTTCTTCTCTTGGGCTTTATTCTGCGATGCACGCAACGGCAAGTAGTCATAAAGATCTTGGAAAGCGATGCCTTGACTCTCTCCATTGACAAAGAAAGCAACACAAGACTCAGGCCCTAGAGTGGGGAGTGGCCGCATAGGAGCAGGTTCTGGCGGACCACTCTTTCCCCCTCGAGCTGTCGAAGGCAAGTTCTTGACGGTGGCGGACTTCTTAGTTGAAGTTGGAGCGGGAGTTGAGTTATTCGCCTTCCCTCGATCCTTTGCTTCCATGAGAGCCATCATCTCTTTGGACTGTGAATATTCCAAAGATTCGAAATATTCCTGGCCCTTGAATTCAATGGCTATCCTTTCGCGTTTGATATGAGCAGGATCGTGTGGATCCCTCGGATTAGGCTTTCTACGTGGAGATGGAAGGGAAATGTACATTCCAATTACGTCGCCAGATTTGAAAGGTTTCCCGTACGGACGTGGTCGAGATAAATGGACTTTCTGTCCACCCCTGTCCCGTATGGCGTAGCTGTACCCATCCAAACCGGCTGGAGCATTCAGAGGTGCTTCCCTTCGTGCCCAACCGAGTCGTACATGGCTTCCCTCTGCGCGGGTGCTATCCGGTGGGTGGTCTCCTCCTCCACGCTCAATCTTGATCTCCATGTACCACTTACCCTCGCGGACGGGTGCATTACATCGCGCGCTTCTGAAACCTCGCTCCCCTTGCAAACCCAGTCCATCCTGTGTAACTTTCACAAACGGACTTCGATCCTCCCATGATACTCGAAACGATTGAGGCGCAGATTCGATCGTCCGGAAGGGCAAAGCAGACCCAGGAGTTGAGAGCCCTGCTGGAATATACCTGAAATTGAGTCGGTTGCTGCACAGTGGCTCTGTGGTATTGTAAGGTGATCCTGGAGCTACAGGTATGAATTGCGGGTGCCGAGAGACGGTGAGACGTGGTCGAGAGGCCAAGTCCGCATGTTTTGCGGGAAGGACAATTTCGTCAGTAACGATATTTGGTGTATTTCCTCGCTCTGATGGCGCAGGTGAAGAAGCAGCTACACTGACTACTGCAGCGTGTTTCCGCTTGCGATTGAGTGGGTGAGTCGGGAGGGTCGTGAGAAGTGTGACCGCTGGAGAGGCTTCTCGAGGAGAGCTGGGTGCCTCCATTTCACAAAATGAAGTATTATTTCGCCGGAAATACGATACGAAACGTCGGAAAGACTTTCAGCCACAGATGTGTCGACGCGACGTTGCGTGCTTTCACGATATTTATGATCGCACTCCCCTTGACAGTGTTCCCCGAAACAAATATTAATGGCCTGTGGAGATTTACGATGATAGAGGTATAATTGCAGCTGATGCTACGCGGGAGGAGAAACAAAGGGGAAAGGCAGAAACAAGGATATTTATATATGGGCGTCTGTGCACCACTACATGAGCGCTTAGTGTACATTACACTTAACCTCGAGGCGCTACATTGAACTTGCCAGTCAATGCCATTGCAGCAAGTCTGAATACGCCTCTGACTCTTTCCAACTTTGTTTTGAACTACTACAATGGCAGCTTTACGGTGAGTCTCCTACGATCTCTTGTGAATGTCGCAACTCAGCGTGCCTCAGTCGTCTCAACAAGGTACGGATCCACATGACATCGTTACCTCGGTCAGAGGAGACATTCTTGCTTATGACTCTTTGTAGGAGTTAAGCGATCTGAGAAGCAGGCCCATCGAGGTATAGTCCTGCTTGCTTTTATCGGCTTCTATACGCACGAAGATTCAACTTATTTGTTAGGGCCTCACAGTGACCCCGGATGAGGAGAACATGCTTCATTGGAAATGCTCGATCAAGGCAGCTGTAAGTGGTTTCAACAGGGTCAGGAGAGATGATCTTTTTGAATATCTGATGTCTGTTTGATTTCCTATCGTTTGATGTAGCCTGATAGCCCGTACAAAGGCGGCATCTTCCACTTTAACCTTGATCTGCCAACAGAGTTCCCCTTCAAGGCACCTTCAGTATGTCTATCCATGAATATGTCTAATACCACCCTGCGTCCTTGGTGCATCTGACACCCTCATTTATCGGTCATCGTGTTCGTTCCAGGTCGCGTTCACCACGAAGATATATCATCCCGGAATAGACGAGGAAGGCCACATTTGTGTACCTATCCTGCGTGATCAGGTGAGTAGACGTCATGAATATAGTTCAAAATCTCCTGCGGTTAGCGATCAGATTACTGACATACATTTCGCACACGATAAGTGGAAACCCACCGTAACACTATCGTCAGGTACGTACTGTAACGTCGCGTGATGCGTTATCGACTCATGTATACGCTTCTTGGTGCCTAGTGCTTGCAATCATTCAGGAGAAGCTCAACAATCCTAGTCCTGATGATCCCTTTGAGCCCGACATTGCTGTGGTACGTACCTTCTTTCCTAGTTTTTATACATTGGAAGAGACCCTGATGCGGCACTCATGCCTGCAGCAACTGAAGAATGACCATAACAAGTTCTTAGCGACTGCGAAAGAGTGGACAAAGAAGTGAGTATACATTAACCGAGAGTATTGTAATGCCTAACGTGATTTTTCAGGTACGCTTCAACGCCTTGAGGCAAATTTCTCAGCACTTGCAGCTTTTCCGAGTTGTATAAGAATTAAATGAACAAAGGGAAGGCTCGATTCGTCACGACCCGCATGTATAATTGTAATACCATCATGAATTTCCATTGGAGGATGTCAAAGATTTGTTTGCTTCTGAACCACGTAAATTAACTCTTATCCGGCTCTGCGTGGACGCTTGAATGCTCGAAGCACCATGCATGTCTTGTTGAGAATGTCAGCATATTGAACAAAGCGGCTATAGATGCGGTATCATAGAGCTGGCTGCCATGTAGGGAAGACTTCTTCAACGTCAATCCCAGATTTTTAGTGCTCCGAGCTCCGGTGTTCATACAATTGCAGCCCGAAGCAATGAACGTGCATGGGGCAAAAGACTACAGAGACTTCGAGGATGAGCGTGCCAAGACTTGACTCTTGACACCAGCTAATATTGTGGAGAATAAGAATGCGGGATGAAATACACACCACGATGGACCATGTCGGATATGAAGCGAAGGCTAGAACGTTTGACAGCGTCCTAGACATGCGTTCTGGGGTACGAATGCAAAAACACCTCGGGATCGTCGTCTTTACGTATTACACGGCAAAGCAGAAGCGTAGCCTTGTCTCCAGACTCGAGGATTAGGATTTGTTCGTCCTACATGGAAAGGGGACTGGCATTTCCACGTTCGGTCAGCACTGTACCTGCCCTTTCCTGCCAGAGCATCCCGAGGATATAAAGTGTCGTTCCTAGACGGAGCTGAGTTCTTGCGACGTACGAACGCAGAAGTGAGACGAATGCCACGGTGCCGGTGCCTGCAAGATCAGGTGAAGGTTGACGTTCGTGTCACTTTCTGAGTCCTGCACTATCAGCGGCACCGTTCGCGGGAACGCCTACAAACAAGCGAGTATCTTCTCGTAGTGATTTTCAAATCCCTCTGGAGGGAAAGGATAAATAGAACAGGAATGCTCCTGGCAGCTTAACTGAGGGCGGATAGTTCACACTTTAGGGTAATTAAAGCTAGGACGACTTCCCGGGGGAGCGGAAGGTAAAAATCGAGTGACAGGTATATTGCATCTTCGTGGAAGAGACAGGCTTATTCGGAAGGAACCTAATCCAAGAAACGCGGTGAGCGAGCTAATCAGCTTGAAGGTACCCGTCCTGGCAACAAACCAGTGAGGATGGACGCTGGCCAAGTTGATTACGCTGGCTATACGGCATCCAAAATATAGATCGGAGAGACTTGCATATATAAATGCTTGAGTATGTCAACGAATATTGTACAACAACTTCGGAAGAGAAGTGGTCAATCGAAGCGGTTCACAATCATGGTAAGGAAGTATATCAAGAATAAATGTCCAGTACTAGAGTTGGTAAGAAAATCGATTCCCACGCTAAGTAGCAGTTTGAAAATGGAACAAGTCGCCACAATCACTTGAGATCATCTCTTGCTGTACTCTCGAGCGATCTGTTTCCTCGGCTCTGTAGCTCTTTTTCACTTCTTCCTCTATATGATCCAGGCCTGCTTGGACTCCCTCGCTTTTATGAACCTGTAAAACTTTTAGCGACAACTCAAATCTGCGCTGATCACAATACAAAGCAAACGAACACCTTCTTTTCTGCCGCCAACTCGTGTTCTCCACGTTGCTCACTCATTCTACATTTCATTCTCAAGACAACATAATTCATTTTCTGATTGCTTTTGCTCGCTATTCGATCCCTGACTGGTTCAAGAAGACTACGCGATACGCGGCTTGTCTTCCGATATCTCCTGCTCTGCCCACGGCTGTCATTTCTTCCCGGCATCCTGTCTCCAGCTGGCCAGGTCACGATCTCTTGAACGTGTAAACAACGAGGCTACGTATTAGAGGGACTACCAATTGGCGAAACAAATGCATCGCTTTCGGTAAGCTCGCCACATCAGGTCTCTGTAGTAATCGGACGAACGCTCACTTTTTTCCTAATAACCTTTTCACCTACACCTTTGCTTCCCCCATCGTTCTGCTTTCGGTCGGTGGCTTTGAACTTCAAGCAAAAAATCCGACGCCAAACGCGCCCAGGCTGCAGAGTTCCAGGAAGCACCTACGCCTTTACCTCCCCAGCTCGCACCACCGCAGATTCCCCTACCGTCCTTACCGCCCGTATCAGACTTCCGCACGTCATTGATACTCCCAGAGTGAGTTAAACACGCGTTGTACTCGTTCATTACATCTCTGACCACTTAGGACTTCTCCCGTAATCTTCCTCCGTATTCTTATTGTATCATGCTTGAATGGTACAGTCTTACTCGACGCTTTAGTGTCCTTCGCAACGCTGACGGCATACCAATTGGCTTTCACGATCTCAAGTCCAAATTCGCGGAGCAGAGGGCGAAGGGGTCTGAGAATCAAGTGACAGAGGAAGAGGAGGATATGATTCTCGAAGCGTTGGGGCGCATCCATGCAAGAAGTACTCGACCTAGAGCGAACGTTGGTGGGAACAACGAGGGTGTTAATGAGGATCCGAATGATTCGTCAACGTTGAGTATGGCCGAGGACCCGGACGGTGGCTCTAGAATATCAGCTTCTCCGTCCCTTGTTGGCCGCCAGTCCGTTCGATCTACGGCTACGACCTCGAGTTCTGTGCTGCAAGGATCTGTATCTGCTACATCCGTTTCTTCTGGGAAGACCTCGCAGTATAGCAGGCGGATGAGTAACAACCTCTTCGGGTCAGGCAAGTTTCGAGATCACTCCTACATGCGTACTCAGCGTACCCGGACGGAGAGTACTCGATCGTCTGTAACGCAGTCCGATTCGAATCCCAGCACTAGCACTGTTACCAGCAGAGCACCCAACAACAACTCTGTGTATTCTGATAGTCTCCGGCCTGTCACACCCGAGAACGGCAGCGTCTATACAAGCTCTGCACCGGGGAGCCCCAACAACAATGCCTTGATTGGCAGTGGAGCAGAGTCGATTGCGAGTACGCAAGGTATTGCGCGGTTGTCCAAGACCCTCTCTCCCGAACATTTGAAGCGTGCTTCGTTGGCGTTGGACGAGGTTATCAGAGAACTAGAGGAGGAAGGGGATGACGAGATTGTGATGGAACGATCGCCGATCAATCGCCTTCCTGTTGTTTCTGCTGAAGCGGTATGTTCTTCATGATAGTAGTCTTCCCTGCGTGTTGACATTGTCTGTTTTCAAGCCGCAAGACGGACATGAATCTTCCCCTAGTCCGATGCTGCCGTCACCAGCAGATTACGAAGCTGGTGCTTCCTCCTCAGATGATCAGATCGTAACCGACGCAGACGAAAGTCAGCGTGTCTCGCCATTTCCTTCGAACCGCGCAACTTCACCCGCTCACGGTCGACTACCTGGATATATCCCTGGGATGCCACGACCTATGACTCCTCACGATAATTCTATGGACCTTGACGACCAAACTCCCTCTGCTACCCCACGAGCCACGTCCCCTCGACTTCCCGGCACTCAAGGGAATGTATCCCATGCGCCGTCTCAAATCATTACTTCTAATATGTATAGAAGTAATTCCTCAGCTTCAACTTCTCGGCAGACCTCGAGGCCAACTTCTCCTACTAGCCCTGTTACGACGCCAATATCGTCTGTCGCTCCTCTTATGCTGAATAGAAGTACAAACGGGAGGTTTACTCCGGAAGACCGTTCCCGTAATGGCGGAGCAGCCTCTCCCACGTCTGACCCGCTTGACTCACCTATTCTGGGAAGACGAAGACCGATATCCCCGTTGTCTGCACCCGCATTCCAGCCTCTGGCATCTATGTCATCCGGTTCCCGTCCGAGCGCACCATCGAACATAACTTGGAACGTCGCTGCGAGCCCCACAAGTTCAAGAGGACCACATGTTAGGAATGGAAGTTCGTCAGGGCATAGTAGAAGTGACAGCTCTACGAGTATCGGAATGACCAGTGAAGGTGCTGATGCGGAGGAACGTCCAAATGCCAGTGCAGACGGAAGGAGAGTTCGTTCGCCTGCGTTGCCGGATTCGCCTTGGGTGGATAGCGGACGTGCGAACGGTGGTTACTCAACCGATTCTGAATATAGACCGTCTACTGCAATGTCAGCCATGGACCTTGGATCACCGATTCAGATTGCGAATAGACCCTTGCGCTCACCTACACCGACTAATAATGGTAATGGTGTTGCCCGCTCGCCGACGTCTCCAAGTTTCCCTGAGTTTGGTAGTATTTCGTCAAACACGACTCTGAACGGCGGTCCCAGTCGAAGATCGTCACGACAGAATGGCGGTGGTCATCATTCTTCTTTCTCTCTTGGATCCACACACGCATTGCTCCTTTCGCCTCTTGCGAATTCTTCGCATTCATCCTTGGAATCGGCTGGATCAAGCTATCACTCATGGGACGAGGACCATAAGAAAGATCGGCTGTTTACTTTGTTCAGTCAGCTCGAAACTGAACATACAGAGTGGCACGATATCACCGTTTCCGTCCACGACAAGACGGCTTCGAGCTCTGCGTCTGCATCAATACCGCATGACGCACCGGTGGTCGAAGCGGATAGAATAGTGAAGCACGAGCTTGGGTTATCAAGGAATGACTTCATTGCTATCCAAGAACGCTTGGTGAACGTTGCATTGACGAAGGCTGCTACTCCTGAGGGGCGACACCGGGCTGCTTCTATTCGTAGGCGCAGACCATCAACTTCGCAGTCGAATTACTCTAATAATGGAGGCGATAGCAGGGTAAGTAAATTAGGCTTTGTCAACCGGCTACAAACGTGTACTTAATTGTTGGTTTTTAGGTGGCCAGTCCTGCGCCTGCACCTCAACTACAGTCCTCCGTATCTGCAGTGTCTGCTTCACGTTCGCCAAACAGTGAGCATATAGCCAAAGTCAATGCTCTCCTGGATTCGGTAGTTGATAGCATTCAAGCACCCCAAAGTGACAACGTCCGTGTTAATTCGGTGGATAGTCCTGCCTCTGCTTCTGTTGAACCCAGTCCAGTGGCACCAGCACCGGTGGTTTCCACACCAACACAACGCCATAGGGCTTTAGCAGACGCTCTGTTTGGTGTCGAAGATCGTCAACAAACGACGAATGCGTCCGAAGTGCAGATCACAGTCAGCCCAGACCCTGCACCTTCTCCTGCACCAGCTTCCGAACGTGCAGATTCCTCGAGAACTATTACGATGTCAAGGTCCAATTCCTCTGCGAGAGATCTTACAACGTCAGGATCTTCTGGTATGCAGACGTCTTCGATGCCATCAAGTATGCATGGGCATACCCACATGGACCCCACCCTTTTGTTCGAGGTTCAGCGGCGAGCAGAGGCAGCGACGGCGGCTTTACGCAAGAGTCCCTCTAACCCTAAGCTTGCGGAGGGGAATGGATCAACAAGAAAACGAGTTAGTCCGAACCAGATCTCATCACCTAAGCTTGTGTCCGCTTCGACGAGCGTCGATACCATTCCCCTGCCTCCTTCAACTTCCGTCTCAGCCAACCAACACAGTTCATCGATAAAGTTTGGTTCTCGGTTCAAGAAATTGAGGGGCACTCTTCGCTCGAAGCCGCAACCGAATGGAGAAGAGATCTCGCCATTCCCTCTCGATTTGAAAACACCTACGTCAGCTCAGACACTCTCTTTCAGTCCCGCTACCCTGTCTGTACCTGGACAACCTACCATTTTTAGTGCCAACGAGTCTACGCAATTTAGAGTGTCACCACCGGTCCTGCCTAGCCCACCTGCTTCCGCTGGACCTACGTCTACTTCAACTTCCAAAGGTGGTTTCTTCTCGAGATTCCGCAAACAGCGTCCACACGAAGTTTCAGCACCTCTTGACCGCCACTTCCGAGCGCCTAGGTCTTCAACGTCTTCTTCTCCAAACTCTGCCCCGGCTACAAACAGTCCAGAGATTCGATCAGCACCCGTCCTTAGATCCCAGAGCCCCATAACGCAGCCTGCCGTTAGATCCCAGAGTCCCGTAGCGCAGCCTGCGTCTTCAAGACCAATGTCGCCGCATATGTTCATGCCAAACGCCGTTATACCTGAGGATTCTGTAGCGCAAGTAGAGAACAAAAGCCAAGATGCTGCTTTGCAACAGTTGTTCGATGCTGCAAATAACCTTGGCTTGGATCAAGATGCATTGCATCAGCTGATCGCTCGATCTCCATCGACCTCATCCCGCTCTACGTGGACACAGTTGAGCCGAGCTACTTCACCTGCCGAAAAGCGAAGAAGTCAACAACGAACAAATCTTCAGCCTCCAGCCCTCTTGGATCAGCGACCTAGCATTGATGCGGCTTCTCCACGTCCATCGACTGAAGTCAGACAGCTAAATATCCGCAAGAACACTGAACCAAGTATACCTAGACTTCGACCGGATGCCGGCACGTCTGATGCTGCATCTAATGCCATTGTTCGCAGAACAATCATATACCCTTCCGATTCCCGGACGTCCAATGTGGACTGGAATGCTCTCATCCGTAAACAGTCCACTTCTCGCCGTCGTCGTTCTGCTGGTGCAGGTTCCTTGCAATCAAATCGGTCGATCCATGATCGGGCGCCCACACCGCCGCCTCCCAAGTCTGGAGGAAAACGGTTCTCGTCCACAAGTGATACATCTCCGCCTGTTCCGCAATTGCCTCAATCCTTCACCATTCCTGATATCTCTTTTCCACCTGAGCAAATGGAGAAATCAAATTCTGCTTATGACTCTCTGTATGCTGATTTTTTACGCGGATCTTATTGTCATGTTTGCTAACTCTAGCGTTAGTTATGATATGTACGCTGGTGACAGTAGAGGAAATTCTTCTGCGCATCCTGATACCCAAGGTCCTGGCGGACAACAGCCAGAAGCCGGCCAAGCATTGGAAGTGGTGGAACTTGCGAATGGAGAAACTATCTGGTATGATACTTTATTTAGTTTCTGCTCTCCATCATTTAAATACTTATCGATCCTCACGTTAGGTCCATTGTAAATGGCTTGCGGGACGATGATGCCGAGTCCTTTTATGACGACAGGGCCAGCTTTGTCTCTGAGTATTCTGTGAAGGAAACTGAGGCTGTCAAGGTTTCCTTCAAAGAGCATGGTCGGAAATCATCTAAAGGCAGCACCACTTCTTTCCTGTCCCGAAGGAAACAAGTTCCAGCTGTTAATCGTCCAGAGACGAAGGTGTGTACACGCATACATATTTATTTCTCGCAATGCGTTGACGTCTCGCGATAGGTGTTCTTCAGTTCTTCTGCTCAGATTGGCCGCCTAATTGAGAACCTCTCTCGTGGTATGGACTCGGGTTCATTCAACATCACTCCGGATGGCTCTATTCAACGACCAGCGGGACATTCCGCCACTTCTTCCATTGGTTCCGACGCTGACATGCGGTTTTCGGTAGAGGAGCGGCTGGAACAAATGCTCGGATCAATGACATCTCATCCACAGTAGTTTCTGCTCCATTCAATCCCCTCTCTTTTATGCTCTCATCTTGGGCCGCTTATACTTCTTCTGTCTGTAATATGCTTGGTTCTGGACTCTGGTGCTTCACGATTACTACTTATTAACTTAATACGAGGACCAATTACGCATGACCTTAGGACTGTTATCCATTCATCAAACTCGCTCTCCGACCTAACCTTGCCTCTTCGCGGTGATTCCCTCAATATCCGTGGTAGTCCCGCCATCGGTTGAGACATAGCGTCAGTAGCGCATACACTATAAGGTCCTCGTTATCGAAGTTGCACTGTAGGTGTGCATGGGCAGGGCCAACTGGTGTGTTGTGCAGCGTAGGAAACCGCTCGAAGGCAGCAATTATCGTTGTAGGGCCTGAGAATAACTGAATGCTTGATTAGATTGGTTTGCGATTGCTGCCGCAGTGGTTGAGTACGTACGTCGTATTTATTTACTTCCCTGCATCGCCACTCATAATGCTGACCGTTTGGTCCAGTGAACATTCGGGCGCTGCATCGTTCACCAAAGAGCCGTCAAAATAAAATAAAATAAGAAAAGATTCGAGACTCACTTTGCCTGCGTGCCAGGCATTACGAGGTAGGACATTGGTATAGATGCTCCGCTTCCGATGGTGATGCTACCTAAGAGGATATCACCACCCCAGTCTAAACGGGCGATGGCGATGTTGGCGTCGCGGTACATCTACAAAAAAAAATGACGGAAGGTCACAGTTGAGTGTCACTAATTTTTTCGGCATCCGTCCCAGATATTCACGGTTGTTCTGGTGTCAGAGACCGCGTTTTTTTCAGTGACAAAATGGTAGTACACCGGACGGTTCTGCTTTCCGACGTGGCCCATCATGATACAGCCGTCGCGGATGTCGTCTTTTCCTGTGAAAAAGATATCGTAGAGCTCTTGCTGGGACATTGTGGGTAGAGGGGCTTCACGGGAGAAGACATATTGAACCTTCTGACAAATGCCTTCATATGGCTTGTGGAACCGCAATGCACCCTGACTCAAGGACAAGCTCCCGGTCGAAGCCTACTACCGTGGTTCAACCGCATTCCGGCATGGGAACGAAAAGTCCATCGATGGTGGCGTGGAAGCGGGCATATGGTTGCGCTTGCAGTTCCGGGTGATTGAAGGGGTGAAGATAAACGGACGCAATGTCTTGGGCATGGTAGGACGATCCTCCCAAGCGAGTCATTACAACTCCTGCCTTTCATAGAAATTTACCTTTGGCATCGCGACTGCTAAAGTCTAAATCCGCCACCAGGCACTTCCAGAGCCTTTCAATAATAATGGTGACTTCTAGGACGTTTTCTGCCATATGCACGTGGCATGAGGCATATGCAACATTCCATTCCAAGCAATTTGCTTTCTCTCGCTCGTTTGCAATTGTCTCCCCCGCGGCCCCGTGCTGTCTCGGAGTGGGGTACGGGTGGAGTCAGCTATTTTCCGCTCGTTGAGTTTCATCTTACACAGTAAAAGCCGTCAGATGACCATATAAAGCCACAAAACAAGTATGATATAATGTTCCAAGAGACAACACTCGAGCAATGTGCAGAAGATACAGAGCAAGATGACAGAGACTAGACGACGTACGATACGGTAAAGCAAAAATAAATGTAACCTCCTCTCACGAGTTAACTTTCCAGAGAGTACGCTTACGCAGCTTGCGTGTGACATGGACTGCGCTACCACTAAGGTTGTTCGAACCACCGAAGGCCAGAACGACGGTTTCCTCACCCTGGCCTCGCGCAATGCCCCGCTTTCTCGCTTCGATAGCATCTTTCGCGAACCTGAAGCGCGCTTGGTCGGAACCTAATCATGAATAGAAAAAGGTGGTCAAGGGTGAATTCATTGGACCGCGGAATGAAGAGAACGTACCAATTTGGAATGTCGGCGACTCGATGGCAGCCTTGAACATATCAAATGGAACTCTAGCAAAGATCTGCAAGAGGGTATCTCTGCCGGCATCGGAAGCTTGGCAGTCACCTTGTGGTGTCGCAGGACTCGAAAGACCGCCAACGTTGAGCATATTTGGCAACGTTACCACCAAGAAGTGGAAGACATCGTTCTTCAGCCTGTCTGCATACGGGCCGAAGATGGCCGTTCGTGAGACAGGTAGATGATGAGGCTCTATTGGAGTGCTTGACCCGTCCGAAGATGTCGGGATAGAATCGACAAATTCCAGCCACTCTGATATGTTATCAACGGTGATGGACTGCCTGCACAACTCGTAGGCATAGTTGCAGAGGTAGTCCATGCCACCCAGAAGACAGGCGGCAGCCAGGACACCTCGCGCATTTTCAGGGCGAACGATGTTCAACGATTCAGGTGAGTAGAGGTAACCCAAAGCTATTCAATGGATGAGACGCGTTAGCATGAGGAGCAAACTCTATTGCACGAGGAAAATATTACCGATGGCAAAGCCCTGACAAGACGATCGGTTGATAAGTCACGGATATCCTTCTGAGACAGACCTATCTACTCACCTCCTGGGTGACTTCCGGATCATGCTCCAGATGAACGTAGATTGTCCTTTGACCGGCGGATTGTGGCGACGTGGACATCAGGTGAGCAAGGTATGGGGAACGTGATAGAATAATAGCATGTAATCTGTAAGAACTTCCATGCACATGCTACAATAGACGGTATCAGATATGTGCTTTACGGTACTTCGTGTGTGAAGTATTGCCATACCAAGATCGTGTCAGCATAGTTCTATGAGGACGTGAAGTCAGAATTGACATCATGTATGCGACAACATGAAGCAAACGCACGGCAGTCTGGAAGCCAGCATGGTATAAATGATTCACAATGGCTTCATTATGCAGGTGGTAAGGTGTTCTGTTAAACCAAGGACGTCGGCGTCAATAAAGCAAACTCGGATAAACGCGAACGCGTCAGAAAAAGCACAGAAGACATTGACGGCGATAAAATAGTCAAGCACATGCCGAGGGAGATGGGAATCGTTTGCATTCCTACGGCAGTGAATCAAACACCTAAGCGACGTTGACGTAACTCCCCAGAGTGTGGGGTAAGATGAAAGGAAGAATAGTGGCACCGCAAGGATGCACAAGAGTCCGATTGCAAACGGTCAACCACAACTCTGGAACGTGGGGAACGACAATCATACACAAAGTGTAAGAGATACGCACGGTGCATACCCATTCATAACGGGAACACCTCCTGCACTTGTTGAGCCTGCGTGATGCGCGTAAGCTTCGCCATGCCCCGCGTCGACCACCCCTGCTCCGTTGCTAGGACCGCTGTAGCCGTTCATGGTCATAAATCGTAACTCTAGGTGAAAAGGAGCGAGAGAAATAGGAAGTTGGAAGGAGAGCTGAGCCCTCGGGTGGCAACGAGGACGACGAGCGAAAGGGTACAACTACAGGCGCCAACGTCTATACTCGAAAGGGTCAAGAAAATCCTTGTCACAGGTCACACGCTCTGGATAAGGCAATCTGAAGTTTATGGAAAACAACTCGGCGGAAGACTGTTGAGTTATGCTGTGATCAAGAACTACATTAGGTACGTATATGAGTTTCCGCCGCCATGAATGTGTGCACACGACCTCTCTTCATTCACCCAAGTAATTACTGTACTTACCAGGCATTCAGAGTGGTAATGTTTAATCATTGTCCAGGATTCCCTAGCAGGAGGATCGTGCATGTTTGCATTGAATTAAGCAGCTTGGGCACACGACAGCCAGGCCAGAAACCCGTGCATATCTAAGACTTCCCCAACATTCTCTCCCACGTCCGAAGCGCGAATCACTTCAGGAACCTTCATAGAGACAAACGTCTCGAAGAGATTCATAACTACGCCTCTCAGTTTAGCTGTTGGACCACAAATGGGCGGGTACGTGGGTGGTGGGGAACTATATATTGTTCTTCCTTCCACATCCTTCCTAAGAATCTATCAAAATGGGGCTAAGTCATCCTTTGCGTTCGGAGTAATCCAGAATTCGACGATCCGCACCATATGAGATCGATCCGATGCAAAGTGATCGAGAAAGACGTTAGCCTCAATCACTCTAAGCAAACTGTATCATAGTAGATACGGAGTAATCAGACTTTTTGGAACTACGTATATCTGATGTATAGCGATGACGATACCTTTCGTATTGGTCGTTCAGTTCGAATTCCGTTTGAAAAAGATATGGGAAGGTGTCGGCCATATACGCTGAAGATTCAGATTTAAAAACGTTCAGTTAGGGATAATGCACTTATCCAGTCTGCGGACTCACATCCCGCCGAGGATGGGACTGCTAACCGAGTATCAAAGTCATATATCCATGCTTCATGCTTTGCAGTGTTCACCGGACAATCCTCATTGTCCGATGAGCATGTGGCAAGACGAGGCCGCAAGACGAGAATTACGTGGTAATCCCACACCACGATCTCTTTCCGTGCTTTCTGACGCCATAGAGCAACCTATTGCAGATCATGCGAGCGTACGTCAAGTTCGCCGTCCAGCTATCAATTGTATGAATGAAGTGTGAGTTCACCGTCTTGTTATCATTGGAAATGAAGACCACATAGATATCCCATGGGAATACTTCCTCCTCATGTTGCAGCTGGTTACGAAACGTTTGAGTCAGCAGGTAGATGTTCTCTTCACAATAACAACTTGTGTAGAGAGCATCAGGCGGCAGAGGAGGCGGCAGTGTGGGAGTTCCGATGATAGGATTAGTATTGATTGGCATGTGCATGGAAGAACCAAGCATGATAGTATTACTGTTCACTTCGAAAGCAGGGATGCATACGTAGAATAGAATAAGAGAAACGTAGGAGTGGAGGGTATGTCGAGGTAGATGGTGGCAAATGTTATGTAATGAAGCACGGAAACACAAAATGACAGATTATCGAGAAGCAATTACCCAAATAGGATATCCTAGAACCCCACCAGCTGTGGGCGAAATCACAAGCCAGCCAGAATTTGAATGGAAAAGAGATGTGTGGCCCAAAAGCCTCCTAGAAAGTCGTAACAAAGTCATGAGTCTGTTCAAGAGTACGAGTCAGACATCGTCCAATCACAAGGAATGCGAAAGAAAGGAGGAAAACTCACGGGAGGGTATAAAATCACGTGTAGGTATTCTCGATAGCGTCACAGCTTCGCAGCCACACCATTTCTTTCACCAACTCCTCTTCGTTGATGTAGAAGACGATGAAGTAAGCCTCGTCTGGTCAATGCTCCATGTCTGCTTGTTCGTCAGAACATCCGAGACCTTCTTCTTGAGGAGAATGTCCTCGAGGTCTGGTGAGGAGCGTTCAGGACGGAACGGAACAAAGATGGGACCCTTTGTGCCCCGCTTTGTAGGTGACGATCGTGTGGGCTGTGGAGCATGGAGAGGGGTCGACGTGGTTTGTGTCGAAGACGAATGAGACTTTGTAGTAGGTGCAGTGCTCGTCTTCGTGAGGCGAGGGATGGGCAATGGATACTGCGACGGCGGCGCAGGTTTGGGCATCAGACCCGAGTTGTTCGTGAAGGGGTGAGTGGCAAGAGGGTCGAAAGAGGAGAGGACGGAGTGGGTCATGGTGGTAGATTGGTAGTGGTGATGGTGGTGGTTAACGATCAAGAGTTCCGATGTGTCGCAGAGGGTATTCCGAGGAGACTATATGTATGGAATACGGTCAGGGCGTTACTGCTTGAATGCGGGGATGCCTGGTCGCGTAATATGACAGATGTGTGGGGTAAAGGTGCCGGTGAACAAGAGTGATTAAATAGCAAACCCGAAAAAGTTAGAATATAGGTTACGGGGAAATCGCGGGCCACCGGAAGCAAAGTCTGCCACTCCAGGAAAGCGATCACATGCGTTGGCCCCTGCAACGACGGGAGGATGAATACCCATGAATACTTTGTCTACATGAGAAACTTGGGCCCCTGCGACTGGAATACCTCCGATACGATCTTGCACGCCGATGCAGGAATTTGGAAATAGAATCTCCTCTCTTCCACGTCGATCAAAATAATCATGCTACTTTGTGACAGTCCCTTTCTTTCCTCGTGTGCAATACCTTGCTTTCGTCTCGTTGTTTCACCAAGCTTTCACCGAACACGCCTGCGACAATCTGCCCGCAAATGTGTGTTCTTGCGCCGCCGTCATGCATTGTTTGATGCACAATTCCTCATGTCCAGATCAAAGCGTACTTGAACAGCGCTGTCCCGTGTGATAATGTTGACTGCCAAGGTTAAGCAGGGTCAAACCCGGGGTTATGAATAGTACAAATGTCGTGCAAACTGCCGAATCAAAGCGCACAAGCCTGCAGACAGGCCGAGTAGGTAAAAGTTTACAGGTAATCCCGCCGTTCTTCACCTCAAGTTACCCATCTAGTCATTTCCGCTTGAACACCTTGTCAGTCATGGGTCGTAGTTGCGACGCTCGCAATCCCAGAAGCCGTGCTTCGTCAAGTAGCATTTTCCCTGGCTTGCGGCTTAGCGGCATCTTGCATAACTCAAAAGGAACGCTCTCACGAATGACTGTCCCTAAGTTCAGCGTCTGCGAGCAGCGTGTATGTACGACCGGGGCGCGGGGGTAGTAGCCACTGGACAGAGAAGGGGCCATAGAAGGCTCTGCAAATCAGCGGTTGCCAGATAGATTCATCAGGTGCTCAGCACGCAAGAGTTATTAACGTCTTCGGGCGGAACACCTCTACTTCCATACTTTAAACTGCTCCAGGTTTGTATATCGTCTATCCACTTTGAGGCACCACGGTGACTTTCGGGGTGGCAGGGTGGCAGCTTAAAGAAGATGCCGCTCTGAACTGTACTTAGTGGTTCCAAGGCCATATTGAATCTTAGCTTTAAGATGAATCGTAGGCCCGGAAGCCCGCTTTAGAGGTCATAAGATGATGGGCTGCAGCGGAAGGTACGATCCTGAGATCGCGGAGGAGTGATCTTGCAGTCCATATTCTGTTCGTCCGGCTGAGATTAGTTCAGGATCTTTGAATGAAGGGATAGATAGCATATTGATCATCATCAGAAGAAACGCAACCGACTAAAAGAACCATCGGAGCAGCGCGAAGAAAGAATGTACTTGTGGGGAAACGGTAGCAAGGTTTGACATGGAGAGCGGACATATGTCGAGAAGAAGGTCCACGAGCCGTGAACGATGTGTCATTGGATGGACTTCAACACGACATACAATGTCAGGCGATATGTTTGTCTGTGGGAACCAGCTGGTACATTGATAGTACGATTGAGAGGATCACACAAATGCGGCAAACCACCGGAAACACTAAGGACCGTTGCGCAATTTCTTGGGACGATCCCTGTGGTAAATGAAGCGACAAGGTTCCGTCTGATAACATGAACATTAGAATGAGTCATAACTCACTTGCCACAGCTTCTATGATTCACGCGATTCCGTTTGAATGACGATGTGCATCTCCAGAAACGTCTATCGCAGCTCAAAGAAGTGTCAACGTCACAACGCGAAAGTCTTGGAAGCAAGGTCGGAACGAAGCACGGAAGGCGTAATCTCTCGGTAATGCAGAGAGCGAATGTGCCGTGTAGCGATGGTCAAGTAGAATAATCTGACATTCCAACAGAGACTTCGAATGTTGGGAAAAGCAAGAGATTCGGAAAAGGCGAGATAAGAGTATGGAAAACACGGGCACCCGCAACATACGTGGAGCAAGCCCAGCACACAAATTGCACAATAGACTGAGAATTGAATATTGAGCTCCAAGATCATCAGATATAGGAGGGACAACTGGGCCGATGCATATGTTCAAGGAGTCATGGAGAGTGGAGACAAAGCTGTTGTGGAACGAGACGCTCGTGGCAAGTATGTACAGAGCGGTCCGGAAGTTCCGCTTGGGCGCCTTACCTCTTCGGGAAATTTTCATGCGAACGGTGCAGCCGTCGAGCTCAGTATCCTCGACGTTGAGTGCTTCGACCTTTTGCAGGTGTCTGAGACACCATGTCTACCACTCTTGAACTCTTTTGGCATCTCTCTTCTGCTAACAAAAAGGACCGCCTCGATGCTTCGGCCAAGTTGATCGGTGCACTTGAACGTTTTCAAGCCGAGTTCGTACCCAAGGAGGCTCCGGAGACTTCTGACGAAGACGAGAACGAGGAATTTAGCGGGAAAAATCGCGATGGCTTGGATGCATTGAACGCTCAGGATGTTTCCTATTCTATCAGGCGACTGGTCAGAGGATTGGCTAGTCCTCGCGAGAGCAGTAGGCTTGGTTTTGCAGTTGCCTTGACTGAGGTACGTGATACTTATATCCTCTCCTTACTCTTTGTCTGAAAGTTGCGTTTAATACATAGCTGCTGTCACGAATTAATACGGTGACATGTTCTCAAGCGGTCACTTTGATTTTGGACTCTTCCAAGACTCAAGGATCAATGACTGGCCAGGAAGAGCGCGACGTTCTCTTTGCACGTCTATTTGGATTGACTGCTGTGATTCAATCTGGACTTATCGTCCGTGACACACCACTATCTTCATCTGCTTCCTCAGCTACCGAAGCATCCAATCTTGCAAGTTTCTCAGAAGTAATCTCAGAATTACTTGCTCTTGGCGAGAAGCGGTCCTGGTTGCGTGAAAGTGCCTGGTGGACGATAGGCCTCGCTGTCGATGCTCTGGGTGCTTCCTCTGTGTATTGGAAGGATGATGCCTTCGAGGCTGCTCTAGAGATGATCTATGTGGAGAATAAAATCTGGACTCCCGAAAAGATCGCCCTGACACTGAAGTTACAAAAACTCCGTGCGGACGCGGACTGGCGCAAACTTCTGTCCCCTCCTTTCAAACAACCGGAGATCACGCATAGTGGGAATTACACCGCGCTTGCACGAATTTTGAAAGTACGTGTTACTCTGGTTTCGTTAAGGTTATTGATATATTGACCGTTATCTTAGGAAGTGAACGCTGATGAAGATGAAGACGCTGACGTCAAGTCCAAGACTGTCTCATGGAAACCTCAAGTTCACTATGTCTGGGACTTACTCCTTGGGGAAGTTCTTTCACCACAGTCCTCCAAGGGCTCATTCCCTGAAATGTTCCGAATCCTAGTTGATGGTCAGTCCTATGACATGATGCGTGTCTGAGTATACGGCATTCTCATTTTTGATGTTGTGTAGAATCGCTTTTCTCGTCCACCTCATCCCCGGAAAGAAAGTACTGGGGATTCCAGATTTTCCAAAAAGCACTCTCGCGCGTTTCAGCCACGGACTTGCCCATGCTTTTCACCAAGAATTTCATGCGTTCGTGGATCAATCACCTCTCCAACAGCGATCGCTATCTACACAAAGCTGCCAAACAAGTGGTAAGCGACCGGATCTTGTTCTGCATGTGTATCATTACCTAAAAGCTCGTGCTTTTTGTAGGTCACTGACATTCAAGGTCTTGTGAAGAAAGACCCTACGCTTGGTTTTGCTTTGATTCTCCAGCTTACCGGCGTCCATGGGAGCCATCAATTTGACAAGCTGACTAAAACAAAGACCGTTGAGACAATCCTTACTTCAATGGATAACGAGGGCATCCAGAGCTATATCAAGTATCTATTGGGACAGGTTAACGATCAGGAAGGAGGCAAAACGTGATTCTGATCTATTTCAAGATAACGAATAACCTTACTGAATTAGATTCATTAGGGCCGATATACAGGCGATCAACGCTCGACGCGCATGGGTAATCGAGCAGCTTGCCGCTCTCGTCCGGAATGGTGCTGTTCCCAAGGATGACGCATGGGTTCAGGCCGTTCTGGACTGGTTCACCGTTCACGGATTGTTCATAGTTAGAAAGCAGTCTGAAAAGTCCGAGTTTCTCGCGGTACGTTTTGGGCTCAGGGCGGAATCTCGCGAGGAAACTGAGAATTTTACAGCTGCACTCCATTCCAGCACCTCCTTTCTCAGACGAATTGCGCAAACTGTGCAGGGAACGACTGCTTAGCTGCTTGGCAGAACTCACGACTCATGCGTCTGTGGTGCAAACTGGTACGTCACTGACCCGATCTTCTTTATCGTATGGCTAGCGGTATTCATGACGTCTGCTGTAGACGACAAGAACATCAAGGTTTCTGCGGTTGCGTCTGATGGACAGTTCTGGGTTTCGAAGGTTCTCAGCACAATCGAACGGCTAGATAAAGACACCAAGCATGTTCGTCGGATCGTGGAAGCGGAGGAAGAGGAGGAAGAATTGCGTCAAAAGGCCCGAGAACTAGCCTCCCGCTTAAGCAAGGTGCTTTTTCTACGTTGTGTCGTCATCAGGATCAGCGAGCTGAATTCGGGTAATACGCAGATAACGGGTGAACAACAAGAGGCTGCGAAAGGTGCCGAACTATTGGTGTCAGCCACCCTTTTACATCACTACTGTGCTACTGATGACGAGGACTCGGATTCGGAGGCCCTTCAGGTACTTGTCTGACACAGCTGCTTCCCCATATAGTCCTTATCTTTTACCCTCGTTACAGAGCTGCGTCGATGGCGCGTCCGGGATGTTCCCCGTGGAAACCAAGAAGACCAAGAAGTCTCGCAAATCGGTCACTACATCTGCCGACGAGGTTGCGCCAGAACCGATTGATCTCCTGGTGGATACTGTCATAGGTTCCTTGGAGGAGGCTACAGCATATATGCGTGCTGTAGCCAATCAGGTCTTTACGCTCTTATCCGGCTCTGTGAAAGAAAGCACAATAGATCTTATCGTCGCGGTACGTCATATTTCCTATCGAACGTCCTTTTCCCAAGCATCATATTGAATACGCCCGGTTTCTAGCAACTTTCACGGCGCGATCCTGCAGAACTCCTTCAGGATGAGGACGAGGACATGGAAGACAGTCCGGATGCGGATAGCGAAGATCAAGAAGATAGCGAGTCGGAATCTTCCCATGACGAAGAGGATGACGAGGAGGATATGGAGGAAGACCCAGAATTGAGACGAAAGATTGAAGAGGCACTTCGTGTCAACGGTATCAACGCGGCGACGGGCGAATCCGACGACGAGTCTGATGAGGAGTTCATGGATGATGACCAGATGATGGCCATTGACGAGCAACTCGCTGCGGTTTTCAAAGCTCGTGCAGACGAAAAGCGTAATAGTTAGGATACAGTTTCAATCGCTTGATGTTCATTATGAGTGACATTGATTTTTCACAGGTGGCGTCGATGCTCAAAGAGAAGCTACGCATTACAAGAATCGTGTTCTCGATCTCGTGGACATCTTTTTGAAGAAGCAGCCTACCAGCCCGCACGTCATCAGGGTAATTTTGCCTCTCGTTGAGCTTATCGTCGACACTAGCTCGGATGAGAAGCAGCTTGCGGATAAAACCACCGGCATCCTTCGATCAAGAATTGGCAAATCGAAGGAGATTCCCGCAGACGTTGATAAAGAACAAGCTATAGTGGTGCTGCAAGAACTTCATGTTCGAGCTCGTAAGGCACCATCATCGGATGTACTTGCCACCCTCAATCAGTGCAGCTTGTATCTTGTGAAGACACTTCTCAATCGGGGCGACGCTGAGCAAGAAGTCGTCAAGGCCTATCAAGAGTCGCTGAAAGATTTCATCACCCGAAAGGCGTCCCGCCTGAATACGGCATTCTTGCAGGATTTCATCCGCCGCTATCCTGGTGCAGCGTGGAATCTGCGCAACAACCTTATCGACGTCACAAAGACCGCGGTTAATGGTTATCGCCAAAGCCAGGCCTTCCAGTTACTGCAAGTGCTGGTCAACCAGCTGTTCGCTATAGTAAGTGATGACCTCACACAGTAATCAATTTTACCTAACCTGCATATAGGGTGACCACAAAGAGGAAATCATTTCTTTCATGCCGAGCTTGCGGGACGCGATCCTCGCGGCTGTCTCCAAAGCATGCACCGAGGCGTCTCTGACGGCCGCTCATGTCAAGGAGATTCTTAAGTTAGCAATTTCAGCGGTTCGTCAGAGTAAGCGCATTGTTTCCAGTCCGGAAGAACTGGCAACATTGTGGGATCCCTCAAGCTGGGAGGAGCTCTCCAAGAATCTTGCCACATCGGACTCCTTGAAAGCGGCCGCAGGTCTGCAAAACCTCTGCAAGCAGGTTATCCGGGCTGTCAACCAATCATCCACCAAGGACAGCACGAGTAGCAACAAACCATCTTCAGGTGCTACTAAGCGGAAAGCTGACGATGGGGAACAGGGTGACGAGGAGGTCGTAACCAAAAAGGCCAAGCGGAAAAAGGTCAATAAAAACAAATCCTCCTAGATTAGATGCTGTGGTATACGATTCTAGAATATGAGCTTCGATCTATTGCAGCAGTATTCGTAAGTCATGTAACGTCGCGGAAAGCTCTGGCGGCATTGGGCCTCTGAGCAACTTCAGGCATTTTCGCAACCTATGGCCTATTCAGTGCACTGACATTACCTCGTCATCATGAGACTCACCTGTTCCTATTGACTCGCCGTTCTACTTGAGCTTTCATGGTTTGAGCTTTTTCACTGGCCGTTTCAAGTACCTTCTCTGGAACACCAGCAAGACGCGCACACTCCACTCCAAACGAGTCGACGGCCAGTCCTCGCATGAGCTTGTACAAGAAGGTAACTTCTCGCGTTCCGTCTATTCTGGTATCTTCTGCGAATCCCATATGTCGGTTTTCGACGTCTGCGGGAAACTTTTTCTCCAAATCGGTCGCAACCTGAGGATAGTGGGTGATGAAGAGAGTCTTGCACTTTGTATTCTGGATTAGATGTTGAAGAACGGCGCTGGCGACTGCCATCTAGACGAGATCATTCAGTCACACATACTGTATGAAAAAAATTAAACACTTCACATACCCCATCAAAGGTCGAAGTGCCACGCCCAAGTTCGTCAAGAATCACTAAGGACTTCCGCGTTGCAAACTGCAGTATTTCGCTGGTTTCTTGCATTTCGACCATAAACGTCGATCGTCCCCTGGCCAATTCATCCGAAGCTATGTAAATGCAGGGGCGACGTCAAACCATGTGGTAATCTTATGGCTGGAGAAGCAACGCACCGCCCATTCGAATCAGGATACCATCGACCATTGACATCCGCATTGAGGTAGCCGGAACATATGAACCAATCTGCGCCATCTGTATACAATCGGAATCGGAATGATAATCGAAAAATAGAGGGGTGTAGATACTCACAATACTGCACAATGCCACCATTCTTACAGTCAAACTCTTACCGCCCATATTCGGCCCAGTTATAATCTTACTCCTGGGTTCCCCAGCACCCATTCTGATTGTATTAGGTACAAAGGGTTCATCCCGCACTGCCTCTACCATCGGATGTCGACCTTCCACAATTTCCAAAACATCACCATCAGTTTCCGCATCGCAGAATGTCGGTCGAATATATCCCTGCTGGAGGGCAAGGAGTGATAGGCTGATTAGGCAATCTGCCACAGCGAGCTTGTTGACGGCGTCTCGAAGGAGGGCGTAGTGATCTTGGGAGATCCGCTGGAGGAAAGAGTGATAGATTTGATTTGACTCCAGAGCTATGGCTTCTTGCAGTTGGGCCCGACGTTCTACAAGTTCTTTGACCTTGGGTGGCCGCCAACGACGCACTGTCTTGGTACTGTTTGATGTCTATCAGTGAAATCATATGGGGGTGGAAGAGAATCGGTCAACCTAGATATGAGCATCCAATCCGCAGGAATCTCTCGATTCTCATTCTTCTTCACTTCAACAACATACTAGAAGTCTCACCGTATCAGAAACGTTCGCTCAGTGGGAAATCAAGAATATACACTCACCTCCTCACCGTTCCAGGTTGTATATTGCAACGCGGGCTTCTTGATCGTTTTACGAACTATATCAAATTTAGAGAAGATAGTTCCGCATTAGAGGTGGATGGCGCACTAGTCTTAAGTTCATCAACCAACTCCGACTCGTTCGCTTGTAAATCCTGCAGCTCTTATTTAGCACGCAGAGCACCTCATAGAGACCACGATCACTCACAAAAGTAAAACTATCCAGGTCAGGGTATTTTTCCAGGTCCTTCCACATCTTGTCTTTTTGTCCTTCTTTGGCCATGGCAAGGTTAACTTCTCCTAGTAAAGCTATCATAGGCTCTCTCAACTTTGGAAGAGCGAAGATGACGTCGTTGAGTAATAGAGACCTGAACCCAGGACGATCGTTTGGGTTGAAGGCGGTGGCTATTTTATAGAAAGCCGGCAGGAGACTCGCTAGCTCTTGTGGGGTGCACTAAACAAAAGAAGTGAATAAAAGAACAGCAGTTCATATCTGACTTCGTAAACGTACTTTGCCGTACTGTATTCGACATAAACCTCTGGCAAGATCGGGCGAATTCTTCAATAATTGTCGCAATATTGTCAGCTTTCCGGAAGTGGTATGCATGATCTCTTCTACCGCGTCCGTGCGCTCTTTCAGAGCACTGGCCAACCATCATTAAGTGAGAATGCAGAGATGAGGAATACGTGACTTACACAGCATCAACTAGAGGTCTTCCGACCCAACTTCTCAACATCCTTGCCCCAAACTTGGTTGTCGTCCGGTCCAAAATCCACATGAGCGAACCTTTCTTCGTGAAGTCAGTCTCGTTGCGATAGATTTCCCTAGACAGGTTTAGTATTAGTGTTTTAGGCAATCAATTGTAACCGAATTGCACATGTTCAAGAGTCCAAGACTGAAAGGTGATAAATGCACTCACAAGTTCGTCAAAGTATTCCCATTCAGCAACATGTGCGTTCTCTCCGTAAACTTGGAAAAGAATTTGGTTTCCAACAGCGCGTCTGCCACCTCGAACTTGGACAAATATTTCACGACGTGAGCCAATGCGATTACGACGGATTTCGGAAAGTCTGAGACCGCGGCCATAAGGCGACCTATAGATGCGAGAAGAGACAAGAGAGACAATATCAGTGTCGGTGTGGATGATGTGATGTCCTGAAGCATAGTCCTTTACCTGATTTGAACTCATCCGAAGCTTTTGCTTGCTTAGATTTGTCAGTGTAATATTTGGTGAGGTACGAGAAGGCTTCAGTATATGTAAGGTCGTTCTTGTATCGTTCAATTCGTGTCCTATGTTCTGCGGTAGAGTGGCTACAGCAAAAACGGATGAGTTCACATTGATGTCGATGGACGATAAGGGAAGTGGTCAACTCACGCAGTAAAATATGTTAACATCTTCTCCGTCGGCTTGCTTAGTTTGTTTTGGGGGAGTAAAAGTTCGCTTGGAGTGGTATGGACCATCCTTGTCTATGTTGCTTAACTGTCAGTTTACACATTATCGCCAAGTGGGAGATGCTCACCTCTAATTCGGTCCTCATATGGTTGTCTTAACACAGAATAAAACGAACACTGAACACCACTCAAATGCGAAACGAGAGATTTCAACACACCATCAAAATGATCCCAAACCACGTCCCCCGTACTAGGCGACACGGCAACCATCCCAATGCACACTTTCTCATCCGCACCCATACCACCACGAAGCTCTTCCACTAAGCATACCAATGGTGCAACTGACACAGGATCTAAATCGTCAGCGGAGCCTAGATGGTCAACATACCTACAAGCATGTCTTCAATTTCGGCGCTGGGGTGTAACGAAAGGAAGGGGAGGGTACTTACGTTGCGGCAGTATAGAGGTTGGTAAGTTCTCGAGCGAATAGCTCGTTACGTGTGTCTCCGACTTTCTTAAGAGCTGCTGTCTCAGTCTGACCTATGATGCCAACTTTGTAACCTTGGGATAACAACCTATGAGAAGTAAACCTTTAGACAAGGATGAAGAACGAGAAGGGGAAATTTGGGTACACGTACTTTCTGAGATGGATATCCCGACGGTGGACGGGTATGGAGGCAGTTAGGAAGTTGCGGTGCTGAAATGCTATGATACCAAGTTCTTTGGCTGCAATCTAGTGGGAATAGTTAGGATATGCTTAACTACATTGGTCACTTTCAGGTACATACAGGTGCATCTTCACCGAAGAACCGATATTTATATCCAACCTCAAACATGAGGATGGTACCCGGATGCTTGCGCTTCAGCTCGAGAATCTTTGTACAATTCATTAGTAATGTGATAGAAGGTTCGGAACATTCAAGGTCGTACCTGTAACTCAAGCGGCGTGTAAGGTTCACCACTCGGTCCTATCTCCTTGCTCTTCTTATTCCTACTCGGGGCAACCGAGCTCCTCGCTTTGCCCTTGCCTTTCACCTTGGGATTCGTGAAGAAGGAAATAGTCTCTTCGAACTTTTCGTCCTCATCATGTGCTACATTGTGAGCTGACGTCTTGTGGCTGACAGGCGTATTGTCTTCTAAGTCGTCGTCATGTCCTAACCCATCCACCTCTTCACCATGAGCGAAGACATTCTTATCTCCTAGCAGTATCTGCTTGGCACGTTCCCGACGTTTCCTCTGAGACGGAGCGTCTCTGCCGTCCTTTTGCTTTTGATCATTCGATGAAATTGGGTCAAAGCGATACCTCTCGACTGCACCTCCATCATTGGTGCTACGTGACGGCCCCGGAACGGCATTTCGAGGTGTTGAGCGTGAAGGAGAAAAGAAATCACTAGTGGTAGTCCTCTGCCTCTTTCGAGGTGCTTCGACGTCGCTCGCATCTGAGTCTAACGTCAAGTCAATAGGAGAACTTGACGAAGTCGCGGCTGGCCGACTCTTCCTGGGAGTATTTGACGGCGTTGTCTGAGTAAAGAATGAGGAGATCACAGGCTGCTCTCCGACTTGTCTAGATTGTTTTCGTTTCGACATTTCTATGCGTAGTCGAAGAATGAACGTGGTTGGAGGTTAATGAGTATGGAGGAGGCTCACCAAGACGCGTTTATGGGAAGTGTCGACGCGTTAAGGTCACGTTTTGATCCCGATCGAATCTCGATCAACGAGTTTTGAAGCTTGAGTCAAGGACACGAAGATCTAGACGTCCGCTCTCATCATGGCGACCAGTTTAACCAGAGTGGTTGAATTGAGAGTCTCTAACCACAAGGCATACGTATGGGACGTTGACGGTGAGTACCTCTAGTAAAACTTTCATTGACGGTACTAAATTCATCTGGTGAAGGATAGACATTGCTATTCTCCGAGCTGAACACCACATTTGTGGCGTTCTTACAGGAACGTTACCTCATGTCTCACAACAGAACGTTTTTCTTGGACCCCCTTTAATTCTGCTTCCGGAAGAAGTCGTACTTCTAGTACAAAAAGGTACGTTTTCGTATTCCGTCCTTCCTTCCCGTGCAAGTCTCACTGATACAATTTTGCATCTAGAATTTGCCGTGCTCGTAGATGATCCAATAGCCCATCATACTCCCTCTACATCTAAGCTACGGAGATGGAATTCTGACCGTCTAGTCTCTATTCGCGCCCAAATGGGCGCTGTAGAATCCAAGGAGCCAAACAAGAAAGCAGAGTCTTTATCTGAAGAAGCCCTCCGGAAACGAAGGGAACGAGAAGAAACGAAGGCTGCTGCTGCGCGGGCTAAAGCATTGGCTGAAGGCAACACCGAAGAGTCGACGCTTCAAGACAACCTGTTTTCTCCTTCCCCTTCGTCTTCTGCGACACCCGTTCCCCCGGCAGTAGACGAACGACCCGCGACCCCAGCAACATCTGCAAACCTCCTAGGCTCCCTCTACACTGTGACCATTCCTGCGAGTTCTCCAGCAAGTCTACCGTGGTATTCCTCCGATGGTCTGACATATTCGACTTTGGAGAGTGCGAAGGAAGCAGGAATCTGGACATATCCTAGTGACTTGCACGAGCGGGCAAAATGTGGGGTCTTCCGAGACCTTTGGGAGAATGGGTTTTATATGGGTGGTGGAATTAGATTTGGTGGTGACTTCCTCATATATCCTGGTACGTTTACCGTTATCATGTTGAAGTTGTGAGTCCGTTTTCTTTGGGGCTGACCGACCTATGCAGGCGACCCACTTAGATATCACTCACATTTCGTTGGGACGGTCATCGATTCCCCGACCGCGGCTTTAATGCCGATGGAGATTGTTGCTCATGGCCGTCTTGGAACGGCGACCAAGAAGGCGCATTTGTTGTGTGGGTGGGATGACGAGAAACAGGAAGTATCATATTATTCCATTGAGTGGGCCGGGTTTGGTTAGATAACTCCTGATAAAATGTGGAACGTATGTGGAGCAACAGGTATACAGTGTACAAGGTGCCATGAAATGAAATATGCCGGTGAATGCGGGAAATCGATTGGAGAAAAGTCTACCATACGCTGAGATGAGAAGATGAAAGGGTCAAAAATTTACATCAATCCAACTTCCGTCTATTTGATTCCCCTCGGCCACGCAACCTCACCCTCGAAGTCGCCTTCGCCTGACTCGCAGGTCTCTCCGCAGGTTCTGGCCGAGTCTTCAGCCTGTTCATTTCTAAACTCTCTGTCCCTGCACCTTCTTCGACACTCTCTACACTATCACTTAACGTCCTTCGATGCCTTGAATTCATACTTCCACTTCCTCCGTTTCCTCCGCTGGCGGCGAGGTTAGCAGCAGTCCTGCTCCCGATACTAACGACTCTGATGATGGTGTCATTGAGGAAGGTGACGGGTGCAAAGATGCGTATGCGTATGGGGATGTATGGAGAGGGGTGCTGAAGTGTTTCTCCACCTGATGGGTTGTAGGGATCGATTGGCTGTGGTTTTGCATGCATTGCCATAATTATGTACTAGGGGGAGTCATATAAGTTCTGAGCAGAAGGTGTTAGTTAGAATGAGGACGTACAGCTGGGAAGAAGAGTGCAAAAAGTGCGGCATTAGCCAGACTACTACCCCACATGCACAGGGCAGCTGACGGGAGACCTGTGGAAAACATGTGAGGGGCATGAACATACAGTGGCAATTCGAAGCATATGTCGAATGGTAGATTGGGTTGGTTGGCATTAGGACTGACCGAAGGCGAAGTAGTATGCCCATCGTTCTTCGAGGTGTCGTAATCTGCGGGAAAGCGAGAGTCCACGTGCAATCCAGATGAATCTAGTTGGAAATGAATGAGGCATCCTCGTGCCGCATAAATAACTCCCTTACTCGAAGCAATAATACCTGAAGCAATTGTCAATAAGCCTTCGTTCGCGTATAATATGTTCGACCGGAGAAGTGGAGAGATACGTACGCGTCAACCCAACAGAGGAAGATAAAACCAGCGACGGGTCCCAGCACTGGAATCAACTGCAAGGCAAATGAGACGATAATCGAGGTAAACACCATGATCACTCTATACGCCGATGTTGCGATAGAGTTCAAGATACCCGTATAAGAGGACGGCGGAGGTACCGTTGCCCGTGAGCCGTGTCGTAAAGTGATTGTTCGTTTCGCGATGACTGTACACCAAGAACTCTTGGGACATTGCGCATATTTAGTTTACCGTTTTCCGAGAAGCCCGAACAGTACTCACATTGAAGTAGAAGGAAACGCCAACCACTGGAAGCAACCAAAGTACCTGATAGAACCATCCCACATTGCGATGTAACCATTTCTGTTGCCCCTGCGACAAGGGTGCCAGAAGAAGATCGAAGAAGTATATAGATGCCAGAGACACAAAATTCAAAAGAAGACTCTTGAAGATATTCGAGCGAATCTCGGCATCACTAAAATATTAGAGCGATGTACTAGAATGAGCGATGTAACAATGTGTACGTTCCGCACGTCAAAGAGTACACGAACCTCGCAACCAGTCTGATTACAGTATCCCATCGGAATGCGTCCCAGAGTCCTCGAGTGGCGGCACGTAGTTGGAGACGGGCTGTTTCGTGGAACGAGAGGAATGTCGGGTAGGAGGAACGGGATGAATAGATCGGTGGTATATTCATGTTTGATGGTGACGGGTATTCCTTAGAGAGTGAATCATAGCGAACATGTCTCGACATCGTAGTCGACGATGCTCGCGAGGTTGTGCTCGCGGTTACCGGATGCCTAAGTAGAGGACTCTCACGTGGTCCTCAATCGCGATCGACGATCGAGTAGTTCGCTAATTGCGGCTCGTTGGGTTGAAGACTTCGCGAGGATTTCCACTTCGACTGATCCTCAACTTCAACAGTTGTAGGGAAGATGGCAGCCTCTGAAATCACTCTTCCCAGCCCTCCAAGGTCTCTTGACGAAATATCCGCTGTTGAAGCCTCCCTCACCCTCCCATCTTTCACAGCCGAAACAGCCTGGGAAATTGGCAATTCATTGCGCACTCGTCTCCTCGCTTTTCCTACACCCACTGTCATCAGCATTTCTCTTGCTAACAGCAATCAGCTGCTCTTCCATAGCGCTGTCAAATCAGGCATTCAACCTGATAATGATCTCTGGGTAGCTCGCAAACGTGCGACTGTGCTCAGATGGGGAGTATCGAGCTGGTACATGCATTGCAAGATGGGCGGAGATGAGAAGGCGTTCCGAGAGAAGTATGCGCTTGGGGACGAGGGTGGCGGACGATATGCGATTCATGGAGGTGGTATACCAATCAGGGTGAAGGGTGTCGAGGGCACTGTAGCTGTGATCGTTGTGAGTGGACTGAAGCAGCATGAGGACCACCAGATCATCGTGGAGGTGCTGCAAGAGCACTTGAAGAAATTGGAATGAGGTATGAGACATGGACACCTGGACGTTTGGACTCAACGGGTTAAAGCTGTATTTGTGCAGGAAATAGATGTATGAACAGGATATACCGACTGACGAAGAAATTGTACGAATCATTGTACTTGTTTACGACAACGGAATAAATGTACTTCTACTGTTCTTCAAACAAATTTCATCCCTCGGCATGCAGAACTTACCAGCAGAACTACGAACATCTGCTCGTCAGTTGAAAAATATCTCGAGTTGAAGTACCTGTGGTTGCCCGTGAGACCTCGTCAGTGTATTGAGTTTGTACGAATGGTTTCTCATCAAACTTTAAACAGGAGTAGGAGTAGCAGTCCTATATTTGCCAAGTTTAAATTCCTAGTGGCAATTCTACAACAGCACACCTCTCCCGGTTCCCATTCCACTCTCTTCCGCCGTACGGGTTGAAAGGTGAAACTCAGATGGAGGTAAGTCAAATAAATTCTGATGCATCCATGGATAGTGATATTGAATACAGTCCGGGAACAACCGTTCGTTCACGGCCTGTAATATGTGACGAATGAAATCGCCTTTCGTGAGGGGCTGTTGCAGCGTAGTCTCTTTAACAGCTCTCAAGGAAGGAAGACAGCCTTCCCTTTCCTTACATGACAACCAATGAAAGCCCCGCAGGCTACTTAAAGTGGTATATAGCACTCGCACCGTCATTGGCATTCACCACCCTCTGTAGACAATGTCATTCATGGTTGGCCTCCGGATGAATATTCATTCACTGACAGCACGTATCCATCTTGCTTTGTATTTCCAATGACACCATGGCGTTCTCCGGGATCACTAACTGTTCGCACATTGACAGCCTCTGTTTTCATTCAAACCTTGATAGGGAACGGTCAGATGCAATCTCTTCTCAATCAATCGCGCATCACGGCGCAACCGGGGACATCAGCGTCCAAAGCGGCATCTGTTCTTGACAGGAACGCGGCTTATCGACTTTCACTGTCTATCTCTGTGTATACTGGCGGGACCGTGCATTATGTCACATCATTACATCTCGCTCGAGCGGCGTATTCGGAGAGTAGCCTTCAAGAAGGGAGGCAGAGAAGGCGTTCGCTCTCTAGAATTGGACTAGATTGAATATTATTGCTCTTCGGGCATTACCCTCTGGTCTGGGTATCTTGGATATCATGGATGCATGCAACTGCTAGCATTTTTTTTCTTTTGAAAGATGATCGCTGTATGTAACAAGTCGGAAGATATCGTCCTCCAGATCAAAGTATACCAACCATTCGCATTGTATCCGCGACATCTGAAGGTGAGGTTGAATCACATTCCATCATCTTCGATATTATCTCTGAAATTCACTGTACCTTCGAACAGATATCCGATTCTTCTCCATGGCGTTGCCACTTCACGATCAAGATCTTTGAATTCGGACATCATACAATGGGCTATCCCCTAAGCTCCGTGATCATCTGTCAATGTAAGTTGTTTCAGAGCGTTTCCGATCTACGGCGGATCGTAAAGAGAAGTTTAATAGTCCACCAAGCATGCTCAGTTTATTCCGATAGTCTCTCCGAACCTATATCTATCAGAGCTGAGACAGTTCAGGTGAGAACCATCAGGCTGCCATTGCTCATAGATGATAATTTTCAATGTAATGCGTTTTGGGGTGCTTTGCCATCAGGCTTTCTGGTCAGATCAATACAGAACGAAGCGCGTACTGATTCTTGAATGCGGCCAATGACCGACGTCTACGTAGGGTACTTCCTGGAAGATATCAGTACAATAAAACAAAAATCCGTCTAATTCGTGAAGAAACCTCCATCCCGAGATCATGAAGGGTTATCGAGACCACAGTTTTGGTTGCGTGTAATATTATTGATGCATGAGATAGAGGCCCACGAAAATTCCAATGATAAGCATAAAGACCGACGGAATAGCAAGCGAATGGCAGGGTGTAACAGGAGGCAAGACCGATATGAGGTCGGTAAGTGCACTGATACGGAATAAAATCTATACAGGGTTCAATGACGGTTGCTTCCCTTGAGAAAGTTCATCGTCCTCGAAAGGCGCGACCTGAGGATCAGATCGGCGTCTGCATCAGCATTTATAACACAATAACGGGTAAATTTAGACATACGGCGTCGGTGACTTGAGTCTTCTCTCGATAGATCTCAATAGGCCGCTATCCGTCAACACTGTCAGTCCTAAAGCGGTGCGAAGGAAGTAAATATAACGTACCATCTGTCCAGATGATGTGACTTGGATCTTGGACAGCTCGTACGCGTTCGATCTACTGGATCCGCCAACTCCAGCCGCACGAGCAGTCTTGCTGCGAAGAAGTTGTCTTGCATTGAGTCTTTTAAATGTCATCAGAAGAGTTCACGTGCAAAAGCCCAATCAATACTCACGTTCCCAGCAACGAATTGGCGTACACTGAGAATGATATAATTTGGTCGGTTTGTGTGAATAAAGCGGGTATAAATCAATCGAACGTACGCTTGCTGACAATCATAACCAAACCCAGGAAGAGAAGACTCTCCTTGACTTTCACATACTTTCAGGCGCACTATCAGCATCCTTATCAGGGCATTAATCAGAAGAGATACGTACCGTGATTGCAATAGCCAAAGAAACAATCCTGTAACATCAAGAGATTAGTCACATTGCCAGGCCGAGACGGAGGGCATTGTGACTTGCATCATCATGGCACCCGAGTTGATAGCATAGGACATCAGCCATTTCACAACACCGTCGGTCCTAAGTATCATATGAGCGTCCCGCACTCTGGTAACTAAGATGGGTAAGATGGTACCTTGCTTGACCAGACTGTCCCCGATGCAGATAGTATATCATACTCGTAGCAATGATGGCATCGACAGCTGCGGAAAGTGCGTTTGAAACCTCCACTGTGATCTAGGATTGGGATTTCGTCAGATGTAAGAAGCGGAACCAGGAACGGGGAGCAACGAACATTCGGGCCAGGGGCAGCTTGGAAGTCAGCCCAGGTTCCGGACGTGAGTCTGTGTTTAGGTGAGTTTAACGACTACGGGGTTGTGAGGAAACATGACTTACGCGAAGACAGCAGCAGCTGAATGGAGTGAGTGTGAGGTTTAGCATTGATCATCGAAAAATACCGGATTAACACGCTTACTTGTGTGGCAGCCTGTCAAATTATCGACCAAGCTTAAATTAAAGAACGCGATGGCAAAAAGCCGACAGACATACCAATACGGGCGCACAGCAAAAATGCGGTGCCGAAAGTTAGAACGTATGAATGGTTACTCACTATGGGCACATCGATTAGCATTGAAGGCAGTCTCGGATTCTTTGAACTTACGGATCCACATGCGGCGGATAAAGAAACTGAGAGATCTCGTTAGCGATATCTTCAGACTGGTTGAGACAAAGCGCTCACCCTTCAACCGCGGCAACAATAGCATTCTGTAAGAGATATCTTAGGTTAGAGTGCATTGAGACATTGCACAGTACGCACTTCTAGTAGGATGACAGGCTACGGAATAAGGCTTCAGTAATGGATGCAGGAACTGATGCATTGCACTCACTCCTAGACTCCTGTATACTCGGAAAAATAGTCAGAGGCGGATATGTGATCTAGAGCGTTCCTGAACGCACCAATCGATTTGTCCTACTAGTTCCACGCTACCGAATGCAATGATCACGGAATAGTAGAGAAACCGCATCGCGAATGCGCTATGGAGACTCTCAAGGATCCTGTAGACGACACTCTGTGAGCCATACTTCACATATATTGCAGAACCGTGCTCACAGTACCGTCGCGACCAATAACTTCATCCACTTTGGGTCATCCTTGCAGTTCAGCATGTAGACATATGACTGTGTTACTGTGACGCCATACAGCCTGGGCGTATAAGCGTAAGTCAATTACAGGGACAAGCGAGTAGCTGTGTTTAGTAAAGTGGTCGCTCACATGAACACGAAGCAGAAACAGATAACTAGACCGCCCAGCAGTCCATCGACCGTTGGCTCTGGTGCGGCAGCCATGGTAAAGGATGCGATGAAAGCTCTCGTGCTGAAAACGAGGAGCTAGGAGGACCTTTCAGAAGACGACACAGGCTTCCGACAAGGGCAGGATTTAAGCAATTGTGCTCGTCAGGCAACGACAATGTCACATGAGTGGGAAGATTCTCCCGAGTGATCATTCGATACTTATGGTTACTACCCAAGGCCGGGGCCGGCCAGTACCGAGGATCCAGGCGTTGAGGGGGGCCGTTTGTGATGGAAGACAGGAAGAAATTTGACCATCATACCGCAAAATTCGGTGCGCTTGTTACTGTAGAAGTTGGGAAGGTTCTTTGCTTCTGTTTTCCAGGAGACGACCTTGAAAGATCGCATCACTCCAGATCACTCCCCGTGCACTGGATAAACCATACTGTTATTAATTTCCAATTATGGAAGATTTGCTTCAGCGTTCAATAAACTTTGCACAATTGGCTAGTTGTGGCCTCGGCAGTGCACAACGCGTTCCTTTCGGATTCCTGCTTCCCGCGTGATAAGGTTTCTACGGTAAGTAGCCACAGTGGGACCGCTGTGCTGCCTGTTGTGGTTTGTCCCGGTCTTCGGATAACATTGCCAATTAGTCTTTCTTCCTCCGTCGTTCTCCACAATAGGTTCACCCTAAACGGAGCACAAGAATGTGAATGTCATGAAAAGCACCCGTGGATCCAGCTTTCGTGACGAACTCAAGGTGGGGAGAAACCTTCTACCTCTCTGTTATGAAGGAAACACGGGGGTAACCTTCGAATATGGATGTACTCCTCATCCGGTCAGCCAACTGCTGCCGCCGAGCGTCAGATGCCTAGCCGACATGTCCTCCCAACAAGTTCTCATCTGAAGCTTGGGACGTTTCTTTTCGAACTTTGCGATGAACGGCCCATCGTCAATCATAACAGAAGCACATTCGACTCACTATCACTAAGAAGCAGTAGATACTGCGTGTTGTTGGTTGGCGTAGGTTGGTGATCGTACATAACTCCGCATAGGATAGTGCAAGCACGTCGAAGCAATGGGTAATCAAGTAACGGCTTCTGGGTGCGCAATTCAATTCAACTTTGTTCCCCGTCAACTTCAAGCAATTTTGCGGACACGGCAAGACCACGCAGGCCCTCCACAGCTCCGCCGCCGCCGACCACCGCTGGAACCTGACAGAGAATCAATTGGTAAATCGCTAGAACACATCGGTGTTTGAAGTCCTTGAGGCATTTATTATTCAGCTTCTGCCGTAAGACGGTGTTCTTCAAACTCACCGCGACCATATAAGTAGGAAGTCCCAAACTGCACAGCTTCGAACAAATGTTTTCTACAATCTACAGGGAATGAAGTACTTAACTGGTTGCTCCGAAGGAGCATGTAACTGGAAGAAAACTGTAACACTGAGCACTTGTGTCTGCATTGTGTGTGTTTGTTTGGCAAAACCTTCCGAAATTAACATCCACAAACACTCGCGCCCTCTGGCATGTCGCGTAGAACGAAGCGAGGATGTTTCAGCCGTGCCTTGGATACGTTTGGCCGACGACCGCAGGACAAACACTTAAAACCGCATGATCTGCGCGCCCGGATTAAAGGCTGGATATGCGTAAATGTATAGACGGATCGGTAGGCGCTAGCTCGAAAAGGTTAAGCGTGTCAGGTCAACTACTTAATGAAGACTCCCGCAACCCCACTCACCTTCCCCGCAGTTCACTAGTTGACAGACGGACCTGTAGTATTGGCCATATTCCTGGATTCATAACCATATAGCACCCAAGATGAAGTATGTACAGTGGACATCGAGTTCCTAAAATCATGGGTGAATGCTTCAGGGTAAGATTTGTTACAGAATGCTGGCAGATGCGCCGAGCCGCCCAGAGACGAAGGAGTGGATGTCGATCGACCTTGTTTAGCTATACACCCGAGCAAGCCATACCAAATGGAGTTTGAGCTGCGATAATTAGAAAGTCTAATGAGCAAATGGCACTGAATCGATCAATCGACTTACAGATTATAAATACTGGACGTTCTCGCATTACAGTAGTCCAGAGATCTACACATCGTATCTGTCAAAGTCAAATCCCCGGGCTGTTGGTGAGAGTGGCCTCCATTCCCCGAGGACTTCATCGTTGGTTGATGATGTCGAATCCTGGACGACTGGGCCTTCTCCACTATCCTCGACATCGGACGATAGATTGGTCTCAGGATCCAGAATCCGAGCGAGCGCGTCCATATCAATACGCTTTGAGCGTTTTGGACGGGTGGCTTGTTCAGATTCCCCATTTGTGTCCGGAGATGATCTCCTGCGCTTGCCACGATGTGTTGAGGACCCTTCTTGGACAGAAGCAGATGAACTAAGGTCGTTTTCTGACTTCTCCCAACCTAACGCGACTTGCAATACCTTGGCTTCTTCCTCGGACCGCATCAACCCCTCAAGCTCTCCTTCATCGAACAACTCATCGTCAGCAATGGCATCTTCACCACTACCACCTCTTGACAATGCGAGGGCTTGCAGGCGTGTTGGTGGAACCATAAATGCATGAGATAGTGCATCTGAATCAACTGTCAGCAGTCGCGTGAGGGTGTTATCATCGAATGGTGCCCTGGATGATGATCGTGCAGGCGTTGGGGATTTGGAAAGGGGGCCGAGTAGAAACTGCGAAGCTTTGCCGACAGCGCGCTGATATGAGGTATAGCGTCTTGCGATCTGACGACGACAAGTGACATCGTCTTGTATGAAATATGGAGCTGTTCGATCGCACGCACCACCAGAGCCTTCGGAAATTTCGTCGAACTTGCCATCGTCATCCACATCAAGCATCAAGACCGGTTTCGGGACGCTTTCCATCTGCCTTGACCATAGCTCTTCTTGAAACTGAATAACATCCTTCAACCCACGTGCGACCACAATCCGTTTGGCGACTTTCGAACGTCCCTTCGAGCCGACTCGTTTCTCATGCGCTTCAAGCCAGGGAACATCCTTGATCCAAGCTTCCACTGCATCATATATTATTTTATAACGCTCCATAACAACTTTCTGACTTACACCCATTCGTGCACCAAGATTCCGCGCTAGAACCCCGGCGTGTGGGAGCGATGATGCAGTTTCAGCTTCCAGCGCAAGAATAAATATAGCACATGCTGTAGGTGGAGTCGGAAGGTTCTGCAGGATGTTGAAGCGGGATAAAAGGGTTGCCAAGAGAATTGCTGTCCGGGAAATTGCATGAGACTGAGGTGCCACACTCTTCAACTTCGTTTGAAGATCAGCAGGGAGTGGAGACGAGTCAGCGATTAAGCTTTGAAGATAGTACGTTTGTAGCGTCGCTATGTGTTGACTCGGGTCGGCGGATGTCAATTTCAGATGAAGCAAGTCTATAATGGCTCTGAAAGCCCGTGAGAGCGGAAGGAAATCTTCGTCCATAAGGTACTGGTAGTAAAATCATAAGTCCAAGTGAGAGTGTGGAGTGGGGAATGAACTTACAGCAATGTCTTTGAGAGCGTCACTTCTATTAACCTCTCTGAGAGCTATTGCGACTGCAGCTCCACCGATAAGTTTTGCCCTTCTGCCCCAGTTGTAATTGCCCTTTAGCATAGCCTGGTCAAACACCGCTTGGGCGCGGGGAGCGACGCCCACGTTGGATAGTCTTGATGCAATGGATCGTATGTACTCATGCATGGATATCTAATTCACAACGATCATGAATGTGACGCGCATGACGGAGACAAGGCGTACGTACCATATTCCGTCTTTGCCTGCTTTCCTTGTCTTGCCCCGCGAGAGCCCAGCCACTGCGGCCTTTCAAGGTCGCCAACCCCTGAGATTGACTCCAATAAGCCGAATTGTCATAACCAGAGGTATCTTGATGCTCAAGGTGGGATGCAAGAATACTCTGCGATGGATTGGATAGTGTACCGCAATTGGTGCATATGGAAGAGCCGAGCTCTTGTTCCCAGGTCGTACGCTCTCCACATTCAGCGCATCTGTCACTCATCCAGTAGGTTCAAAACCCGAGACGAGTAGCACTGCAATAGTAAGCCAATCAAAGAATATTCAAAACAAGTAGACGTAAGTTCTGTTGAGGATATTCAAGCACGATACAAGATGAGGCGAGAATGGTGAATGCAGGTTGAAAGGCAACTGAACCGTCCTTGACCTTCTTATGTGACGGTACCCATCAAAGAAGCGCCAGGCAACCGATAGGGTCGTTTTGATCCTAGTTTCGTACCTCTTAGATTCTCTCTATACACGGACGTGTTTACTGTGTCTAGCAAATAATATTGAGCCTATGATGGATATGATGCCTATTACTGCATCTACCTCACGCATCATTGTTCTCTCCTCGACGTCAACCGAAGCCCGGGAATTCGTCGAACGTGAGCCAGGTGACTGATACAAGTTTCGTCCTATGACGATGACAGTCTAGGTATAAAGGCTTTGTCCGGCAGGTATTCCCATAGCCTCAGTAAGCCAGAACAAGGAACTTCGTTACTCTCTTCGAGCGATTCGGGCAGCGACAGCATACCATGGACGATTGTGAATCGTTACTACACGGCTGACGTACATATTGAAACACGTACTCTCCAAGATTTCAGTGCACATCATGCGACATCTGTACCAGCTGTTATATACGTATGGAACAATGGAGAGGTCAGTTCATCGCTAGATTCTACACTTAGCCCATTTCATTTCCTGCCGCAGAAGTATCAGGAGCACATCCCGTCCATTACGAGCAAGCTTCAGAGTCACAATCCTGAGGTCTTGTTAGCGGTTCGATTTGGTGGTGACCATGCTGTTCATTCCGATGAAGAAGATGGCTTGGACGAGCTCTCGTCGTCTCACGGCTTCGAATACATTGATGGTGATTTAGGATGCCGACGACCTAACGGAGATAGTACAGGATTATCTGACGAGCGGAGCTCAGGTAACGATGCTTCTACAATATCACCTGCCTGTTGCTAACTGTCGATATCTTCGCTTGGATCAGGTGTACCGGGTCTGCCTCGTGTTATCGATGCCTTAAGCACCATTATGTGGCCCTCACTTGTTCTGTCGGATGCAACTAGGACTGGAAAGAGTCGCGCACGAAACCTGGCAGGCTGGGCACGAGCTGATGAGGAAGAAGACAGATTACACGCTCTCGTTGCTCAATCCTATCCCGAAGCAGGTGTCACACACAACGCGAATCCTAAACGGAGTCGCATGCAACGAGAAATGGAGACGCTCGAGTGTTGGCTGGAGCAAGAAGAACATGACGCCTCAGGGCTTCGCAAGGGAGACGACAGAAAAGCGTGGATGTCTGCCGAAGAAGCGAATGCATGGCAGGATACCCGAAATCCTACCATTGTCACTCCCCATGGCGGAGAACTTGGATTTAACGATGATTTTGATGACTTTGTTGCCGCACCGATAGGAGTATCTTATGGACACGAGAGACATACCATGCGCGAACGCAGGGATCACCTAGTCCCTATACACAGCGATGCTTCAGAACGTTCTGTTACATCTACAGAGGGACTTTCAGAAACCGGGGACAGTACCGTCGTTCAAGGCCATAATCCCCTGGACGAAATCGATGACAGAGACCCTGACCTTCCCTCTCAACAGGAGATAGAAGAGACTACGAGAAGCATTTTCGGACCCCAGATTGATGTTTTGCCGCGCCCTGTCCATCTTTCCTCAGGACAACCCCCTGATCATCAGTCATCAACAATCCCAGAGTCCGATTCGTCCCTCACTTTCTCCACTTCTGACGGAAACGAAGATTTTGACTTCAGTTCGTTCGATCTCTCACGTGTACTGAGTGCTTTGCAAGGCATGAAAGAGGAGATATCTGGTATCACGGATGTGAGTGAAAGGCGGAAAGCTGCTGCTCGAGTTGTACTGGGCCTGATTTACGGTTTGGAGAAAGAAGACGCGAGGATAGGCGAAAATGGCTAAATTGTCTCTTTTCGATGTACCATTATACAGACTTAGGAATTGCATCATTTGTAAGGCTCACCGCCTGCCTGATCTATTTAATGCAAATTCTCTTGATGGATTTTGGAAGTACATAATACACGACGTCAACGACGACGACGTTCAAACGCGTCGCCACAATCGCGTTGTGTGGCTCTGTTTGGCCACCGTATTTGAACTGGGACGCTAACGCTTGTCGCGTCTCTACTTGTCACCACCTCGTCCAGTGCACTCCGCATGAAGCCTCTTCAAGAACGTCGACGACGATGAGCTCGACCTCTGCGTTCTTCCGAAGACCCGTTACGCTCCAGGTGCCCCGTCCAGGATCATAGTGCCTGTCTTGCCTTTGGTCTGGTGGCTGCTTCAAACCAACACACTCCACTCCTAACCGAGTGAGATCTAACCCTAAGTGTTTTCAGGGTTGCTCTGCATTCACTATCTTCTTGTGGTAGATTGGGATGTAGAGGATGGAACAGCTTGAGCAATGGCTGATTCTGAGCAATGAATCGGCGAGTGATTGGATTGATCTGGAAGACATCGGAATCTTGCATGGATGCTAGCTACAATGTTGACCGCATTCGCTCAGGCCTTCTTGCTTGCGATGACCTCCTGAGCCACATCACTATCGCATCTCCGGAAAGTGTCGTCTGTACCGAGATGTGGTCCTCGCATTCTATTCAATTGGTATGCGAGCGACTTTCGGATAGCGTCATCAGAGGCGCGTCGCGGTTTTCTTCGGTGTTCCATTCAGGAGCGAGCAAGTTCCACACAGTCTGGTGGGATGATTTGACTTGTTCGCTAGCAACCCGGCTACGAACAGACCCTTCGGGTCGTATTGCCTGGCATTGCTCGTCATGTTCGATTCTTGCGTCTTGATCCTTCTATATTCTTGTCGAGCTCTCTCGGAACATTCTTCTCATCCAACTCTCGCGCTCTCGGAGCAGCAAGTTCACGAACAGAACACGAGCAACCCGAGTCTCTGACTCACAATCCAGGGTGGCTTCCTTCCCAGCCGTTAGGGCAGGGGTTCCAAGGGAGCCGTATAACCCAACCCCGGCAATGTTTCAGCGTGATTCCGCTTGCCGCAGACTACTCTATTCGGTCTTGTTGCATCTGTTTTCCGGAAGCAGCACAAATCAGTAGAGATGGGAGTCTGGAAGCGTAGGGAAACGCAGCGAAATCTACATGGTTGCGTGGCCCATAGAGGCCATTGGATTCCAAGATGGGGTACGAGATCCTGGACATCAAGGGGAACGTACAGGAAGACGTTCGAGTGAGAGCTCCGCTCTTTAAAATTTCGACGTGGAAAGAGGTGCTGGCGCAAGGTGTGTTTTCTGGTTTCCTACGAGGTGTTGATCAGGTTCGGCCCGGAAGCTGCTTTCAGTCTTATACTCGACCACCCCCAACTCCCGTCCTTTCAGGACGGAAAGGCGGGCTACACTACCCGCCGTACGGTAGTAGATCGGTTCCCACTGTCTGTTCGACTGTTCCTGACTCTCGGTTTGTTGTGCGCGTTGGGGACGCGTTGAACATGTGTCTGCGCCAATCTGAGCCTCTGCGATGTTTGGTAAGGTTCTTAGCGTTTTTGTTCTTCAGCCAAAGTCCTGCGAAGACCCGTCTCCTCGAGCTTGTCCTGCGGTTTGTGTCGCTGCTCTTCTTCGCCACTGTCCGATTGGAAAAACTCCTTGTATCAATCTCAATAGCGACCATCTGTGGACCCATTGAACTGGTACCGCTTTATCCGTTTCTTCCCCTTGCTATGCTTTCTGCATGGAACTCCACTATCGTACTCTCAGATTCCTCCCCACCGCCTGTCATAGTTGCGACTCCTACGGGATGTCCCAACAGAGATTCGTTCTCGAGTGTGATGGCAATGTTTGGAGTTGAGTCGATGGTCACGTTGGGTGGTAGTTTCTACAGGTCAAAGTTGGCTGGGCGTTTGAAGTCTCGGGTATGCGAGGTGTAGGTTCGTATGGCAAGGTTGGCTGTTCATTGTTGTTTGTGCACTTGTGGGTGTCGGGGGTGGTGTACGAACGAGAAGACAGACTTGACACGACTATGGGCTCGTTCGGAGGTGGAGAGCGTGGATGCTGTACATGATCTCGCTCATGGGCGAGTTTCATGAGAAGACGCACCCAAGAACGTCACCGTAACATTCGTAAGTTCAGCGATTCACGTTCCCGTACCACTCAACACGCGTTCATTTGCCTCTGCGGAGGTACAAATGGAGTAGAATGACGGATGAGTGTCAGCAGATATGTGGAGGCAGCCCCGAAGCCTTTGAGCACTAGGGGAGGCCGATTGGAGCAGGAGCCGATAGAACTCATGCGGATCGTCGTGTTGCTGACTTTGTGTCGGTGACTGGTGGTGTATGCGGGGGAAGGATCAGCTTGGCTTGACTGTTCTCCTTCGAGAGTGTGTCTAGTATGGCCTGCGAAGCAATAGCTTCTGTGAATTTTTTCCGTCTTTGCGCTCTTGTGGCGTCGCTTCGTTGTGGACCTTGCTGTTTGGTAGAGCTCGATGTAAGTAATTTCTCCACCTCCGCGACTTCGCTCCGATTTGCTAAATTTTGCAAATCAGAACTTTACCATATGTTTGGATGTCATCAATCGTGCGTCTCATTTCTGCTATTACATGTGGCTATCAGCCTCCACACGAATGTATCATTTTGTTGAGAAAGTATACTAATGTTTCTTCACGGAGGAGAACAAAAATGACCGAACCCACACAACCTCGTCGGTGCGTCGTAAAATAGTTTGAGTTGATTAAAGTTTGCGCAAGATGGGCCCTCAGGCCTCAGATTTCAACGGCGGTTGGGACAACTGATTGATTATTTGGGGTCATAGAGCTTCTTGACTTGCTGATCAACAAGTGCATCCTCACAGAAGACGAATCGAAAAGCAAGTATTAGTACGGTCCGGGTGAAGAACGCAGGTAAATTTACGTACCGGGGCCCTTACGAGCCCCTCGGCCGGAAACAGAGCTCAGGTCTTGAAACTTCACTCGGCTTCCGGCAGGCGATTTATCCACTACCCCAAGCGTTTTGAATCCCCGAGTCTTGAGCACCCCGCGCAATCTTCGCCTTGGTCCTGGTCTTGGTCTTGATCATGGTCTTGAATCCCCACGCACCGTCTTGAAAACCCCATATCTTGAGCCTTGATACATTGATACCCCGCATCTTGAATCCCCATCTTGACCTTGATCTTCTACCTGGAGAATTGAGTCAACTCCTCAACCACCCCTTGGACCACCTGTCGTCAGGTGTTCTCCAGGTCCTCGAGGAGGCTATCACTCGAGTAAGCTAGCCTCCTCGAGGACCTGGACCATCGGCCGCGGTGTCCGCCCCCTCTTCCGCTACCCTTATTCAAGTCTCGATTCAAAATTTAGCTACCGACGTCCAGTGATCTCCAAGAGGTGATCACGGCATGATTGCATTTCATACCCTTCGGCGCGGTACTTGATGACCTCACAGCGGGAAGCCATGTCCAACGGAACGAGGAGCATGTTGTGCATGTGCCCGATCTGTCGATCATCGTAAGGAATTGGGCCCACGTCGATGTGGTGCACACGAGCATATATCAGGTAATGCTCGCGCGAGGTGAGGTTTCGTTCTGAGCGGATTCGGCTAGTGGTAAAACTGCCTGTGGTGTCTGGTAGGAGGGAATCGGTGGACGATGATGGTGAGGTGACATATGGTTGCGTTGCATTCTCGCAAACAGAAGGGCCAGCCTTCTTAGTGAAGAGTGTGAATTTCATTGTGGTTGTGAGAAATCAATTGTGGTAGTTCAAATGTAAGTGAGCTGAAGGCGTCCTTCGTAACTGCGAGCTTGATATACAGGACTGTACGGGAGGCTGACATCCTGCGTTAGCCTCCCGATCAACAGTATACCCAACCGTGATCGATTGATCGGTTTGAATGTTATATATGTCACTCGAGAAACACCGTCACTTGGAACGACTATCATCTTCCATCCTTGAGGCTTCAAGCTTGAGGTTTGTTAAGAAGACCACCTAAAGTTGGGCCTTCCAGCGTCTACTTTTATTATCGACTACCTTAGCTTCAGCGCTCAGCTTCAACGCAGCTCTAGCGTAGCTTCAACTTTTGAACCTATGCGTTGCCGACGCAAACCATCAGGTACACTAGTCTATTGTTTGACTTTTATACCCTCATATGCCATGCGTGATATTCGTATCGCGCTGATTGCTGATTTGCGAAAACACATTGGTATGATTATCCACTTCCCTTGTTTCAATTTTTTTCGCTGAAAGTATGTTGTCCAGTGAATACGTTTTCACCTATCCCCCCGAAGTCCGAGGTCTCGCATTTGACGCTATCTGCTCTGGCTAGCCAAGCGTCGATGGGAATTCTTGATACTGTTGCATATATATTTTCCTTGCCCATTCCTCCTGATGTAAATGAAGACGTGAGTCTCATCTGTTATTGTGGAATGATAGGTACGCTGACGTCACACGTATAGACACCTGATCTACCCCCTGATATAGATGGGGAAACTGTTTCTACCGACGATTACAATGAAAAATGCGCAGCATGGGTTCCAGAAAAAAATTCCACATATTGGAGAGAGTACCTCCAGAGCCCTCATTCGTACGGTTACGGATACTCTGGTGGCCAAAGTCCCATTCTCATAAGAACGTGAAAATATGGTCTTTGTTCGCAGGCGTACAAGGATCCCCGTCCCCCAGCCTAGATATCCTCACATGGAGGATTGGCTTATAATGGACAAGATTGACGGAGATAATGCTCGAGAATTCTTGGGGTAGCTTGAGTCTCTTTATGCAGTTTCGCATCGCCTGTACCATGCGGCGATATATCAGGCAGCTCCAGCACCTGAAAGGCACCGTTCCCGGGATGCCTGATGGATGCGTGGGTGGTAACCTGTTCTTTTGCAACCAGCATGGTCCCTTCAAGGACTCTGCACACTTCCAATCGTTCTGCGAGATGGTTGCCCAACAGGCCTATGTCAACAACCTCCGAGAGTATCGAAACAAAATTACTGATACGCTTCCGCGTCCGCCTATCATGGGTGGCAACTGGTCTCTCTCATTCCTTCACGGTGATATACATCTAGGAAACCTCATGCTGTCGAGAGATGGTGTTCTTTGGTTGGTCGATTGGGGGAATAGCGGTTTCTATCCGCCTTGGTTGGAGAGTGCCTATATAGCTATTGTTGCCGATACCCAGCCAGCATCTTGGAACCGTTGGAGATGGTTTATCGCTGGACGATATCCGGAGTATGAACATTTCTGGAACTTGGCCTTGAGCCTGCTGAATCGCTTCTGGCGTTGACCTGGTGTGATTTTCTGCTCCTTGTATCACTCGCTGACACTTAGTGCTGCCAGTTCTCCCTGGTTCGTCGATAGTTCTGTTTTCGATTTGGTGCAACATAGGCCGTTTAGGGATTCAGAACATCTACGCATGTTCTTTAAGATAGCGACGCAAGCAGGATGGACCGTCAAGCTACGCTTTTACAAGTAGCACAAGCTCGTAGAGATCCTCACAGAGCCGCCTATAATGGGTAGCATTTGGCCGCTTTGTTCGTTCATGGTGACTTCTATCTAGGAAATTTCGTGCTCTCAGAGGATAGCGTCCTCTGGGTCATTGTCCGGGCACACAGCGGATATTTACCCCCATGGGTGGAGACTTTGAAGTACTGTATATATGCATTCTCGAGAGATTTACCCCTCCGTCGTGGAACCATTGGAGATGATTCATTGCTGGACACATCCACAGCGAGAACATTTCTGGCAGTTAGCGTACCTCTCGTTCAATCGTTGTTGGTTCCAGTAATATATTAGAGTATATTAGCCGCCAGCGCATGGAGATGGACTTAGGTACCGTAACTGCATTCCAATTCCTCATTGTAGTGTGCGGTCGCACGATCAGTATGTGGGTTTCGAATACACTCTAATCAAAACAATGAGCGCACGTGTAAGCATCAGTGTTCTGCGGTAGGGATCGGTGACAAGGTGTGTATGAGTGGTGATGAATTCACCATGTAGTCTCGATAGAGAACGTTGAATCTCGGTTTTGAAAAGGTTTGAAAACGTCGGCTTTGCATTGGACCACAAAGCGAACCGAACTCTTTTTGGTAAGTCCCACATAGACGCTACCCAAGCGCTTGCGTCCGAATCCCGTTCATTCACGACAACCTCCAGCCTCGATCTCCAAACTTTCCAACAATGTTTGCTGCACAACTAGCGAGACAGGTGCGCGCACCACGGCCTTTAAGGTCTGTGCGTAGAATATCAACAACACCTGCTCGACGGTCGGACGCTCTTTTTGTGGTAAGCAACGTCATTACCCCGTTGAGTGCCGTTATTGAATCCATGCAACACCCTAGCACCGTGACACTCCTTATAACAATCCGAAGGTAGCCTGCGTTGTCTTTGGTAGATACGGTCTATGTTGACGCCCTCATAGATCCCGTTTGCATTCAATGCCGATAACCAGAAGCGAGCGCAGGAGATCATCTCGCATTACCCACCACAGTACAAGAAAGCCGCCGTTATCCCTCTGCTTGACCTGGCTCAGAGGCAGAACAAGGGATGGACAAGCATTAGCGTCATGAACTACGTGGCCAACTTGTTGGAGATGCCACCTATGCGAGTGTACGAGGTTGCAACCTTCTACACCATGTTCAACAGGTACGTTATTTAATATGGACTTTCAATTTATTCGAGCGGTACTTAGATGATCTGGATTTGCCATTAGGGAGCCAATTGGCGAGAACTTTGTACAGGTGTGCACTACGACACCATGCATGCTGCGTGGTGCATACGATATTCTCGGCAAAGTCTGCTCGGAACTCGGCGGTATCAAGCCTGGTGACACGACCAAGGATGGAAAGTTCACTGTCATCGAAGTTGAATGCCAAGGTGCATGCAGTAATGCACCGATGATAGTCGTAGGCGATGACTTCTACGTTCGTCTCCCCCACTGTCGTGAATAATAGCTATCACTAATCTATGTGAACAGGAGGACCTGACACTGGAGACGACCAAGAAGGTATTGGACGCCTTCAAAAAAGGCGAGAAACCTAAGCCTGGTCCCCAAAGCGGTCGTCATACAAGTGAGAACTCTGCTGGCCTCACTGCACTTACATCCAAGGTATGCTTGCCGTCTCTCGAAATGCATAATAGGCACTGATGTTTTTATGCTATCTAGCCCTATGGCCCAGGAGAGTTCTGTACCCCAGAGTTCAGCTAGGCTTATCGTGTGATTCTTCTGTAATGCATATATACTTTTCTGACCAATCCCGTTTATATAAACGATTTTCGACATGACCTTATAAGCTAGCCATCAAATCCTTCAAGGTATCAAGACGGTACAACAAAGAAGAACATATTCGTTCGGAAATACAATTTTTAGTTTCAACTTAACAACACCAAATAACTTGTTTGATAGATATCCGCCAGAAACGGCTTAGGACGCTTGAGAAGTCACAGGAGCTGTTTTCTTTCAGTCAAAGGACGAGCGAAGGACCAAACAATAGGTGACTTACATCGGCGATACTATCGCGTCCACCAGGCATCTCACGCACCCTGCGAGATGGCTTGAAGACCGGCTTCTCAGGTTCAGATTGTTCCCAAGGAGATCTACTAGTTGTTGTTCTGCTGTCGTACCATCAGTACCGGACAGATTCACAATAACGTAGCCTAACACACCTGGCTCGCTCAGGCTCGCTGGTTTTGCTTTCCTCCGGCGGTGTAACTTGTTCAGCCGGGGCACCTCGCGATGGTGCGGTACTTAACACATCGTCGTCCTCGTACGACCCAAAGATGTTGTGCGTCTCGCCACCTGGAGCTGTGCGCACGCGTCGAGAGGGCTTGAACGCGTTATCCGAGGTTTGGTTTGCTACAAACTCACTTGTAGGTGGATAACGATGTGACCGGTGAATTAATGTACATACCAGGAGCTTCGCTGCTCGAGGATGCAGTCTGTGCACCCGAGACTTCTTCCCCTCCAGTTATCTTACCGAACTTCGCGTATCCTATGGCAACTTAACAATCAACGTATTCCGAGAGTCAAAGAATCTTACTGGGAAGCTTTTGGATGTTACTATAGTTGGTATCAACAGTGGTTCCGGTATATCTGCCTCACTTCTTAGCCTGGCACGTTGAAATGAGGCAATCAAAGGATGTGGCGTGACCTACTTTAGGAATTCAATGAGGGATCGCTTGGTAAAGACAATCCGTGTGGTGTCCCAATCCAACATACCTATAATTCCATGTAGTTAGCTTTCCCTCGACATCTATGAGTACAGAAGCATACCGAGGTTTGCTGCCCAATCCTTCTCCTTGGACATATCGATCGCGTCTGAGGGCGTGAATCTAAATAAGTCGCGTCACATTAAGTTCAATTATCAAGCATAGTACATACGTAGCCATGGTGTATAGGTGATACTTGAGGTGGCAGTTAAGAGTAGAGTTGCAGAATGTGGCGCTTTCAAAGTGGCAACCAACATTCTTGGAGGAGATCTAATCTTATCAATGACGAAGCGCCCAACGAATACAACTCGGAAGCTGGAGCTCTTCAACACAGCGGCCAAGTGTTGGCTTTCAGACCTATAAACTTGAGCCTAGCAGCTCTAAGTCGTCTACTTACTCTATACTTCGTTATAATCCAGAGTCTGTCATGCTTAGAATTGCATTCAATCGCCAACCGTTGCTACTGCTCTCCAGGAGGACGTTTGCTACCGAGGCGTCAAGCCGCGCCTTGCCTTCCGCTGTTTATACCAATGCGTCGGGGAAAGGAGACCCCTCTACAACATCAACTCCTGAAGACATCACAGAAGCTCAGCGGAAGGTCTTAGATGCCGCTCTACGAGTCGATCAAGCAGGAGAAATTGCTGCGAATTACATTTACAATGGACAACTTGCTATACTAGGTCGTGATCGCAAACTTAGACCGCTGATTCAAGTATGCTTTTAGCATAATCTCTCTCCGCCTCGTACTAATGGCTCACGTAGGAAATGTGGGACCAAGAGAAGAAACATCTAGAGGTGATGAACAAACTTCAAGTGCAACACCGAGTAAGACCAACCCTCATGTGGGAAGTTGCCAAGGTCGCTGGCTATGGATTAGGAGCGGTCACTGCACTGTTAGGGAAGGAGGCCGCGATGGCATGCACGGAAGCGGTGGAAACAGTCATTGGGGAGCATTATGATGAGTGAGTGCCCTGACATCAGTTCATTTCATGGATACTAACGAGAAGATAGCCAATTGAAAGAGCTGGATGAGATGTCGACGTCACATTCGAGCATTCCCCTTCTCAAGGAGGTCATCAAGGAGTTCAGGGATGATGAGCTTGAGCATCTTGATATTGCCGTAGAGAATGACTCGCAGCGTGCACCAGCACATGCACTGTTGGGTACAGTTATCGGCGGTGGATGTAAGGTAGCGATAGAACTGTGTAAGAGATTCTAGTTCGGGATGCAGTATAGACACGAGTGGTGGAAATCTATGCTGACAGGCTTTCACCTTTCCGCTTGCCACGCCAACTCCATTTTTCCTGTACCCAGTATGTCAGTAATATAAGTATGGCAGAGAGCAAGTAGTACGCACGCCTTGATGTTTAGAGAGATAGAATACAGCTCCTGGCCATACGAGGATGCCCAGAATAGCGATAACGGTGGTTCGGGGAGTGAAGCGGAAGTGCTTATACACATTCTCTTTCTGTATGTAAAGAACGTGGTGAGTTGTGAACAATACTGCACGATTGGCAGACGCACCATTTCCACCCATCGCTCGATGGCGGGATCTTTCTGTTAACCATGCAGACTGAGCATTGTCCGACATCTCATATGCCTTAACATACCTTGATATAGTCTACGAGAACATGATTAATGTTAATACGAAGCTATGAACTTTAGAAGTGACTTGGCATACCGGCCATGATTGCGGTTCGAGTGAGGAGGAGCTGTGAAGCTTGTTTGTGGGATAAATAATTATTAATTATTTTGGCTTATAGCCTTTTCAAGGTATTTTGATTGTTGATCTTATCCTGCTTTCATTACCACCACCAACACGACATGGCCTACAACCGCGAATGGGACAGGGGAAAGGACTCCTGGAACGACTCGGGCTCATGGAACGAGTATCAGAATAGAGGAAACGTACGTGGTAGGGACGAGGAGTATTACGGCGAGGGAAAGAGGCGTAAATACAACAATGGGGTGCGTGGTGCTTGCGTGCGACCTATCGACGATCTTATGTTTCTTACAATCTGTGCAGGGGTATGATAGCTCGCAAGGATACGATAACAGTTACAACGATAGTAGCTACGGACAGTCTCGTCGTAATCAGGACTACGAGCAAGATACCTCTGAGGGTCACAGGAGAGGTGGCTTCGTGAAGAAACGAGTGTTGCCTAGCGAGCCTAGCTCACATGTCATCTTCCTCGGACTGGATCCTGACTTTACCGAAGCGGATGTTCGTACTCACATGTTCCTCATTATATCTATGACTAACGCAGTCCGCAGCTTCAAGCATTCCTGTCGAGCAACAACTGCACCGTCGAGATGGTCACAATCATTCGAGATAGGATAACAGGCACTTACTTGCCCCTTCATATGATCTGTGTTCACAGCGCATTGACGTTTCCTTCGCGGTGAAAAGGTGTCTCAAAAGGCTTCGGCTTTGCCAAGTTCTCAAGCATCGAACAAGCACGCGCTTTTGTCGACCCGTTATTTCCCTTCGTGCAAGTACCGCCACCGGCGTCTCATGGCGCCTCCGCTGCCGCCGCGTTCTACAAAGCTCTCGAGACTGGCGCAACTCACAGCGGTCGAAGGGTCAAGATCGACTATTCGTCAAGTGGTAATCCTATGGACAAGCGTCGCGGCGGCAATACCAATGATGGCACTCGCGACATTGGGAATACGCAAGCACCGGTTCTACTTTTCAGAGGTTTGGATCCCTTGTCTGGCCCGGGTGCTATCGCGGAGGCGATGAAAGCTTCTTCTGGACCCGGCAAAGAAGGCGCGAAGGGAATGAAGAGAATCATCCTGATTCGGGATAAGGTGACTATGGCCAGTTGGGGCTTTGCGTTTGTGGAGTTTGTGGATGTTGCAGTACGCCTTCTCCTTATGTTTCTGCACAGCGCATGATTTACGCTTCTTCACAGTCGGCTGCGGCCGTTCTAGGCGCCACTATGTCTCCTCAAATTCATCCGTCAGGGTTCCGCATCTCCGACCGACCTGTCGCTGCATCGTTCGCCCATCCTGATTCTTTCCAGCCGTTGCCTGAATATTCTATTCGGGACGAAGGATGCCTTGCATCCTCGATTGGACTAGGTGGTATGGAAGGTGCTTTGGTCAGGTATTGGGATGAAGCTTCCTCCGTCGCGGTTCTGGAATTCAAGGTCGAGGAGCCTGTGCCTCAGGCGGCCCCTGCTCCAGTGAAGGAGAAAGAGAGGAAGAAGAAACCCAAAGGTAGTTTCAGTCGATATTTGGAAGCGGAGTACTCAACGCTTACAGCGCATACAGGTGACACCGACCACGCCGAACTTCGCCCTGTCGAAGCTTCGACTCTTCCTGTCTCTGACAAACCAGTGACACTCAGCTTCAAGGGCGGTCTCTCGGCCAAGGCTGGTCCTTCCTTAACAGTTGGGTTGGGCGCTGCGAAGAAGCCCGCTCCGTTGGCGCTTGGTTTCTCTGCGGCGGATGATGATCTCGATGAAGAGGATGGATTAGATGGGGATAAGGGTGGATCGGATCCTAGCAAGGGTTTGTCTCACTTGAGATGCAAGAAAGCAGTATTTTGGATGTATTTGTTAACATATCATCCACTGCAGCTATGGCCGTGAAGAAAGTTGCGCCTATGGTCGCAAGCAAGAAGGTATGTTACTCTTTCTCTCTTTCAAGCTATTCTTGTTCTTACGGATTTTGTCTTGCAGATTGTCAATAATATCAACAAGTGGAACCAAGTCCAAGAGGTCCTGCGAGACGGTGCTGACATTGCCTCGCCTATACCCGTCCCCGTGGCAGTACGTCTTCAATTAACCATAACATTATCTGAGCTAAGAACTGACTTGCAGGAGCCTGCGAGGGTTGCTTTGAAATCGATCACGCCTGAGACGGCTACAAAGTCGTCCAGTCCGGCACCTGCAGAGGTCGAATTCGAATTTTCCGATCCAAATGCAAAGACATGCCTCCTCTGCGCTCGTCAGTTCAAGTCTCTGGATCAACTCAAACGGCATAACAACGAATCCGACCTTCACAAAGTATGTGCAGCTACTCTCACACCGTCGCGTGCTCTGACTTACTTGTGCCTATGAATGTTTAGAAAAACTTCAAAGATGCCAATCTCCGAGACGTCGCTCGCGAGAAGGCCAAAGCCGCGAAACTCAAAGCATCAGCTCAACAACAAGCTGAACAGCCCAAATATCGCGATCGTGCTTCCGAGCGTCGTATCATGCACAATCAGCCTGACATTCCTCTTCCTGAACCTAGTAGCAGCTCTGGCAGTGGTAAAGGAACGAAGAAACGCGTGGAAGGTCCTCCTCCACCTCCTTCGCCCCCGACCCCACCTGTCCACCCTGGCGCCGACGAGAAGAATGTTGGTAACAAGTTGTTGAAGTTGATGGGTTGGAAGGAGGGTACTGGGTTGGGAACGGCTGGGGAAGGTCGTGTTGAGCCAATGTAAGTCCCAACGCATCGAAGTGCTGCAAGTCAGGTAATCTGACGCCTTGCCTCATTCACAGTCAGACCGCGATATACGCTTCAGGCGCGGGATTGGGTGCCAGCAAAGGCAAGGAGATTGGCAAATATACCGAGGGTTATTCAGGTTACGTGCATATGGCGCAAGATGCGGTAAGTACTGCAACTTTCGCTTTACACAATGTTTGCTTACTTCGATTCGCTGGGTGACATTTGCTATAGGCGAGAGAGCGTTACGGGAGCTAAACGTCTCGTCTCGTCGTAGGTTCTACATTCGTCACATCATTGGATAACCTTCATCGTTGATTTCGTATCGCACTGTTTCTCACTCCGTTATCGAGTTTTGTTTACTGCGCTTTCCGTGTAATGATAATTAGTTGTCTCTCGATTTTCAAGGAACGTGTCTGTAACTACATCGCTATAGTACCCTGTGGGTATAACATAACCAGTGTCTGAATCATTATGCCAAATTCATTTGAACGACAGTCATGAACTCCTTTCAACCAAGGAAGAAGCCAAGAGCGAAAGCAATGAGCAACACTTCAACAGAGAATACCTTGGAGCCCTTCGCGCCGTTGCTCTGGGAACTGCCAGTAGAAGTAGGTGAAGGGGCTCCTGAGCCAGAGCCAGAAGTAGAGCCAGAGGTGCCGCTGGCAGTAGCGACAGGGAGAGTGGAGGTGACGACGGCAGCGGTGGAAGAAACGGTCGCACTGGCGGTTCCTTCTTCGACGGTGAAGTAGGTACCTGCGACGAGGGGACCCAAGTTGCTATTCTGTGGACCAGAGAGGTAAGGGCAGTGAAGGTATTAAATGGAACCGCATCCCCCATACCTTGACATAGTCGTCGAAGTTGTATTTCTCAACTGCAGCGCCAGGTGCGTTCAAGCCTTCAGGCGCAGTGAACGTGGAGGGCTGAGAGTAGAGTAGAACAACATAACTGCAGAATCATAATTTCAGCAACAGATACCACTTTAGATGGTCATGGATCACCACATACCGATGGGCACCGCTACCCGCCGCAGGACCAGGACCAGCGTAAGAAGTGATGACGGTCGCACCCTCAGTAGAGACATTCAGAGGAGTGGTGCCTAAATAGATACATCAGCGCTGGTATTCACAAAGTCTGAATAAAAGCCCTTGCCAGTCAACGTGACGCTGTTCACAAGCCAATGTCTGGTTTGACCCTCGGACTGGTCGGCACCAACAATGTCGGCATCGATCATAGCGAGCGTAAAGGTTCCTTCAAGAGAAACTGTGGAGTTGGCGGGCGTGATCAATACACTCGGAGCGGGGGCAACCTCTAGAAGTAAAGTGTGAATTTTGAATACCGCAGTTGGATGAGACGTTGACATACGAGACTTGTCCAATGCCTGGCCAGGCGTGATTTGGCCTACACCAGCAAAGTCAAGAACCATTTCTGCCTCTGGGACAAAGGTGGGCAACAATGACGGAACGAGACCTGAATTGCTAAAGTGTGCTTCAATAGCCTCGATCTGAAGTTGGGTGTTATTCTGCGCAAACGCGAGAGGAACGAGTGCGAGGGACAAAATGAAAGACAAGGAGATCATGACGGTCCAAGTACAAGTGCAGCGAGCGACGGGGAAGATGGAAGAAAGAGACAGAAAGTGGGCAAGTTGCGGTTGAGGGTCACCGCTTTATGTACCCTCGTTGCCCTGGGCGGCGACGGATCGACGGCGCTTGTCCGCGACATTTACTAATGATTTTCGACTTCCGTCTTGTCTTCAATACCCGAATGCCCAAGGATGTTGAACCCAGCATGCATGGTGGTGCCGGTGTCAATGTTGTTGAGTCTGATACAGTATAACAGCGAATAGATGGGCAGTTGAGGTAGAGCAAGGGACTCGAGAGCGCCAGGGACCGGCAATGCAGTCTTCAACTCGCTTGAACTGGTACAATCAATTCGGACTCAGCGATTCTGCTTAATATGGAAGACTAAGTTCGATAGATGCGTAGCCAGTCTTGGACCCCATGGATCTCTCTAATTCCTTCCTCCTCCCCAAAGGAAACATTCCGGTCTCCTAATATAGTCGCCTTTTCTCGGCCTAGGCTTCGAACCCAACTGAAGATGATCTACGTGATACAGACGTGATAGATACAGTCCATACTCACGTCGGTCTCCCACGATTCTCAATCCTGTGCACGTCTTGAGCTACAAGAGGCCACGATTTCCAATCACAGCCCGCTCACATCCTCCGTGCATTCAGCTCTACGATGTGATGCAGCGGGATTTGGCCAGCTGTGCAGAATGGCCGAATTGACCAGTGCCGTCCTCGAAATAAATCGCTTGCGCCTGTCGCATGGTGTTCTTGGTAGGTATGTACGGTGGTTCCTCGCCTGAGTTGATCCATTCGACAACGATAACAAGGTCACTTTAGGAGTTGAACAAGCATTTGATATCGCAAGGACTACAATCATTCATCTAGAGTGTAACAAACGGACCATTTTATGATTTGCACTGCTGGCGCTGGTATATAACCTCATGGTATCCGCGTTCTTTGGGCGTCGCTCAGGATCCTCGTAGAGTTCAGCCGTCATGGACGAAGCTAGAATTCGATTAAGCCCTGGCCGTTTACTCAACGGCTTTCTAGCCGAACTTCTCCTGGCTGGCATGTGAGTTCCCCTACAATTTTCAACATTATGGCAAAACCTAATCGATGTCGTAGCTTATATGGCGTAATAACCATGCAGTTTTATATGTATACGGCTCGCTGTGGTCACGATAGACGTTATATCAGGACCATTGTGATGGTGCTCTGGTGAATGCAATGTTATACGGTCACCTTCGAATGAGCGAGCACTGACCCTTTTTCACTTACGCAGGTTACTGGAGACAATACATACTGGACTGATAGTCCGCGTAACGTATTATTACACCGTGGTTGCCATCGAGGACCCGAGCGTTCTGCTCCAAATTGACTGGTGTGTATGAGGTTTCAATTTTTAAGTCTACCGTGCTAATGTCATTATGCTCCAGGAGTGTGGGTGTAAGTGGGCCTTTACTCGTTCCCAATATTTCGCCTGAATGTTTACCCGATTGGCTTAGCTTGTGCTTTGGGCGGAGGTAGGGAGTGCTGGAAATTTCCGCCACAAGAGCTCACCTTCTCGCACAGATCTGTATTGTTGCCCTGGTTCAAAGGTGAGCGGGCGTGTAGATATCTTCCATGACATCCCGGTCTCATCCTATCATGTAGCTTCTACATTCGACGGATATGGATACGTGCGCTAATCTCATTGAAAGTCCTTTCTTCCAAATTGTAACCTTTAGTTTTAGTAAGCGAAGGTTGGGTACTTCTTACGGCGATAGCAGTGGGTATTTTGCGAGATATGAATATCGCAATCTTACTCGTGTGTTATACTGTAGACATTCCTCTTCGTTTCCCGCATCGGTAAGCCATCCAGTCAACATCTCTCCTCTATCTCTAATCAGGCCTTTGAACAACTTCAGGCTTTCTGTCACGTAAGCATTCAAGCATTTGTCACACAAAGAAATCAAGTTTGACCAGTTGATCGTGTCCTGTCGCTAACTCAGTTTCGGCATACCATATGTGAGTCTTTCGCAACGACTACAACTTCCCATGTACTTAAAACTAAACAATATCGTTATTAGGTTTCGCTATCCGACCTGGGCCGCGTTTCAGGAAAACGCTCACTCAAACGTACGCCCTCTGGCTGACTACCTAGGTTCAGCTTACACCAAGTCATGTATCAATTCTTGCGTTAATGTAGGTATTTGTGGAAACAGGAGTTGCACTTTCAGTAGCGGTCGATTTCGTGGTTGCCTCGAGCATGATCTATTACCTACGACACGCCATGTCTTCGCAGGAAGGGCGTACTTCAAAGTAAGAGTATTTCTCTCCTATGCCTATCTCATCTTTTTTTGTTGATGAATGATGCATTAATCTAGGATGAATGGTGTTTTGTACTCCCTAATGGCTTATTCACTGCATTCCGGCCTAGCAACCACGTGAGTAATGGCTATGAAGATATGCCTACAATGACATTAAGCTTTATTTACAGCGGTGTTTCACTGGCAATAGCTCTTACGGTAAATTAGCGATCCACGTTTGTAGTAGAGAGTGGGATGAACTGACCAGATTTTAGTATGCGTTCCTGAAAGGAAGCCTCGTCTACGCGGGATTAGCAGCCATCGTGTCCAAGCGTGAGTCTCTCTGTCCCAAACCATCGAACTCGTCGTCTGATCCTCACTCTGATTGACATACAGTGTACACCAATTCCCTTCTTGGAATGTAAGTCAACCTCATCTGCAGATTTCATGGTATGACGACGTTTCATCAGGCTGAACGCTCGTGAGGCCCTTCGTTCAAGAATTTCCGGAACCGCAGTGGAAATCAACGCCGATGCTCTCGAGCGATGTTGACTCACATCACACGCACAGATTCTTCGCCTCTGTTCACTCGCTCCTATCCTCAAGGACCATTCATAATCACACGTTGAACAAGCTGCTTCTTGTTCAATGCACATACCCATATCAATAACCTGTATACACATTCTATTCACTACTTCCCACATTCGTTTAGGTACTCGCAAATTCTATGCGCTCGCATGTACATGCCTGACCTCTACATCACGACCACAATACACTTATGGCGTTTCTCAGAAAGCCCCGTATTCTCAAGTTGACAAGCCCGCCAAGCGCATCCAGCCATACAACGACTATTCAAGGCACGATAACGGCCCTAAATTTGGCCGACTCACGATGGTCATAAGCCTCTTGAGCCTTATCCAGAGGGAATTTTTCAATCAAACACTTCACGCCGGTCTGTTTCGAGAAAGCGATGCAATCCTGGGTGTCCTTTGGGTTGCCGATAGCCCAACCCCTGACGGAGATACGGTTCTTCACAAGAGGGACTGTAACAAAAGATCAAAGATCAGCCACCCACCCAACCAACCAAAGCAACAAATGAACAGCAGATGACGAAAGATGGATAGGTACTGACAGATAGGGATGGACACCGAAGCCCTGGCTAGGGCGATGATCAACAAGGTCCCGTTCGGACCCAATCCCATCAACACTTCCTCGATGATCTTCTCGTTTGGTGCTGCGCAGACGATCATTTGTGCTCCGCCAAGAGTTTGCAAAGCTTTCGCGGGTGGCTCCTTGGAGGAGTCGACGAAATGAGAGGCGCCGAGTCGACCTGCGAGTTCGCGTTTGGCGTCGGAAGACGAGATCGCGACAGTGTTGAAGCCCATCGCCTTAGCATATTGGACGGCCAAGTGACCAATTCCTCTAAACGCAGATGCAGTCAACATGTTAGGTGAAATATGAGAATGGCGGCAGTGAACGAAGATGCCTACCCGATACCCTGCACAGCAACTAGATCGCCGGGGCTGGCGTCCATGTGTCGAATAGAGTCTGAACCAGCGGGTCAGAGATTCCGTAAGATTCGGAGAACGAGGCGCACATACTGAAAGCTGTTATTCCCGCACACAAGAGCGGGGCAGTCTCCGCAGGATCGAGGTCCTCGGAGACATAAATCATGCACTCGGTTCTAAGAGTAACGTACTCGGCATATCCACCATCCCGGAATATACCTGCAGTTCGGAGTGAGTTATGCAATATTCTCAATTCGGACACTTGTGCTTACCATTTATAGTTTGCTTTCTGCACTGAGAGAAATTGCCTGCGATACACATATCGCAGCTGAAGCAGTGGCCGCCGTGCCAACCTGCACCGACACGCTCTCCTACTTTGAACTTGTGCTCAGTAGAAGGAACGGCCCAGACGGTCCCCACAATCTCATGACCTGGGATACGCGGCAGACCGGTTGGAAGCTGCTGCTCCCCAACGAAAATGTCGCTGTAGGCGGAGAGTTCAATCCAAATTCACAGGTAACCAGGTGACATACAAACCTTCCACAAACGCCGCACGCCAGTACTTTCACTACAATCTCGCCCTCCTGAGGGTCTTTCCAAGGTACATTGATCTTCTGAAGTTTGCCGTTCTTCTCTGTAAATGAGTACGCAATATAACTGTCAGGATGGTCGGACATGGTGTCTTGGGGGACAGGTGAAACTAGGGGTTCAGGTTGGTGTCCTGAAGATGAATTGACTGGCAGAGGCTCCGTATCTTCGACCTTCTGGGAAATGGAGTTGCCGGTAGGTTGCCGACCAGGCTTCATAAATAAGATTCGCCGCAGATCAGAGTACCTGATTGGAAAAGGTCGAGGCATCACCCAGAAAAAGAACGGATAGCTTGCAGGACAGTCCGACAAGATCGTTGATGATGTTATAGAGAGTTATATCATCTGGGACCTCGAGCATAAGTGCATGAGGACACGCGAACAGCAAGCGGTTTATGCATGGTAGCTATAATGGGACCCGAACGAAGGCAGATCGCGGCCGAGATCAGCAAGGAGATCAGACAGGTTTAGCACTGCAATATATCTTGCGAGACCTTGATGCACGAAGCGTAACGGAAGTCGGCGGGGAATGGGAAACGCAAATTATGTAGTGACCGTATCCTCTTCAGGGCCTGTAGTATGTCAAGAACGGCTGTTCCCGCAACTGGAATAACTCTTGTCAATCTTGTGCTTCTCAGAAGGAGGCGTCCAGACTCCCTTCCCCAGTGGGCGAAGGTAAGTAATTGAATATTATGCCGTGAAGTTTGATCTTGGCCATGTCTCTGCTTATCCAATAGATAGAGGTGAGTATGGTTAAACGGAAAAGGTGAAAAACTTCGCGAGTATTCCACGGTCAAGTTCTCGCGAGACAATTCCACCAGGTCCGAGAAGTAGAAGTCTTCAAATAACGTTCAATCAGTCGTCTCCGACAAGATCGAACTCCGCATGCACACAGTTGCACGACAGGAACAGGTCTGCTGATACGTACACATGTATCTTGCGCAGAAAAAGTGCCCAGATTGATAACGAAGCAAGGCGAAAGTGAAGGCACTCAACGTCCAGGAAGAGGAGAAAAGATTGGACAACATAATGAGCGCTTATTTGGACTGATGAACTGCGACCGAACTGCACACGCTGCCCAACAACGTTTTTCAATGAAGAGCGAACTGAAATGGATTATCGGTTGCCGCTTTACACGCATGTCACCTCTATATGTAAAGATATATATTCGCTTAAGATGACCAGGAACTGTAAGCCAAATCCTTGCTTTTCCTTCATCCTCCTCCGCACTTCATTGACACCATGGCCGATCCTAGTGGCGCTGCACCCCCTCCTTTCGATGTCGCTAGTTTCATGGGAGGGCTCATAATGGAGCTCTGCATCGCCCTCATGTAGGCGCGAATTTATCGGTGTCATTTTGGTTGAACTTGAACCAATATCCCCCTTCATAGCTTGTATGGAGTGACGACCGCGCAGGCCTACGTCTACATGCTTAACTGCAAGAAAGATCCTTGGTGGCTAAAATCCATGGTCGCCGCAGTCTGGTATATCTCCACTTCACTGGCGCTGATTTGATGTTTACCTTAATCCACGTCAGGATCCTCGAGACCGTTCATACGGCATTCATGCTTCGTCAAATTTACTACTACACGATCATTGGTTTCGGCGATTTTGTAGCCATATCTAAGATCGACTGGTGAGTGTTCCTGTCACTGCTGACGCCGGCTAGCTCATTTTCCCATCAATTGACAATCCGTGTGTAGGAGTATTGGTGTAAGTACATCATTCGTACTCGGGTACCTACCTTCACTAAACGCCCTATCAGCTGGTTTTGTTTGCGGAGGTAAGCCTGTAAATTTCCGTACCAGTTCTATCCTGCGTTTATACGTCATCGCATAGAATTGCATCGTAGCCATTGTCCAAGGGTAAGTAAAAGCAATATTCGAATGACAGCACAAGAGCTCACAGTATCCAAAGGTTCTACATACGCAGGATTTGGATTCGTGAGCATTTTGATCTTGTATGTCATTGTCGTCGCTGACATGTGCTATTAAGTGAGCGGCCACATCGTTCTTCTTACAATTGGACTGGTAAGGAACTGGTTTCGCACCTTCCCACAACGCGTCATATTGACGATCCGGTGAATAGGCTACTCTGCTGGCTGCACGTATTGGCTTCCATACGAGTATGTCTATAACCTTTACTTGTAATATCTATGCTGACATCTGATATCTTTCACTTCTTAGCTTCGGCCGTATACACGTATGGCCCTTCCTTATCTATAGAAACGTTGTACTTATCTTTCGATCTAGACTTCTCTCCCCGACCTGGGTCTCTTTTCAGGAGAAGTTCGCGCCTAACGTACGTTCATTACGCCCTTCAGTTTTCTTCCCACCTTCAACGTGTAAATTTATTCTTCAGCTTTGTGTCGAAGTTGCCAACGGTCTCTCCGCATCTGTCGATGGTATCATTGCGGCATCCATGATCTTTTTCCTGCGTCGCAGTCAAACCGGTTTCAAGAGGTACTGCTTGATTCCATCGTTCACTTTTATACTTCAGTCACTGACCACACGAAAGAACGGATGGTGTTCTGCGTTGGTTGATGGCATACTCAGTCAATACCGGAGCCATCATGATGTAAGTTCCTCCTCAGCAGAGTCAATGTACTCTATCAGAACATGATGCTTATGCGGAGTCCATTTGAACAGGATTGTCTCCATTTCCATTGCCATCACGGTTAGTGAAATGCCTTGGCTCCACACGCTTTTCGTAGTAATATTCACTTTTGCTATAGTATTCCAAAGTGCAAGGTAGTCTGGTCTTCGCTGGCTTGGTCACCATTGTCAGCAAGCGTACGTTCTGTCTGCACCTCTTCATACTGTGTTCATTCAACTCATCATATTTTAATTCAGTTTATGCCAATTCATTCCTTGGAACGTAAGTATTCAACAACTGCATTATGTCTTCTCCCTTACTGATTATAACATACGATGCAGTCTGAACGCTCGTGATATTGTTCGCAACAAGCATCAAGCCAGTTCTACGACGTTCGACTCTACCGGATTCGAGCTTCCAAAGTTCCGAAACACCACGTCTGGTGGTATCCACAGCGCTGGACCAGTAAGTCATGTATTGGAGATCAGTTCATCTGATGTGTAGCTGACACCTTTGTCAGCGTCGTATTGCGTTCAATCACTCTACTACGGGTTATACGGGCTCTACAGGCGCTGTGGGTGTTGAAATATTACCATTCATTTGGCTACTGACTTGCAGCATTGATCCAGTCACGCACTATTCTCGACGATACCGATACCAAAGCCATCGGACTCACTACGAAGGCAAGCAATGATACTGGAGTATAGTTGGACGTTACGAATCTCTAGTTTTAACTAATGGGATTATATGAGAGAGTATCTGTGCGGATACCACGAGATTCTGCTGTGCAAAATCATGCTTGGATCTAGTGTACGCTCTTTTAAAGGATGTATTTCCTCGAGAGATTAACCTAATGCTTATGATTGTCTTGCCATATTGGACGCAAGCACCACATATGAACTAGTAGCCGTGAGTAGGAAAGGGGTATTGTATATGATGGAAGAAGCTGCCAGAAATACAGTTGTATGCCGGTGAGTATTTAAATGCAAACAAGAGGTCCAAGAAAGGAGAGAATAAACTATGCAAATGCGAATGTATAGATGACAAAAATCACAGCAATGTCGAGAAACATTAGACAAAACGAAAAAGTAACTAGAAATGTCATGATTGCGAATCGTCCGTCACCGTTTCAGACGATGCGTCCGCCCCGATCGATACGACTGATAGTAAGTCCTCGCCACCCTCTGTCTCTTCTCCTGGTGGCTCGTCGTTCTCCTGTGAATCGTCGAAGGAAGGTTCTTGTAAGTTGAAGATAGGTGCGGTTCCTAACTCCTCCGCAATTCCTTTGAATCCAGACGTCTCCAGCTTTCGCCTTGAACGCCGTGTACTTCTGTTCGTGGTCGAGCTTGTCGGCGACGATGGCGTGATGGCATTGAACCCATCACTCTTCAGACGGGCCAACATGTCCCTGGCTATATCTGCTGTGTTGTCGCCAGAACTTCCAGCTTCTAACACACTTTCGGCATCCAATGTCAACGGAGCGGCCTGGCGATTGGAAGCAGTGGGTCGACTGCGACGAGCCTTGCGACCAACACCATTGCCGGTGCGGAGCTTCTCGAGTAGACTGTCCAGAGCAGATGTGTCTTCTACATCTTGGGTTGTAGCGTTGGCAGCCGCCTGCTGACGTTGTGCCTTTGCTTGTTCTGCCGCCTGCCTTCGTTTCTCCACAGCAAGTTTCTCGTCGGCAATAGTCTGGTTGTCGTGCTTACATTTCTACACTCGCAAGGTCAATATTAACATGAAAGGTGTAAAGGAATAGCGAGACTCACCTTATACGAAGTGACAAAGGTCTTGAAGATACCATAGAATTCGGAGGAACCCATGTTCTTGTCATCTTCGCCGTAATATTTGACAACTTCGGAGAATATTGAGTCGGCTTGGTTGACATCGTCCACGAGATCTTCTAGCTGTTCGGCGGCGCGTCCCACGAATGCCCACATTTGCATGCCATATCGATCAGTCTGGTCGGGGTCAGAGAAGTAGTCAGACAGCTCCTGGCGTATGCGCTTGATGCCCTCGCGAAGTTCACCCAGGGTTTTTCGAACATCTTGAAGATTCACTGGAGCAAATTGTTAATGCATGCGTAGCGTTAGAACTGAGGGGTGTTACCAACCTCGGTAAGCTTCGGCAGGTGCATTGAGTTCATCAAGGAATTGCTCCATATCAGGGAAGTGCTTGGCTACTGTTCTCTCCAAGAAATGAAGAAGGGTAGTATTATGAGTTGACTTCGTATCCACCATCTATGAAATCACATTTACAAGTTAGTTCAGTTGGTCAAGTAATAACATGGAGGCCATACCTTGTTGATACTGCTTACGCGGAAGCCGAAGGCGCCACCCTTGACTCCAGTACCGTTCATATAATTACCGATAAGGAGAATGAGCTGTAACATAGTTTAATATGAAGGAAAACTGCAGACCGTAGTAATAAACTTACGCTGAGCAATTCTTTGAAGTGTTTCGCGTGCATGAGCGATTCACCAGCTTCAATCAGCTTCTTTGCACTCTACAGAAGAATCGAGGCGTTAGTGGTTATTTTTCCATGATGGCGCTTCATCCACTCACGTTGTCCAATAACGCCCATGTCTCCTCAAAGGTCCGCTTGTACAACATGCCTTCGATACGAGGCCCAAGTCGATCGATCTTGATGAGTTGGACCATGAGTCGATCAGAGGGATGCAAGCCAGCCAGTTCTTCGGGCTCTGCATTGCGGTACACATTGAGCTTGCCGACCTATGCTACGAGTGAATACACGTTGAAACAGAGTCTGGACGAAAGCTAACCTGTTCAGGATTGGGGAGTACCGGTTTCAGTTCGCTTAGGAACACCTCTGTGCACACATCTTGATCGAAATGTTTGATCTTCATAGCGATCTCTTCCGGCTCGAGTTTCTTGACGGTTTGGATGAGAATTTCTGGTGCAGTGTTCAATAGAGAATGCGACATTGGCGACATGCACACTTACCGACACGCTTCTTAGTTTGTGGATCGAGAACACTCTTAAGTTCAGCCCTCTTTTGCTTGGCTGCAAAATTAATATGAGAAAGCGAAGGAGCATCACTTCAGGTGGACAACATACCCATGAGATTGATCACAAGTTGCTTAGCCCTGAAGTCTTCCTCCATCTCCATCCAGACACCGTCGATCTGCAACTTCCTAAGCCACTCGTGTTCCTTGGTAGGCTCATCTTCATTGAAGACGGTTTTCCCGACTTGTTGTTGAGGAAGCTTGTCCCATTGAAGCTGCTTCATCTTCGTGCTAGGCGTAATGGGGAGATCTTTGCGGGCGGATAGAAGATTATTGACATTCGCACTTAAGAACATAGACGCGCGGGCAGAGGTGGCACCACTGCTAGGCGTTGCATATCCACTTCGCATGCCTGGTGGAGGCGGCGGCGGCGGAGCACCAGGAGTAGTAGGTGTGGATGAGATGCGACCTCCAATACCAGGAGGCGGCGGGGGTGGGGGCGGTGGTGGAGGGAATGCGCCTCCCATACCGGGTGGTGGGGGTGGAGGAGGCGGCGGTGGAGGAGCCCCCGGGAATCCCTTACCTGGCGGTGGGGGCGGAGGTGGAGGCGGAGGCGGTGGAGGGGGAGGTGAAGTGAAGCCAGCTCCAGAGCCTCCAGGCAGTGGTGGAGGCGGAGGCGGAGGGGGCGGCGTCGTCCCATTTGCTTCTTCCGGTAAAGGGGGAAGTGCTGAAGGTGACTGTAATGGGCTGCCATCAGAGACCGGACGGCCTTTGGCAGCAAGTTGTTTGCGCAACTGATCTGCAAGTGAACCCGGGACAACTGTCCGCGGACTATCAGCCGATGCTGCTGAACTGACCGAGGTTGGCTCAGTAAGAACGGAAGACCCACTTCTCGTCGACTGTGATCGACGGAGATCACCATCCTGATCCTCTGCAGCAGAGCTGTGTTCGCTCTGCTCTGCGATATCGTCAATCGGCGGTGAAAGAAGTCCATTTGGCGTTTGAGCGAAGTCACCCAATGCAGGACGGCTAGAGTCCTTACGTCTGGGTGACCCCCGAATGCTCCGTGGGCTTGAGGATGGACCATTGCGTGCGGGATACTACAACTCGTCGTAAGCCACAGATTGAGAAGCAAAAGTAAAGGCTTACTAGTCGCACGCCTTCAGCGAGCTGCTGCTGTATTTGCTCCTGTACAATAGCTTCATCAGCATCCATGAACTGTGAAGTATGACCATTTTGTGCTTCTGATGCTCGAGCGGTCTTTCTCATAGACTTGTTGCGACCACTCTTTACAGTTGAGGCGGGCCGTCGACGCAAGCTGCCTGCCTTTCTGGGTGTGTTATCATCGTCTTCTGAGATATCTGTCTCCTCGCCATCAGCCTCCTGCCCATCCTTCTTCCGCTTCCGTCGCTTGTCACGACCTTCCAGAATGCTGATAGTTTTGTCACGTTCAAAGTGCCGCTCAAGAGTGTCGATGAGGGTCTTCCTGTCCATAGCACCAGAGTTCTCAAAGATCTTGTCAACGCCCTTGCCAACCTCCTTGAGCATTCGGAACAGCTCCATGATCTGAGCTTCTAGCTGAGTGATCTGCTCTTCATACCCTTGCTTCTGCGTCTCGAGCTGACCTTGAAGCCTAGTATAATTGACTCTTGACTGTTGAAGCTTCTCCTCCAGATGCGACACTTTGGATTTCAATTCACCGACCATGCCGCCCTCGCCCCTAGCTATCTCTTCCTCCAGAGCTTCCTTCTCCAGGCCGAGCCGTAATGCCGTAGCATGTGCTTTGGCGAGTTCGTCTTCGACGTGTTGATACCGATCGGCTTCATTGAACTGAGCGATGATACGTTCGACGGAGTGTCCGAGTCGCTGCTCAGCGCCACCCAACTTCTTGTCCAGAACCATGTCCGTGACCATGGAATCAATAAGCTGATAATAATGCGCAAGCGCAGGCCCTTCCTCTCGTATAAGCAATAGATGCTGCATTATGGACAAGAAATAATCCTTCGCTTTGGACTCCTGCGTCTTTGCCTGAAGAGCCTTGTATACGTCCTCAGGATTCGCAAGGTCCTTGAGGATAACCTGGTCCATTCGCTCTCGCAGCTTCTTCTCGTCATCGTCGAGCATTTGCTGAAGAATGTTGAGTTGAGAATCTATGCTTTCAACGGCGAATGTACGACAAAGACGAATGATGCGTTGGAGTCCAGATGCCTCCATCAATGAACGGTGGTGAACTCGAAGATCGAGGTCCTCAATGCCATCCAGAATACCGTTGATGAGAAGCAAGTTCGAAAGCTAGAAAGATGTCGTCAGCCATTAGTGCCAAAAAAAAATAACAAGACAGACATACAGTGTATTCGTTGAGAGAAGGATCGGGTCCACCATGTCGTTTGACCTCCTCACTAGCACCAACTAGCGTACCCATCTTTCCTCTTCCGATCAACGCTTGCTCAAACGACTTGAACCAAAATGCATAGCACCCTCCAGACTCGTGATTATCGTCACTAAGCGTCTGCAGGGCCGCCACAACAAGATTGTGGGCTTGACCATCATCCCAGTAGACCAGAAAAACCAGAAGATCCAGAATCAGCTTCCGAGTTTGGAGATTAGGCGTATTTAGAGTCGAAGCTATTTGAGTGACGATTAAATTATGTGCAAGAGCTTCGCGCGCCGCCCACTATAGATCCTGCATGTCAGTGCGAAAGGAACATACGTGCACACACAAATACTGACCGAGTAGTTGAGGATATATTTCAAACTTTTGGCGACCTCATGCTCAATATCCAATTCTTCCTTCCGTCTGAGCACAATATTAGACCAAGTATTGGACGTATGCAGAAATGTGTTACCGTTGCAAAGTCTTTCGGCTGATGTGCATTAGTGTCTGCGCCAGCACAGACGTCCCGCGCACGTCAACAAACTGTTTAAACCAACTGCAGAATTCATTAGCGAGTGACCCATCGTAGCCGTCAGCGAACATACTCGAGTTCCTTGCTACGTAGGGAGATCAACAATCCCCCTGCCTGTTTCGGGGTGATCGTCTTGTCCATGAACTTCTTGATGTACCATTCAGGCGAGCCCTCGAGAATACTGGTAAGTTGCCCCGAGTCCTGTTGCTTTCTTGCCTGTTCCTCCTTCTGTCTTGCTTCCTTCCACCGCAGACTCTCCGAATTGTAAATGATATGCCATTTCTGTTCGATTGACAGATTCGGCATCACGCTCACGTCTCGTTCGCGCATAATCTCCTCGAACATCTCCTCAATCTCCTCGTTGTTCTCCGGACGTGGCAATTGAAACTCAGAAGGCGAATGGAAGAAATGCTGCGAAAGATGCGACAGATGTCGGTTGTGAGAGTCCTGGGAAACCATGGAAGGTGCAGACATCGAAAGTCGGTTGGAAGACTGTATCGAAGTTGGACGAATCGTGGCAGAGTCTGGCTGAAGATTGCGGAAACGGCTGCTTGGTGAAGTGGGCGAACCAACGCCAAAATCAGTCATGGATGAGTTGCTCCCGCTTTGGCGGACTTTGCGTGCGTTGGCTTTGAGTGAAGCCGAATCAGATCCATTGTATAGCGTCCCAGATTCTGCAGTGTAAACAGAGGTGCTCGGGGAACCTGGCCGGGTTGCATAAGGACTGTTCCCGGTGGCCTCACGATACGCTCGCTCGCGATCTGCACGCGACTTTGCTTGGGCAAATTTATTCATTTCCGTCCCGTTCGCAGTGAGCCCTGGGTTGGTTATGGGAGCAGATATGACCGCCGCGGGGTTGCTTCGAAGACCCTGCGAAACAGTATTCACAGTCACAGGAGATCGTTGAGGCGGTCCGATTTTGTTGTAAGGGACCGATCGCTCCTCCAGGCCTCCCCCGCTTATAGATGATCCCCTTTGTCTGTTCTTCTTCTTTCCAAAGAGCGAATCCATGAATGATTATGCACTGTGCCGTGATGATTGTGTCCAAGTGTGTAGGGTATCGTCGTAAGAGTTCCAAAGTGCAAAAGTACCGGGCGGGTGCCGTAGGTTCCCAGAAATGGTCTGAAACGTGTAGAGTGTTCGTTCAACGATAGTGATAGTACAGCATCTAGAAGAAAAGCTTAGGAAATACGGAAAGGATTCAAACTTGGTGGTGGAAACCAAACCGTGTAAGCGCCCTTTTGTATCAGTACTGTAGTTAATGCTTAGCGGCTATTTAAATAAATAATTACCTGAGAGACTTATGCTATGCGTTATGTAACATGGTTATCAGAAGTTAGCTCTATAAATATTCTTTCCTTGAGTGCTCTAACATTCTTCCCTCGTTCTCCACCAAAGCGTCGTATACAGAGCACAGTTTCTAGCATCTGATTGAGAATAACTCGCTGGTACGTTTTAGAACAAACGATACATCCGGATGCAGTTGACGGATCATGAAGACAAGCTAATTGATGCTCTATTCTCTTGTAATACATCCATCGAGTGCATCCTCATCTTCCCATTCAGAGTGGTTCTTAGAAACTTGTGATTATGGCAACGAGTTCTCGCCAACAGGCTGAAGATCAAGTCCGCTCGTGGGGTTTTCAACGTGTTTATACATGGACGGATGGCCCGCGAGTATCAGCTCTTTTCAACGCTGCGAGAAATCATAACGTTCCTTGTTCATCTCTTATTTGCCTGCAGCAATGCACACTATAAGCCTCATTCGCATGCAGGTCTTACCACCCATCTGATCCTATCCGGGACGTTCACCGTGAGCTACCCCGAAGACGACCCGGGAAAGACGGAAACGTTCGGGCCAGGTGCGAGAATAGATGTACCAGCGAGCAAGGTACATGAAGTTTGGATGGGCAATGGAGGGTGTACGTATGTAATCGGTGAATGAAAGGTAAGCAAGACATCTGCACTCTAGATGATTTCAGTGACAATCATCTCCGTAACACTATAGTCAGGGACCATTGTAGGTGAATCGCTGTATTCGTGAAATGTTCAATGAAATATTTAGTCTGCGTCCGAATTGTGTCATGTCTCTGTCATTCCTTCAAAACTTACCACGCGAATGGAAGCCTCGCGTCCGTTGTTGGAGTATGGACAGTACTACGTAGTTTGTCAAGCTAAGTGCGCCTTGTTAACCATCTGCTAACGACGCCGTTGAAATCAATCATTCCATAGTAAGAAGAAAAGTAAGTTCGTGGGGTTTCAACCAAGTCTTCACTGTTCCAGAGAACTGTCTGTGTACCATCCCCTCCCGTGTAGACTCACTAACCCCAAAGCTATGCTCGCGAGACCTCGTTTCAACAGTATCACAACATGAGTTTTCACGGAAGAAAGAAATCTTGCGATCAGCCAGAATTTAACGGATCGGCGGTCTCGGGTGACCCAAGGGACTTTATTCGCGTGTCAGCAAAAAACGTCTAGACGGTATTAGCGGTATGCAGTACGAAAGGCAGAAACGATAGGGAATAGACATTTAAGAAAAGCAGAAAGCAGAGTCTAGGACTAGTACGAGGTCAAGACTCCGACAGCATAAGATCGACGAGCTGCAACTAGTAGAACCACCATTGAGCGTCCCGTCCGTCAGTAGTTGAGGTTGGGAAGCGAATCTTTCGCTCGGAGGTATGAGCGGCACAAGGCATAGGTAAATCCGCATCCTGCCTGCAAAACATCGCAATGGCGGGAGTGATAGCGTGAACCAGTCCGAATTCTATGACAGGCGAGTCGCGAGGAGTCGCGAGGTCAGGAGACTGGTCCATCTCGTCCATGCCAAACGGAGAGCCAAGTAGATCGAGGGTAGAGGAACGGTGAATTGATGGTAATGACTCCTGGACTTTCTCCCGGTCTTCAGGAAGAAACCTTTCGTGTGCACGGACTTTGCGATGGCGCAGTCGACAAGGCGCGATCCATGAGAACCAGATAACTGCGCCGAATCCTGCCGACATCGTAAGGAGGACGATGATGATAAATGCGAGGCCGACTGAGAAACGATTCAGGATTGGACAACAACATTGGACATCGAAGATGTGAATACATACCAGGGGTTAATCCGGACAAAGCCATTGGATATCAAGGTTATTGGTGAGGGCGAAGGGATAACTATAGTGCTGTAATGATAGAGAAACTAAAGAGGGTTTAACGAAGAAGCCAAGTTGGATGGCGGGGGTCCGGATAGAAAGGAGGAAAGCGAGAGCGAGCACTCAGATACTTCACCATGAAAGGCTGACATTGAAATCTTGACCGACCACAACATTCCTCTTCGCGGCTCTCGCTTGCCTGGTTAAACTTCGCATTCTTTCCTGAAGAGCTCGCACGTCCGACATTGCAGGTGGAATATCGGCAATGCAGGAAATATATTGATATAGACATGATCTGATGAAGGAAAAATCGCCGCAGGATACAAAAATGTAGCACGAGTAGCGCCAAACACCTTCGACTGTCGCAATGGGGGAAGAGCACGAATGGAAGACATCTGAAAAGAAGATATTGATGAGAATATGCCCAGAAACTGAGAGAATTTAAGAAGAGTCAGGGTTCTCAAGCGTATAAGAGAACCAGGGTAGTTATCGTCTGTGGATCCGACTGGTGCACAGCAAAGGTTCATCATGAAAGAACGAAAGGAAGAGATTGCTCACTCTGTTCGTAAAAATCAAACATCTCAAGCGTAAACATGAGATCTTAGGAGTAAGAAGACATTCTCGAAACGATAGACTTGCACGATCCTGAACAACAAGCGTGAAGACAAAAAGATTGCAGGCGCTATAAAAGCAAAAAGTCACAGCGTGACTATGCTATGCATTAGGGCCGGGTCGGTGACAAGTATTTAAGGGCAGGTGCCTTTCAAATGGGTATGTTTAATTGGTATGAGAGGGGGAGTACCATAGATGAAAACAATTGCACGTGAAGATACCTAGATACGCAGAGAAATAGTAGAAGTACAATGAAAAAGCAGGGTAAATCAAAAACACCGAAACCCAGTCGAAATCCAACACATAGAATGCAACAACGGAGAAACAAATTCCAACCTATCCCTTAACACCGATAAGCAAACGAATAGTCCGAGAAGGCGCGTCGAAGTCTTGCGCACAAGCATCCCGCCTTGATTCAAGGATCATCTGGCGTAAACGCTCTTCCTCCGCAAGCTCAGGTCCTGTTAGGGGTTCTCGTCGAGGGAATGTCCACCCTGTTTTCGTCAGGGAATGCCATAGTGACAAACGGACATGCATGTCGCTGAAAGGCACCGGTCAGTCACGAGACGAGAGAACACATAGGAAGAGCTGACTCTTTATAACGCTGGTACAAGGTTTCAAACCGCTTCCTGTTTAGTTGCAAATTAGGGAAGTCTTCGTCGCGCCATCCATACAGCTTCAAAAGAGCGTCCTCTTTCTCAACAAGCTTGGCTAACTCATCCCACATGGCTTCCTTCGTCGCGAATACCAGACCGGCAGCTCGGTACAGTTGCATGTACAATACTTTGTCCTCGAGCTTCTCGAACTCGGGTATGGGAAACAGCTCTACCACAGAAGCCTCGCCTCCAATTATGCTGGATTCTGCCATAGGTGATAGCAAGGCAAGTGAAGGGTGTTTGGGTTGCCTGGATGACGAAGGCGCAATGCTATGCACACTAGTGGTAGAGGGTATCCGTTGCAACACCGTCGGTGCGATACTAGAAACAGAGGTTCTCGACGAAGGAGCCCCTAGTGATGACGGCGGTCTGCTGAAGTTGAAATCGGATAAGACAGTGGAGGACTTAGTAGTAGAAGACGAAGAGTCGTGTGCGGTGGGGCTGGGAGGTGTTGGCATGAAGAAACAACACGGATCCGTCGGATCCGACGTAATGGCGTCGGAGACTGCAGGCGGTGGAAGTTGTTGGCCAGGAAGTGGCATGAGAGGTGCGATTGGTGGCATGGGGAACTGTAGCAATGGTGGTGACTTGACATGCCGGAATGTCGAAGAAAAGTACACAGGCAAGATAGCTTATCGTCGACGTCAGTGGATGGATATGAGTCAACGTAAGAAGAAGAAGGGCTCACAACTTGGCTTTGGGTTGATAAATCGAGATTCAAATACAGCGTTGAATAGATGCTCCAGAAGTGCGTGGTCGTGAGGATCATCGTCAGGCGTGGCAAACGTTGACGTTATGGGCGTGTTTGTACCGCTTGGTGGTGGCGATAGGGCGCATGACCTATCGGCGTGAAGTGGTCGAGTAAACCATTTGGGCAAGATTGGGAACAAAGCATCTGAAACAAACAAACAATTTAGATGCCTGTCGGCGGTGTCATAGATGCATGATTACCTTCTTGGAGAATCTCTATGGTTCCGTTTGGCTTGAGTACCCGATTGACTTCCTGCACAAAATTCAGTGCTTCAATGGCAGCGACATACAGCGGAGATAACATACGTCGAGGAAGTCGTGCCACTGATGTAGAAATTCGGTGAGTGAGAATGGATAGTATAGGAAGAGGAGGCGTACTCTGGGTTCCGGTATGGCAAAACCAATGCCCTGCATATGCACGTAGTCAAACTCATTGTCGGGAAATGGAAGGCGACTTGTCAAACTAGCAGCAATAGGAAATAAGCACAATGTCTAGAAGAATATGCTGGATAACGTACAAGTTGCCATTAACCCATTGTATACGATTCGCGACAGATGGTTCGACATATTGCAAAGGTATCTGAATATTGACCATATCGAAACCAACCTAAAGTCTAAACATTAGCACCGCATCGTACAACTCGAAGAGCAAAGCACTCACAAATGTAGACGTCGGCCATTTCCCGGCACATGCAATCACCCAGTCACCCAACTAGCTCATAGTCAGCCTCACGACGCGCAATACGGAGTCATTTGCCAACATACAGCGGTCCCCAGATCCAAAACTCGTCCAGGGATCTCCCCTTTAAAATCTCGCAAGGTAAGTTGACCATGCTTCACTTTCTGAATAAGCGCATGGTCTATAGCCCATCTATGCAACCATTAATCCACTGCACTCACTGGATAATACACTACTCACAAGTCCAGGATTTCCCTGTCATATGAAAGGGGATATGGTGCGTCTTCTTGGTTGAGATTATGCAGCCTTGAACCGTTTTGGTAGCGAAATGATGGATCCGACGATTCTATCGGGCGGGGTTTCTTCGCAGTAGTGCTCTGTCTAGAACGTGGACTGACGATGGAAGACATGGGCGAGTCTTTAAATGGGTAAGGTGGATGCTCTAATCCCCACAACATTATGGCAGGACAGCATCATATACGTTTACGAATGCCAAAGAGCGCATTTTAAAAAGCTCAGACGTGTTGAGGCATTCCGGTGCAACGCCGGAAGCAAAATTTGTCTAGCCCTTTTCCGTACGTTTCGCAAGGGCAAATTATCCCTTATAGGGGCACTAGTGCCTCGCGGTAGAATATTTTCCGCGCAACTTGGCCACTCTTTGACTTTTGATTACGGGTCGATAACGTTAGCGAATGGCTTGGTTATGGAGCGTTGAACACCGGAGTCGCAACCAACAACTGAGAGCGTATTGCAAGATGGATCGCCAAGTGGTTTATATCAAACTTTCTCACGCTTTCTTTACTTTACTCCCTTTCCTCCTCGATTTGCACAGGATGTTATGAAGATGCTATATATCTGCGTCGTAAATACTTGACTTGACGGGGTGCTGGAATGACCAAACACCGTGCTTAGACTGAATGTTCAACGTTCAGTACACGGCCCCCAGGTTCTACTTCCAACGCCGGACATCGGATCTGTAACCCGTCAGCTGCATCACCTGTTACAGTCGTGCCCCGCCCTATCCGGGACTATCGAGTCCCTAATCTGGTTTAGAAGGCTCCCCGGAGGGTGTCGCAATCTATTGCAATGCTAGGTGTTCTGTCTCTCGTAAATACCACATAAAGCACTGACATACGAAAGAATTAGCCGGACCATCAAGATTACCATACCATATTTCGCTTAGTTCGCTAAGCTCCTTTCCAGCATTTGACCGGGTACATAGCACTTCTTTTACGTCACTGACCATTTCCAATGGACCGACCGGACTTACGAGTGTATGCATCCGACTGACCGTTCATAAAGCACCTACATATTCTGTGGTATGCTCGCGCCGCATCCATCGGGGATCCTTGGTTGAGGTCATTCACTTTGGTCAAAGGCAGCACATCTAAGTTGGTGAGAATCGCTGGTCACCTTACAGCTATTTGCGGAACGATAGGCCACCTTTCGAAAAAATCCAGCACAGGAGTTTCATTCCCCGAAGGCTGATTGCAGGTGTCTGAGCCAATCACGAACAGAATTTGGAGTATTCGTGGAGCAAGAGAGCTTGAAGCGTCTCAGCCTGAGTGAGTGCCACCTTCTGCCGAGAGCGGATCTTGAAACCCTCTGTCCTGGATTTTTTTCCAAGGTGGCCTATCGTTCCGCAAATAGCTGTAATCATGTAGATCCAGCATACGCAATGTACTGTAGAGCTTGCAACTCCCCAGTTGCAAGATTGAGTAAGATTAAGCGCTCTGCGATAACTCAGAACGAATGAGCTCGTTCTGTTCTGATTATGGACAAGCTAACGCATCACGTACCCGGTTATTCTTCAGGTTTGAAATGCAAAATCAGTTCATTATGTAGAACGGAGCGGAGCAACATTTCACAAGGTTTGATCCTCGAATACCAGTGCGCACTTTACGCCAGAAGGCATCTGAAAGTTGTTATCCATCGCTTATACTGAACCATCGAATGCAGGAGGAGCGAGGCACATTCTTTGAAGAGCCAAGAACGTACACTACTGTACCAGCAGTTTGTGTTTGTCCGCATACTGTAGAATATCAGCAGTGAAGGAGATGGCGGTAAACATGACAGCGGAATATCAGCGAATCAATACACACCGAGTTTATGCCGTTCGACGACGAAAGTTCAGAAAGATTCTAGCGGATGGAATTTGCAGACGTCCTTTCCTCCGACGAGCATCTAGCCTAGCAGGAAAAAGGTAAGAAGATCCAACAAGCAACGTAGATCGAACGAAGTAACTCATGCCTGCTCGAAATCAAATTGATTCGTAAAAAGAATTATGTTATTAAGTATGTGGGGTCTAGGCAAAGCACTTTGCCTATGCCGAAGAGGGTCATAGCCTGCAAGACATAATTTCCGACCAGTAATGCCTGCAATGATCGTGAAGATGAACGGAAGCTCGCCGCTGCATTGGATGGTCATACTACTCACCATGATACCGGTGAAGAAGTAATTCCTCTTGCTAACTACAGAATATGAAATTTATCGTCAAGATACACCTTTCGTCGCCCTACGCCGGCTTACATAGTCAGAGCCCAGACGCGACGAATGTGATAGCTGAATAGCGGTTTTGTTCATGTGATTCCGTTGGCCTTCCTTAAAAAATGGGAATGGGGTCGATGTGATACACCGGAGCGCATTCAGTCTGGGTTAATTCCGATGTGAGCCAATTGGATGCATCCTTCCGTCGTATATAGGGTGGCACAAGAGGTCGACATATGGTGCGAACCTTCCAAGCAATCCTACAATTTCAGGAGGACGTTCATGCACTGTCAGTTGACGCGATCGTCTAGGATCATTCATCGATTCATCGTCGAGGCGTTAGTACTCCGTGGTTCACGTGCAAAGTGTCACGTTTATATATAGTCACGCCAGGCAAGAAGACGGAGGTTGGCTTGAATTGAATGAGATTGAATAAGACGACGTAGAGCCTGGAAGTACAGAATGTTGGTCAAATACTTGCGTGGCGATATATCTTCAGTGAGTGCGAGATTGGCAATTCAGAGTATGTTACTGACCAAGAATCTAGGCATGTTCTATAGTACCCATTCCATGTTGTGCCATGGATTTTCTAGACAACGGTTTTACGTTCAATTGATGTCTTCGATATGCATGTATGAGAAGGAGCAGTTTAGCCTTAGGCGTCTCTCATAAGGAGACAATTGAATAAAGTTCAAGGATGATATGTCAGCTGTCGGTATGTCGCTCCCACTGTTGTCTCCTCCTGGAAGTTCATCTGTGCCGAATCCACCAGAACGCAACCAACAATCCAAATGTCATTTGTCGCTCATAACAAACTTCCCTGCTCGGACCACGATGCAAGATTCCCTTGTTCCACATCCGTTTGGTTCCCGCGGCTGATGACCAGGGACAATTTGCGCATCTCATGACCACGGGAAAGCTGCACCTTGTACCAATAATTTCTCAAGCGGTGGGCCCATTCATGCAACACAGTAGTCCACGTTTTTGCCAACGGCGCCGTCTGTCTTTCTCAGAGATGATATCAGTGGTGCGTCCGGCCAGATCAGAGCGTCCTAGAGGAAAACCGATACTTCGTGGTATCATGCCGACATCGGGTGAGACTCCTCCGTGAGAGGATCGGGATAAAAGTATGCGCGCACAAGACGATGGGTACGTCGATGTAAAGACAACGAGAGCACTGGGTGTATGCACTGACACAGTTCAGTGTTGGATGACTGGAAGGAGTAAAAGGTTCTTGCTGTTGCTGGGGCACGTTTCATGGACAGCGTGACATGACCGTGACATGAGACGCCGAAGATCAGTTGGCCGAGCCAGGCCGACTCCAGTCTGCGCAGAGTACACGCTTCATTTACCTGTCTCTCTACTCAGGGCTTCCAATTTCCGTGTGCTATATAAACCACCTTATCACCAAATCTTTTACCCTCTCTTCCCTCATCTCTGCTCCCCATGGCACCGCCCCATGAGTTCACGTCCAAGCCCTCAGATGAAGTCCGTCGCAGGCTCTCCAGCATTGTCTCCGGCAAGAGGCCTAGTGTTGTCGCATACACGAGTCTTACTGTGTGTAATGCCGTATACTGTGTGCATGCTTTCAGCTTAATGCGCTTCAATCACTAGCCCATGTGGGCCGGTATCGCAGGCACTGTGATCAACAACCAAACCGAATTTGAAGTCGCCATTTCCATTCACGACTCGGTGTACAATACCGATTTCGCATCGTCCATCGTCAAGTACGATGTCAATGACCCAGAGGCACAGGCTGCTGTTATTGAGGAGCACGTCTTGCAGACCATCCGCTCTTTCTCCTCCGAACATCTCTGCAAGTTCCTTGGCGCCGGTGTAACTCTGAGCTTGCTCCGAGAGGTGCGTTGAGTTACTCATTCTTCGTAACATGGAACCAATCTGCTCTCGCAATAGGCACCTAACTTGTGCACTCGTCTTTGGCTTGAGTTGGACATCGTTCCCATAGTCTTCAACATCAAGCCCTTCCACACGGATTCCATCACCCGTCCCAACATCAAGCACCGTATCTCTTCCACGACAGGGTCGTACGTTCCCTCGGGTGCAGAGACGCCTACGGTCTACTATGACCCTTCTCAGGTGCAAGGCACCAAACTTGGCGCTAGTGTCGGGACCCGTCTGCCTATTCCTCGCACGGTCGATGAACAGGCGGATTCTGCTGCTCGCAAATGTATCATGTACTTCGGTCCTGGGAACAACCCTCGTCTTATGATCGGTCCTCGCAACCAGGTCGCTGTCGATTCCGGTGGCAAGATTCACCTTGTTGATGACATTGATGAGTATAGAAAGACTGTTCACGGCGGCACATGGAGAACTGTGAACAAGCTCGCAGATGAACTGCGTGAGAAGAAAATCAAGATGGCATTCTTCTCTTCCACTCCCCAAGGAGGTGAGTGTGGGGTTGCTTTCCCCAGATTTTGCCCCCGCATTTTGGGGGTCTCGATCACTGTGCGGGAATTGATCGCTAATTTGCCTCACTTCGTGGGTTGTTTGATCGGCCTTTACAGGAGGAGTTGCGCTCGTGAGTTGTGTTGTGCTACTCGTGTCGGCTTTTGGGAATATTCTAAGACATTTTGAATGGTAGATGCGTCACGCGCTCATCAGGTTCCTCAATCTCCTGGATGTTGACTGCGCATGGTGAGTACCCGTTGTCTATTTCATGCAAGGATGAACAGCCGGCCAGATGCAACCATGGAAAGAGACTAAGTACTGATACTTCTAACAGGTATGTTCCCAACCCATCTCCCTCCGTGTTCCGAACCACCAAGAACAACCACAACATTCTACAAGGAGTCGCCGATCCCAATCTCCGCCTCACTAAAGAGGCAAAGGACAACTTTGACGCGTGGATCCTCAAGAATGGTCTTCGCTGGACTGCCGAAGGCGGACCGCTTGCGCCAGGTGGTGTTGACATCGCCTTCATTGGTAAGTCAACGTTCTTCGTGGATTCACATGTCAAGTGCTTGTCGTTCCAAACTTTGAGTTTCTGACTTTGGTTCGAATCTTAGATGACCCACAGATGCCGGGTCTCATCCCGCTGATCAAGAAGGTCCGACCGGACTTGCCTATTATCTATCGTTCTCACATCGAGATCCGGAGCGATCTCGTCCACATCGAAGGATCTCCCCAGGAGGAGGTGTGGAAGTATTTGTGGAACAACATCCAACATGCGGACATGTTCATCAGTCATCCTGTGAACAAGTTCGTGCCTAGCGATGTCCCTGGAGAGAAATTAGCTCTTTTGGGTGCCGCCACCGACTGGTATGTGAACGATGATCTGTCAGCTGCCTTTCTCGAACTGTAACTCATCGATGTCTTTCCATGTAGGCTCGACGGACTTAACAAGGATCTTCACCCGTGGGACTCTGGATTCTACATGGGAGAATTCCGCAGCTTGTGCGCGAGGGACAAGATGACCGAGTTGAAGTGGCCAGAGAGAGACTATATCCTCCAGATCGCCCGTTTCGACCCTTCAAAGGGTATCCCGAACGTCATCGACTCTTTCTGCAGGTTCCGCAAGTTGTTGGAGGCTGAGGATGACTACGATCCCGACGATACTCCTCAAATGCTCATTTGTGGTCATGGTGCTGTCGATGACCCCGATGCTAGCATCATCTACGACCAAACGATCAACCTCATCCATACCAAATACCCTGAGTACGCCAAGGACTTCGTCGTCATGAGATGTCCTCCCAGCGATCAACGTAAGTTCGACGTGCTATACCGATAATGATCGCCACTGACGTCGCTTCTTCAACAGTCTTGAATGCTTTGATGGCTAACTCTAAATTTGCCCTCCAACTCTCCACTCGCGAGGGTTTCGAAGTCAAAGTCTCTGAGGCCTTGCATGCTGGCAAGCCCGTCGTCGCTTTCCGCACCGGCGGTATCCCATTGCAAATCGTAGACGACAAGAGCGGATACCTCTGCGACGTCGGTGACAATGAGACCGTCGCCAAGCATATGTTCGACCTGTACACCGATGAGGCGTTGTATAGGAAGGTCAGCGAATACGCTAGGACTCACGTCAGCGACGAGGTTTCCACCGTCGGAAACTCCATTGCTTGGATGTACTTGGCTGTCATGCACGTCTCGCGAGGAGTCAAGCTGCGACCTAAGGGCGCATGGTTGAATGACCTGGCGAGGAACGAGGTGGGCGAGCCGTACGAGGACGGTGAGCCTAAATTGCCTCGTGGTGGTCTGAATGTCCAGGGATAAGCTACCTGTGCATTGTACTTTGATATAACGGTATGTATATCTCTTGACGTTGTCTCGCCTGCCTGTTACTTTGTCGTCTCTCCGTCTTCTGTCTGTTTTTTTTGTATAACATTTGTACCCTCAGATACACCCTGCTCCTTGCCTTCATGCTTTGCCATTGTCTGTAGAATGGAACTGTCGTTGTAGAAATACCGTAGTACTAGATATCGATACTCCCAAGTCAAACACTGTTTTTTTCTGTCTCTATGACTCTTCCAGCTTCAATATTTAATGCTTCAAAGAAATAAGAAGACATTGGTAGTTGCCGGCGGTGGCGCGTGCACGTTCCATGATCGAGATTTCAATTTGGCGTTTGCCGTCCAGAGTGACAATTGTAAACAGCTGGGACCCTCCCCACCAGTGCCTCTCACTCGTCTTTGTCTCTTACCGTCATCTTCAGAACTGCTCATACCCCTATCAAACACGTACTTACTTCAATCCACGAATCTACATCCGAAATGGTATCCATGGACATCGATATGCACTCACCCTCGTTCCGCACCGCACGTACATCTAAACGATCGCGCTCTCCACCTTCACCTTCGCCCTTTGACCGACCCTCAGTATGTAATCTTCTCTACTTTACCCCTAAACTTGCTGAACTCAGAACTATGATAGAAACGGGTGTCTCTTGGGATCCACAACCCTATTCCTGTGGCTCGGCCACTACCATCATATGCTGCTCCATCACCAGTCCAAACGAGACAGCTATCGGAAGATTGGGTGGTCCAAACACGTGGACTCAGAATAGATAGAGACGGATGTAGTCCACAGCTTGAGCATGGGTCTATGCTTGCTAATATTATCTTGGAGGAGTCGGATTCTGAGAGGTCGATCAAGGTGCATGATCACAACATGGTCAGTTCCTTTCAACCATCTGCTTTCGGCCTTTTCATTTATTGTTCTTTCCGGAATTGAATGTAACGTTTTATGGAAAGACCATGGATCATGACGAACCTATGCATTCCCTATCGGTGCCGCCACAAGTTCCTTGTCCTCCCAACTCGCCCGCTCACATGGCACGGTCCGCTTCAAACCATCCTCATCATCACCCTTCTCCTCAAGAGCCCTTCGAATCGTCACCCTCTACGCACATTCCTGCTTTCACACCTCGACGACCTCGCTTTCAACAAATCTGTGAACCATTTTCACATCCTGGTACGCCACAACCACAACTTTCTGCAGAGGACTATGCTATGCAGTCCTCTCTATCTTCGCCCCCTACTCCTCAGCCACATCAAGGTCCAAGTCCAGGTGCTAGTGCATCCGCGAGGAGACCACAGGTGAAATTGACTATGGGTCCGCGAGCTGATTGCGAAAAGTGTCGGTTGGGCGTGAAAGGCCACTGGATGCATTTTGAATGAAATTTTTATTGGTTTCGATCGCTTAGGACTTTAGAGGTTGAATCGGGACTATCTTGTCAGGGGGTTACGTTTACACCACAGTCAATATCCGCTCAAGTGGATGCCCCGGAAACCACTGCTCGGTTCGTTTCACTCATGATCATTACTTATTAATTCACATGTTACACTGCACATCGTTCTCGCTTTCCTGCACACATGTTCTGCTCATTCCATGTTGTCTCTCTTGCACCTTACAGTACCTTGTACATGTAAATACAGTCATTAATACCCACTGCATACAGCATATTCTGATGTCTAGAATTCACACACCAGTTCTATCGACCTAGCTGGTTTCTAATTTTGTGTTGCACGTCCTGCAATTACTTCGCAACGACAAAAGGCAGAACTGAGAAAGGCTCAGGGAAATGGTCATTTGGAAGCTGGTATAGGGGATGGCATGGCGATTCTTTTCTGTAGGCTCTCCCGTAGATTCTCGAAATTGATATCGGCATGTCTGCATTGACAAAGCACTTTAGACGGCGCGACATAAACGTGATTCTGTCTACGCACCCTATGAAGACGTTCTGAAGCTTATCGTAGTGAAGCTCTGGGTAGTGCTTGCTAACAGTCTTGATGATCTCATCGAAGACAACCTGGCAAGTTCATAGTAACGCTGATGAACAAGAAGCCAGATGGGTAGCTAAGAGAATACGACATACCTGATACCCTTTCTGATTGACATGCAAACCATCATACAGATACTCGCTCAGCTTTTCCTCCACACGACCACACGCATCATATAGAATGGTCCATAAGTCAATGACGGGAACACCTTCTTGCGCTCCGACAATCTTGACGGCTTCAGCATACTGATGCGTCGTCTCGAATTCTCGATCAAGAGGCCTTGGAGGGTCTCGCGAGGCAAGATCAGCTCCACGTTGATGAGTGTTCACAGGAGGAGGGGTGATGAGGATGATCTTGGTTATAGCAGAGTAGTGGGGTGATGATGGGGAAGTCACCGAACGGATCATGGTCCTCAGATTGGCGGAGAATTCGGGAAGGGGGACGTGTTGAGGTGAAGGTGGAATACAAGCGTCGTTCGCACCATACCAGATTGTGAGTAGTCTCACTTTCGGTACGTGCTGTTGTTCATGTTGCTTTGCGAACACCTGAACAACAGCGGACTTTGGTCAGGCCTGTCACGAAGGTCTATCACGTATACTCACCTGTTCAAAGACGGGTAGACCCCAGGTGGTGTTGTAACCACTCAGTCCACGATTAAAAACGTCGAGCTTCCTATTGTAAACATCTGGGTATCGTAAGATAAACGCAGACCATGAATAATGATTGAGTTCATACGAGCTAGTTGTTGTGCAAATCCGTGCGGCACGAAACCTCCCTGGGTAAGTGAATCGCCGACAAGCATGATAACATCCTGCACATAAGCCGCCATTGTAAGTGAAAGAACAATGAAGCGTATGTGTGCGACCTTGTCGTTAGATCAAAGGAAGAAGAGCGGAAGAAAGCAAGCTAAAGGAAGATAAGGATCTCGGACTTCTAGGCGGCCCGCCGGTGTAAACGCGATCGAAACGCGATCGACGACAATCGATCGAAAAGAAATGACCGTAAACTGCTTGAGCGCTTGCGGTTGTCATCACTCTTTTCTGTTTCGCCATCGATGTTCAGGCTGGCTCTGCACATAAGAGCATGGAAAGTTCCCTTGCAGTGCTGCAAGCTTCCTCTACTGTGGAGCATTGAAGCTTGCGTGAACTAGATAAGCGGAAGAACTGATGCTACTCTGAGGTGACAGCGGTCTATACGTCATCTGGTGGAGGTCTGCTATGTCTGTTTCAATGTTTGCTTCAAACTCCGAGATTTGATGTGAGAGACGTGGATACTGCAGACAACGCCATATAGGCCTGCTGGCATGAGGTGAGACCTTCTCAACATACCGCCACTTCGCAATCGCTCATACCTTCAACTGCACAGTATTTCGCAATGACATCAGCAAAGGTCTTGATTATCCTTTCGGACGCACACACGTTCCCCGTCTACAAGTCGGATGGCTCTGTCGAGCTCGAGGAGACTGGTTTCTTCCTGATGGAGCTTGCCAAGCCGCTTACTCGTTTACTCGATGCAGGATATTCCGTCACCATATGTCCTCATCTCATACTTTGCAATGATGTCAATTGAACTGATCAGATGCATTCCGTTAGTTCGCATCTCCGAGCGGAAAGGAGCCAAACATTGACCCATTGTCTGAGTCGACAATGATGGCGTTCCTCGGAAGCTGGTGGGAGAAGAACAGAGAAAACAACCTCATTCAGTAAATGCAGCTAGAGAAGAACCTCGCGAGACCGAGACCATTTGAGTCTATCTCTGATGCAGAGCTTGACTCCTTCTCTGGCGTCTTCATTCCCGGTGGCCATGCACCCCTATCGGACCTGGGGAATAATCCCCAGTGTTGGAGCGCATACTGTGGCACCTCCATAATGCAGGAGAGCCCACAGGTGAGGACAGGAGTCATATCTCTTGTGTGGTGTTGTCTCCATTATTGACATGTCTCATGTACAGCCGCTATCTGTCATGGGCCGCTGGCGTTGTTGTCGACGAAGCATGCCCCCAATACGCCTCTATTTGCCTACAAAGGGCACAAGATCACATCATGGTCGGATCAAGAAGAGAAATTGATAGAGACATTGAGAGGCGGTACGATCCCCAAGCTTGAGTCAACTTTGGCACAGGAGGGGGCTATTATGGTCACCGGTGCCGCACAGAAGATTGGAGCTATCACCGTTGACCGGGAGCTTGTGTCTGGTGTAAACCCGATAGCTGCAGATTCACTGGGGCAAAACTTCGTAGAGATGTTGGACGAGAGGCGCACTGTGAAGAGTGCATGATATCATTTTCGGACGAATCTGTAGCATAAACGTATTCCGTAGTAGAATATTTCTCCGAGCGAGAGCAGTCCCGTTCCTCTTAGAGCCACTGGAATGAAAAGGATGCTTACGTCAGAAAAGTTGAACATGAGCCAAATAACGCGCAAACAAAGGAGAAAGCCATTAAGGGAGGGCAGCTGGGCAACGACTTTTGAACGCGACACTACCACCCCCGCTGGAGACCGTTTTTTCCTCCTCGCGACGCCTTGTTCCCTCTATTTGTATGTCCTTTTTTCTCCTCTTTTTGTTGTCTGGATCTGATGTTCACCATCTCGACAGAACGCGGCGGGATCGGTGGACCCACAAGCGTCCACACAACTTGCGCCGTTTGTACACTGTTTGCCCCGGCGCACTGTTCATTTCCCCCGTGAGAACACTTGCCATGCTTTATTGGGCATGCCTTCGGGCTGTACAACTGCAGGTTTCAGTTGCTGACCTCCACTCCTCCTCTTTCCAGGCGCGGCCTCCTCCGTCAACACACTCGTTCACACCAAGGTATGTTTCTGTACTGCACTTGCTTTCATTCTCTTGCTATCGCTCGCTTTTGGTCCGCCACATGTCTCGTTTGGGCGAACAATGCGGTGGGGTTCGCTTCGGCTCTTGGTCCTGTCACCATATATGTGCTTCCGCTGCGCCATGCTACCCTTAAGTTCGGCGTGAACTATACAATGCCATGTGCTCCGTTCGAGACATTCCATTTCAAGTCGATTGTTGTGCCAAAAGTTCCGCTTATGTGAACCAGTCTTCTAGCCGGCAGCCCTTTATTCAAGATCTCGCCAGTCACGTTATTGCTCCTTGGCCTTTGGACCTCGTGGTTCGTATATCTACCTCTCGCGTCGCATTCTCTTCCACTAACCATTATCTCACCTCTACATCTCACTCTGTATCAACATTCGTGTATATCACCCTGGCCCACCTCTGACCTGTATTGTCAACTACTGTATCGTCACACATCAAACACAACACCTGTATCATTGCATCACCAACTGTTTCAACGTCCTTCTATACCTTCGATACGACGCGTTCTCAACCAACATCCACCATGTCATACCTCCGTTGGTGGCTTAGAGCATCTTTACGTCATAACAACAACACCAACAACACCAATACCACCAATACCGGCACCACCAATAACACCAAGAAGAGAAAACACGAATCTGACGACGAATCCGACATGGCTTATCATCACGCGAATACATCTACTAAACAATTCCTTATGGCACCATCGGTACCTTACAGGAGGGTGGCACAGAAGTTGAATGGGAATCGGCCAACAGGTAGTTCTGAAGAGTCGGACGTCGAACGTGAGCTCGAGCTTTCTTTCGCGTCCACCATGTCTATCAATTCCCCCGTCCTTGGCCCTGTGGCCTCGACCTTGGAGGATGACTGTCCTGAATACGTCCCCATGGACATTTCCCCTGCACCACCCCGCGTAGGACATCCCGTGGTTCAACAAGAGGACTCCCAAACCAAACTCAAGATTGGTCGTCCAAGAGCACTTACAAGTGCATCTCGTCTGTTCGGACGCGACAGGAGCAACTCTAATAGCGGCTCTTCTGTTAACACCTCTGCTAACAAGTCTACTGGTACCACTGGGTCGAACAAGAAGTTGACACGTTCTGCGCTCCCTACCGAATGGATGGCCTCCTCGCGTTTCGCGGCGGAGAGTAGCGAGAACTTATTTGCTCCACCGGTCAGTGTTCATTTCGATCTTGCCTAGCTTCTGTTCTTCGCATCCATTTGACTTTGAACGTTTCAATCGTGACTGACTTGTGATCGGAATGTTAGCCTCTGCAGATCCCTTCGTCCCCGGCTTCCTCAGACGCGATGGATATCGACACGCCCCCCGTGCACGTTCCCTCGACATCTGCGCCTGAGTCTCCCGTTCCCGTTTCTGCCGCTCCGACGATCACTGCGTTCAACTTCGAAACCAGAATTGATCCTTCTAGGCCCTTGTCGGCCGCGCCCACCGTTGGGGAGTTCAAGAATCCCTTCCTCGAATCCATGTTCCAGGATAGCAGCCCCCCAAGGGGACGTAGCTTTGAGGATACCCCGAGTGGGTTCTCGGTGGACGAAAGTCCTGTGCAGCCCTTCCAGAAGAAGAGACGTTCAGCTTCTCCTGAGCATGAACCTGTGGAGTTGGGCCTTCAGTTGGCCGATGACTCTTCTTCGCCTGGTGTTCCCTTCTCATCTCCGTCGATGAGCAAGCTCCAGAGGATGTCCAGCGGTTCGATGCTGGCACACATGAAGAAGCCGTTCTTTGGCCAGCTTGCATTGAATGCGAACAACAAGAGACCCAGACGACCTGTGGTCAGCGCTATCGTTGCTCCTGCTGACGCTCCTCAGATCCATTCTGGATATGGCAAGGAGAGTCGTGAGCAGCCTTTGCCGTCTCGCCATGTTCTTCCGCCTGTCCGACGAGCATTCTCCGCCATGCTTCCTCCTTCTATGATGGATCTTTCTCTCGAATCTGATGATGGATCCTTTGACCAGGATGCTGCTGACATGAGCTCTCCAGCTCAGGCTTACGCTAAGCGCCAGCAAGTGAAGACTATCCGGAGGTGCGATGGTACTGACGACTTCAGGCCCTTGACGGGAGCTACTGCACTTGTGCAGCGCGATAGTGAAGTCAAGAAGGGCTTAAGAAGAACTGAAGATAGGGCTGATCGACCTGTCGACAGGGAGACGCCCAGGAGCAAGTACCTTAATGCGAGCGGCCTTGGTGGCTTTGGAGACAATGAAGCTCATGGCAAGATTCTGCCTTGCCATCGCGTTAAGGAGGACGGTCTGATGCGTATCAGCGTCAAGACTGTATGTGTTTTGAGTTCTTGTTGTTGGATTGGATTGCTGATCGTTCAACGTTGCTAGATGGATGCTCTCCTCGACGGCGCATACGATTCGCAAATTACATCTTTCCACGTCATCGACTGTCGTTTCGATTACGAGTACAATGGAGGCCACATCCCTGGGGCTGTTAACATCAACACTACCTCTGGTGTTGAAGAGTTCTTACTCAGCGCTACTGTCCACAAGCCCAAACCTTCCACTAGTGGTGACATGGCCAAGAAGACTGTTCTCGTCTTCCACTGCGAGTTCAGTGCCAAGAGGGCTCCCACATTGTACGTTGTCATTCACTCTTGGCACAATGATTGATTACTGACTATTTCAATTTCAGTGCAAAGCATTTGCGTTCAAAGGATCGTTCCCTTAACAACCATGTCTACCCCAAGATCCATTACCCTGAGGTCTACATCCTCGAAGGTGGTTACTGCCAGTACTTCAAGGAGTCCGGCAACCGCTGCGAACCTTGCGGCTATATCCAGATGGATGACCCTCACTACGCCGCCTCGCGCAAGGAGGATCTCGATCACTTCCGCAAGGCCAAGTTTGGACGTACCAAATCTTACGCATACGGCGATGGCAAGATGAGCCTTACTGGTCAGCTTCAGCAGCCCAAGAGGAACAGTGCTCCATCTGGCGGTGGTGCGCCTGCTTTATTCGCTGCAGGCAATGCTGCTCGCAACCGTCGTACCAATGGTCTACTCCAGACTTTGGAAGAAGATTCGGACGCCTTGCACAGCGAAGGCGAGGATACCGATATTGGCGATAGCCCTTGCCCTCCTCCTAACAAGGGAGTTGTGTTCAAAGGTGGAAAGATCGGACGCGCTCCGCTGACTCGGGCTGAGACTTATGGTCCCTCTCGCACGAACCTTGGATATTGAGAGCTTTCAGCATCTCAACTGACGCTTTGACGCCTCGCAAGATTTGAAACGCACTTCCACGCTATCGCGCACTCGCAAATATGACCCTATGGTTCAAGTTACTCCACCATCTATGATTCCTTCGCAAGATATCTCATGTTTTCTCCTCATGTGGCACGCCTCACTTTGCAGACTAATGTCTTCGCTTTGATGCTCGCATTCCAATGCAACACTTCGCTCCTCGTGACGCCCTCCGAAAAGCAAGAAAAAACCGAAATCGTTTAATCGTAATCGCCGTAGTTCAAACATCGATCTACAATCAACATATCACCACCACCTATCACCACCCACTTTGCACCATCGTCACACGCACACACGTATATCGCATTGCAACTCAGTTCTATTCCAGCACGGCCCACTCCGCGATCATGGATTCGACTGGCGTGTCCTCATTTTCATCTCATTTCTCAGCAATATCTGTTCCATATCTATGCATCATACGTACGCTCTTGTAGCAGACGTTCACCTCATCTTTCTCATCTTTTCCCTCTCATCATCTCCTCTGTTTTTCTTTCTCTCTTTGTTTCATCTGATGCCCGTTCGCCGGATTGGTTCGTACTTTCCTTTCGTTCGATCTTGGATCTCGCGTTCGGAGTTTTCATTTTGTTCTTCTTCTTGATGTTTTCTTTTGTTCTGATTCTCCCTCAGCCTCGGCCTAATCAGCTCTTTGCTTTCTTGGACCTCCAATTCTGTCATTGCGTCTGTGTTTTTGTTTTTGTTTTTTTCTTTCATGGACAGACTACACCAACATCCATCTGCATACTATTTTGCCGATCGGGTTTCTTCCCTGTCTGAATAGTCCTTGCAAACAATATATATAATCATTGTCTTCGTCCTTGTCAAGACTCAACGCGTTCAAAGCGTGCACGACACGCGTGAGCAGCGAGGCAAAACGTTAACATACCGTGACACCGTGACGCCAATAATTTGGTACACTTCATAAAAAGCCGAAGCTCTTCCACAGCGACATATGCATAGTACCTTTACAAAGTTCCGACTATTGCAGTGTGAAAGAATGCAGAGATTAGACAAAGTACTTACTTTGTGGGATTGACGAGGGAAATTGAATAGTTGCAATAATTAGCCGGGATAAGATGAAATAATAGTTTCTTTATAATTTCATAGCCTACAGCACGGGTAATAACTTAGGTCTTTAACATAACAGCTGGATATTGTGACGTGACAGAGTATTACAATTTTGAATGGTACAATACAAACACATGTTGGGTATCTTTCCCTCCTCCCACGAAAGTTGGCATCCGACCAACAAACAGATCTGCAGTTCAAGCCGCTCCTTTCTTGTCTGCTACCTGGACGTTCCTTTCCTCTCTTATAGCACCCCGGTCTCCTTAAGTCCGGTCTTACTTTCGGTGGACTTTCGATACTTGACTTATGTTCAGTTAACGACATGGCTCAGACCAACTCCCCGTCTCCGTTTTTCTCGACATTTTCTCGTGCATCTCTTTCTCTACTCCTTCTCCTCCATGTCGCGTTCGCAACCCCTCCTCTGGTTGACTTTGACCGCATGGGCAAGGTCGGCATTGCTGGTTCATTCTCTGGCTTCACTTTCCTAGACAATTCTTCGAACACCGCGACTCTAGACCCTTCAACGTCGACCTTACTCTCTCGATCCACCAACGGCGACATCTCGCAAATTGGGTCTACAAATCCAGGCGGAAACATCTTTGCAGGCTGCACTATCGACGACACCTTTTACTTCGCGGGTAGCTTTTCCTCAATAGGCGGAACACCCGCCAACAACGTTGCTTCATATAAGTCATCGTCGGGTGCGGTCGCAGCCGTAGGCTCGAATGGACCTAACGGCGAGGTTAGAGCGTTGTATTGCGATGCGAGTCAGAAGAAGGTCTGGGCAGGAGGCAGCTTTACTTCGCCCGCTCGGTCGGTTGCCGTGTTGGACGTCGCCTCTTCCTCCTGGTCTGCGCCTCCGTTCGGTGGTCTTTCGGGTTCAAATGCTGAAGTTTCGTCGATCACCACGAATTCTTCCCACTCCAGTATATTTTTCGCTGGTTCTTTCGTTACCTCCTTCGGTAACAGTTCGATCGTCATCAATGGCACTAACAATCCTAACGTGCCATTCTCGTCTGGCGCGACTCCCTTTTCGTCTTCTCTCGTACCTGTTCCATTGCAGAATGCACAGATCGATGCTTCACCGTCGACAACAGAGTCTGGCTTTGACAATGTTTCCAATATTCTCTGCCCAGCTGGTGAGGATGGACCTGGAAACACGTGGTTTGCCAGGGATGGAAGCAGCCCGATCATTACGGTTCGGAAGTTCTCGTTCTTGAGTGCCAGTGGTATTCGAATCGGGAACACGTTCTTGGACGGGCGAGGGACAACAGCATTCTCGTGCGTTCTCTACATTTCACGCCTAGCTTAGATTTTAACTTGATTGTAAAGCATCACCACTATTCCCGATAATACTGTTCAGACTCTACGCTACACGGATCCGGAGGATGGCAACAACAAGACCTGCAGCAATAATTGCCCCCTCCTCACCGACCCTTCTGTCCCTTATCAAGACTTCCTGTTCAACCAAGCTGCAGATATCACCGGTTTCCAGTTGACATTGACTGAATGGAAAGGTGATGGACCTGGCCTCCATCTTCTACAGCTACTTTCCTCTGGCGCTTCCGCCTCCGCCATTGAAGCTGACAATGGAGTGTCATGTTTCGCTCCGAACCCTTCCAATTCGTCCCAGACGGGTAACTGGATTGAAAAGGTGGCGAATACAGACATTCCAGGAACGATTCAAGCTGTTTTGGTATCCGAGGTCAATGTTGGTACACCGTCGTCTCAAGGTCCAACGTTTACTTGGATGCCCTACGTTTCTGCTTCGGGGCAGTACGACATCACCCTTCTCGTTCCAGGATGTACAGACTTTCAGGATTGCGCACTACGTACCAGCGTAAAGGTCACCGTGTTCCCTGGTGACGGCCTCGACCCCATTATCAGAACAATTTCTCAACGGAACACGGAGAATGCGTTCGTGTCAATTTACAGTGGGCCCATTGTGCCAACTTCGCAGACGTTCGTTGCGACGATCACGATGGCGCTGGCAGACAACCCTGAAGGCAGTGGTCAGAATGGGAAATATGAGATTGTTGCAGATCGAGTGCAGCTGATCCTGACTAGCGCAAACGTCACTGGAAATGGTAGTGTCGGTAACCCCAACCCATCTGCAGCATCTCAGCGTGGTTTTGGATTCTTCGAATGGCCTCTTAGCTCGTCAGACAATGTCAACGCTAGCGGCATTCTTCCTAATTCTTCCGTCACCAGTCTAGATGCCATTGGGTTTGAGATGTTCACCGCCCTTGGTGGTGCCTCCGCGACGGATTCGATCAGTGCGGTTGCGCACCACGACTCTGGTGTCATTTTCCTTGCTGGGGACTTCAACCTGTCGGCCGGTCCTGCATCTGGTGCATCCAACATCGTGGCATTCAAGGACGGCGCGCTCACTCAATTGTCCAACAGAGGTCTCAATGGACCCGTCACTTCCCTCGTGGTCGACAGTGATGCACTGTTCATCGGCGGTTCGTTCACGGATACCGCTTCTGCATCGACAAATGGCGCTTTGAGCAGAGTCGCCATCTACGACGTGAAGAACAATCAGTGGAAGGCGATGGAAGGGGGCGTGAATGGCGTCGCTTTCGGGCTCAGTCTCAGCAACGATGAAGTTACCGTCGTAGGCAACTTTTCCTCTCCTATGGTCGCCCAGAACAAGCCGTTGAGCAGTTCTGCGTCGAGTTTCGCGTCATGGGATGTGACCTCTGGCAATTGGAGTGATACCACAGGCCTGATCATGGGGAACCTCACGTTTGTCACAAACAACACTTCGAATGGTGACTTTATGGCCGGCCACATCTCGGCTTCGTACGAGTTCGGTGCATCTGGTTTCGCCTTATTGCAGAACAATGGTGACGATGGCATCCCTCATGTTACCGCTCTCAACCTTCCCTTAGGCCTTCCTTCCACTACCTCAGTTCCCGCCGTGAGCCGTCGCTACCATATTCGTCGTACCGCTGCTGCTATCCTGCCTCGGATTGGTCAATTCTTTAAACGACAATCACCCAGTACGACTAGTCTTACGCCTTTACCTACTACGCAGCCCATCTCCGCACCCGCTATTCTCGCAGGCGCATTTTGGACAAACAGCTCTTCCAATGTGGACGTCGCTATCGTTGGCGGTAACTTCACCTTCACCAGTGCTTCTGGTCAAGCCGCTCAGGACTTGGCCGTTTACGAGCTGGATTCGGGCGTTGTCAGTGCTCTGAAGGGTAATCAAGTCAATGGGTCTATTCACTCTCTCCTTGTTCAAGGCAACCTGCTTTTCGTCGGTGGTACTTTCACCGTCGAAGGGACAAACCAGGTTGGATTTGCCGTGTACGATCTTGCAGAAGAGCAGTGGGATGTTACTGGTGTCCAACCTTTGCAGAGCGGTTCCAATGCTCTTGTCACTGTTCGCTCTATCACAGCGTCGCCTTCACAGTCGAATGTGCTTATCGTTGCAGGCTCTTTTGCTTCAGCTGGTTCGACTACGTGCAGAGCCATTTGTTCGTTCGATTTCTCGAGCAAGCAGTGGAGTGCGTTGGGAAGTGGGATTCAAGGAGAAGTAGCTTCTGTGGCATATGCTGGGGTAGGTTTCATTCGTTTGACGTCGGTTTTCAGCTGCTGATCATGCTCTTTAGAACACAAGAGACATCATCATCGCCTCAGGTTCCATTGCGTTGGCAGACAGCACCTTAACCAACGTCGCCATGTACACGATCGGAAATTCGACTTGGTCTGCCATTGGTAACTCAGATTCGTTGCCAGGACCTGTCACTGCAGTTGAAGTGAATAACGGCAATAGCAGCAGTATCTTTGCTGCCGGCAAGTAAGCCGTTTCAGCTATGTACTGGCAATACTGTGATTAACCCATTCACAGAGCAAGTGATGGTTCATCGACATATCTGTCTTACTGGGATGGTCACACTTGGAACTCAATTGGTATGTCGTTTGCCTTTTAATCAGGAAACTTTACTCAAGTGACCGTTACATAGGATCGGGCCTCACTGCTGCCGCCGACGTTTCCCAGCTGATCATGGTGCCTCTGCAGAATACACACGAAGCCAACGGTGTCGTTGAGCCGGATCGCATGTTGATGGTGTCAGGATCACTTTCAGATTCTTCGTTTGGCAACGCTTCGTCTGTGTTGTTTGATGGACGACAGTTTATCCCCTACATCCTTTCAGCTTCAACAACTGGAGCACCCGGCGCTATCTCTTCTCTTATTCACTCGATATCTCAGTTCAGCTTCAACCAGCGTCGTGAGTATTGTGTCGCTTTCCCTTTCTTTTGACATGATCTCATTGCGATTATCAGATTTCCTCGCTACCGGTGTTGTCATTCTCATTTCCATTGCTATTGCCGCTGGTGTGGTCTTCCTCCTGGCGCTCATTGGTATTCTCTGGACCCTATTCTCCCGTCGTGATGACAAGATCAACAAATTTGATCCTGCTGAAGCAGAGGAGGATGACTCTCTGCATCGTCCATCTTCGCTCCTTGAACACATCAACGCAGCTACTCGCACAACCATATTTGGTGGTCACGATCCATTCAACAGTGACACTGCGGAGAAAGAAGTTGGAGCTGCCGCCCTTGCTTCTGCTTCATCCGATCATGATCCCTTTGGACCGGATGGTAGTAACTATATTCGAGCCGAGACTCCTTCCGACGCCATCATGGGAATGGCTGGGGAGGAAGTGGGCCGAGCTGCACACGCACGTTACTCTTTCAATGGAGAGGGTGAAGGTGAGCTTCGGCTTGTGGGTGGTCAAGAAATAGAAGTTCTTGATGACCGAGATCCCGCGTACGTACTTCTGTCATTGTTATATCTTCCTGCATTAATGACATTCGATCACAGGTGGTGGTACGCTCGAGATCCTCGGTCAGGACAAGAAGGCGTAGTTCCTGCTGCGTATGTGTACTAGGACTGTTCGGACTGTTCCTCACATTTCTCTCTTCTTCTATCTACTCGTGGTCTCCTTGCTGTCGTTTGTCATCGTTTTGATACCCCCCCACCATTGTACGAGGTCGAACCTCAAGATCGTTGAAATTTGGATACAGTTATTGTTCTCATAGAGTCTGCATTTTTTTTATTACTGGGCGGACCTATAATAGTCGTATTTTATGTATGCTTTAGCGTATGCCTCTTGGCTTCTGTCGCATGCATTTTCTCGGCACTTCACTATGGTTTTGCAGCTGTGATTTGAGGTATCAGATCCAAGCACAATCGGAAAATATGGTGGGCTAATCGCCTCCAGGCTTCAGACGCCTTCACTTCATTTGTTCACACCGCCTGCAGCCCGTCACGAATCCGAATGCCATACGGGGAGACGCCATTTGTCCTTAGTCGCTAGATCTATGGCGTCTGGTTTCGTGTAAGCAGTCTCCGTAGGTGATCATATGCCGAGTTAAGTTGGGAGGACAGTCGATCCCTAATCTGCCACTTGCAGGGTATCCGCGCGAGCGTGGCTTGTTCCGATCATACTAGGGGAACTGAACCGCGGCACTAGACATGTGTTATGGAGAGATGGCCATAGGCCACTAGTGATGCTCACATCGTGGACAAGTGGACAGACGGAAGAAGACAAGGCGAACAATATTGCGCGGCTGGCCACGGGTGCCGGACTCGTAGTTCAAACATTGCAGACCAATTTGTACGCGTTTTTCTCACAACTTCACACAAAATTTGAATGCCTACCTCAATTTCAAAGTTCTGTCGAGTACGGTTCTTCATATTGCACGGCTTCAGCGAGCTCAACATTGAGAAGCCGTTCGACATCTCAGATGAGCACCTGCCCGTCCCCTGATTCGGCTCATATCAGTGGCGATCGAAAGCGCTTGCCACGCCACTGATCTGTGTCGAATCTGGTCGTTCTCTCAGGCCCGTCCAAAAACCCCTCCATTTCCTGGTGCTCTATATCCTCAGCAATTCCATATTCGTAAGACTTTCTGTTGCCGTCAGGCGCGCCCTCCGCATTTCCTTTCTGAGCATTTCCGGCACTTTATATGTTTTTTTTTGGCTCATATGTCAGAAACCCGGCCTCAATTGGTTTCTAGCGCTACAAACCGCTTTAGAAGATATTAGTAAGCATATTGCACTGACCCAATATACTATGTCGGGCGCTTAAGTACGTTTTTAGCGTGCGGTCGGTAGTATTTCATTCCCCCAGTCTATTCCTGTATACAAAATAATTTATAATGTTTATAATGTTTCTATGGGTCTAAAAATGAGTCTGGTAAAAGAGGAAGGCCAGGGGGTAAGCAGAAATGGAGGAAATGTGCTCAGAATTCCGGCAGGAGCAGAAGCCCTTGCCTTATTTGGGTGTGGGAAAGTAATTGTGGCTGAGAGTCTTGACACAGGTATTGGCCGCTTCTGGGGCAATTCTGGGGTGATTATGGTTGAATAAAAAAAATGCAGAAAGGTCAGTAATATGCACCTAATGTTGTATACAAAGTCCCAGAAGCACAGGGTAAGAATTGGGGGAACAGTATGCAAAATACCCCCACTACTGTCTGCACCAATGGGCAGTAATTGGGGCACCACTCCTGACTGGGTACAGCAGTGGCTTAGAGGATTGGTAAATATGTTCATATAGTGTATATTGACCTCTGTGCAAATCCCCAAGGTCATAGGTTTATTCTGTAGAGCATGGGACATTAAATACCCTGAGAGCACTGTAAAAAGAGAAAAAAGCGAAAAATAAATCCCCATACCTGCAATACTAAACCTATGGCTTAATGGCTTTGCTAACATGTCCATATAGTACCCATAGACCATGGTGCAAAGCCGCATAATGATTGGATAAGAATTGAAAACAGGGAAAGCGAAATACCCTTGATATACCCAGTACTAGGGGGGAAAGGGGAGACTATAGAATAGCTTCTGACCAGAAGTACCTATGGCTTAGTTGGGCTTGCATACACATAGATATAGTGCTAATAGAGTCCTATGCAACACCCTGAGGTCATAGGGTAATCCCCCCAGAAGCTGTCTACCTGTATGCAGAATACAGGGGGGGGAGGGGGAGAGGGGTGCACCAGAAATGGGGAATTGATGCTACCTTCAAGTGGTGTTGTCCAGAGGTAGCAAACATAAATATAAAGCTTGGAACAAAATTGCTAAGAGGTAGGATCAAATCCTGATTTATGGTGCAGCTCTCAGGGTATTTAATGTCCCATGCTCTACAGAATAAACCTATGACCTTGGGGATTTGCACAGAGGTCAATATACACTATATGAACATATTTACCAATCCTCTAAGCCACTGCTGTACCCAGTCAGGAGTGGTGCCCCAATTACTGCCCATTGGTGCAGACAGTAGTGGGGGTATTTTGCATACTGTTCCCCCAATTCTTACCCTGTGCTTCTGGGACTTTGTATACAACATTAGGTGCATATTACTGACCTTTCTGCATTTTTTTTATTCAACCATAATCACCCCAGAATTGCCCCAGAAGCGGCCAATACCTGTGTCAAGACTCTCAGCCACAATTACTTTCCCACACCCAAATAAGGCAAGGGCTTCTGCTCCTGCCGGAATTCTGAGCACATTTCCTCCATTTCTGCTTACCCCCTGGCCTTCCTCTTTTACCAGACTCATTTTTAGACCCATAGAAACATTATAAACATTATAAATTATTTTGTATACAGGAATAGACTGGGGGAATGAAATACTACCGACCGCACGCTAAAAACGTACTTAAGCGCCCGACATAGTATATTGGGTCAGTGCAATATGCTTACTAATATCTTCTAAAGCGGTTTGTAGCGCTAGAAACCAATTGAGGCCGGGTTTCTGACATATGAGCCAAAAAAAAACATATAAAGTGCCGGAAATGCTCAGAAAGGAAATGCGGAGGGCGCGCCTGACGGCAACAGAAAGTCTTACGAATATGGAATTGCTGAGGATATAGAGCACCAGGAAATGGAGGGGTTTTTGGACGGGCCTGAGAGAACGACCAGATTCGACACAGATCAGTGGCGTGGCAAGCGCTTTCGATCGCCACTGATATGAGCCGAATCAGGGGACGGGCAGGTGCAGGTGTACAGCCCAGAACGATAGGCCCCGGCTAATGCAACGGTGATGCTGAGAGCTAGCGAACCTATGCCGGGGTAGGAATGCAGTGCTGGTCAGGCATGCCGCCCTCTTCGGGCTCTTCATTAGCGAGATAAATCCTCCGGTACTGACCCTTACCGACCCGAGCGTAATTTCTGAGCAGGGGCCTATTATTTTGAATGTGGCTGTAACTGAACTTGTCACCGCTTTCCATACTAGCGCTAAGTCAGTGCGCCGGTCTGCACTAGCGCCAATGTCCCCAAGCATCCAGAATCATCCCCGCTGAATCCGCCGACTATAACGGACAGTCATACTGAAATGAACTTGCTGTGAAAGGGAGCATGAGAATCCTCCGGAGTGCCCTTTACAGTAAGTGCCACTACTGTGGAACATGGGCCAGTGGCCAAATGGATCCTGTCTTCTGAGCCTTAGCGCTGCCAAAGGCCGAAACCTGACCGCAACCTTCTTCCCGTATGCGTAAGTATTTGACATCGAATGGTCCATGTTGTTTCTTTGTATCCCTACTCACCTCATAACCTTAAATGTGTAGTGAGCCTATCTCACAGCCTTTTGTTTTGATCATGGCCAAACATATCGACTCCCCTTCCTTCTCAGGTTCTCCATGGTCATATCAGTATTTATAGTGAGGGGAGCTGAGATTCTCTTAGTGCCTATCTCTCCTCATCGACATGGCACCATTCGTAGTTCGAGTCGCCGACCTTCGTTCACCGGAAACAAGCAAAGCCCGTTTGCATCCTCTTGACCTCTCATTTGCTAACAGAGCAATCGAAATTGGTATTCACGGAAAGGTCAATACGCTTTGTCATTACTTGCTTTTTCAAACAGTTTGCTGATGGCTTATAATCAGTGTGGATGTGCCACTTGCGAGCATGCAGGAACATTCTGTACTTACTACCAGGACGGTGTTCTCGGCATGAGGGTGGCATATCCATCTCTCTTCTCAATGGAAAATATACCGAAGAGCATTAATCGACACTTTTCAACAAATTATCATATCGACAACGTCAATAGACTACATCAGTTGCAAGGCGAAGCACGGATTCCGTATGAAAAGCGCCCCTGCGACATTTGCGGGAAGATGTTCGTCAATAGCCCATTTAATACCTTTTTGTTGACACTTACACTATTTTGTGAACAGGACCAGTGTGCGTTCTGACGCATATAAGAAGCACACAGAGACATCGGCCTGCAAAGCAAAGGCAAAAGCAGCTCAGCCTCAAGCGGCCTCAAGTGGCGACAAGGAGATTATGCACGCCGACTTCTTGGCCGCAGAACCCGCTCCCATGCAGATGGGTTATTGTAGTCGGGCTGCGCCTTTGGCGGTCGAGAACAATGGGCAGATTGAAACCCAATCTTCTGGCACCTCCGGCGCATACTCGGCGGTAGCTAGTACTGAAGGAACATTCACATTACCGTCCGACAATGCTTTTTTCCATTATGGGTCGGGCGACGCGAATGGCCCATACTACAGTCGTTATGTTCCTTCCCTCTACCATTGCCACCAGTTTCCTATTTCCCACCCTATAATGCCCTATTCTCCTGATATATCCTATCCGTCTTATCATCACACTATCAACTCAAACCAGTACCCTCTGAACCTTCAATTCCAATCGCCGCTGAGGTCAAGGTCTTATGATGGAAGGATTGTAGGCGGGGAGTTTATCGAGTTTAACGCATATTCACAGTCCATATAGACGGAGGTACGTATGTCAGTGCTATTGGGCGTGACATTGTGAGGATATTAATCATTTAATACATTTTTTAATTCACCCATAAACCAAAGAACTCTCGGCTGTGTAGTTGATCCCGTTTCGTTGTTTTCTTCCCTTTCGTGCTTTGCCATTGCTTTTTCGACACCCGTTGATGACATGCTGTGCATATCAAACTGTTCATGATAGAGCATCTGAAGACCATCATATACGGATACAACCTCAGGTCGGAGTTTTCGTCACTTGAAGGTACGAAGTTAATCCTGACTAACACGAGGACCGCACGGGCTAAGTGAACAACACGTGTGTTGACGCTTGAGGGTCCTATTCGCAGGTGCCTGACCACAATCGGGCATGCAACGAACGAAATTAGATTCCGAAGACTTACACTTAGCACCCACGGCGAGATGGAGAGGTACTCTATGTCTTGTCAATGCGAGATGCTACATACGCATTCCAATAAAAGAAATGCTCAAGAAGAACATACAACAATCAATGTATACAATGATAGCTATAAGCCCAGCCTATCACGGCGACTTCGTTTGATATATAGACACACAGCTGGAAGGACATATGAAAACAGAAACAAACGGAAAGGAAAAACGGAGGATGGCACAGAGAGACAGAGGACTACAGGGAACTCGTCGTCGACGACGTAAGAGTTGACTGGCAGCCGGACAGGGACCGAAAGAAAAGAAATGACAAAAGATGACAAAGCACAAGCTTGGAGAAAGTGCGGATATGTAGACTCGACGATTGCCATTGGAAGCGGCAAAGAATCGTTGGGTGCTGGGGCCAAAGAAAAAAAATGGAAGTCGTATGTAGTAGATATAGAATTGAACACAAGAGAGGAGATGTTGGACGACACAATAATAGCGGTCAAAGTAGAAGAGTCCCCGGCGGTGTGACAAAAGCTCTCATCCCCCTGTCCTTTCTTGCCCAGTGCGATCAGATCAATCCAGGGAGATCCTAAGCTGTTCCAGTGGTATCGGCACGAAGTTGTTGATGTCAATAGAGCGTGAGGCCAGCTCCCGCTCGCAGTGAAGCGGAACGAGCTGGCGGTTAAGGTCCGGACGGACGGACAACTCTGCACACATGAAAGCGTTTAGTCAATGAACTGGGAGACTGAACGTTTGAACTTGGTTGACTGACCCTCTCGCGTGAAGTTGAACAGAGGTGGGAATTCCTTGCCATTAGGCATCCTCGCTCCCTCCACTCGAAGCTCATCAAAGAAGGGATGACACATCGCCTCGACTGCACTCAATCGAGCCTCAGGAGTGTACTCGAGCAATTTGGCGACAAGATCGATCGCCTCTGCAGCCGTTCGGGGTCGGAAGACCTGCATGAAAGATAATCGATGAGCATACTGATTACGAGTAAAATGAGAATTAAGCGCTCACCTTCGAGAACGGATGAGGCTTGATTTGAGGGAACTTGTGTTCCATGTAGTTAGGGTTCATCGTCTTGATCTGCTCCCGCGAGGGCGTTCCAAGAACCTTGATGATCTCCACCAATTGGTCGATCCCACTCTCTCCGGGGAACAAAGGCTGTCCCAGCATCAATTCTGCCATGACGCAACCCGTTGACCAGATGTCTGTCACACAAAGGTTGTCAATATTACTCTGAGACAACCTACAAAACATGACGCACCAATGTTGGTAGTGTAGTTTGTCGCCCCAAAAATGAGTTCTGGCGCCCGGTAGTACCGAGAGCAGATATAGCTGACGTTGGGCTCGCCTGTCACCAGGATCTTCGCTGAACCAAAGTCGCAAAGTTTGAGAACGCCCGTAGCTGGATTGAGGAGCAAGTTCTGGGGCTTGATATCTCGGTGGCATATGCCAACAGAGTGAATGTACATCAACGAGCGCAGCAATTGGTACATGTAGAGCTTGATTTGAAGCATGGGCATGGGTTGCTTCAGCTTTGCATAATGGCGACTTGCGCGGTAGACAGTCTCTGGGACGTATTCTAGGACAAGGTTGAGGTACACTTCGTCTTTCTTTTACAACCGTGATTAGCTTTATGCTGCAACTCTCGTCCTTTCGGGGAAAGGCGCGAAAAAAATGATGGCGTGTGACTAACCTTGTCACCATTGGAGTAAAAGAAAGCTTTCAGCTCGACCACGTTGGGGTGGGATACAAGTCTCATGATTTGAAGTTCACGGTTCTATCGTATGCATCGACACGCAAAGCCAAAAGTCGTCAGAATGATTCACGTAAGATCGTCCCTCGACGAAGATCGAAGGCCCGATTGAAAGAGTTAAAATGAACGTACCTTGAATCGCTTATCCTGGAGAACCTTCTTGATAGCAATGTCGCAGTTGGGTGATGTTGACTCATCCAGCAGCTTGGCTTGGAAGACGATTCCGAAAGAACCGTTTCCGATGACTTTGCAGTTTGTGTATTGGAGATCCCTCGTCTCTCCAGTTTTGCCGTCGGACGCTACGACTTTGATCACTTTGCGAGGATCGTCTACCGCTGAAGAGGACAAGGCATCGCGAAGCCATTTGAGAGATGGTGATGGCATGATTGAAAGGAGGAGAGGAAGAGAGCGGTGTAGACGACAGAGGGACGGGTCCAGAGCGGGCGGTGTAAACACGAGCAAGTTCCGAACAAATGAGAATCGGCGCAGAAAGTGAAACGCAGGCCGACAAAGACTTACCAGAGATCTTGACGCCGTTGATGGGACCGTGAGTGGCCATGTCTGTTGGGATTGGGACGTTACGGATGCAGTTTGTTGTTGGGGCTCGGTGGTCGTGATAGGGGGGTCAAAGAGCAGGAGATGAGGGGATTGAAGAGGATCAGAGACGGAGGGAATAAGTAATATGCAGGGTAGAGAGAGAGGTATAAGGACTGCGTAGAGGGCTGTTGAGGGATTTGGGAGGAGGAAAGCTGAGCGAGGCTTCCAAGAGGGGGTGGAGGACGGGCGTGGGAACAAAGTACGGCCTGTCTGTCACCAGACCAGGCGGGTGAGAGCCAAACAACCAGCCTGCACCGCCGCCACCATCCGTCGGCCTCATTCTCTCTCTTCCAGTACAATTAATAATCTCTTGACGACGCAAGCTTCGGCTCGTGCAATTCACTTTACATGGCTCTACAACTCAGCGACGGCATCGTTCGTACAATTCCTGTCTTCTCTGTGTTCTGTTGGCAATTCTGATTCGTCGCTAGATCTCGCAGGTCTTTATCAAACAGAACAATACTGGTTGTCCTCTCCTCACATGAGTGCTTTATCGAGATGCATGCCTCTTTTGCTGAGCCTTTCTCTCACCCTTTCGTTCGTGTCTTCGGCATAGTGCGAGCTTTCGCATCGTCCAGGCTTGACCAGTCGACTCTGGATTACCCTCATGCATTCGTGTTCAGTTGAACGCGACACGATTCCAATGGTATTATCTTCCGATATCACACATATTGTGATGACATGAACTTGGTACAATCAAATGAATTTAGATGGGTATTCAATCTCCACGGGATCTCCGCCTATTTTGACAAAGTGAGTAGCCTCGCAGCAGGCGTGTGCGGACCTTGAATATCAGTATGGGCGTGTGGACCAACAATGTTGCGATAACGTTGCGATAGCGCATTTAGCTTCAGAAGTCTATCTTGTTCTCTCATGAACTCTAGATGACTTTCCATTGTCCGACTCTTCTCGTCGCGATACCATCTATAGTGCGCGGCGAGGAGGCCGTTTCACACATCAACCACCTTCTTTTTTCATTCATTCATTCAAGAGTATAAGTGCGAGCGAGAACATGATTAGCAGTTCTGCTCGAGCATAAAGCCGTTGTCCCAACTTGCGGGGTCACAGCTGGGCTTGGTAGGAGCATTCGAAAGTTGAGGCTTGTTGATGATTATGGACATACATCCCGCATAGTACAATACATGTGTTTCATATGCTGAACACGATGTACATCCGATTCTGGAAGTCATTGATCGGAATCGGCGATTACCATCAAAGCAACGACGTGTAAATATATTTTTGGCAAATATTTCAATCCAGCTTTGAGCTTGAGTGAGCGTCGCACCGCAAGAAACCGACGTTTATTGGGAGGATATCCAGGGAGGCATCCATGCTGCTCCGAGCTTGCTTGGCTGAAAACCTCGGAAACGCCGCAATAGTAGGATATATAATTGGAGCGCAAGTATATCACTTGCCCCAGTGTAGTTGAAGCCATCCGATCGACTTTTTCTCATTGTCCTCGTCCTCACCTTTGCAACCGCTTACATCCCGTCAATTGGTGGGAAATTGCCGTACCTCACAAGTTTAAAGTTTGTTCTAAGCCTATGCTCTTTCACACCGAATGTCAACGATGTTGTCACTTAGCGTGCCGCTCCTGTACTAATGAGTAAACCTCTCGCATCTCTCCCTCTTACAAGTTGTTCTCTTTCTCCTTCCTTGCATGACTTATACTCTGACACCATTGTTCTCCTCAGCATCCTACTCTTCCGAGGAGACCTTGTACCGCCGAACGGTGTTGACGGTCAGGCCTGACACTAGGTGAAGACAGAACCGGGTCGTGCCCGTCGAATTATTCCTAGTCAATGATCGGCTCGTCAGTAAGCAGCTTCAATTCGGTCTACTTCGTCAGGATTTGTTCATATGGGCATCACAAGCACACCCGTGTTGAAACTACATAACCCGCATTGCAACACACTGCTATCTCGACCGCTGTGTCGGGAATTCATTGTATTGTTTGCTTAAGCTGGGCGCCACAAGCAAAGGAAGACGAGGCTACACCAACGTAGGCTCATTGCTTATTGGAAGACAACTGGAATAATTTGTTGAACTCTTCATAATATAGCGACATTATGAACATATAACACAGATGCAACCGGTGCATCTTTATAATGGAGTAGCAATAATGGGCGGACTATACAAAAATACAGCTTCGAAAACACTCACGAACGATCAGAGATACTGGACGCAGACACGATTCAATCACATAAAAAATCAGCACTGCACTCAGACAAGCTCGTCGATGAACTCGTCATCGGAGATGGAGTCTTCGCAATAATCGCCATTCCCGTCCGCATCTTCATGAAGCAAGGGTCAGCTGTGTTTAAGGAATCAGCCAGAGACGCACTCACCTTGCGGAACGTTGGTGTTATCATTCATGCCTGCGCTCTGAGGATCCATCATCCAATATTCGTTTGATGGCCATTCTGGTGGCCAGTCCTGGGCCACAGAATAGGTAGACGACTGAGGGACAGCCATCTGACCCGAGAGGAACGCGGCGTACGATAAGCCTATAGCCGCCTGTTGGTCCGTTACTTCGCTGACTGTGCCTACCATAGGGGCTGGCACAGTTTGACCGTGGAAAGCAGCAGGATCGCTGTGGTAGGAAGGAGAAGCATAGACCCCAGTGTAGGGTTGATTAGCCAGAGCAGGCGAAGGGGTGTTCAAATTTAATGGCAATTGCGGAATGTCAGGTCGGCGAGTCGCTATTGTCAATGACTTCTGTCGACACTTCTTGACATGGCTGGCATAAACGTCACTGCGCGAATTGATCCTGGAAGTATTATTACGGGTTAGAGGCAAGCTGATAGCATGCCAGTGACGATGACCTACCCTTTTCCACAGTGCGGACACAGTCGTTTCATGACCTTGACGAGCTGATTCCCACTCAAACCCAAGAGGCGGTTCACGTTGTCTTTATGATAAGCACTGTCAATGTGTCGTTTGAACGTCCTTGGGTCTCGCTTTACAGAAAATAAGGAGAGCCGAGGCTCCAATCCTGGCGACGCTGGGACACATTCGTGAACACATCCGGTCTGTTCGCAAGTCTTGCAACCGATCTGTTCAGGATCACGAAATATATGCGTAAGTCAGGGCAATACTGTGCCATAGTGAATAGGGACGTACTCGACCAGGTACTCCAATCTCCAGCTGATCATTGGCATTTTCGAGGGTGAGTTGGTAGTCGGCACTACGTGACTGACTTGGAGTTCTCTGACAATTCAATGGAATGCGGGGCATTGCAGGTAGAAGAAACTGGTTGAACGGGTAATGACCACTGAGGATGTTTCGTCCTTGCATCCTTGCGGTATTTATACGGATGTCAGGATAAACTTTGGCATTTCCAAATGGCCTGGGCAAAATTTCTCGAGTTCAGTAACCTGGACGATTCAACGTGTAGGAGCCGTGACTCACAATGGACGATTAGTGGCCATGAACGGATGGACCTGGCTGACAGGTTCACCAGGCCAAGGCATGGAATGAGGAGCAAGAACCTGTTTGACCACAATACACACTCGTGTGCGGACTACATGAGCCTCTTCGTCAATGATGGCCGACTACTGATCGGAGAATGCACAAGGACCGCCCGCGCAGTTCTTCGCAAATTTATGTTGGACGGGACGACAGGTTTGAACGCAGTGAAGACATATGTTTCAGCCAGGGCAGTAGATATGCGTCCGGGGGGTTCCTTGGTTCATGCTCCACTGACTGCTTAGTTTGAGCAAGCCCTTCCGGATATCAGGGCTCTAGCCAGTAGCATCAGTGAGAATGTTACGACGACGAACTTCAGGAATAAACCATAGCTAGCGCCGAAACTCGGCGTTACTGCAGGATTATTTTACATCTTGGCCTTAACTGCTGCCCAACGATGTATTTTGGGGTTGGCACCAGAGGCAAAGCAGGTGCATCGACTTCAGCTGTCCTATACATGAAAAGTATAGATTAGCCAAGCTTGTAGAGATAGATCTGGGGGCCCTGTGATCAGATCCCGGAACTGACTTCCTATCGAATGGTTCGATGTCAGGGAAATTCACTCCCCACCGCAATTCTTGAGGACCTTCAGGACCAGTAGTCTATCAGCCCATCGGTTTCCTCGCGGCGCGAACATAAAACAACATGTTTCTGGGCGACGGAAAACGCGGCTGATGGGCCAGTCCCGACACTAATCCTTGAAATAATCTATCAAGCCTTTGTTCGCATGCAGCAGGAAAATCACCTCATGTTAGGTCCGTGTATGTGTTGCCTTCCCCAATCCATTGAGATCTCGAAGCATACTGTAGATTGTGTTTGAAGGAAGGCCTAGTGACACGCAGTTCCTCCATTCTCGGCCTGCAAGTACCTATCCCGAGTGCCACCGATCTTGTAGTGAAGTCTTGAAAATTCGCACCACCCACGACGCGTCGGATCTGTCTCTACGCATGAGAGACAATCATAAAGATCAATCTTTTATGGTGGAATGGAGGAAGGTGGACAGCGGAGATTGAGAGACGCTCCACTGACCAGGTTTGGGCGGAGAGTTCTACGGTCTGCGCTGACAGCGTCGAGGTTGCCAACCGGTTGCCCGCCACTGACTCTGATGCCATTTCTCAGCGCTATCATGCGGCGTTCGGATCCCGTCGGATACCACTGATCTCTCTGCTTAGAAAGGCCAGCCTGAATAGCAGGCATTGGTGGCCAGAAACCGTGATGTCATCAATTAATACCCGAATCGGCCAGGTTGGGGAACGGAGCAACAGTTTAAACGGTCGTGTTGGCTGCTTCGTCCCAGAAGCTATACATAGAGGCCATTGCATGATGGTATGAATGGCCGGTATGAACTACGGGACATCCCACCGGGCCAATAAGTCCCGCTAATTCGTTTCCCGTCCTTGCCTCGCAGTTTGTGCATTGGCGGAAGAAATCACAGCAGGTTCCACCTATCGCTGTCCCTGATGCAACAAGGTTGGGGCCAGCCAAAACAGAGCAGACATATTAGCAGACTGACAGCACCCTTGCGTAGAACTCGCCACCAAGGGTTCTGAATCGATTCGCATGGAATCGAATCAAAGGCAAGATGATGACTGAGAAGAAAAGACACGGCGGTCTTCTGGAGATGTAGTCCATTTATAGAAGAGTGTGAGATAGGTAGTTGGAATCTGTCTCAAAAGAAGGAGGTATCCTCGACAGCGTTGATGGCAGATAAATCACCGCATAACCTGCCTTCTATAATCGCAGACACTAATATCGCGAACTTGACGTTGTCGTGGATACTTAAGGAGTATCCTGGAAGATAAACGGTCACAAGAACGACACGTCCGAGCGTGTTAGCGGGAACAGTAAGCAAACCGAGACAGAGGGACAGATGGGAAAATGCGTGACGAACCTTAATTCTACCTCTCTTCCATCGTGACCAAATCACCGCATGCCATAAGTATGACCTACTTGGGTCCTGACAACATGTCTTTGGCGATGCCAGCCTGATCGTCGGAAGCAAGATTCAGTGCAGTGATAAATCCAGATTCCAGAAGTCATTCAGGTCGACGGAGCGGCGCAGACTGCGAAACGCGTCGGCGGTCCGGATAATATGGTTTGCAGTGACATCAACAAACTGAGAAACCGATGAACGGACATGGGGTATTTCGAATCTCAGCGGTGAGCGACTGTTGAGCGGGTTTGCTGAGGTTTCGCGAATAGCGACTTTGGAATCCACCAGTGGATAGTCCTCATCATTTCCATCGCTATAGCGTTCCGAAGTGTAGCAGGCAACGAAAAATCGACCTCATCCATCCGCAACTCCATCATAGACTTGGTTTTGGCATCTATAGTGGAAGATCGTCGTTCCCCTATATACTATCGATCTGCGAAGACCATGAGCCAAACGAAGAAACTTCTGAAAATGAGATTATGATCTTTGAGTCCCAGCCTTAACGAATGGCCTAAAGAGAACCGACCATTTTTTGGGAAACCTAAGTCAAATTTCCTCTCGTAATGCGATCATAGGTACTATCGAATGGGATGATCTGAACGCGTTCCGACGACATGTTGCTTAGAGGCTGAAGCTGAAGATTTCGGAACATCTATGATACATATAAATGACAGGTTTAGCGTTTCGTCGCTCACGTCGCTTTGACACTATACTCACGATAATTTGAATTCAAAGTGCGTCAAGATTGACCAACTGTATGGGATCACTATTAAGAAGCAGAGATGTCGAGGAGAGTAAAGCTTACCGTTCGTGATCCGAGCCTCTGTCGTTCAACATAATGGTGGAACGGTTTCGTTCTAGGCGGTGAGTTCACCATGGTGGAACGGAGATATGCAGCGACTTGTTGTATTTGGATTCTCAGGCTGAATCGGTGATCGAACGCTCGCGGAAGCAATAATCTGGAACTCAGATCGCAACCGAAGAGTGAACTGACCCGGGAATCAAATTCGCAGATTTTATACAGGAGTATCACGGCAAACATGCATGTATATGAGCGTGTCCGCCTTCTAGGAAGAGTCCATGCAAACAGAACAACATGTTGGCACGATATCAATGTGTGTATCAGGACGACAGACTTAGGGTGAGTTGACCGATTAGCGTCTGGAAACGTAAGCATCCATCAAAAGTCTGCCTGGGGAAAAGACAACATGAGACCGTCATGGTGCCATAATGTTCCTCGCTCTGCGTCGCATCTGTACCAACTATAAAAAGTTCTTTACGCCTCGTGTATGAGCTTTATAACTTGGTCTCGAAGGACAGGTGTCTATGACGTCTAGGTTCGCCGAACCCTCCTTGCACATTTCTTCTCATGGCTGGCGAAATCGCTAGACTATAAAAAGAGATAACAGAATATAGCCTAGAAGTCAGCAAGTGAATACAACGGAAGGGGAATACAGGCTACACACCTCAGTCAGCGTTGGAGCTAACGACTGAGGTGCTTCTACGAAAAGAAAAGATGTTTATATCGCTAGCAAGAGAGTTGGTATGGAACTGCGGAATGAAAAGGGATGCTATGCAAATATAGAAAAAAAGGGCAGAGGGACCAGTGTAAGTTGAGACTATGGTAAACGGAAAGAATGCAGAGCCTTCTTAGCGGCTTGACCTCACTGATTACCGCTCACATTGATCCTGAACGAAGGGGGAAAATGTCAGAGTAAGTGGGTGACGGGAAGCCAATAACGCACATCGCTTCACAAGGATGGCATTCTCGCTTCACCCGCTCGATGCGCTCGCTACCGGTAAGGCGGAGGAACTTATTGACATTGTTGCGATGATAATCAGAGGTGATGTGCCGTTCGAATGAGCTCCCATCATCAGGAAGCGAGAACAAGGTCCTCTGCTCTCCGAGCCCTGGAGGAACATCCGTGCAGATGTGGACACAACCTGCGAATTCACATGTCATGCAGCCAATCTACGGTCTATGCATGCCTTAGCGATGGAAAATGGGTATAGACGAATGACCGACGTACACGACCAACCATTCCAACATCGAGTTCATGGTTGCAATTCTGACGTGAGAGTAAGTACGTCCCAGCAAGGCTCATGTTCGCCGTCCGCTGGAAGTGGAAATGAATCTGGCCTGGCATGAGGCGTCGTCGAAGGCAAGTTGGTCACGTAGGAAAAGTGATGCGCTTGCGCAGAGGCTAAGTTATATTTAAATGAATGGGCTGGTATACGAATATCCATAACCTAATCGCCAGCCTAGTCTAGAACGAACAGCCAAATACATAAACCTTCAGCTCCTGCAATAGCACAAAGCCAAATCCATAGCTCAACGGCATAGGTATGCAGTCGATAGAGGCCGTCGACCGGGTGGATCGGAGACGAAATTACCACCGATGATGTGGGGTGCACATGTTCACTGAAGGCAAATACAACAGAAGCCAGAGCGACGTCAATTGTGTCGGTGTTTCTTTGCATTCCTTGTCAAACGCTATTAGCAATTAGATGTCCCCTCATACCTGGAGTAGATATAGGCTGTGTGTTCTTATCCGTAGAAGTAAAACTTACTCACCTATCACAATACTTGGTGTATAGAGTTATGGCGTATGTTCGCTGGGCGCAACATATGTTCGTTCAGGCGCTTCGATACAGAAGCCATCTCTTGTGGCACTCACGATGGGGTATCATACCTATTGAGCATATTGTATCAGGGCAGCCGACAAACGTGTTTACTAACTTGCTGGCGGTTCATGACATGATGTCCTGAATCCTCGCCTATATTGGTCAACAATCGAAAAAATGCAGAATAAAGTATTTGAGAATATGAGTAGATGAAACAGCTTGCGTACCCGCAGATTCCGGAATTATTTGTCCTCCGCTGACTGCACGAATGCGAAAGCTAAGAGAATAAGGAATTTGTGACCGATGCGCCGCCCTAGGAATCAACGGGCTTTTGTAAACCGCACCGTTTTGCTACTGTGCACCGACCGGCGGTGGTGTAAGCCGACTGTACTTTCATTCAGTTGGAGGACTTTCCGCCAAGTTGTAAGGACGTTAATATGGCTACCTGTCACATATGCCACGAGGGAGAAAGCGGACATGCCCAATGTGGACACGGCTATGTTTACCGTATAAGAACGTCATGCCGTGTACGACTTGAGGCCAAATACATCATGGTCTCGAATGCGAACGCATAGATTTCACCATAGATGCTTGAATTTTGGCGTAGAATGGGTGTGCTTAATGTGGCAAGGGCAGTCGCCATTTGAGGCGGTTGTGCTTAGTCAGCAGGATTTTTGGTGAGTCTTGCGTGATGTTCCGTTTGCTTCACGCGAGCTTTGCTGGACTCGCCACTTTGCGCACAAGTCTTATCACCTCTATGGTCCTCCTTTCCACCCAACATATAACTACTCCTCTTCCCCATCATCCGGGGTAGCTCTACTTCCTTTCTTTCGTGTTCTTGTGTCTCAAAATGTCAACTCCTTCTTCATCAGCGCCATCTGTGCCTTCTTCGTCCTATGTCTGCGATACCCTTCCTGCTCCTCGTCTGGTCGGCTCATCATCCAGATTATCAAGTCTCCCACCGCTGCCTACACCACCTATTACCGCGTTTCATGCACCCATTGTCCCTGATGTCTCGTTAAAAGTGGATGATAAGCCTCGGGAACAGGTCCAGAAGGTATTTATGCCCCCTCAGGGTTCATCGCAACCACCAGCGAGGAAGTTGTGTGTCAGACATCAGAGGATGGCAGATGAGGGCACGAACCTGAAGCTTCAGCAAGTGAGCCTTATTTTCGCATATATTTCACTTTTCGTTTGTCTGCAAGCGAGCGATGTGCTCGAGCTCCGTGGCGCCTTTGAAGGATCGACATGTTTTCATTCCGATTTTTTTGCTGACTGGTTCATCTTCAGGCTTTAGATGCTCTCCCAGTCGAGGAGCGAGAGGCAGTGAATACCATTTGGACAAACTTTTCGTCTTCCCCTCACCCTCGTCGAGCACTCATCCTTCAAGGTCTTCTCACCATGTGCTGCTTCTCCCAACTTTCCCTCCTCACAGAGCAACTCTCACAGCTGATCCGTATCGATCCTTTCACCGTCCTTCCTCGAGAGGTGTCCCTGAAGATTCTCGGCTATCTCGATGCGACTTCCTTGTGTCGTGCCGCCCAGGTCAGCAGGCAATGGAAAAGTTTAGCCGACGATGACATCCTCTGGCGAGGGATCTGCGAACAACACATCGGGCAAAAGTGTTTGAAGTGTGGTTGGGGTTTGCCTATCTTAGAGAAACGACGTGCTATTCACTTACAGCCCACTTCACCATGTCCATCGCCGTCTCACGATGTTCCTCCACTCCCTCACAACAAACGTGATCTAGACTTGGATCACAGTCATCCCGAACCTCCCGCCAAGCGTCAACGAGTAGATGCCGGTCCTTCAGATCGCTCACCTCGTTCACCTATGCCTTCATCATCACAACTAGCCCTTATTTCCACACGGACTTCCACTCCGAACCCACTTGTTCCTCCTAGTCATGCTCCAGCAACTGATACCGTCACCCGACCGTGGAAAGACGTTTATTGCGAGCGTTTGACTATCGAACGGAACTGGCGTCGAGGCCGATGTGTCGTCCAAACGCTCAAAGGGCATACCGATGGCGTGATGTGCCTGCAGTTTAGCGAAACCTTGTCTCATCCCGCTTTCCCTATCCTCATCACCGGCTCGTATGATCGCACTGCACGTGTGTGGAACCTCGAGACTGGAAGAGAACTCCACTGTCTCACTGGCCACACGCGTGCAGTAAGGGCTTTGCAGTTCGACGAGGCGAAATTGATTACGGGGAGTATGGATCACACCATGCGAGTATGGGATTGGCGAACGGGCAAGTGTCTTCGGACCCTTGAGGGTCACACCGAAGGAGTCGTTTGCCTCAACTTTGACTCCAACGTCCTTGCCAGTGGTAGCGTCGACAGTACTGTCAAGGTCTGGAACTTCCGTACAGGAGAGTGTTTCACTCTTCGCGGTCATCGTGATTGGGTGAATGCTGTCCAACTTTGGGACTCCGGGAACACAAATCTCCGTGGTGGCTCACCATGTCCAGACGCTCGACCTAGCTCGCCTTACAATGGTTCTATGTCGCACATCGATCCTGGCAAGATGCTATTTTCCGCTTCGGATGACGGTACGATTCGACTGTGGGATCTAACACAGAGGGCGTGTGTAAAGCAGTTTACGGGTCATGTTGGACAGGTGCAGAGTTTGAAATTGCTACTCGCTGATCAAGGTTGTGATGATTCGGGCTCGGACGAGTCGACGACGTCTCAATCCCAAGAGATCGATTCACAGGCCAATAACCGACCAGCTCAATCTTCATCGTCTTCCAACCCGCCCGCGTTCAGACCATCAGCCGTTCTCAACGCACCCGATTCTGTGCCGAATGACGTGCCTACAGGCGCTTTCATTCATACCCTCGAAGATTCAGACTCGTCTGCAAAGGGCAAGGAGAAAGCCGTAGACGCCGATCGGTCCCCCGCAGCTGGAATCCGAAAACCTCGGAAACCTGTCCTTATCTCTGGTAGCTTGGACAACACGATCAAGGTCTGGGATATCGACAGCGGCAAAGCTGTCAGGACGCTTTTCGGTCATATCGAAGGTGTCTGGGCTGTCGCAAGTGACAATCTTCGTTTGGTCAGTGGTAGTCATGATCGGACTATAAAGGTGCACTTTCTGCCTCATTTTGACTAGCGCGCTCGGCTCATCATTTTGTGTGTGTAGGTGTGGAACCGTGAGGAAGGTCGTTGTACGGCTACGCTTGTTGGTCACCGAGGTGCTGTCACCTGCCTTGCGCTTGGCGAAGACAAGATCGTGTCTGGTTCAGATGATGGGGACGTGCGATTGTGGAGCTTCAGTGGGTGAAGTACCTCTCCAGTCGCCGCTGAGCCGCGGCTTGTTTTACTTCTTCTGTTTTTTATTGTTGGGTTGTGTGAGGTTTTGATGTACTTTATTTCGGTTGATTATTAGTACATTTTGTATTACTTGTGTTGAATCCTCCTATCTTACAATCTCATTCGAGACCTCGGTCTGTCCTTTGTGTTACCATGATACTTATCTATGATACTTAGCTACGCCTTCGCTAGACCAATTTTCAACAATAGATGATTGTGATTCTGAATCGGTGCGTATAGCTCATTTTATTTTATATAGGCGAACATTGTTGCCGCGAACCACTATATAGTTTTTTTTCCCTCTCATTACACGAACGGTGGCGTGGCCGAGTTGGTCTAAGGCGTTGGATTTAAGAACTATTCTTGATTCCCAATGGGCGCAAGTCCGCGCGAGTTCGAACCTCGCCGCCACCAGTTTTCTTTTTCGACAGCTTCAATATCTACACCCTATTTCGCTTTCACCCCGCAGCAATGCACTGCCAGTTTACTCTCGATTGTAGAGGATGATGAGGTATGTTTGAGGTTGCGCATATCTATTTATGAGGGTTAATTTGGCTTTGTATACAGGATCCTATGGCTTATTGTGTTTGTGCAAGCTGGTTGCTTTTCCAATGTCTAGCAAGTACTGTATAAAGTCTATATGTAAGTAGTGACATTGGTTCTCCCTCACTCGTGTTGTAGACAAGCAACTTGATTGAGTAGAGACTCAGCTGCATGACCAACTTAAGTACTTAGAAAGAATCAAGGTGAACAGATAAACGAGCAGCAGCCTCAGGTTTACGTGCATTTATGACTGACCGGCTTGGCAGTAATCAATTATACATATGCCCCAACATTTGATAGGTGCTCAGAATGCTATAATGCTTTGAAGCAAGTTCACCACGAACATTCTGAGTAACCATGAACAAGCCTCGACATATCTTTGCCAGAATTACTCTTAAGTTGCTTCAGCAGAAATCTAATCATGCCCTATCAGATGTGTCATCCTGTTATACCAGTTCTCAGTCTCTGACAATGCCAAGGGAAGTGCTATTATTATCCTTTTAGGTTTAATGATCTCAGCTAGGGTCTGTCTTGTCTATCCATGAGTCAAACTGAGCCTGTGCAACTATGAATCTTGTAGGCAAATTGGGCAAGAACTCCAGATGGCCCAAAGTGTGGACCTCAATCTCTGGTGAACTTTGGAAGTACAGCCATCACTCTCTCTTGCACTGCCATTGTGAGCATGCACTGAATGAATATTAGGTCTGGCCAATGATCTTGCTTTGGATCTTCATGAGGTGCAGTGGTCACGCTGGCACATTGTCCAAGATCATTTCACCCATCATTTATGGAGAAATAGTGTGACATACATGTTGGTTTAGACTGGCCCCAAAAGTATTGGCCTGACCATGGATGTGAACCTTGCAATGTCAGTATAAGATTGACCCTTATCTGGTCTTCTCTAGTATTAGACATTCTTTGTCCCCACTGCAATACTGCATACACTGATACTCTTCTGTGTCCCAAAAATGCATGTTAATATTTACAGGAACCCAGGAACCTCTCTCACTCACGGGTATGAATTAAGAAGAGATGATGTACGCAAGGTTCTTAAAATTGGGATTTCTGGTCAGGTACATAACTCTGGTCCTATGATATTCCAGATTCTTGCTGATCATGTCATTTGTATGGCAGGTCTCTTGCATGGTCTGCAAGAAGGTGGGCGGTGTCTATACGTACCAAGCCAGACATATGCCCCCCATTTCCTCCTTGTTCTCAATAAATGACCAAGGCCGGAACATAGACTGACATTTCAACTCAAAACATCACGTAGCCAATGCAAACAAATACATAATAGATATACTTCATAAACTATTTGAATACAAGCAACAAAAGTGTGAGAAATGTGGCACCATGTTGATTCCCTATAATTTACTTCCCTTATCACCCATAATTGATCACATACTCAGGTTAGGTCATGATGACATTCTGGAAGCTCACTGAAAGAAATGCATGTGCATAAGACTCCAGTCAGGTTTGGAGTTGCCTCTTCAGCCTGATGACACCTCGACCACTGTGTTCGGAATGAGCAAGCCTGCAGCATCTCTGGAATTTACATTTCCTTTGGCATCTGCATCGCTCAGGCTGTATCCCAACCCTCCGTGTGCAGACAATTCCTAATGCTGCACTCCATCCATTATTCCAACAGATCCCTGAGTTGCAGTTCTCCAACCTTGGTTCTACTCCACTGAATGGTTATTATACCCAGCTAGAGCAATTGACAGGAAAACATTGTCAAGCATCCAGTGTTCCGTCATCTTCAATGAAGACTTTCAAATTGTTTGAACCTGCCATGAACTCCATGAGCTCTGATTCTTCGGAACAGTATCTGGCTACATGCAGTTTTGAACCAGGTGAGTTTTATAGCATTACCATATTCTTACACTATAATATATCATGCTCATTGCATATAGGCAACACCTCTCTTGGTCCATTTAGGTTCCTCTTTGATGACTTTATCTTTTCTGATGCCATCTAAAACTCAGCCTTGAGTACAGATATATTCCACAATCTTACTGTCATGTAAAGAAGTGTCACACATATCACCATGGGCTTACAAGCAATATACTCATCTACTTTGGCTTTAATGCTGCTCTCCATGATACAAATGCTTCACCTAGTTATGCATAATATATTGTAGCATAGGTACAGTGCATTATTGCCATTAATACAGCATAATGATGGTCAATATAATGCATGCAAAAGTAATGGACAGCAAGTTGTGGATGTATATAGCTACAGTCTTCAAAGAAAGGGGACATTAGTCTTGGTGTCTGTCTTGAATAATCACAGAAGAAGATCACCTGGGCAGAGTCAAATGTCCTTCATCGGTCCTACTAGTGCATACAAATGAAAACAATTCAGTATCAGAAGCACTTCCAAAAGAGAATATATATCTACTTGACAATGATGTAAGGATGTTGACTCCTGTATAAACACGCTGATCAGATGAACTTGGGTATTAAAAGCAAAGACAAAGTTCGCCTCTGCATTCACTGCGACTCAACCGAAATATAAAACAACATGGAGTTCCAAAGAGCAAGAGGCTGGGAGATGACTAAATCTGTGATGCAATACAATAGTATAGACTTACTTATATAATAGACAGTAAAAATATCTCTTTGCAATTACAGAGGTGAGCACATTGAGATTCATGGCAGATACTGATACTGCATACACAATCAGAGACATTTTCAACAAACAGACTGTGTGAGATGCACACTTTGCCACAACATGCACACTTTTGCAGCACAGGTATAAATAGTGGTACGGTTTGATTTGACATGTTGCCAACAAAATGACGGGCATTGTAAAGATGTTGTTGTGACTTGAAGTATAGTGTTTTGATCCTCCTATCATTTGTCATCAAAAACATACTTCGTATCTTCTTCCCATCCTACGGTCTGATATATATGAAGTCATCCAGTGCTTTTTCGCAGATCATGTAAGCAACCTATCATGAGAACAGGAGTATCTGCATGAGAAAACAGTATAGACTCAAATATGAACTCACTCTAGAATGTCGCATGCCAATTAGAATTTAAAATGTCCAATAGAAATCAGTTGGGCCAAGAGCATACTTTGAGACATAAGTAAGATCGTGTGGCCAAAATAAATCAACCTCAGCATGCAGCATAATGGTCCACAAGCAAGGTAAATAGTCAACTTGTCGAGGAGGACAGAAATGCAATATGTTTTGCCTTATATACATCGACATAGATAAATATGGCCACTGTGGGCCATTCACATTATAGTTGGCCAATAGGGCTAGGGCTTATGGTGTATTCAGTTGTCACTACGAAGATCCAGAACCTGATAAATGGCCTGGCAGCTGGGTGGCCAGCGAAGAGCTGTAGCAGTACTACAGTAGTAGTGCTTACTGTGTGGTGGTTGCAGATCATGAGAATCTGGTAATTTCAAATTGAAGGTGGTCTAAATAGGACCCCCGCTAGTCCCTATATATGTTCGATCCCTAAATCGCCAATTTGGGCCTGTTTTGGGCTGGGAGATTTTGGCCGATTTTGGGCTGTTTTGGGCTGGCAGCATGTAGGATGTCCCAAGATGGTCAATTTTTGGGCTGGCCAGGCATGTAGGATACCTTTCTTCTACCATACATTGAATGTACATACTACTACACTATACAACCTTTGCCATGCTTGTTCGACATCACAACTCTGTCCCCATCCACTTCTTTAGGCTTATTGCATTTCCGAGATGACTTGAGCGACCCTCGAATGGCAGTAGCAAGCTCGGCATCATAGCTGTGGGCCAGATCCATGATGCTAGTCAGGTTGGTAGTGGGTACCAACATAACAAGTTCACAGCCTGCTAGAAAAACTGCTTAGATCAGTCCACTACTGAGAGACAGCCCTCCTACCGTCATACCTGCACTGAATGCCATGAAATCAAGTGACAAGATGAGAGATTCTGAGGGCAGGAACAAATAGCTTGATAGTGAGAGTGCTGTGCCTGGGGTACTAAGCGGACTCGCCACAAGTGAAGAGTAGAAAGTGGTGCCACCAATTCTGAATGGTATATAAGCCTGAGCAACAAAACACGATAGTCGATTGACCAAAATGCAACCATCGATGTAATTGTGTGTCAGCACCTTGCCACCGCCTCGCTCAAACACAGCAAGCACTGTTTAACAAAACTTGAGTGAGAAATATTCTATTGTTAAATTGAAAGCAGGATCACAAGACTCACCTATGCAGAAGAAGACTTTGTCGAGATGAACCACAAGTACCGCTGAGCCTGGCTTGAGGAGATGAGTGACACTCAACCCCACATCTGATAAATGCCATAGAAGTGTCTGCTCTATCTGCGTAAATACCTTTCTTGTACCTTTTGCAACAGTCGAGCTTGTATCTGCCACGCCGGTCGCACCAGAGACACTTGCAAATCCACGCCACCTGGCAGAACATTCAATACCTGATCCTGCTCATTTATTTGACTCTTCAAAGGCTGTTTAGATGCGTACAATTTTATTCACCAATTTTGCCTTCAGTTTGCATATGTTGCAATCTGGAGATGATACGAGAATGGTTTCTTGTGGGGACGCAGTGGATTCAAGTACAGTTGCATTTGTCGAGGGACCTATACCAGCAGTTGTTGCAGCCTCAGCATGATGATGTTACGGACGAAGCCCTTAATGCAGATTCAGGGTCAAAGGGTAAATGTAAGGGTAGATTGCCTAGGTCAGGTTAAGGATTCTAAGTACATGTATGGCATTTATATACCTAGGCAGAGAAAGAGATCGTCC